GACATATGTCGCAATTTTTTACATATTTTCTGGATGTCTGCGGTCATACCTTTCCAGTAAAACTTCTCGCGGATGCGATTTGTTGTTGACATTTTTCCACGATGTCCTCCTGAGTCTGGCTGATCATGAAACTGATTGCATATTAGTTATACAAGTTGTGGTAGTTTAGGGATGACAATTTGTCCTTGATCATTGACGATAAGATCATTTTTCACAGGTATTGTGGGTTACGATTTATTTTATTAAGAATGCTTTTTAATTTCTTGTGATGGAAATATTTCCGTCACATAGTCGAATATGTTTGTGAGAATGTCTGTTTCCAGGACACGATTAAGTGTTTCAGTTTTGTAATTTGGTCGACGAGAAAGAGTGTCTGCAGGTTCATTTTTTTGATCCAGGGCGGTATTGGATTCCAAAATTCTATAAATCTAGTTCAGTTGCCCATCTCATTATTTTTGAGCGAGTAATTGTGAACCTTAGTGAACATTGATGTTAAATTCTTATGATCAGTAAGAATTTGAAATGGTTTGTCAGTACCTGCCAAAAAATGATACCATTTACGTAAAGCTGCAATGATTGCATATGCTTCCTTTACCCAAGTTGATCAAATTCGTTGCCGATCTGTAAATGTCTCTGAATGAAACGCGATGGGATGATAAATTCCGTCGTCTTGTTTTTGGGAGAGTATGGCTCCTATAGCAAAATCGGAAGCATCCGTTTCTAATCTAGTTTCTCGATGTGGCTCATAATGTCTGAGCATAGAAACATTTTCGAGCTCTTTCTTAACTTGTAAGAATGCTTGTTGTTGACGATATGTCCATTTAAATTTAGTGTTTTTCTTGGTTAAATCATATAAAGGTCTCCCTATTTTGGATAAATTAGGCATAAATCGTCGGCTGTAAATTACGAATCCTAAAAATGATTGTAATCTTCTAAGAGTATTGGGTATTGGCCAATTTGCGACTGCTTGAATCCTCTCTGGATCAATTTCAATACCTTTATCGGAGAATATGTGGCCTAGAAACTTTACTTTGTTTGTGAAAAAATGACATTTTTCTCGGTTTGCGTATAGGTTAGCTTTCTGTAATCTTTCGAAAACCTGTTGCAAATATTTTTCATGGTCCTTTTCTGATGATGAAAATACGAGAATATCGTCTAAATAAACGATAACAAATATGCCAATAAAAGGAAGTAACACTTTGTTAATATATCTCTGAAAATTTGCTGGCGCATTTGTTAATCCAAATGGTAAAACTGTATATTCAAATGATCCGATTCTAAAAGCAGTTTTATACTCATCTCCTTCCTTGATTCTAAATAGATAATAGGCCTCTTTTAAATCCGCCTAGCCAATTTATAATCTCTTCGAAACTTGGTAATGGATAATTATCCTTTCTTATGATCGCGTTCAGCGGCCTTCAGCTTATAACCATGCGATACTTATCTGTTCCCTTCTTTGGAACTATAAGTGGTGCACACATAAAGTTTGAAGAACTTCCGTGGATTCGCCCTTGAGATAATAATTCTTGCACCTTTTCGCTTATTATCAGTTTTTCATGCGAAGTGTACTGTTTCATCTTTGGCGATAATCTGGTAATTCTTTTGTTAATTCAAACTTTAATTACTATTCGAGTGTTGGAGCAACGGTATTTTAGTGTTTTCCGTGAACACTTTAGCAAACGGCTTTAATATTTCTTAAACTTTCGCATCGTTTTTGCTATATGTCTGATCTTTCTCCAGATTCGTTTCGCCAAATAAAAAGTCTAAATTTCCCAATTTTTTAAGAAGGGACCATCCAATGATGGCTTCATTTTCGGAGGTTGGTGTATTTATAGACGTTTCTTAAATTATTCAATTGTTGATTTCTACCGGTATTGTCAAATATCCTTTAATTTCAAGTTTATCGTTCGTTATACCCAAAAACGCTCGATTTTTTTTGTTGAATTTTACGCGAAAGCTGCTTTGCAACGTCTTCTTTTAAGAGATACACTGCCGGCAGTATCTATGAATGCACTGAACTCGAGGTTTGGTATCTTAACATTCTGAGGTTGCGAAGCGTATTTTTCGTGATGTGTTGAAAAATCTTCCACATGAAATTTGTTTACAGAGACGACTGCATCTCTCTTAGACTTGCTCCTTTTATGTAGTCGTTAATTAGATCTGGGTTTTGGTTTCAGTCAGTTTATTGTTATCAATGTTGTTGTCTTTGGTAATTTTCTGGGGATTTGGAATATAAAACTATAATTTCCTCCCGATCAGATCGAAATACCTTAGGTAAATATACGAAAATACTTCGCAGTTTTTGGAAAAAACTGCCACGCATTGTTCTGATGCTTCGTATAGTCTAGGATTGTGCGGATGAATCATGTTAAAATATGAGTCTGCTCTTCGTCCATATGCTTCATGTACCATTGATATAATATCTATAAGTTTTTTAGAGAGGAAGCCTTCATCAATTTCCATCTGAGTTGATTGTTTAGCTTGTTAATTCTCTGTGGGAAATTTGTTCTATTTGTACCATCATATTAATTGTGGTCAACTGCCTCAGTTGGGCTTGCATGATTTCCACAGGATTTCGGTTTGGAATTTGTCCGTCCATTTCCATTTTATTTGAGGCTCTTTGTTCAATTTCAACGACTCCACTCTTTAGATTGGGAATATTATTTGTTATGTAAGTAAATCTCACGCTTTATGAGAATAAAGATCGAGTGGAAATAATATCTACGACTGTAGAATTGTATACTTAAATTGATTCTGTTGTGCTACTTATATGGACGCTAGTAATACCCAGGGATCTGGCTAACTAAGTTGAAAGTGTGAAGATGACCTGATTTAGTGGTTTATGAGTTTACAGGGTTGAGTTCACCGTACAAGACAAAATCTATTTTTTTTCATTCGTAGTGCTGGCTAAAACAAGCAGTAAGCAAGGCTGTTTATCCTTCGGTTACAATTCAACTCTATTATTTATTGGGAAAAGGAGTAATGTATTGAACGTCAAAGGATGGTTGTATGGCTACATACTGAGTAAAAGCTATAGTTAATAAAGTTCTTATATATTTGCTTGGTTGGACAAATTAACGGAACTGCCATTCTGATTCAATTAAGAAGATTAAGTCCAGTAAGGGACTTTTTCTCTACTCTTAAATTTGGGACACGCCAAAAAAAATATCTGATGAAAGATGGCTATGATTGATCATTAATAAAAAAAAGTTTTTTTTCCTTTGAAGTCAAAGTAAGTTATGTTCTAATAACAATTTATATATCTGTTACGGAAGGCGAATCCCTTCCAAGTTTTTCCAGGGTTTGACTTTAAGGAGTAAAAACTTATGCGGGAAAAAGTTGCAAAGTTTTCAAAGGAAAATTGAATAGTGGGTATAATTAAGCTGTTTTGTCTATCAAATGTAAGATTTGACGGTAGAATGTTACTTGGTTGACAGTTAATTAATGGGAAGATTATTCAGAATACTGAAATTTCGTTAAATCATAATATGAGAAACTGAAGCTTTTCGATGAGTTTCGTTGCCTTTTATTTTAGTTGACGACCATTTGAAAATAGTTCATCCTTTCTTTAAGTAGCTACTTGAGCTATCACTAATTTAAAGTTTCGTTCAGAAAATTTCAAAAAAAGTACCAGCTTCACCTAAAATGTGGATAGTATTCACTTGTGACATAGTTTGAAAAGTATAGTAATTATTTAGAGAGCTATATTCGAAAGTACTTAGTCCTTAACTCAAAGATTATCTTCATTGTTTGTGATGGTCACGATTGATTACTCAATCGAGTCGAAGAGTTTTGAGCCCTTAAAAGTTGGCATTCGTAGTCATAGTAAACAGATAGTACAAAAGCCAGAAGAAAATTCGTAATCGAAGTAGTCAAATTTTTAAAATTTTGAAACCCAGCCGACAAAGAGGAAATGAAGAGATAATTTACTTTAGCCCTAGGAGGAACCAGGAGGTTTGAGAACTGCTCAGAAAAATACCCACAATGAGAGAAGCATAAATGAATAGGCTGATTGATATATTGAACAAGCATTGACGTTTTATATGATTAGCAATCAGTTTGTCAACTTTAAAGCAAATATATCACAACTATCAAACTACCAATCGAAATAGCTACCTCGTAGGCCAAAACTTAAAATTCACTACTGGATAATGATAACGTTTCTATAATAAACTACAGCTCCAATTTATAAGGAATATAATATTTCTACCGTGTTCTAAATAACAAACAGAGCCAAAGTAATATAGGTTTGGCTAAATATGGATAAATTATTTATGACATGCCAAATTTAGACAGCTGTATAACAATTTACAGAAATTATTTGCTCATTTTTTTGTGAATGAGCAATAACTTAACGTTGGTATACGCGGAATGCCGTTACGTCATGTTACTTGAGTTTGCGTCATCCAACTGTGAAAACCAGAAACAAACTATATTAGCTGACCTCAATCTTTTCTCCAAAAGATTGAGCTTGAGCAAAAACCAATTTAATTTACATAATATTCCAACCTATGTAAAAAGACTTCAAAAAATTCAAGAATTAGAAAGAAGCTCAAAAAGGTAGAAAAAGATATATAAAAAAGATATAAAGAGATATAAATAGTGCATTCAATTGATTATGACAAATGGGATAAAATCTGAACTGACAGTATGCTGCTATGACAGTCAACTTGTCATCAAGTAGATGGACCAAATAAAGTCGGATAACAATTCATAGAACTTGATAAATATACAATTAGAAGTCTTTTATAGTTTAGATTGTAGGGACTGGAATAACATAATTTTTCTGTATGCACAGCATCCAACCTAATAGCCAGAAACGCCTTCCAAATTTACTGAACCGTGCTTATATGTAGTTTATAGTTGTTGTGTTTTTGCTTCTTTTTCCTCAAGTTTATCTTGGTTTTATTTGCTAGGGTTAATGAAGAAAGTATTAGTTGTATAGCGTCACAAATTTTATAAATTTCTAGTAATTCCGACGTTTCCATGTTTTTGGTTCTTTTTAAGATAAGAATTCATGTTTTTTTTAGGTAATTTAGTGAGCTGCCCAGTTAGGTTTCTTTGTTCTAGCATTATTTTATAGGTGCTGTCTGAACGCTACCTTCTTTTCAATCATAAGAATGCAAATGAATTCTACTTTACCACAAATGTCCAGCGGTATCTCTGATCCGGAATGGAAATTAAAGAAATATTTAACGAAAGATGCTTTAAAATCTATTGAAGATGGGAGAGGAGCTGCATATTTTGTTCCAGAGGGCTACACTCCATTACTTGTTCCCATGTCTCAGACCTGTCTTTTTGATAGCTATGGTTTAGCACAGACACCACAATTGTCATCTTATAAATTAGAAAACTGCAGAGTTCCAGGGTACATAATGAAAAACATACGAAAGCAGAACATGCCTCCAAGAGCGCCGCGACCACCAAATGCTTTCATTCTCTACCGTAAAGAAAAGCAATCTTTACTATCCGAAACCAATCCTGGAATGACCGAATGCTGAAGTTTCTAAATTGGTTGGTCAGCTTTGGAAGGAGGAATCTAAGGAAGTCAAGATGAAATACTTTAAGATGTCAGAATGTTATAAAACCGAACACGAAAAACTATATCCAAACTACAAATATCAGCCAAGAACTAGGAAATCTAAGAATTATTTAAAGTAATAGCTATAATAACATTTAATTTATTGACGGTCATTAATTTTCATGAGTACCCAGTAATCCAAGTAAGACCTAATAGACCTGGTAGACGAACGTGCCTATACCGAGTTGTGCAACAGAGGATAGCTATTATCTAATAAAATTATATTTCATCCCCTAAATCTTTAATTAGCGAATGAGAATTGAGGTGACATTGCATGAGACGTTTTGAAGTCAGGTCATGCCGGGTGTAAGTGCGATATGGTTCTTACATGTCAAAATACATGCGATCCAGTGCCCCAATTCTATTAAAACATGCTGTCTTTTTCTTTCTGTTGATATACTACCAAAAATTTTTTTTCGGAAAACAAATGTATAGGCTTTCTCTATTGTTTTATGTCGTTCGTTTCCATCGGGAATGTTGCAAAAACACAAAATGTTGCAAAACACGCTTTAGCATCTTTAATACACATTAATGTAAGTATGTTGAGCACTTTTTAGGGCCAGTAATGTCCGTGTTTTGTATTTTTTGAAGGCGAAAAGAAAGTCAACCTCGAGAAAAAGCGAAAGCTTTCGCTTTTTTTTGCATTTTTGTTTTTTATTTGTTTTTCTTTTATTATTAAAAATAATTTGAGCTCATTTGCTTTCACTGCATATCTTATCATTTAATTGATGACAAGATACTGATCTTTTCACGGTTGTTTTAATTTTTTTAGAAATAAAAAATCAAACTAAATATTTAAAAATTAGTTTTGTAGTCAATTTTGCTTACCTGGGAGATAGAGTAAATTGAGCAAAGGTTGGGATTTGACCTTCATAATGTAACATCATATTTTTACCTAAAGAGGCAAAGAAAAACATTTTTTTACTAAAATAAATTAAAAATAGAAACTAATTGATGTTGTTGCGTGGGCTGTAAGACTACATATGGGGCTTCCTCAAACTTTTCAAAATATTTTTACAACATTCAGGGAAAAACAGGTAAAAACAATAGCAATAGACAAATAAATACATGGAAACGAACGACATAAAACAATAGAGAAAGCCTATACATTTGTTTTCCGAAAAAAAAATTTTTGATTCCCAAACAAGCAAAAAATTGGACGAGAAAATCTAATAGAATCGGCTTAATAGAGCTACTGTATAATTGTATGTACAAAGATTTAAAAAAAAACGGGTATATTACTGTCTATTCTTGCAGTATTGGTGTTAGCTAACGTCGTCGGTTGGAAAACCAATTACGCAATTGGTTTCTCGTTAAACCGGTTTCAAGGCATAATTGGTAGTATTCTGAAGGTGTAGGATAAGGATTATCAACATGAAGTAATAGCCAGCGCATCAAATAAGCCTTAATACAGTCTGGACAGGTGTTTCTAGATGTCACTAATGGACGTCCACTCGTGTTACTTATGTGAATGCAATTCAGTACATTTGGTTTAAGAACTTGAACAGGTAAACTGAAGTTTAGAGCGTTTCGTGTAACATTTTCGCGTATTTTAACATTGCAGATGTGTTTAATTGATTCCAATATTTTAAAGCATTCAAGAATATACTTTGCCGGGACGTGTTTAACCTCAACAAGTAGTCCGTACGCGTGTTTTAATTGTTCTAATACAAATCCAAATCTTTCATAATTGATTGTAACAAATTTTCGCAGTAAAGTATTTAAAAAAGAGATCAATTCTTTCATATTGTCAATTGTATTAATTCTAGCTTTCAGTAGCAGATGTTTGGGTAACCTAAGTTACAGAGAACAAAGAAAAGGAGGCACCATACAGCTATAAAGGGGCCAGGGAACCCACCCATCTACAAACTATTTAATATGAATCCAACACTAAAAAAACCCAGTGTTCTTACCAGTTCTAACTCCTTCTAACTTATTTAAGACAAGAAAAAAATCGGAATTCTAATCACAATTACAAGAACGGTTTTATTTTATTTCGGAGCCGCATTCACAAACTTTTAAAATCATCAGGAGACTGGGGCGGTGTATCTGCTAAATGCTCAAATATATGGCGTTCATTACCTCAGAATGTTAAATCAGCATGGTCACAAACAGCAGAATTAAGTCAATATCAGGACGTGCGGAAACAAATAGCAACGTTAGAAAAAATCATCCTTACCCTCTGGCATAAAGAACACAACAACTATAAACTACATATAAGCACGGTTCAGTAAATTTGGAAGGCGTTTCTGGCTATTAGGTTGGATGCTGTGCATACAGAAAAATTATGTTATTCCAGTCCCTACAATCTAAACTATAAAAGACTTCTAATTGTATATTTATCAAGTTCTATGAATTGTTATCCGACTTTATTTGGTCCATCTACTTGATGACAAGTTGACTGTCATAGCAGCATACTGTCAGTTCAGATTTTATCCCATTTGTCATAATCAATTGAATGCACTATTTATATCTCTTTATATCTTTTTATATATCTTTTTCTACCTTTTGAGCTTCTTTCTAATTCTTGAATTTTTTGAAGTCTTTTACATAGGTTGGAATATTATGTAAATTAAATTGGTTTTTGCTCAAGCTCAATCTTTTGGAGAAAGATTGAGGTCAGCTAATATAGTTTGTTTCTGGTTTCACTAGTTGGATGACGCAAACTCAAGTAACATGACGTAACGGCATTCCGCGTATACCAACGTTAAGTTACTGCCCATGCATAAGAATATTAGCATGTAGATACGGTATTTGCTTTTGAGTTGCTTTCAATCATTAACTTCAAAACGTTCAAAACGATGGTATGAAATCCGTTTTTTTATGGAATGAAACATTGGTCATAAGATAGTAATTTCATTTTCAACAGTAATTTTTGGATTTTTAAGCATTCTCAATATGAATAGCTCACCCTGAAGACCAGTTGGTACTGGCCTTCCAAGGGGATACATTAGAATGAACTGGATACGAACTTTTGCAGGAATACCATGGGATATTCCACTGTGTCTTTCTGAATTGTATGTTTCCTCTGGTTTTTCTGTACTTATAGTTAGTTTTAGATGGTTTTGCAAGTCTAGCTGTGAACTTTTGCGTTTCAACGGTTTACGTATAAGGTGATACACCACTATAAAAGTGACTTAAAAGCATTTACATTATTGTTTCTCATAGCAACCGTTACATTTAACGAGTTAACTAGGAGTCTTCCTTGACTTAACACTCATACTATTAATAAGAAAATACGCTAGTTGGAAAGAGGCTATTACTCTTAGATGTTGTTTGAAGATTTAAAAGTAAGGTCTGGTGTCTCATTTGTATAGTGGATAATAGATCAGAACAAACGACAGGGGAGCTCTGTTAAATATTTGAAATGAGCAGTAGACGAGCATTCTCAGCAAATTCAGGGTATATATATGAAAGAAACATGTATCGCATCAAGTACGAACTCCTTTATACCTCATCTAAACTAAATTAATATCCGCGAGGTATGTATTACGTAACTAAGAAAGTAAACCGGATACGTTTAATGTGTAAATATTTCAGTTTCCTTTAAGATAGCTCTTTGTATATTTAGTCCTTGGTGAGAGACCATCTTACCGACAAAAATTATCGTTTGCAGTTCCCCATAGATGTCGTGGTTATTGCTTATAACCCAGACCAGTTTGAAAGTTTCTTCTAAAGTTGATGTGTGAAATACTATTCTTACTCATTCCGTATTGGCTTTTGTAATGAATGCTTAGCATCTGGTGTTTTGTGAACTTTGATTGATGACAAATTTCATATTTGACAAACTTGAAAGTTGGCAAGTACTTCGTATAATCTTCTCTTCGATTTACAGTTTTTGTGACTTTTTAAATGTATGAAACAGCCTAGTATCCATATAAATTAATATCTATAACAACTCGGAATTTACGGTCCCGTGACCGTTCTCTTAACTAAGACAAAATAAATAAAAATTGATAATGCTACTTTGTAGACCTATAGTATACACCTGATTAAATTATTAAATATAACCTAAAAGACTGCTTCTGAACAAAATTTATGGACTGATAATTTTTAATGATTGAGCTTATTAACTTTTATCGATACTTACAGCAGGCGTGAATAAGTGAAACCAAGATGAACGTAGAACATCAGTAAAAGGAAAGCAGATTCAAATATACTTCAGAGGAGCTTATAAATAAAGGAGTGAGGAGTAACCATTCTTAGACATCATTATCAATTTGAGCCTGTTTTCGACCAAGTTTGTCTCGGTGGGAACGACAGTCCTGGGCTAATTGGTCTTAATGCTTGTTCAATGACTTGCTTAAGTAACTAGGTGGTTTAAAACGCATAAAATGGATTTGAGGATTGGGTGAAGTACTAAAAGCATATATTAGTTTACTCTTGTCTCAACCTTCTACGTTAGGAAAGGAATAACGAAGGACTAAAACGAAAACGTAGTTCAAAAGGCGATGAAACTGAAAATTTAGGCTAGCTAGAATAAAATTGTAAGGCACAAGAAAAAACATCGTGGACAGTTTCGGTCGCCTAACCGGGTCTCCAAACGACTAAAAGGATTGACAAAATATAACGATAGCTTATTAAGTTACTTTTTAAAGATTCTTGCTTAGAAGTCCACCTTATCTTAAGAGACTCCCACTCCATACTTCAGGCCGTCAATATATCGATTTGAAGACTAATGCATCTATGGCCTCATACCAATTTGTCTATATTAAGATCTTGAAAGCTATATTACGCTTAAAATTGACAAAGACTGCAGGTCCTTTAGAGAGGTCACTAAGATCTTCCAAAGGTCACAAGCAATTTAGAAGCCATCAATTTTATGAAACGTTGGTATCGCTTCATCCTTTGAATGCTTATCCACAGGTGGCCCTATTCTTGTAAAAATGGACAACTAAAATCTTCCATATAAGAATGCAACAGCAATTCAAAATAAGAAAGAGTCGAAATACGCTGAACTCATCTGCAGAACTATTACAGGACCCTACGGATATATGAGTTCCAAAAACAAGGAGTTATAAAAAAAAGAAAAATTTTATGCACAAAAGAAAAAGCACAAGGCAGGTCAAGGAAGAAATGTCGAATTTTGTGCTCGCATTATTCGTCAATACCGCAGGAAGAAACAGGTAAGTACATAATAGTAATAAACTAGAAGCCCTTGAATGCGATAATAAACAAAGGCTCATATAAGCTGCCCAATATCGAAATTGTTAGCTTTAGCAGAGCTAGGGTTTTACCATACAAGGTTGGACTTAATATCATCAGTCTGTATTAATTAAGGCAATAAGCATAAGAAAACACTTATGAAGAATATGAATATATAAATAAGACATTCGGACTGAACCTAGAACCCCGGTAAATTTTCAGCGATTCTATTAACAAACTGTTATTACCTTTCTTTAAGTCACCTATTTCCAGGAGCAGATAAAAAGTTGTAACATTTAAGCGAGCATAGTAACTTAAGATCAACATTCATCAAAACCTGAATGAATACTCGCTCAAGATTGTAACAAATTGGCCGATGAGCTATAATTATATAATTTTAAGATCCATTATCAAATGGCCAAAAGACGGGCTAGCAAATGTCTGTTTCGCATAATACAAACTAAGTAATTAATTGAATCTCATTTTAAGCACGAATATTATCGAAGATTTGAGCAAAGAATACTCACGACGCAAGGAATCACAGATATCATAGATGGGAGAGAAGTACTAGTTTTCAGGCTTCATCAAGTTTCGTTTAATCAGGAAATTGGTGGTAATTGTCTGACAATTAGAAAGGCACGTGATTAGACATAAAAAGTAATGAGGAAAATTGTGATATTAATCAACGACGTATAACACGAAATCATCGACGGTATAACTATTACTCCACCAACGTTAGAGCAGGCTTTGCGGCATCCTTCTGTGAGTTATAATTTATACATTATCTGAAGGTTACCGATCTCACAATTAAAACGAATATTTGCTTTTGGATCGCTAGGGTGAGGTTTACGAATGTAGTAACGATCACAGGGAACAAATACCAGATATTTTAAATAAAAAAAATCATCTTGTCCTATGGATATTCAACGGACCTTTCTTTATTTCTAATAAATGAGAGAGCACACGAAAGGTTATAGGATGTGCAACTGCTAGCTGAAACAAGGATATTGCTGAATATATATTTGAGCATCTGAACAAAACGAATGGATAATATACGAAATAACGATAACAAAAAGAAAGTCCTCTATCAGAGTCTACACCAGACTACTATATTTTTAGTCCAACATAGTAAAGGGTGATTGCTCCGTCAAAAGTATAAAACAGAAACAAGGTTTATCGATTTTACATATAAGGAAAATACTTAAATTAGTCTGTTCAAAAGCGCTATTCAGCTAGTTTCCATGCATCCGAATTAGAACTATACCAAAACTGTCATTACTTTCAACATTTACAAGGAAACCTTTAAGAAAACATTTCGAAATGAGACGTACAATCATAATTCCCATTACAAGATATATTAATGACGTCCTTTAAGTCAAACTTTCACTCCAAACTGCGAATTTCTCATAATATCATCTGATGTAAAGGTTATAAAAAGATTTCTTTGCTGTAAGAACAAGATTCCTGAATCAAACGAAGTGTTAGGACATTAGGAAGAGTCAGAGGATTGTTACTCAATGTCCATAACATGATTAAATATTTCTATAATGTTACCTAAACGAAGGCAAAACAAATAGATGCTACTTTATAGACCTATATACTAAACAACGGATTAAATCACTAAAATATCACCTAAAAGACAGCTTCTGCACAATGATTCTGATGTTTGAGTTCATTAACTTATTTATAGATACTCACAGTAGCTAAGCAGACGTACTGAAACTTTTCCGTAACAAATTATGTACCAACTAGGATTTTTACTAACCCTAACTTAGTATTACAATGACCGGTTGCTTATTCAGTTCACACTTATTAAAGTAATCTCAGCATTCTCCGCTTGACAATTTCTGTAAAACTGTTCTTGTCTATTATGCATTGTGATGATTCTGAGGTGTGGTTATTTAACGTAATATAGTTTATATGTTTTAAACGGCTAAGCTAGTAAAACAATACTAGTGTAAACAGTTTATATAATAATTAAAGATTAAGTTATATATATTTAAATATAAATTGGGGTAATAGAAAATAGGTATAGATAATCACGATAACAAGCAATGCTGTCTCGCTTTTATTAAAGGAACAAAATAAAAATGTAAAAAAAAACATGGACAAAACTCGGATTTCTTGCACGTCAATTATCTCCGAAATCGCGGGAAACATTTCTGTATAGTAAAATACCTTCCCATTTATAAAATCTTCTTTCGAGTAATTATCTGTCAATAAATTTATAGTAGTATCCTATTATTTGATAATGTAGCCTTCGAAAGCCATATCTATTACTTTACTACACTTCTGCGGAGAAACTTTAAAAAGCACAAAAATTAATTTTAACACCTTCTTTCTTTCGTGTGTTAAGAAAAATAGAGTTAAACGTTTATGATAAAGTGTTACTTATGATTTACGATTTACGTAACGCTTTCAAATTGTTGCAGTAATATTTTGTAAACTAAAGCTATTTACTTAAAACTATCAATTCAATAATTTTTAATTTATCACTGTCCATCTGCTGTTAATATGATGTCTTTAACTTTTTATAGTACAATGCATTAAACAGGGTCAATTGCTGTAAGTTATTTAAACTTGATAGCTTATGTTAATAAGCACTTAACAAAAGTTTGTGTCAGATATTGAAATAAAGTATATCTAGATTCTAATCACCCATTCCACCTGCGGGTAAAAATATCATTCTATCATTTTAAGCTTAAGTTTCTAAAAGTGACCGCGTTCTAAAAGGTCGGTATTTAGTAACTGAAAAAGATTAATCATAACCATGAAAAAACAACGTTAAATTTGGAAGGTGAAAATAAACGAAGTACCCAGCATTCCATAACTATCTTTAACTATCAAGATAACCATGGATTTGTTAAAGGACTGTGTGTTATTTAAGGCGCAAATAGTCTTAGAGTCAGAAAAATAAGTCAATTATTAGTGATATTAGGCGGTAGATAGTAACACACTGTGCAAGCAAGCACTGTACTGACGGACAAAACAGTTGAAAACACTGAATTTATAAACTTTTGAAGGAACATCATTAGATTAATTGAGGCTAGTATACGTAACGGCGAATCTTCCCACTTTATTTTAAGCCTACTATGATAATTCATTTTCTAAATATATATATAACTCACTGTTAATGCAGATGATATGCATTTCCATTGAATAGTGGTTTTACTTCAATTTTTGGCGCTAATAACCGATTAACGGTTCCATAGAAAATACGAAAAGAATTTTAACATAATCCTTATTCTGACGAGGTTGGCTTATAACAATAATGACAATGACCTTAACAAGTTCTAGAATACGTTCAATGTGTTATCTCGGTACGAGTAACTTTTTCTGTTTTTAGTGTAATAGTAAAGTTTTTTGGAGCTTTATTTCAAAATATCAAGTATTATTTAGAAGGGTGGATATGTAACGCTTATTAAGCCTTACTTTATGTACTATGAAAACAGTTCTCCAAGGTAAATTTTCTTACGTTGAATAATGATTAAATCTTTTTCTTGATAAACACCAAGTGAAAACCCTAGAAACAATCTATATAGTCATTGATAGTTAATGAGGTGTTTAAATCATTTTCTTGTCGATATAATTATATATAATTTGGTCGAGTATTCAACGTCATTCTTTTACTACGTTTTCACTATTCCAGCTTTAAGTTTCAAAATGTTACGATATGAACGATGAAGTAGCTAGTAGAAAAATGGTATACATAAAAATCTAAAACGATCAAAATCCTTATTTTGCCATCTTATAAGAGATTTAGCAGGAAGTCATACGTGCTGTTGTAGGCAGTGATTTATTGGTAAACCAAGGGGATCTCTTGTTAGGAAGGTTACAATTTGAAGACATAATTAATTATATTCTATATACTAGCTTCGATAGGAAAAGACGATCTTTATCTCTATTTTTCTAAAAGGTAGTAGGACGCCTTTATTTCCCATATTAAATTTCCTTATGAAATAACTCTTAACTTTTCAAGCTTGTAATCTGAATTATTCTTGGCACGTACTTGAGTTTAGTTTTGAAATTGAAGTAAAACTTTGTTCTGTCGTAGTGTACTTTTTATCACTGATAGAAGTAACTGCTCAATAATTAGATCGTTCAACATCGAGTGGTGACTAAAGCAACAGTTTATGGTAGGTAACAAATCAGTAGGACGACAATAGAAAAATAAATCAATACCGACGATTGTATGTAATTCTTTGTTTGAACTACAACTGTATATTATTTTTGGCAAGCGAGTTCATATTAAGATATAGTGATGAATCATAGTAACCAATAAGATAATCGCAGTAAGGGTATAAATAGTATGTTATGATTCACTTATAATATAATTTGTCTTGCCTTAGTACGGTAATGCACTGGATTATTGCGTAGAACGCTATAGGTTATAGTAATAGACTTCCTCCTTATAACGTTAATCATAGTAAAGAGGTATACCTCATTGTCTGGGCGAAATTCAATTTTTGATTTTTTTGTAGAGAATAGTTTTTTTTACTTTTTTGAACGTATTTTTCGTGAAAAATAATTACTAATTATTAACTTGTCACTAATTACTTTGCTAAAAAAAAAAGCTTATATATAGGGTAAAAATGATCTCATACGGATACACATATATTTGGTTTTTGAATGTGTTGAGTAAAAAAACATTAATGGATTAGACACGTAGTAACAGCAGTCTAGCAAACAATTTATGGTTATTTATTAATCGCTACTGAGGCTTTCTGCCTGAAGCAATGATTAGGCCAATTTTGACAGCGTACACAACTTTATCTTTAGTTAATTGCTTCACTTCTGGATTTGGGTTTGAGGTAGACTTATGGTATTTTTCTTCATCAACCCATACCTTGATTTGAAACCCATCAGAGACAACAACGTCTTCAAAACCTGCTATTTCAAAACACTGGATAAGTTCTTGCTGTGTAAACCCATTCGGATGACCAATACCATGTTCTGTACAGAATTCCGCTGGCATGTTCTCGTGAAAACTTCCAGCGCCTTTCAAAAAGTCCACTACATATAGACGACCTGAGGATTTTAAACAGTCTTTCAATTTCTTAGTGATAAAATCCACATCTGTCATGTGGTGATAAGCCATTGAACAGACAGCAACATCATACTTTCCAACAACTCGATCGCTAGGTTCTGTTTCTGATCTCAAATCCACATGTTCAGCATGTGCCTTTTCTATCGGAACGTTTAGGGTCTGAAACTTGTGATTGAATTTATCAACCATTGCTTGTGAGATATCGAGTCCAAGGATACTTTCACAGTAGGGCGCCAAATTTTCGCTAATCAAACCAGTTCCGCATGCAAAATCAAGCAAGCTAATGGATTTAGACTCCCAAAATTTATCAACTTTAGTAAAAGCCTCATTAAGATCAACTGAATCTTCACTATATTGCTCATATAAATTTTTATCCGTTTCGACAACACGACTCGCCGATCCAGTGGGGAGTTGCAAAATCTTTCCGGCAACAATTTTTGTCACTGCCAATGTACTAGGATTGTCATACTCATGTGCTTTTTTGGCGTTAAAATAAGTTACATTCAAGTCAGTAAGATTAGGCATTTTCAGGGTTCTAATAGTTGGATATCTTAATATAGGATAAAATATGAATATTGATATCGCCGCTTATAAGGAATGAAAACTCTAGCTAAATTTAGTTGTATTTAGCTATCACCAAACTCCAGAAAGTACTACTCGTTGGTGCAAGCCAAGCATATCAACGTTATGGATAGAACCTCATTAAAACGTCAAATTCCCTTCAAAGAATATCATAGTACGCATTTAAACATCTATTTATATCAAAAATTGCAAGACAAAAGAGTTAGGAAGGGTTATTTTTTGTAGAGTTTCCTTGTTATTCTTATTTATATTCAGATTGAAAGTGCCTTTTAACATGCTGAATTTTTTTTTACTGCAATGAACATATATTGAGCTAGTGATATTATTCGGCCTTCATCTATTACCCAATTTCTACGTAGAGTTTGAACCTTCTTAAGAAGGTTAGTTTATGATAGCAGCGGGACGCATGTTGAACCAACTTCTTTAGATGCTGCTGATGCAAAAAGACAGTGGTTTAAATTAAAATTGAAGGAAAAGAACTCGTGCAAAGCCAAACAAAAGATCGTTATGGAAAGTGAATCTGAATGGAATTTACCCAATGCTGATCAAATCAAGCTCATTGCATGTGACGTTGACGGAACATTGTTAGACGCAAACAATAAATTTCATAAACGAAACCATCGAGCTTTACAATATTTACGAAAAAGATATCCTGAGTTACCTATTGTCCTAGCTACAGGCCGACAACGTTCTTCTGTCAATAGTATCCGAGAACCACTGGAATTGGACGTATTCCCATGTATTCATCTAAATGGTTGTGTGATTTATAACAAGGGTGAAATCCTTTCTCAAGTAGGGCTTTCAAAAGAATTGGTGTACTCCATATTTTCTGATGTCAAAGAATATGAAACTACCGCTATCTTGCTTTATGACCACAACAAGGTGTATCTGCTGAAAAATGATTTTGAAAGTGGTAGCATTAAATTTGCACAGGATGCTGGTGAGGACATCGATTTGGCGAAGCCAGTTGATACCATCTTGGAACAGGTCATTTCTAATAAGTTACCAGTAACCAAATTGGCAATTTATGAAAGGAACCCTGAACGATTTAATGAAATTCGAATGCAACTCCTGAAGGACAATCAGAAAGAATATACTCTCACCCAGAGTATGTCTTTTGTACTCGAAGTTATTCCCTCTTCTGTAAACAAGGCGACCGGCTTAACAAACATTTTGACCAAAGTTTACCCTAATATTCACCCGAATGAGGTTTTAAGCTTTGGCGATGCTCAAAATGATGCTTGTATGTTTGATATTACTGGATACTCAGTCGCCATCTGTAATGGCATGCCTGCTGCTATAAAAGCAGCAAAGTATATCTCTCGTCTTCCAAATCATGAAGGTGCAGTCGGCGAAGTGTTAGAACGCATTTACAGAATCCCTCCAAATCACTAAATTTAACTGCTTCGTTATGAAAAGTAAGAAAAGCTATTATTGACTTTTTATTCGTGAATTATAGGTTATTAACCATTTTAAGCAAAACACAAAAGATTTATATTTATATTCATAATCAGCTTTAGTCTCTGTTTTGCAGCCTGTCACTACTTAAGAATTAACTACAAGTTTAATGTTTTTCTGTATTCACGCGTTATACCTAACAAAAATAAAAACAAATTAGGGAATTTTATTAATATCAGCCAATGTGTTATTATAAATATGTATAAAGTAAAGACAAAATCTATCATCGAATAAACTTTTCCATCCCCAGTTAAGATGAAAAACAGTTTAAGCATTATTATCCAAGATAAAAAGTTCATAACATAGAACGATAGTATTAGAAATTGGCAACCAATTTTATAACCATCATTCAAATTTCTTCATAATGCTGGAAAAGATCGGTATCCCATCTTTGCTGGGAAACCAAGTCCTTTTTCAAACTCTTCAAAAAAGTACCAGATCCGCATGCAGTTATTGCACTAGTTTTAGTATAAGATAAATCAAGGTAGTCCTTTATATGTTTTTCTAGATTAGGTTTTCCATCACAATACTGAATCATATTTGAACCATTCGACTGAGACAATAATTGCTCTTTCACCGGATAGCTTGCGGTCAGATGACAGTACATATGGACACAGACCTGACTTTGATTTAAAGAATCTTCTAAAGTTCTCTGAAAGAGCCTAAGTAACTTTAATGATCTACTAGACCACACGAAAGTGAGATGAACCGTATTACCAGGCTTCATAAGGAGATCCCTTAATATAGGTAAGGTATAAGTAATGCCGACACCGCCAGCAGCGAGAAAAACATAAGAATAATTCCTAAAGGGGTTTGAAACTGGTCCGTAAGGTCCATCCAGTAGGACAGTCATTTTCTTAGCTGCTACTGCAGTATCAGATTCATAAAAAGTTTGACTATTGACGCTAGATGATTCCTGGCCAGGCGTTAATTCAGAAACAACGACATCAGCATTGGTATTTGACTTAGCTTTTTCGTTTTCGTCACTTGCCGTAATCTTTATGGAACTCAAATGGTTGGCCAACCGATGAGTAAATCCTTTTCGAACGGCAACTAAAAGCTCTATATATTCGTCCGAAGGACAGCTAGCAAGCGTGAAGGGGTGAATCTGCCAGAAACTAAACCGAGGAATGTTGATATAAACGTGATTTCCTGAAGACCACGGCAAAGAAAAAAAAGAGACTTTGGGTTTTTTTCCGCGCAGATAAATAACGCCGTCTTCTATAATACTCACTTCAAAATTGGCTCTATTGATGAAGCTTCGCAGCATTCTACATCCACGATCGAATACATAACAAGCAATAGCTGCCTTCATATAAGGAATGCATCGCCGATGATGAAAGTATATACATATTATAAAGCCAATGCTACACGCATGATGAAGAATAAAGAACCATTCATAAAACCTGCGTCGGAAAAACGGTAGGGCACTGATAATCATCACAACCATTAATCCCAGAATACCATATCCCCATTTGAATACAGGCCTTACTAAAACACTGCCTCTATGAGCATCTATACCAATGTAGATAAAACCGTGTATAACACCAAGCATAATGGCGAATTGAGATAAGCGACGATGGACATAATTCATCTTTTCATGTGAGGTGAAAAGCATCAAAGCAAATGGATTATTTTTTAGACTGAAAAAATAGGATATAACGTAAAGAGCGGTTGCTAGAAAGCCGCATCTAGCACCTACAGATGATACATTCCAGCTGCCTTTAGCCCGTTTAGGAGGCGTCTCTTTTCCGATGAAAGGAACAGAAATTGCAAAAACGATGGGAACAGCGACCAGTGTTAAGATAACTTTGTGGGTTGTTAAATACAAATAAATGTTTCTTATCGCTAAATATATGCGTTCCAGAGGATTTGAATTGGCCTTACGAGAAACATCACGTTTGTAAGATTTGAGTTTAACCCTTGCTGTCTCTATAACATAAAGACCAGAGAGAGCAATTAAGCACCCCATAATTAAGCATATGGCAATGACTGCCCATTTGTTATGAGAACGAAGCATGATTACCCAATATTTGATATTGATCCTGTGATAACCCAAAACCAAGGTATTGAAGGAAGCCTCTGGCCTTTTAAACGCTTGTATTCTTCAAGCCGTTGAAGAAAAAAAGGTGCCAATCCACATGTTAAATACTTTTTTCCTCTCTCAAAAAGAGGCATTTTCTAGGAATATTTTCGCACATTGTCATTATTTTCTCCACAATAGTTATATCAATGACCAGTTAGGTTTATCAGATGAACCATTTGTCCCGTTTTGCAGTTGAAAATTATCAGATGAGCCGGAACTTTTATCCGATAATTCCCGGCGTGTGGATTTCGGTAACCATGGAAACTTACTCAGTGTACTAAAAAAAAATAACGCTTTGTTAATCAAGAAACCATATAAGCAATATCTGATGATTGTATATGCCGGATATCAACAGAAATGCAAAACAAGACAATTGCGTTATTTTATCTGATCATTTTTAAGTAACTGAATAAGTAATTGAACGAAAGAAGTAAGGTTGCGAAAATCAAACTTGCCGTGATCGAGGGAAAAGTTCATACGATTTTCATGTCAATTCAAAAAGGTCAGTGCGTTTTGCATTGATGAAAAGTGGTCAAAGCGTTCAATACACTATATTAAAGAAAATATCCTTGAGTCCGTAGACTAAGTTTACAACGTAACCCCCCAGGTTTCGGTCAATAGACAATCATCGTCGATAATTTTAGATCTATTAAAATCAATGAAGGAAAGAAGGTTGTGAGGCTACGCAAAAAGATTGACAGTTTTGTCAACAAGTGAAATGGAAATGTAACAAGAAAAGAGACTGCTTTTATTTATATAAAAGAGCAAGTCCGTGACAAATAAAGAATCACAGTAACCAGGTCAGTCATATAATTAAGAATCATTAGATAGCGTTGTATCACTTTTTTTTGTAGCAAGGAAAGAAATGTAGATAAAAAATCCACAAAAAAATTTCAAAAAAATAGACAAATTGGATAATAATTTCTAATTACGCCTGAACTTCAAAAAATTTTCCCACTAAGGAAGTTACGGCCAAGGCTAAAACGCCCAAAACGGTGACTCTGAATATAGCTCGCATTTTGTTAGCACCTCCAATGTGAGCGCCGACCAATCCCAGGAATGCGAGGAAAAACAAAGTTGAAAAAGTCAGAATTATGTTAACATGTTCTACAGGACTTAAAAGAGCGGTTATCAAAGGTAAAATTGCACCTGCTGAAAATGCTGCAGCGGACGAAACGGATGCTTGTAATGGTTTTGCTACGGAATACATGTTGATGCCCAACTCGTCACGAGCATGCGCCTCTAAAGCATCGTGCTCCATTAGCTTGATGGCGACTGTGCGTGCTAAGCCTTGCTCTAAACCTCTAGTAACATAGACATGAGTTAACTCGTCCACCTCTTCATCCCAATGTTGTTCCACCTCTTGTCTCTCCAAATTTAAATCCGCCATCTCTAAATCTGCCTGAGAACTAACAGAAACATATTCGCCAGCAGCCATGGACATGGCGCCAGCAATTAAACCAGAAACCCCTGCTAAGGTGATGCTTCGCCGAGAGGCTTCAGCTGATGATATTCCAATCAATAAACCAGATAAAGATAAAATACCATCGTTTGCACCTAGAACTGCAGCTCTTAACCAGCCGACACTGTCCATCGCATGCGTTTCCTTTGGTTTAGTTTGAAGCCAAGCAAACATTGTTAGCTATAGATGATCGAAATTCAAGCAATATTTTGTTATTTTAGAAAACTAAGATAATAGTTTCTTTACAGTAAACCAGCTTTGAGTGCTTTTGTTAAAAAATAAGCAAGATGCTGCAAGTTGAGGTTGGAAAATCGCCGCTTCAAATGTTTATGACTTGATTGTAAGGTCTAAAATTGGCTATAATCGCTCTTCTTTTAAAAGTTGTTACTCGATATATGTTACTTGAAGAGGGTTTAGAAAATGACTATTGGTTTGGCCTGTAAACAAAAGGAAGGATTTGGTTACTTTTAATTTTTTCGAAAAAGGTTATTTGAAAATTCATTGTTTGTTTACTTACAGCTAGATAGCTTCGAGCTTGCTTACTGTGCAAAGTGATAAATCATTGTTACAGGGATGAAATGTTGTAACCGGGTTTTGGAACAAACGAGTAAACATCAATAAATCATCATTTTGCTTATGCTCCTTTTCTAATGGAAGAAGGAGACAAAAAAAAAACTAAGTTGTCTTCCAAATTTTATTGTTATTATTAATATTTGATTATGATTTGTTTCGAGTTTTCTTCGGTTGCTGTTCTTTCTAAATAGCAAGAAGTGATATCATGTGTAAGCATATATTGATGGCTATCTAATTCAATGACGGCATCTTTAAATCCTGAGAACCACCGTCCAAATCATCCTTGTACTGTGAGAATAAGCTCAAGACCAGTAATAAAAACATCGTTTCCGAGATCAAGTTACGTGACGGCCCATAGTTGTTTCAGTTCTATATATATACACACATTTTATTAACGTAGTTCGTTTAACAACAACTCTGTAAAGACACTGTGTTAGCATTACACCAGTTCCCGTATTCGAAAAAACAAATCATGAAATTATTCGTCACTGGAATTAGTACGGACGTAGGGAAGACAATTGTATCGTCCATTCTCGTAGAATCCCTACAAGCTGATTACTGGAAACCGATTCAATCGGGGGATTTAGAAAATTCGGATTCCCATAAACTCAAAAGACTGATCAGTAACTCAAAAACTCATATTCACCCAAATAGTTATGCCCTAAATACACCAGCTAGTCCCCATGTTGCAGCAAAACTTGACCAAGTTACAATTGATGTAAACTCTATTGTTACGCCAGGAACTGAAAATCCTCATATGGTTATTGAAGGTGCAGGAGGAGTTTTTGTACCTTTGAATGATAAAGACATGATCATTGATATAATTCAACAAGATTATAAAGTTGTTATAGTGTCAAGAAACTATTTAGGAAGCATCAATCACACTTTGTTGACCATTGAAGCTCTTCGGAACAGAAATATTTCCATCGCCGGAATCGTATTTAGTGGAACCGAAAATCCTGAAACGGAAAACTGGATTTTACAATATTCTAAACTTCCTTGTATTGGGCGAGTAAACGAAGAAAATTATTTTGATAGGTCTGCAATCTCCAAATATGCCGACTTGTTTCGTCCCAACATAATGACCCTATGAGGGTGCTTCGCGAGGACTTCTTTAAATAACCTTTACATAGTACTTTATCAAAAGAAAAGTACAAGAAAGATTAGAATATATAAGAGTACAGTCAAAACTACAACTTGTTTCATTGTATCAATATTTGTCCTTTTCTACTTAACTTTCATTTTCATTATCAAATTATCTGCAATAAAAAGTTATAACAAATGAATTTGGTGGAAAAAGACTTGGAATACATCTGGCACCCATACACTCAACACAAAACAGCAAAGCCTCCCATCGTTATTGTCAAAGGTAAGGGAGCTTTATTATGGGATGAAAATGGAAAAGAATATATCGATGCCATTGCTTCATGGTGGGTGAACCCGTTCGGCCATAGCAATAAATACATTGCAGACCAAATATACAAACAATTAACAAGCTTAGAGCATGTTTTGCTTGGAGGGTTTACACACCCGCCTGCGATTACGCTGGCGGAACGACTGTTATCTATTTTGCCCAGGAATCAAAGCAAAGTGTTTTTCTCAGACAATGGTTCTACTTCTGTTGAAGTGGCTATTAAAGCAGCTCTGCAATTTTTCTACAATAAAAATGAAAAGCGAACAACCATTGTAGCTTTCGAGGACGCATTTCATGGTGATACCTTTGCCGCGATGGCTGCAAGTGGAATTTCATTTTATACTTTAGCTTTCCAAGGAATGTTCATCGATGTGGTACGCGTTCCTGTGCCTGTTCCAGGAAAAGAGGAAGAAAGCTACGAAGCTCTTGAGAAAATCCTTACTGAACATAAGTGTGCTGCTTTTATATTTGAGGTTTTGATCCAAGGTGCTGGAGGCATGAAAATGTATGAGCCTGAATGCCTGGACAGACTCATTGAAATCTGTCAAAAGCATCAAGTTTTGACCATCGCTGATGAGGTTATGACCGGTTTCGGAAGAACGGGAAAGTTGTTTGGTTGTGATTATCTAAAAAATCAACCTGATGTTCTATGCTTATCCAAAGCTCTAACGGCTGGTACGATTCCCATGGCTATAACCACGTTTTCCCAAAACGTTTTCGATGGCTTCTACAGCGACGACATAAACAAGGCTCTTTTCCATGGTCACACTTTTACTGGAAACCCTACCGGATGTGCTGCGGCAATGGCAAGTTTGGATTTGTTATTGTCCGAAGAAATGCAGAATAATATTTCTCGCATTCATCGCAGTCATTTAGAATTCCAGAAACGTCTTCAATCCCATCCACGTGTACACACAATTCGTGTACGTGGTGTTATCCTTGCACTCGAGGTTTCATCCCAGCGTCAGGAAAGCTATTACGGTAACCTTAGAAACAATTTATATGACTATTTCCTTAAGAATGGAGTTATGCTACGTCCTATTGGAAACATTGTTTACATCCTACCTCCTTATATTATTACTCAAGAGCAATTGGATATTGTTTATTCTAATATAGAAAAGGCTTTAGAAGAAGTAGTATAAGTTTTGTCACTTAAAACTTATACAAGAGATCAAGTGCTCAATAAATAAGTCGAATCGCTGAAAAATTGTTTATACCTCTTGATTAGTAAATATCCTCTACTTTAATTATTGATAATAAGTATCAAAAATTGACTTTGCGTTCAAATTACGCTAATATATGAAGCAATCATCATCCCCTACAGTTATGGTTAAATTCAGATATAGGCATGGAAAGGAATGGTGAAGTGTAAGGCTTCTTTAAATTTCAATCCTTTTTTTAAACAACATAAAATAAAATCGTAAGATCACCCGAATCAGAGAATAAATGCCTCTTATTTGCCAGGGTTGACTTAAATACAGATTATGAAACAACAGCATGGGTTGAAGTAACTGCATTCCTTTATTACTCTCGAATTTGTTACTTTACTAAAAATGGAATGTTTGTTTCTCGCAATGACAAATACGACACAAATGTACTACAACAGAAAGTATCTTCCATCATCCTACAAAAGATGAAACCGCCTTCTCTAAAGTTAGTAACATTTAATAATAATTAGTAGAGAGTTTTTCTTTGAAACAACGATAAGTTTTCCAGTAAGAACGACTGTAAAAGCCGATTATAAACTACAAATTTTTATAATCTTTGAAAAGGTTATAAATAAAAGCAGGTCTTTTAAAAGACCTGCTTTTGACTACGTAACTGAAGCCATCAATTATATCATAAATATTCGCTAGAGTATTAACCTTAATGAACATATTTTTGGCGGCTGTAAATTACTGAACAAATATAGAAACTTGCTAGATAGAGTCCAAGTTTTTCTTCTATATCTAAAGGGTTTCCAGCTTATGACATTATTGACTACTTTAGTGCCTTAAATTATGAAGTAAAAATATTACCTCCACGAATTGACATTGACATCGCTTGTACAAGGAATACGAGACACCAAAGTAGGGCTGCTTTCATATCATCAAACACATACAACCTTAATCGCTTCATTTTCCGTAGTGTATATCTCGGAATCCTGGGTCTACTTTATGATGTAAAAATGACTTCTACTATATTATGGCCACGCTTGTATATGACACTTGTAACAAAAATTCCACTGCAATATACTGACGTATAGAAAGTTTCCGCTCTGGAATAAATAATATATAAAAACGACATTCGCTGAAAAGGCATAGCACACAGCTTGTACACGTTGAAATACTTTCAGATTACTGCATCGACGTATCAAGGATTATAACATTAAAAGATGAATGAAATACGAAATACCGCTACCAACCTGATGGATAAAAATTTGGGTCGAAATCCCGTTTCAGAAACGTACGGCCAACCAGTTCAGGATCCATCAGGTGCAACCATGAAAGCTGTTGTTTTTGATGGTTCTAAAAGCGTCAAAATTCAGCAAGTACCGAAACCAACAATAACTCACCCGAAAGATGTGATTATTAAAACAACCGCCTGTACCATCTGCTCAGGCTCTGATTCCCACATGTTTTCTGGTGAAATTCCGGGTATTGATAAAGGCGCTGTTCTTGGTCATGAGTCTTGTGGCATAGTTGCTGAACGCGGTCCGGAGGTGAAGGATTTATTTGTAGGCGATAGAGTAGTTATCGCCTTCGATATTGCCTGTGGATCCTGCTCGTTCTGTAAACGACGCGAATTCGTCGCTTGTGACACTACAAATGACAGTAAGATTATGGATGTCAACTACGGTGCACATCACTCTGCAATCTTTGGCTATACCAAGCAGCTGGGAGATGTCCCAGGCTGTCAGGCTGAGTATATCCGCGTTCCCTTTGCCGACGTCAATTGCTATAAGCTCCCAGAAGATATTCCCGATATCAAAGGTTTGTATATGTCAGATGTATTATGTACCTCCTTGCACGCATGTGAGCTCGGGAATGTTAAAGAAGGAAATACAGTTGCAATTTGGGGAATGGGCCCCATCGGATTGTTCGCAGGTCGCTGGGCTCAACTTATAGGTGCAAAACGTGTCATTGGCATTGAATCCGTTCCTGAACGCATCAAAATCGCTTCTTCGCGTTTTGGGTTTGAAGTTATTAACCGAAATGAAGTTAAAGATGTTCCGAAGAAGATTCTTAGCATGATTCCTAACGGACCAGACGTCGCAATTGATGCAACTGGCTTCCGATTTACAACATCCATGCTTCAAAAGGTAGAGCGTGCTGTAGGTTTGGAAACAGATTCATCGGATGTATTACTTGAATGCTTCCAAAGTGTTCGAAAATATGGCAATGTCTCCATCATTGCAGACTATGTGGGAACTAGCAATCAGTTCCCTATTGGACATATCATGATGAAACATCTAACGGTTCGTTCTGGTCAATGTCCTTGCCAGAACTATTTTGATCGAGTTTTAGAAGCTCTAAGATCCGGAAAGATTAATCCAGAATGGATGATCACACATAAAGTGAAGTTTGACGAACTTCCGGATGCTTATGGGAAATTGTTTTACAAAAAAGATGGTTATCTCAAAGTTTTCTGTGAATTGTAAGACGGTAGATACACTTTTAAAATTAGTATAGTATAGGATCAATGATTTTTAATGAATGAATGATTTTTCAAAAACAAAAAACAAAAAAAATTAAGTATATAATTTATGTAATTTTTGAAAACGCAAATAGATGATAAAACCTTTTTATCTGATTATGCTCTTTTATATTATGGTACAAATGGCATACCAGTTGAATCAAAGGAGACAATTAGCATTCTTGAATGTCCACTATCTGAAATGTGATGATGTTGTTTGTTCCACTGTCTCTTAGATATCATCTTGGAAAAGACTCCTGTAGATCCCTTTTGCTTTTGGTACATCTCTATTGCTCGACTTTTCTGTTCCGCAACCTCGTCCGGATTTAAAAAAAAGACATGAATCTTTCTTTGGTGAAAAAAGTTCTTGTTCCATAATTCAATAAACCCCCGAACCACAGGGAAACGGACATTATCAACGTATTTTTCAATGTAGTAGCTGATAATGAATCGAGAAACTCCAAGGGATACTAAACCTACAAGACTACCAGATCCTAGAAGAGCAACTTCACTAAAGGAACATGCCATGTTTATATCGTGTATGAACGACTTCCAATCTTCATCGCTAACATCATGCTTCGAAAGGTCATCTGGAAAATAGACCAAGGGAAAGCCTTTTGTGACTTCCGAGCTCCGAGAATGGACACAAATAGGTGGGAATTGTGCATATAAAGCCTTTGTAGAAGCTGGTTTCGAAAACGATATCGGTAAACCCAATGTTCTTGCCTTCGTCTTTAATGAACGATTGATAATTCCATGAAACATATTTACATAAACATTCGTAGTAATGAAATTTGTATTTGAGATAGCTTTCTCATCAGCTTTCGTTACATTTCTGATAGACGGCGTAAAAATCGATATTGTACAAGGACCTTCCATTTTCGGACTTGTTATGGGCTTTATACCCTCGAATTCTTCAGGTACATTTTCCTTGGTTTCATTTTCTTTTAGATTTACTCGGGACCCCATTGAAGTTATGCATTCGTTTGCTACATGTAGAGCGAATGTACCTGTCTGCTTGTTACGTATGGCTATTGGCTAAAGGCAAGAACAAACCAAGCTACTCGTAAAATTAGTGTAAGCTAAAAGCGACTTCATACTTTTCTTCTTTTTAATTATATTTTTCTAGAATCCATTTCTATATAGTATTAAATCATAAAAATCATTTATCTGCAAGAAAACAATGTGTATAAGTTAGCTATTGAAGATTAATATACAATCTTTATATTTTTGTCATTTAAACGTGAAAATGCCCTTTCAAAGATCTGAAAGTAATGATCGTATAGTTTCAATATTAGTTTCCACTATCATAAAATGTTAGTAAGTATCCTTGTACCTTAAAACTTTGTCGAAATAAACATACATATTTGCCATGGATAAGCCTCTAATAACCGCAAGGTCATATGAAGAATGGCTTGTGTTTTGCTATATATAGTACCGGCATCATTGCTTCCATCTTCGTATAATAATTGCCGCATCTTTGTAATGTATGTGATACTTTGTGAGCGGTAGTTTTTTGTAAAATCAACTTTAGTGCTTTGTTTATCCTTCGAATACCCAAAGCTCCATAAAATGAGAGCAGCAATGTAAAACGACCAGGGATAATAGAGAAGAGTAGTAAACGGTGCGTTTGCATTTAAATCCTCGTGAAGCATCATTTCCATCACATCAATAGCATGACAGATGGATATTTTAGCATTCTCAGTGTTCGCCCAAAGATTTATGTATTTTATTGGAACACTACATTTCATAGATTCGAATTCCTTGTACTTGGCGGAAATAGAGTTAGCGTACGATTGAATATAAGTGAGCTTAGTCTTTGAGTAAAAAGCTGCCAGATGATAAAGTGCAAAACATTCCTTGACAAACGGATGCTTGGCTGGAAGTGTTCCAGTTTGAATGAATTCTTCATGGAACTTTAAATACCACCGTTTATAAGTTTCGTATATTATATTGCACCAATTATCAATCTCACGTTTGCTCAGTTTCAGTCCTGGAACTACACAAAAGTTAGAAGACATCCTTCATAGAGCTATGCATACCGAACTTCTTCTGTTTTACAGAAACATCAACAGATACCAAACCATGTAAAATCAATAGCATGTTCCAAGGGGATACAGTAAATGATATCCTTTCATTTTGAATAAAGGCTTTCAGCATATGTAAAATTGTTGGCGGTTCGTCTAGTGGCTTTTGAGTTGCCCAGACCTCAAAGTTTTCTGCTTCCCAGTGATGTTCATCAGCAAACAATGGCAATGAAACATCCGTTACACATAGCAAAGGCTGATTTCCAAAAATTAATACGCATATAGCGTCCAAGGAAAAACAACCAAAAATAAGACTAAACCAAAAATTAGTTAATAAGAATTCATTGCATATTTATATACCGTTTGACAGACTCCCTGGTAATCCATTTATGCCAGTATTGCAAAGAGGAATTTGAATCATTATCACTAAAGGTTTCCGAGTGAACAGTTAAAGCTTCTTCTGGATTTGCCTGACGCAAAGCCTGAAAAGGTTAGTCTTAATTATTGTTGTAAGCCTTACCTCAATTAGCACGGGATGAAATAGTTGAGATAAGCGGTGTTGTTGGATAGTACTTGTTAGCATTTCAAAAATTTGAATTAGCAACAGCATTTGATAGACCCACAGAGGTATAGGTGGAACAAACTCTTCCTTTTCATAAACGCAAAAGCGAAGCTTTGAATGAATTTCAATAGCAAGAAGACGATCAGTAGGATTATTCGTAAAATGCATGCCTAACGTAATCATAGCTAAAAGCAATTCTAAAGGAGTTTGGGATATCTGAAAAGTACCTCTGTGCAATATTGGCCAACGAATATGAAAATAAGAAAAATAGGCATTCACCCATACACCAATAGACTCTGGAGTGACCATGGCTAAATAATCAGTAGATAGCATGTGATGAGTCTAAAATAGGTTATTGATCAGTTCATAGTGGTATTAGTTGACATACTTTCAAGTACCCCAAAAGATTCACATGCACAAATGTAGGGCACTTTTGAGCTACGTACATAGGACCCTTCGAAAACGGTTAGCGTTGAATCTTAATAGTATAAAAGTTCCGATAACTTACAGTAGCCGTAAAATAATAATTTAAGAATGTCCTATTCGGATTAGGAAAGGTATCATCTTGATTGAAAGTGGAATCAACTGGTGATTGTAATGGAGACGAAGATTCGAATCGTTGTCTTTTCTTACTTTTACCAGAGGAGAAGAACCACCGCAAATTATCATCCATCGTTTTTGCGGAACTAGCAAATGATCTATTTTTCAAAACACATAGAGAGTCGTGAAAAAGATCCAAGCGAGTGCAGCCATCAGGAGTTGAATCCAACTGGAAAAACTCTTCATAGGGAGAAAATGTAGTACGGGAATTAGAAATTAGAGAAGGATCCATTTGTTGGGGCATAGAAGGCGGTCCTTGAGTAGGGGCTTTCACGGTAAATGAAGATGGAGGAGGCGACGAAAAAGAGGCCAAATCGACGTTTAAACTACGATTCGCATGATCATGGAAGAAGTTAGCATCAGAATTATTAACTAAAAGATCAGATTTGTCAAAGACTTTCGAAGGAGAGGATGGAAGATCTTGGGTTGAAACGATAGAAGAAGTAGCTGAGGGATTCACTTGTCCAGGACCACTTGCAAGTGGGTTTGCCTGAGAAGACTGCATCATATTCGCAGATACTTGAACAAGATTTGGGTTCACAGGAAGATTGCGAGAGGTATTCGGTGTTATGCCATGAAAATCCTTAGAAAAAATATGTGAGGAAGAAGTAGAAGGAAGCACTAAAATTAAAGGTTAGATCAGTGTAATGAAGAGCGCTCAATCGGGAAATGTCTAAAACACTCTTGTAGTTCTACCAAACATTAGCAACACAACAGGGTATCCTAAAAACAGAGACCATGTTTTGAGCTTCCACTTCCCAACATACAGTTTTCATAAAGGCCTTGTTTTTGTATATGCATTTGTTGTACATGACGGTGTAGGACATCGCTTCTTGCAAATGCACGTTGACAAAACGAGCAAGTAAATGTTTTTAAATTTTCGTCTAATTGAGTGCATGTAAGCCTTGTATACGCATATATAAAGTAGCAAACTACATACGAGTTCGTTCATGGCGCCGCAAATGTTCCTTTCTCGTGAACGACTTTGGGCAATCAAGATAAGTGCAATAAAACCTTGGATCTCCGATTTGGTGAGCCCGTGAGCGCTTCCTAGAAGGTTTTCCGACAAAAGAATCCTCGTTGGACATTATTCTTAATCCTCCTTTCCGTATAATACCATCCACCCAGATGTTGTTGGTAGAATGTGGGGGCAGAATTCTTGTTGTTGCTATACCTCGTTATATGATCACTTTTGGTGGTAAGTTTTCAAAAAGGGAAGGGAGCTTGAACAATTTACTATAGATTAGAAGACGCGTATTTATTCCTTTGGTTTCAATCCAATTAAATACGTTAACGCTTTGCTGTAAAAGAGCCCAATAAGGCAATAAAAATAAAGGGCGAGCAAAACACTGCTTCGGCCGGGAATCGAACCCGGGTCGCTTCGATGGCAACGAAGCATTATACCACTAAACCACCAAAGCAATTTCATAATACAATTATATAATAATAAAGATATATAAATGTCTTTTCTGAAGCAAGCGAACATTCATTATAATGGCTGAATATTTTCGAAATTCCCGGTTTCATTCATCATTCATCGACGCAATAGACAAGGTACTCAGTCAGTGCGATCAGGTATCTGAAACCTTGTCCTTTATGGAGAAACACATTTTAATTTCCAAGCGATTATTATTTCTTTGGTAAACAAGGCGAAGGGGTTAATATTCTGTAGAGATTTGTTGCATTAGGGTTTCAATGCATTTTAATTTCTTTCGCTATTTGAGCAATAGCGTATTGTGTCTAAAGTTTCTTTAGATTTGCGTAGTGTAAGAAGTACGTTATTTTGCTTTATTTGTTCAGGCTGGAAAACTTTTTTAGCGTAAACAAACATTTTTTGTTATATATAAGGATCTAGCGGCTTTTTGCTCTTTGCTTTTTGCTTTTTCAGCTTTTCCAAGATCTATCCCTTTCAAGAATCGTTCCTTAAAAAGTTCGTTGTATTTTCGCAACGGTTTGCAGGCTCTGTGAGTAATTTACATCCCTTTAGGATTTTACCTTCAAGAATCATGACATTTGAGACTTATCATCTGGTCTATTCACCCGTTGTTGTCTTTGGCCCTTCTGGAGTTGGCAAATCAACCTTACTTAAGCGTCTTTTGTCGCTACACGGAGACAAGCTCGGTTTTAGTGTATCGCATACTACTAGAGCCCCTCGTCCTGGTGAGCAAGCAGGTATAGACTACCATTATGTTAGCAAGGATGAATTTCGAAGACTAGTCTCTGAAAATAAGTTTGTCGAATGGGCTGAGTTTTCCGGAAATATGTACGGTACTTCCATTATGGCCATAAAAGATCTCGAAAAGGGAAACAAAAAAGCTATTTTGGACATTGATTTACAGGGTGTTTTGCAGGTGAAGAAGAGTGCCATTAAGGCACGTTATGCTTTTTTGGCACCTCCCAGTCTTGAGCAATTAGAGGCTCGCTTGCGTGGTCGTGGCACTGAAAGTGAAGAGTCTGTTTTAATGCGTTTAGAACGTGCTTTTAAAGAAATTGAATATAGCAAAGAGCCAGGCAACTTTGAGGCCCTTATTGTTAATGATGACCTAGAAAAGGCATACAAGGAGCTCGAGGAATTTTGCCTTTCTGATTCCTAAACGAAAATAGAATAATTATCTTGAATCTTACCTCTGTTTTTCATAAAGAGGATTTATTATTAAAAGCATCGGTTGATGGGATAATTTCTTTGCATACACAAGGTATTGACTAATTGCCTAAAAATAATTTAATTTGGTTTCTTCCTTTCTTTAGTCTTTCGTGATTTTTCAGTAAACATTTTTATTTATAAAAGCCTAAAACATATAAAACAACAAACTAATGAAAGCATAACGTGATATCTGGTTCTTTTCCATATCTCTTTATGGGAGTATAAATATATGACTAATGTATTTTCACCCTTCTTCAATCGCCAACTATACATTCATAACGTTTTCATCCTTTTCATCCTTTTGAGAGCTGCTTCTATGAATTCTAGATGGAATATTTCCTTCTTCATCTTCAATTATGGCCCATACGGATGCGCCCAAAAGCAAAAAAGCAGACAAAAACGTGAGAAATCCAGCACCACCTCGATCTGCTTCCGTCGCTGGAGGTACATTTACTTCATAGTTTTTTGTACTTGAGTTGTCAGAAGCATACGTAGCATTTGAACGATTGTCTGACGAAGACGACAAGGTAACAATGCTTGGATATTTGTCAACATAAAGCATTTGAACAGCTTCTAGAGCAGAAAACTGTTGACCGACGCCATATGTGCCGTCCCAAGTACCATTGTTCCAAGACCAGTGGACACCACAACTGCTACCACTATATCCGCCAGAACAAGCCAAAGCCGCAGCGGGTGCTGAAGTTTTTATCAAAGGATATAGTTTGTTTCTAGTATAAGGAGCCAGACGTATAGCATTTCCAAAACTCTGCATTAATATTCCTTTAAAAGCTGTTTGGTCAATGTTACATGTGTTAGACGTTTCACATTGTGGATCCCATGCTACGCCATCTTTTGTAAAAGATGATATAGCATGAGAGATAAACCCATCCAGTCTATTCTTCCATAGATCGCTTCCTTGAGTATGGTTGTACATGTAGGCGGCACCAGTCATGTATACACCGAGATTATAAGACCACTGAGAATGATCTATATCTGTACAGTTCGTCGCAACGCTTGAACCATCATACACACTAAAGTCTGTTTCATTGACGAAGCCACTGGATGTTGACCAGTCCCAAACGCGATGGACCCAGTCTTCATATGAGGACTCGTGAGTAAAACGGGCCAATCGGGCAGCCAATTGAAATAGTAATCCATTACTAATACTGCTCTTATAAGAATAGCCGCTCAACCAAGGAAACGCTTGCCAACGTAATCCACCTTCGCAGTTTACATTGTCCCATCTACCAGACATGCGATTGAACGCTGCTTGGCTTAATTCAAGCCAAGAAGCTGTTGAACTCTTTACTTGCTTCAAATCCAACTCCGCAGCATCCATTGCTGCAGTACCCCAAATTCCTTGGTCATCATTTCCTAAATTGAAGTATTCGTCAGACGGCTGATAGTCATGATCACTACCAGCGTTATAGAGTAAGGATTCAGATACTAAATCTGTATATGTATTATTACCAAATAATATATCATTGTTTAGGAGAGCAGTCATTGATGCACCAGTAACCCACCAATATGATGCGACAAATTTATAATCAGAACCATTCCAGTAATTCATCAGCTCTCCAGTCATGCTGCTTACAGCGTTTCGCACCGAATCTAAATCAACAGTTAACAACCGTTTAGATGTTTATGCCAGTCACTAAGAACTATGGCTACTTACCATCATCATTAATATCCAGTTGAATAGCCTGAGCTTGGAAAAAAGCAAGGTAAATAGATATAACGTAAAGGATAGAAAACAAAAAAGGATATTTCATTTCTAGGTAAATGACCGAAGATGGAATAAATACAAACGAAAGCAAAAGATAAACTCACTGAACAAACAGAAAAAGTAAATGAGAATCGTGGTAATTTAGAGAAAATCAAATAGAACAAAATCAATAACTTAATCAGTTATTTACAGCTCTGTTTACCTCGAATTCATGGAAATGACCGTAAATTCTAATATGAGCTCAATTTAAGAAGTTGTCAACGAAAGTAATGGTTATATAATCTTTTAATATATAAAATCATAAATTTCGTTGAATAAAATTGTTTTTTTTATGAATAGGTGCCTCAATTGCTGTTTTTAAAGAATTTGCAAAGGATGGTTGAAGGCAACAACCAGGAAGGAAGTAAACAAGTTTGCTCAAAATTCGCACCTCCAGTAGATTGCGTCAATAAGTAAAAGAAATATTTTCCTCCTCAAAATCAAAACAAAATAAATAGAATTATTCATTTGTTTTTCTTTTTTTTTTAAAAAAAAAGAGCCAAGCAGTTTAGAAATCGTAGAGCATAAAGTTTTGTAATCGGTTTGTTCAGTGAGCACAGCATGCCAAACCAACAAGTAAAAGAAAATGATAAGAATATAGGCAAATGCATGAATTTATGAGAGTGCATCACGATCGAATGCTTATACAATTTTCGCGAGACAAATTTACGTTTCAACTTTCGAATGAAGAACTTTACATGAAATTTAATTGAATCATAAATTGAATAACCGTGCATACAACGGACACTCTACCATAGTAGATCCAAAGGGATTTCAAGCAAAATTCAAACAAAAAACAAAACACAGTAAAAAAAGGGGGAAATTTGAGTATGTAAACGAACTGCATGTATAACATAACGTAAATAGGGTAGAAAAAGATGCTCATATAAATAAAATGAAAATGAACGACAAAAAACAGTAGCTAACATCAATAGCAATGAAAAAGGAATCTGAGAAAAAAGAGAGGACGATAGTAAGCACTGTCAATTTCAGGAATGATTCTTGATATTAAAAGAACAACCATATAGAAAATAATAGGAAAATGAGTGAAAAGAACGCTGTTAAAAAGCCTGCCCAGCCTTTATCACTTTTCGTGGCAGCAGGAACAGAATAGTTTACTTGCGTATCTTGCCCGGCACTTGGATTGGATTTTGAGCGTGCGCCTGTGTCAAGAGACAAAAGAGTAGTGTATTGAGGAGTTAAGACTGACTGGATCACCTCCAATGCCGAAAGCTGTTCACCGAGCCCATAATTATTATCCCATGTACCATTGTTCCAAGTCCACCTGTTTCCACAAGTGACAGCATCATAACCACCACTACAAGCCTTAGCAGCAGCTTTGGCGCTTGCATGGAGATAGGACATGATTGTTTCACTGGTGTATGGAGCAAGCTGCATGGTATAACTAAGATAACGAGCAAGCATACCTTTAAAAGCGGTTTGGTCATAGTTGCAAGAGTTTGACGTCTCACAAGAAGGCTCGTAAATAATTTTATCTTCATTGAAAAAGTGTGTCAGTGAACGATTCAGAAGTCCGTCCAAGTGGTCTTTCCATTCAGAAGTTCCATTTGTGTAATTGTACAGAAAGGCGGTACCAGCAAGGTAGACACCTGTTGTATAGGACCATTGTTCATTTGTAACAGTGCTACAATTTGAAGCAGTGTTTGAGCCATCATATACTGCATATGAATCCAAGTCGACAAAACCGACGCCTACGGACCAATCCCAGACTTTTCGCGCCAAGTCCACGTAGGTATCATTGTGCGTGTAGCGGGCAAGGCGAGCAGCCAATTGGAAAAGAGCGCCATTACTGATGGTATTTTTGTAGTCGTATCCTTGGTTAAATGTATAAATTTGCCAACGAATGCCACCATTACAAGTAGAATTATCCCATCGAGATGACATTTCGTTCAGCACTGCCTGTGCAAGGGCAGCCCACGATGTTTCCGTTTCATTATCATTAAAATTGATCTCAGCTGCTGACATTCCGGTCAAGCCCCAAATGCCCTGATCGTCGTTACCGAGGTCAAACTTCTCGCTGTTTGGGGCGAAATCATTATTTTCACCCTTGTTCGCCAAAAGGGCATCGGTAATTAGCTTCATATTGGTGCTATTCTTTGTTCCAGAATATGTATTTAGCATGCCATTAAGAGAAGAACCTGTCATCCACCAATATGCAGTAAATGTATGAGACGAAGGATTATAATAATTCAGCATTCCTTTCGTTACTGTATCGATACCGTTATAAACAGAGTCTAATATAGTGTTAGCAACGGGTTTGCAACCTTCGAGTAGATGCTTTTAAAAAAAAACGAACCTCTATCATCAGGATTCAAATCGAAACCAGAAATACTCTTGAAAAGAAAGAAAAGTATCCAAAAATAAGAAGAAAATTTCATGATAAAAATATTAGCCGTAAAAGGCTTCCTAAAAGATAGTTTTCTTTGAAGATTAAGGATGCGAAAACTTAATTGAGAGTTGGTTTCTGGCAGCCGTATTGTTTACATGGCTTTTCTACAAGGCGCAGTACAACTTTACCGAGATTGCTTACGATCTTTAATGTATAATAAGCTATAGGTAACTAAAGTTCGGTACACTATGTTACGTTATATGGAAAATGATTTTCTATCATTTTTCGTATATTTATTTGTTTGTAAACAACAATGAACACGAATGTAAGGATTGATTGTATCAGCATGCCTTTTATCTGTTTGACGATTCTTGTGCTTACGGGAAAGGGGATCCAATATATTTGATGATCTTAAGCTTAATGGTTTTTTTCCTTCGAATGAATTTGAAGGTTATATATCCACCGATAATTTCATCAAACAACCATAATAAGAACTATCATTTACGAAACAAAAAGGTTATCCATAGCTACATTCACTCTAACTGTAAATCTACAATGATACTCATGCATGAACGTTGTTCCATTTTTATTTATCCAAAAGTGAATTCGAGTAGAGAAGAGAAGGTTGATGTCGCTACCACTAGGGTTGAAAGGCCTCGCTTTTCATACATTCGAAGAAGCAAGATTGAACTATGTTAAATTAACAGATTAAATTGTATCGTATTTGATTGACTCTCTCATATGTTTTAATATACAAAGCATTTTTTTAGCAATTGCGATATTACTTACGATGCATAGGCTGTGAATGGAAAACATACCTTCGGATGAACCGATATATATGCCCATTCGTAATATCTTACATTATAAAATTTATAAAATATGGGTACACATTTTAAACCAAAGTATTTGATAATTGCATTATAAAGCAGTCTAGTACCCTTATTTGATACTTTATTTTGTATGGATGGTTTTGGCGTTAGTAAACCTAGCGTTACGTTAAGTAGTATAACAGATGTGTTACGCAATCTCAAAAAACATTAAGAATGGGAAAACAGTATTCGTTATCCAGGTTGGCAAAATCTCACTCAAGTAGTAAGACTGCCAACTTTCAACTCTACTTGACTTATTTATTGCTTTTTCAATAAGGAGCATAAAATGAGCGAGGAAAAACCGACAATTCGTACGGAGGATGATGACCGTTATGAGGATGATACCGGAGATTTGGATCTAGGCCAGATTGGCTCTCGAGTTTGGTTAGTAAAGGTTCCGAGGTTTCTTATGCAGAAATGGGACGCCATTCCTGATGATGAAAATGAAAACCTTGGATGTGTACGTGTGAAAAATGATGAGATTCAACTTTTACTCCATAACAAGCCGGAAAACGCCGATGTTCCTAAAAACTACAACTTGAAAGTAATGAACAAATTCGTTAGAAACTCTTATGTCTTTAGAGAATCGGAGTCATCATCTAGTAACACGAAAAACACTGCATTGGTCGGTACAGTTGCCCATGAATGTAATGTGACTCCAGTTATCAATGATGATTATCGACGCGTTATGCAAAAAAGAGCTTTGGCTGCCAGTGCTCCTAAGCGCAAAGTTCAAATGATTGATGATAGAGGTGCTAGCCTCCTTGCCCCTGGAACGCTGGGTGCTCGCAATAGAAACACTACATCATTTATTGTAAGTGTTTTCTTTTTATTTTTTTATTATCTAATCCTACTTGTAAACCGATTATTAACCCTTCTTTAGCGTAATGTTAAACCAAGAACTGGCGAGGGCCTAAAGAACTCACGTATTCCCAGAAACGAGCTATTAGATATTCTTTTCAAATGCTTTGAAGATTATGAATATTGGACTTTGAAGGGTCTTCGTGAATACGTTAAGCAACCTGAGGTAAGTCATTGCTTCTATCCACATTATTTATTACGCTAAGTGAAATGTACGAGAAACTAATTGAATGTGAAGGTTTATTTGAAGGAGGTTCTTGATAGCATAGCTATATTGAATAAACGCGGGCCTTATGCGTTAAAGTATAGCTTGAAGCCTGAGTATAAAGGAACAATGGATGCTGCCACGAGAGAACTTTTGAATCAACAAGTATCTCAATCGGATTCATTTCAACAGCCGAATGCAGACAAGGGTTCTGCCTCTCCAATTGGCCCTTCCTCATCCGCAAGTGATGCCAACAAAGATGGAGACAACGATGATGAGGTTGAAATGATTGATATTCTATAAGTTAACGAATTAATGAACTTTCTTGTTTTGGTTTTTTGTTGAAAAGCTTCCAAAATCTCAATGTTTCATCACCTGCTCCTGTAACGATAGACTGGCCATCAGGGCTCATAGACAAATGAAGCACACGGTTTGTGTGTCCAGTAAGATTAACAACGTTTGAAAGTGTTGGATACTTCCATAGTGAAACCTGATTTTTGGCATAGCCATGAGTAGTAACAATTTCATTCGACGTCTTAGACCATGCCAAATTGCATACTTGGGATCCTGTATCCAGCCGATTTTGCAGCTTTCCTGTTAATGTATTATGTATCATTAAGGATCTGTCGACTGTTCCTCCTCCACTTGCCAAAATTCCTCGTTGGTGAGGGCTCCACCCAATTGCTTTGACAGCGGCACTATGCTCCAAGAATGTATGCAGTGGTCTTGTGGTTCGATAGTCCCATACAACGAGTTTGTTGTCATTTCCGCCAGATGCCAATTGACCTAGGTTGCTTTCCCATTGAAGACCACAAATTTCTTGGTCATGTCCTTTAACTTTCAGATAACATTCAGATTGACGCAGGTCATGATGTGCTAGCATTTCATCTTTTCCACCACTTGTTAAAGTATTACCATTGGACGCTAATGCTGCTACTCTTTTGGAGTGGCCGCGTAAACTCCTTATGGGTTTGGTACATTCCGTGTCCCAGATGTGAATAAATCCTGAATCTGTTCCAACGGCGATATTAGTTCCTATTCCAGTCCACAAAACACTAGTCACATTGTTTGCTTCCCCAAAGTCATGGAGTTTCACCACTTTACCACTGTTGGCTGACCACAAATATACACTGCTCGCCAGACCCACTGCTAATATGTTTGATCTTCCCCAACTAAGCAAGTTAAGATAAAAGTCATCTTCCAAGTAAGGGGCATCCAAAACTTTGTATGGAGCTTTAGGAAATACTCTTTTAGGTTTTGGAGGACGAAGCAAGAGGTCTTGTGATTGAGGTGAGATGGGAGATAATGAGTACGAATTCCTTGTGGGAATGTCAAAGTAACTTTTTTCTGACTTCTCTTTGAGGTCTCCGTAGCGAAAGGTTCTTGAGGCTACCTGTTTATTTCCAAATAGTTCGATACTTAGAAGCTCCATAAATTGCCGTTGAACTGATTACATTAGCACTGAAGCAAAGGATTGTTCTATATTTATGTTCACTTACCACTTCCGGAACTCTTACGTCGTAAAGATGTTCCTTCACTTATTGTCTTCCGAATCGATTCAAAACTAATATCAAACTCATTGCTGACGTTGCGTATGGGGATGAATCTATCGCCCATCTTCGATTAATTCTCGCAGCGTTGGTCAAGGATAAAAGAAAAAGAACTTTGAAAAGACTCTAAGTTTATCCACATGTTTTGTTTGTTTTCCCTAAGCTATATGCTTTATTTTTGTTTACATGCATTGAGAAACAACGAGTTATATTTACTATCAAAAGATGAAAACCCAATTATTTATAAATAAAAATAAACAAACAAATATTATGACACAGATCAAGCAATTTGTTTGAATATATCTTGTTTTTGGAACCTGATTTTGTGAAAGAATGATTTCATGTCTATAGCATTAAGTGAAGAAAATGTTCCTCTATTTTGACTCTAAATTAGACGTTAGTACGAAGCAAAGTCTAAGCTTGTTAAGATACCTTTTCTTGAGCAAGTGCTTTGAGGCTGTTTTGAAATTGATCGAGATCCATTGAGTTAAAAAGTTGGTCTTCAACTAAACCAAGTGAACACTCTAAAATTTCGGTTTGCGTTTCTCCATTATCTTGCTGGGATATGCAATGAACACGAGAAAAGTCGACTTCTGTAATTTTCGTTAAGTAATCGCAGATGTTCTCAATTTGTATTGCAAATCTCGACTTGTATTCATGCGAATTTGATTGCTGGATAAGAAAATGACCTTTGTCAGAAGTGAAAAAATTACGGAAAGAAGTAGCTGAGACTCCACCGTGCGTCCACAGGTAAACCTTTCCCTGTATAAAGGATAAATAAATACCATTAACTTTCATACATCGACTTGAAGCAGCAGTAGGCTCCGGAATATTCAATTGACAATTTGGATCGTTAAATCCTGATTTAAAGCCCATATTGTGAAGAGGAATGATAACAGGATAGATCATCATGCAAATGACTTTAACATGTCCTGTTTTTATTTTGAAGTTGAAAAAAGTATTCCTACCTGCTTTCGATGGATTGCTAATAAAAACTCTTGATTTCATCAATGCCATCATATACGACGGAAAACTTTTCAAGTTTTCTGGCAAATATCCGTATATCTCGGAATCTGGACCTCGTTGACTACCATATTCAACCAGAAGGTCTACTATCCTTTTGCAAAACCAGTTTTGAAGATTTATAAGATTTTGGTTAGTTGAGATATACGCAGCTAATGGTTAGTAAAGGTTTTTAAATAAGTTGACTTACCGTGTTTTGCCATGCTAGCTACTAAAGTTTCACAATCTGCTTTAGAAAAAACGTCCTTTTTGGATGAAACAATGGGTAACCGTATATGATGGCATCTTACTCTCTCTGAGTTTTCAACTGTTCTGTAGAAAGTGAGAACTTGGATAGAAGCAGTTTGACTTAGTATACTAGCGGTTTGTTGTATTTCAAAATAAATAGCGGTTTCTGAATTAATTGCAGAAATGATTAGCGTGTTGTCCTTCGGATAATCACTAACTTTTCCTGCTTTAATTTGCTTAACCCGGAGACCTTTTGAAGAAGAAACCTTGATTTTGACGTGGGTACCAATAAATCCACTCAGAGATTCTAATACATCCCCTTTTAAGGTTGACTGTGCCGAACTACTAGTCAGATAGAAGAAGTAATTTCCGCCAGTTTTTAGACATAATTGTTCGATCAAGTCGTCGTATATTTCCGAGTCGTTTTCCAACACAAATAGGTCTATTGAGATTCCATGTTCAATTAAGTGCTGTGTATACAACTGCAACGATTGCTGCCTTCTTCGGTTCTCTAGCAATGATAAATGCTCTATATAATTCATTAGCATTTTTGTATGCACAAGTAACTTGCCTTTTCGCATAGCGTTGTCCAATCCAAGGATATGTATCTTTCCTTGCCTTTCTTCCAAGAGTTTAGCTGCAACTTTCACAGCGCTAAATAAAGCATTGCAGCCGTTGGTCTTGTCATTCAAACTTTTTTGAATGTGACTTAAGATACGAACTATGTCTAACTCATTTTGGCTTGGATCGATGGAAGTATCATAATGGAATACCATTTCATCCTCTTCCAGATCAGCCAAAACAGTTTCGTTTACCCATTGATTCTAAATAGGTTAGTAAAGTCAATTCTGTACATTAGGACACTTACGGATAAACGATAAAAGTGTAAAGCATTATCATAACCAATGAAGAGAATCCTAGACTTTGGAAATTTGGCTTTATATTTATCGCTTGTTAGCGTGAAGTTGATAGCTTCAACAATATTCCGTTTAAATCCGGTATTAGCGGATGTACGAGATATGTCAATTAGAAATATGTTCAAAAATGAACTTTCAGCTGAAGCTTCTTTTAGCAAAGCATCAAATGATGGTTTCATCAGGTTGCTTGTTGTAAGTTTTTCTTTTTCCATCAACACTCCTTGAAGGATACAGCCAAAATCATCTGTTATATTGTTGCAGGTATCGCAAAATTCGCACTTCCATTGTGATCCGCTGAAAATTGCATTGCTGTGGAAACTAAAGTAAGCACCGCAAATCGTGCAATATGGAATTGATAATTCTTTTCCATCTTCCCAATTGTACACGCAGTCAGGATTATTGACTGAAAAGGGATGTGCGATCAAGGAGAAAGGCAGGCTAGAAGGAATTTGATTAGCGTTTCTTGGGACAGTCCTGTATACTGAGCGAAGAAAGCAAGGATCCGTTGAATCCTTTAAGAAAAAAGTATAGTCGGTCAAAACAGTAGGAACGCAATCACTTGCAACCGGGTCGTATGGAACTTTGGAAAAAGAATTGCGGTTTTCCAGACGCTCAGATAAAATAGGATTGTATTTCCCTACAACAAGCTCACTAAGCTCGCTCTCGCTGGTACTGGAAGAGATTGATTTAGTTATCCATTCATCGTCCAAATGGGTATAGAAAGGACTTGGAATTGCACCTTCATCAGAACTATTTCGCGAAGAACAATTAGAGGAACATGATAAAGGTCCGCTCATAGAAAAGATCATCTTCAAAAAGAAATCACCAAAAAAAATCAGGACTCAAAATCTGAGCTGCCAGGAGCTAATACCTTAGTCTGGCTTGCCAGATACAGGCAACCAAGAAAAGCTGTGCAAAGAGACTTTTCAGAGAAGAAATTCAGAAAGTAACTTTTCTGTAGGTCTTCTTCGTACAGCTTTTTCAAGTTGGGTGTTGTAAAGTCAGTATGACTGTGTTTATTTACATATAGTAAATGTTGTTATGCCCGAGAACTGACTTAAGTAAAAACAAAAGAAGAAGATACATCTAAATTACATGTTTATTTTGTTTAAGAAGCTCTTCAGAGTACAAAATAAACATAATCCTTACCAATAAAAACTTGTGCCTATAATGGTAACGTATTTTGTGTACTCATCTTATTTGAATGAACTACTGACATAATCAGAATTAAATATATAAAAGATATTCTGCAAGAAAAATCAATCAAACATTATAACGTTGGCCTTCTTGTAAAACTTATATTATTACATGGACACGCAGAAAAGCATATGAATTAATAACTACATTTCCCCTAAAAAAACAAATAGATAGTAGTTTTCTTATTATAAAGCCAGTTTCAAGAGAAACCTAAAATGTACGAAGTATATAAACAAACGCTCTTGTTTTCTAAAACATGTTTGACTACCATATAGTGTAGTGCACGGAGTCATTATTCGTTTCTTGGAAGTCACCACCAAAGACTGCAAGTTGTGTCTGACCCTTCCTTTTTCGGCCATATCTTTGTTTGGCAAATAAGGCTGTGTTTTAGAAATTATAGCTAATTTATTTTAATTAATACCTTAATAGTCGCTCTAGTTTTGATAAGGTTTGGGGTTTCTAAATGAATAGTTCAGTGCTGGATCCGGAACTTCAAATGCCCGAGTTTCTTGGGGTAAAGTCACTAGAACGAACCAGAAAACGGAAAGGAAATTTTGATGATACTTTTTCTTTAAACAAGGAATTAAATCAATCTGCCTCAGAATTGTCGGAGTCACCAGAAGGGTTGAGTTCTCTTAACCCTGCAAAGGAAGTTCGAAGAGATGATCGCAGTTTTGAAGCACTGATGTCCTTACAAACTGGCAGTCCGAGCATAAATTCGTCCAACCAGGCAGTCCCAATGAGTGCTATAACGACAACGAATATTCCACTAGCGGCCGATGATTTAGGGTCAGAAGAATATTTACCAAAGCCAGCTACGGATGCAGGAATTGTTGAAGGTTCTGCTTCAACGGTGACTACTGGACCACTTTTAATGAACACGAGTTTAAAAAAAAATCCTCCCCAAGATACTAATTCTAGAGGTAACGCTAGGTGGACTGCAGAACATTGGGATTATCTTGAGCAGCGGATGCAAGAGTTTTGTGATGCATTTCAGATGACACATCAACAAGTTGGAGAGCTTTTGCAAGATAAACGCCTTCATGGACCACTTTCATCACTTGTTAAGATATTAGTAGATGAAATGCCAAGCTTTACAAGAAGAACAATCCTACGACATTTGAGAGCCTTTTATAATATTCCTGGTTACGAAAAATATAGCCGGAGAAACTCAAGTGGAAAGGGCGACTTTGGTGTTCAGGAGACAGCCATTATAGCCCAGGAAGTACGGAACTTTATTTTGGAGCAAGGTTGGACTGAATACCAGTTCTGCAATCAAATTTGGGCAGGAAAATGCCCAAAGCCCATTCGTGCCTTTTATTCTAATTTATATAAAAAACTCTCACATCGAGACGCAAAAAGTATATATCACCACGTTAGGAGAGCTTATAACCCATTTGAGGAGCGCTGTGTGTGGAGTAAGGAAGAAGATGAAGAGTTGAGGAGGTAAGATGATTTGTTTTATGTTACATTCTGGAGTATACGTACTAAATTTTCTAGAAATGTTTTGGAGCATGGGAAATGTTGGACCAAAATTGGCCGTAAAATGGCACGCATGCCAAACGATTGCCGGGATCGTTGGCGTGATGCAGTTCGTTTCGGCGATCGATTGAAACGCAATGCATGGTCTTTGGATGAAGAAACTCAGCTATTGCAAATCGTGGCAGAGTTACGGAATCGAGAGGATATTAGTTCCGATATTAACTGGACCTTAGTAGCACAACTTTTGGGAACAAGGACGAGGTTGCAATGCCGATATAAATTTCAGCAGCTAACCAAGTCTGCTCCCAAATTTGAACTACAAGATAACGTTTGGCTCTTGGAGAGGTAAGAATAAACCTTGAATAAGTGTATATATTAACTTAGCTCATAGAATTTACGATTCACTTGTCAAGTATGGAGATCAAATTCATTGGGATGGTATCGTGAGAGAGGCAAATGGGCGCTGGTCCCGTGATCAAATACTGTTTCAGTTTATTAATTTGAAAAAAATGATTCCAAGTTATGATAACTTCCCCCTTCTAGAGGCTACACAATCCGCTATTTCCGATTTCAAAGTAGTACTCTCCGGATTTTCTGGCTGAATTGAGGTTGGTTATAATTTTCCATGTCATCCGTTTTCCTCTATTCAATATATTTTTACGCTTTGTCTTTCTATCTAGTCATTCAACTTCTTTTCTATTCCTGTTGTTCGGTCAACTCTCGGTGAATTCGGTATTTTTAGAGGTTTCGAGGTTTCGTGTATAAAACGGATTTCATGTACGAAAAACCCATTTATTTTGATGTAAATTTCCAAGAAAATTGACTTTCCGTCTACCTTTTTTGCATGTTTCCTTTATATATTATTTAATACAGTTAATAATTTTTACTGCATAATCATTTTGTAGCACTCATTTATGAAGCAGTTTCTTCCAACAACATTGAAAAGCCTGTGGAAAAAACCACAAATTGGGAACGTTGTAGATGTGTATGGGTGGATACGATCGCTTCGGAAATCCAAAAATGTGTGTTTTGCTATGGTCTCTGACGGCACGTGTCAACAGCCCATTCAGGTGGTAGCCACTCCAGAGCAAGCTCATTTGTAAGTATTCGATAGTTGTTGACATGTTTAATGTATTTTGTTCAAGTTCTTTGCTGATAATAAGTTCACTAACATTTCTCCTAGATTATCTTACGGTGCTAGTGTCAAGGTCCAAGGAAAACTTGAAATTTCTAAGAAAGCAGCTCTCGGAAAGCAACAGTACGAATTATTAGCTGAAAAGATCGATCTTTATGGAAAAGTAAACAATGTACGACACGGTAGTTGGTTGCTAAGTTAGCACTTAATGTTATTTTAAGAGTCAACAAATTCATACTAACATTCAAAAAACTAGGACTATCCAATTCAAAAGAAAAATTTGACGACAGAATTTTTGAGGCAATATCCTCATTTAAGAGTTCGCACTGCGAAACAAAATGACATGTTTCGTCTAAGGTCTGACACCTTGGAAGGATTACGGTCTTTTTTAGCAAAGAACGATTTTATTGAAACCAATCCCCCTCTTTTAACATCTTCAGATTGTGAGGGTGCTGGTGAAGTGTTCCTAGTCACCCCTCATTCAAAAGAAAATGACTTTGCTGGTAATTCTAATGTTTCAAACAAGGATGAGCAAAAGTCTTTGTTTTTTGGAACGCCGACATTTCTGACCGTCTCTACCCAGCTTCATTTGGAAGCGTTGGCCCTTGGAATGTCTCGGGCTTATACGATTACACCAGCTTTTCGAGCAGAGAATAGTCATACGAGTCGTCACTTGGCAGAATTTTGGATGCTTGAAGTTGAAATTGCCTTTATAGAATCATTGGACACCCTTACGGATGTTGTAGAAGACCTTATCAAATATCTGATTCAATATCTTCAAGAAAAAGGACATTATCGGGAGCATTGGAATCATGTATTGAAACAGTGGCATCGAATATCATATACAGAAGCAATGGACGCTCTAAAAAATTCAAGCAACGCTTGGCATGATCCTCCAGAATGGGGCAATGATCTTAGCAGTGAACATGAACGCTATCTGACAGATGCTTATTTGAAGGGACCTGTATTTGTGACCGATTACCCTGCTTCTATCAAGCCTTTTTACATGAAGCCCAGCTCAAATAACACTGTCGCAGCAATGGATTTATTAGTCCCGCAAGTGGGAGAATTAGTCGGTGGATCCTTGCGGAAAGATTCCATTACTTCGGAGGAAGTGCCAAAGGGATTAGAATGGTATTCTGAAATGCTTCAACAAGCCAATACCCCTCACGGTGGTTTTGGGCTTGGTATTGAACGATTGCTAGCGTTTCTAGAAGGTAATGCAACAAACGTACGTGAAACCATTCCTTTTCCACGCTCTTCCGGATCAATATTTGCTTAAACTAATCTCGCAACAAATTACCTCACAATGGATGAGAGAATTGAGCAACGTTTACCTTTTGCTGAGATTTACCAAATTCATGATTAAATTGAATGCTTATTCTCGTCAAAATTTCTAGAAATGATGAGGTCCTCCAGAAAGACAAATTGACTGTAGATTCCTTCATAAGAGTCATTAACGTTATACAATGTTGAAATGTCTTTCGAATCTAGAATATACGGAACTTCAATTTTGGCCTTGTCACGTTAGTAATTCTCACGGGTTATGAGAACAAATATAGATTGGAAGTAGTAACTACAGTTGTAGAATTGTATATGTTAATTGGACTCTGGTGTACTACGTACATAGAAGCTAGGAATGTCCAGGGATCTGGTTAAGTGCTTCGATGATCTTATTCAACCACACCATTCAAATATATATCCTCGCTGAGACAGCTAATGTAATCTATATCTTTGTATCTCTCACTGGTTTCCCTTTGTGAAATAGGTTCTTAACTCATAAAACGTATTTCTTTGTTTTGTTTACTATTTGTAATAATTATCCTTTAGTCTTATGTTATTTGTTAATATTTTAAAGTATGTTCTTATGATGGCGTATTGTAATAGTTATTATATTAACAAGACATCTATCATGACAGGCCTAAGAACATAAATAAACCTTGAAGGAGATGAGTTTTTTCGGGATTGCTCTCAATGCGATTAACCATCTGAAATTGCAAGTCAACAAAAGGTTCAGGGAGATCATACTTAAGTACTTGGTAAACTTATTTGAGGGTACGTTACAAAAGATATTCTAATCATTTAACATCATATTCCATGTTTATATTATGAACTATAAGTTATGAAAATACACTCTTCTACTTGTCCTCATCCTTTAATACTTTATTAGAAGCCTTTTAACATATTTAAAGATATACGAATAGTTTTAATTACTTTAATAATATCAAGTTAACATTTTATGTTTCCTTAATCCATAAACTTTGTACCTAATCTTCAGCTTCAGTCAAACAAACCTCTCATTTATATTATATTGAATAAAAGACTTCACCAACCGTATTACTTTCTATTGATTAAAATGCATGCAGAAAAATTTTCATGTTAAGAGAATAATCTTAAGATAGGTATATGTCCATGATCAATTATAGTGGGAAAAAAGGGAACCCAAGCTTCCAATGAAAAGCATAAGGAACGAGAACACTCTATAAACCTGAATGCAGTGAAGCTTAGGGATATGAGACTGTAAAGAATAATAAAAGATAGTATCAACAGGTTTACTGCTGTTCTAAAGCCAACTCGTGAACATAAGTACAAAAGAGCTTAATACCCTTCATGAAGTTATCCAAGTCTAATTTTTCATTGATGCTATGAGCACCATCATCACCACGGCCCATGGGTAGCAAAAGAACATTCCTATTCAAGGCGTGTTCGAAAGTAACGGTGACAGGGATGGAACCACCTTCACGGACAAAGTCAGGCTTGACACCAAAAACACGCTCAGTGGCACGACTTCCAACGTCATAGTGCCAGTGGTTGGGGGAAGAACTCCACCAGGCACCAGCGTGAAGAGCATGGAAGGTAAGTTTGTTCTTGGAACCCAAAGCGCTGAAAACCTTTTCTACATGGTCTTGTACAAGCTTACGAACAGTTTCGGGTTCCATGTTGGGTACGGTACGAATGGAAAATTTACCATTCACCTTGGCGGGAATGACTGTCTTTGCACCGCTACCACTGAAGGCACCTTCAATACCATGAAGGGACAATGTAGGGTAACGCCAGCGGTGTTGCAAGGTACGCTTGGTATCGCTATAAATGGAAATGTCAGCACCGGTGGCATTCTTCAAATCGCTCATCTCATAGTCGATGGTGTCGTACAGACGGTCTTCCTCAGAAGTGAGCTCGGCGACTTCGTCCATAATACCAGGGATCAAAATCTCGCCGTTGGGCTTGACTAAGGAGCTCATGACGGCAATCAAATCAGTCATAGGCTCATGAACGGTACCGCCGAAAACACCAGAATGCAGGTCGGCAGCAGGGCCCTCTACGGTCATGCTAAAGTAGCTTACACCACGTAATCCGTAAGTCAACACGGGCTTTTTGGTACCCAACCAATAAGTATCGCTGATACAAACACAGTCTGCCTTGGCAAAGTACTTTTGAGCCTCGGCACGAATGAGATCATCAAGGCCCTCGCTACCATACTCTTCCATACCTTCAAAGCACATCAACAAGTTGACAGGGAAGTCCAAACCGCATTCTTGGTAGGCTTGAACGGCAGACATCCAACCAATGAGGGGACCCTTATCGTCAGTGACACCACGAGCAATCATACGGTCCTTATTGTCCACTTCAAGCTTGAAAGGTTCAGTAGACCAGCCGTCAGATTTCGAAGCAGGTTGAACATCAAAATGATTGTAGATTAAAACAGTCTTTTTGGAAGGATCACTTCCATATTGACCAAGGACAATAGGGGGCAAGGGGACCTTTTGACCGTCCATTTCATGGAAGCCAATGTCGCGCTTTTCCATCTTGGCTCCAAGTTTGGTGAATTCATCAACGACAAAGTCGGCCATTTCATAGACCTTAGGACGAAGGTTGGCATCTGCAGACACGGAAGGAATGGCTACCGCTTTCGCGAGAAGAGCGATAAATTCATCCTTTTTCTGGTCGATCCTGAACCACGTGTTAGGAAAAGATTTCTGTAGTACTTAGATTTACATACAAGTTGTACAAGGTTTCAAGTGTCATTTTCTTGCAAAGCAGCTTTAAAGAGCGTGTTGGTTAAAGTTGACTTGGGTTTTCGCGTTATGTTTGTTTTTGATAATAAGTCACTACGGTCATTTTTGTTAAAGTCCGATACACGAATAACGCAATGGAACAAGCACTAAAGGAATACTTACAGTACTTCATAGCAATTTTGGGCAATGCCGGTATTTGTAAACTTATTAGACGTTTCGTTTGTATAATGTGAGAGCATTTTAGATAATCCTAAAGTCGCCTGGACAAGATTTCAATGTTTTTATTTATCATTAAAGAACTGATTCATATACAGTTTATAGTATGGAATACTTATTTAAGTTCTATCATTCTTGACTTGCAGAAAACAGAAATTGTTAGCTACTGAAAGGAATCTTTCATCTAATACGATAAGCAAAGTCACTTCGTTCTGACTTGGCATTCGATAGTACTCCTTCTTAAAATTTGTATTTTTTAGTTGTATTTGGTGTGTTTAAAGAAGCATTTTTCAAACGATCACAACAGACATGTATCAATCATCAGCAGTCATGTCGAAAAAAACAAATTCTGCATCTACCGAACCAATGCTCTCAATCGTCAAAGAAGCTAGTTTTTCGATATCGACAATAAAGAGACCATCACCTTCCTGTATAATTTTGTCTCCCACCTTCAGTTGTGCTTTACCAACTGAGGGATCACGAGGACCCGCAAAGCCGGATGTCTGAATTAAATGAAGGTAACCCTTTCGCAACGGTGAAGAAGCATTCCACTGACCAAACACATGAGTTACACGAGACCCTGGAGAAAGGATAGATGCCCACATGCCCAAATCTCCAGGAAATGGAATCACCGAGCCGTCTGTTGTGACCTCAGTGCCAACTTGGGCACCATTTGATTTAACCTGTTCAGGTTCTTTAATCGTGAAATTGGGAGCGATGATCACTTGAAGTCGATTATGTTTATCTTCTTCTGAATGATGGCGAGTGTAGTACGTTGGTGGTAAAAACTTGTCGTCTGGCTTAGCCCATATTTGAAGGAAATGGCTATCGTCACTTCCGTGTGGTTCATTATTATACTCAGAATGGGCTATTCCTGTTCCAGCTGACGTATACTGGATATCTCCTCTTTGAATGGTTTCAGTATTGCCCATGCTATCTTGATGGGTCAGTTTTCCACTAACCACGTACGTCCAAATCTCGTATCCTTGATGGTGATGGGTCGGAAATCCACTCATAGGATCGACGCGATCCTCGTTTATGACCCGCAAAGGACCAAATCCCATATACTTCAAGTCAAAGTAATTGGCAAAGCTGAATGTGTGAAATGTCTTGAGAAAATTTTTATATTGAGCGAATCCACGCTCTCCTGACTTTCTAACGATGAGCTGCATTGGGAGTATAGGGGACTGAGTAGAATGGTTGAATCTCCTGAAATTGAAATATTCAATGGATCGATATAAGAAAAGCGCAAGAACTGGCAAAACCAAAATCAAATGCTTCATTCAACCTAATTTTTTATGCCTTATATAACGAAACGAGCTTTAAGTCGTTTCCAAAATTTTTCGTTTTTCGAAACACAAAAACGAAAAAGGAATAGTAAATGGTACTTATCTTAGGACAATACAATGAAAAAATAGAGAAATAACCTGCTATTTATAATTTCTCTGATTTTCGTCTTTCATAGGCGTTTTATAAAATGACTAAAACGACCCGATCAAGATGACAAAGCGTCAAGGAGGAATGGCAAATTAACTGTAAATATTGGAATCCATTAGTCATCAATTTTTCTTTTTATCTAATTTTTAGAAATCTTTCTATGAAGATTCCTTCCTTTCTCATCGTCTTCATGCCGCTTTCTGCTACTATTTTTCACCCATGTTGTGCTGGTAGTATTTCACTGAATTTTTTCTCTTTAATGCGAAAAAATGGGGTTCGCTTACAGTTCAATAGAATATCATTTAAAGATATTCTATTAGTTACCTCTTTATGATGCTCCTTACCTGTGTCACCAACAGAGGTTGCAAAACGGCAACATTAGGCACTTTTACTTCTAATAGTCACTTTAAATCCATCGGTGAATTTGTTAACGTTTGTTTTTTGATTCTTTCTTGGTTTCATCGATCCTTGTTTAGAACATTTGCTAGAAATTTAGGAAGTAATCGTAAAGGATAGAAACCTCTCACAAAACTTATGAAAGTGCACTTTTTGTTTTTTATGTTCCATTCTCTCTCAATCTAATATTGTTACCAAATTTTCATCACCAAAGGTGGCATTTCCCTGCTCAATATAAAAACCATCGATTTTTTATTTCTATTTCTCGCAAATAAGCCTAGGGTACAACTCTGCGTATAAAATTCAATGGATAATTTAAGAAAACGCGTTGTAAACTATACTACGAAAAACGACGAATTCAATGAGGATGATGCTACTCCTCTCAGTCGACAAGGTAAAGCATATTGCAGATTTCTCTAATTCGTTTCTTTTTTCTTCATTATTCCAATAATCCTCTCTGAGTTTATTTATTTTTTTATTTATTTTTTTCTTTTTCACGGTTCATTTTTACTAACGTCGAGTCTTTTAGAACAAGAAGCTTTTGTTGACCATCTAAGACTTACAAATGCCAGAGATAATCGAATGTTTTCTATTTTGTTTTCCTTTTTGTTTCTTATTCTAGCAGTACCTATTCTCCTGTACCCAGAAACCCTTTTCTTCAAAATGGTTGAGGTCTTTATCCTTGGTTCTTGCGCCTTTATTATGTATTTTTTTCCTACAAACTATACTATTAGCTCGTCCAAGACCCCTTTCGCATGGAAAATATTGCTTTATTGTAATATCGCTCTCCCAGGGCTGGTTTACCTTCTGACAATTCACAAACAAAAATCCGTTCTGAGTTCATTCTTTTCTTTACGATTCCTTGCACTGGCTGTTTCTGTTTTTACAGAACTCACTCGCTATTCTATGTATTCTGCTGCTTTAGGTGTAGAAAGGTTGGACAACATGCGATTTGCATAATTGGATTCAATTGATTTTCCTGTTTTCGTCCATGAAAACTATGCAATAGTTGTTTCAACTGTTACTTATCATGTCAGCCTTTTACAGCTTCATTTCATGAAAAGAATGGATCTTTAAAATAGTTCCTCATGTGTATACGCTTACCACGACTATTTATTACCATTACCAAAGAATAGAATCTATCAGCAAATGTCACCTTGAATATACATAGACATGAAAGACATTTTTTTCATTTATTTGTACATACAAAGAAAATATACAACACGTTATGCAACTAACATAGAAAAAATCAATTATAAACGTATTTAGGCAATGTAAGTAGAAGCACTGACATTACCACCACGGCCGGTCCAGTTGATATGAATATCCTTGTCAGCAGGGAAAGTCTCATTAGCCTCATCAGGCAAAACACGGAAGGTATGAGCACCGAAGTAGTCACGTTGAGCTTGCAATAAACCAGCAGGCAAGACGGAGCTACGGTAGCCGTCGTAGAAAGCAAGACCAGTAGAAGTGGCAGGAGTAGGAATTCCCAAGAGAGCAGCTTGGGAAACAACGCGACGCCAGCCACCTTGAGCCTTGTGGATGGCATCTCTGAAGAAGGGATGGAAGAGAATAGACTCAAGCTTAGGATCTTCACGGAAAGCTTCAGTGATATCCTTGAGGAAAACAGAGCGGATGATGCAACCACCACGCCACATCAAGGCAATACCGGCGTTGTTGAGCTTCCAGCCGTACTCCTTAGCAGCCTCACGCATAAGCATGAAACCTTGAGCATAAGAAATAATCTTGGAGGCATACAAAGCATCTTCCAAGTCATTAAGGAATTGTTGCTTGTCACCGGTGAACTTGGCGGTAGGACCAGCGAGCTTCTCAGAAGCACGAACACGCTCACCCTTCAAAGAGGAAAGGCTACGAGCAAAAACAGCTTCGGAAATCAAAGTGACGGGAGTACCCATTTCCAAAGCATTTTGACCGGTCCACTTACCGGTACCCTTTTGACCGGCAGCATCAAGGATCTTTTCAACCATGGACTTGCCATCATCGGCCTTGAAACGCAAAACATCACGAGTAATTTCAATCAAGAAAGAGTCGAGCTTACCCTTATTCCATTGTTCAAAGATGGAAGCGATCTCATCAACAGACAAGCCAAGGCCACGCTTGAGGATATCATAGGTTTCGCAAATCAATTGCATATCGCCGTATTCAATACCGTTGTGGACCATCTTAACATAGTGACCAGCACCTTGTTCACCAACCCAGTCGCAGCAAGGCTCATCCTTACCTGCCTTGGCGGCAAGAGATTGGAAAATGGGCTTGATACGAGGCCAGGCAGCAGGGTTTCCGCCGGGCATCAAAGAGGGACCATGACGAGCACCCTCTTCACCGCCAGAAACACCAGAGCCAACAAAGAGAATGCCCTTCTTGGCCAAGTCTTCACAACGACGGGTGGTATCAGGATAGTGAGAGTTACCACCATCAACGATGATGTCACCTTCTTCAAGATGAGGAAGTAACATTTCGACGAAGGAATCGACGGCAGGTCCAGCCTTAACGAGCAAAATAGCAACACGAGGCTTCTTCAACTTGGCAACGAATTCTTCGACAGAATGAGCACCAACGATGGACTTGCCTATAAACAATGGAGCATATTAGTAACCGAGCATAATTCAATCGAAACAAACGGTTTCTTCTAATCCTTACCCTTGGCTTCGTTGTCCATGAAATTATCGACCTTTGAGACAGTACGGTTGAAAGCGCAAACGGTGAAACTATTCGAGGTCAGTCAGACGCGTTCTACAAGAGATTTTCAAGATACCGTTTGTCCTCTTTCTGAGAACAAGGATCCACCATCTTCAGAAAACTTACCCTTTGTCAGCACCGTTTAAAATGAGGTTTTGACCCATTACGGCCAAGCCAATAAGACCAAAATCTTTTACATGTTAGATTTTTCTACCAAACAAAACACAAAAAACCCAAGGAAAGATCATGGGTCTAAGGGGTTTTCATACCAGCTCTACACGATTAGCATATGCTCCATATGTGAATATAACACGAAATAACACTCCTACTTACACAGCAGTTTGAGACATCTTCTAATAAATCCGTGTTCTACCGTTATGGTTGTTTACAAGTAATTTATAGTTGTGTGTCCCACTCCGTTTATACTGGTTTCCATCTTCGTATGCATGACGTAATCATCGGGCAGGTAATCGTAGAACCTTTCGAAGAATCACGGATCATCTTTTGCTGACGAATGTTTAGGTGACGTGTATTGTCAACGCACGAGAAAACATCGGGCCGCAATACACAGCGACTCGTTCACACAGAATCAAAGGAAATCAAAGGGATGTTTGTCCATAGGTAGGAAAGATCTCGTAAGCGAAATCCCTGAGAACAGGGCAAAAAAGGAAAAACCCGAGAAAAAACAGCTTACCTCTAAAAGTTTTAGACGTTGCTTTTCATATACATCATTTCTTATTTTGATGTGCGCTCGTGTTTGCCTTTCCTCGACGTCTGCATGTAACTGCATGAAAGGAACGAAAAAAAAAAAAAAACAAATAACTGCATGTAGGGGTTTCTACAGTTGGTACGAATCTCCGCAGGATTAATCAACAAACGTGATCTCATAAACGCATTTAGTCCCCTTCAAACTCTTCGCTCTTTGTGTTTCTTTTCTCGCTGATTCGCTTCCTCTTTCCTTTATTGATTCTTGCCATTCAACCTTATTTTGAAACACCAAACTTCATTAATTTGGAGTTCCGATCAGGATCTCCACTGAGTTGTTCAACTGATTGAGTAATCTCCTTTTTCTTTTTCTTATGTCTTCCTTTTTCCTTTCTTTTGCTCTATGGTGACTGATGCTGGCTGTTTCCCCACAGCCGCTCGGACGGCAGGAATAGGGTTCAAAAACGCGTGTCCAGAACATGCGATGTTTACGTTAATTAAAACCGAAACAAAATTGTGGAAATAAGGAAGGTATCAAAACGGAAAAACATCTAAGAAACAAAGATCAATAAAACCATAAAAATAAATCAATGGTATTCACAGGATTGAAAGTAAAATTTTTGAAACTGAACCTGGTTTTCTTACTCTACTACATGTTTTCTCCATAGTTGGATCTTAAATGAAATCAAACATTACTCTTAGTTACGAATATTACTATTACTTTTACAACATGAATGTATTAGAAAATGGCGGAATCAAAACGCCATTTCTGTTTTTTTTATTAGAAAAAAAAACAGCACTCTAAATAATAATAAGGTACTTTATGAAAGGGAATATTACAAGAAAAAATTATGGTCAAAGATTTTTCTTTCAAACAACAAGAAGTTGTCCTAAAAAGGATGCTTCATGTCAACATCCACTTTAACATGCATGGGCTTTTTATCGACGATAGGGATGAAAGCTATGTCCACCGCCTCCCGTAGACCCACCGCGACGGCCACGATATCGCTGTCGATTGGGTCCACCAGGATTTCGATTGTGATATCCACCTCGTCCAGTTCCTGAACCAGCTTCCCCAGGGCCTTTTGATGGATCAAAATAACCAGCTCCTTGCTGTTGTTGTTGTTGTTGTTGTTGTTGTTGTTGCCACTCTGCCATGCCGGCGGGCATCACGGGCTGGGTATAAGGCATCGTGCCAGCTGCTGCTGCTGGCATATTCCGCATGGCTTCCATATACTGCTGCATTTGACGATAATATTGCGCCATCATAGCAGGTGTCATACCTCCGTACATATTCATATTTTGTGAATAATACGGGTTCATGCCACCATGGAAATTATGCTGATGTCGGTCATGGCTATCTCGCAAACTCGACTTTGGCGTAGCACGCTTTACTTCCACAGGCTTTCCATGAATAGTAATATACGGTTGAGACATTGTTGCCTCCACCGCTGCTTCATTTTCAAAGGTTACAAATCCAAATCCACGGGGCCGTCCCGTGTCCTTGTCCATCATTAGCGTCGCATCTAATACTCGACCAAAATTATTAAAGAAATCACGGAATTCTTCTTCTGTGCAATCCCCTGGAACTCCACCTACAAACATCTTTGCTGTTTTTTCTTGTTCTTCACGAGGAATTGCTCGCTTCGGGTCAATCTAATCATGTCAGCATCTTTCCACACCATCTTTCTAAATAATAATAGCTCCACATACAATTTTACCATCTAAATGATGTTCTTTCGACATCACCTCGTTTACACATCTGGGATCCTTAAACGTCAAAAATCCAAATCCACGTGATCGTCCGCTCGTACTGTCTCGCATAACTGTACAGTCCAAAACTTCACCAAACTGTTCAAAGTAATCACGAAGAGACTCTAACCTTATTAGTAACTTTGTCCTTTCCCGAATTAAATTTATCTTGTCTCGACTTTTATTATACGCCATATAACAACAATCAAGCTCTGACCAGCTTCAACAGCCGTTTATTATACATACCATCAGTAGTTTCCCAGTTCAAGCCACCAATAAACATTTTTCTATGCATGGTTAGTCTCACCATCAATCCTCTTTTCTATAACCCTGTCAGGTAATTCATACCCATCTTCTTTATTAAAAGGGCTTTGGTCTTCTTTAGGTTCTTCCTGCTGTCTTCTCTCGGAATAAGACATAGCAGCTGGATTTGCTACGTTTGTATACGAAGGAGTGGAGTTCTCAGTGCTTTCAGCTGCTTCCCAGCTAGCGGAGATTTGATCTGGCTCTTCATCCTCATTACCCGCAGGCTCCTTGCCTTCAGTTCCATTTTCTTCATACGTTCCTCGATATAATTTTTCTTCTACATTGGCTCCTTCCTTTTCTGTTTCTACTGGGTTCGAGCCTAATGCATCTGTGTCTTTTTCTTCGCCAATTTGTTCATTTTTCGCGGCTTCTTCTTCTTCACCGACTTCTACAATTTCATTTTTGGCCTGATTTGGCTCATTTTTTGATTCGTCTGTCCCTTTCGATTTCTCAACATCATTCTCTTCACCACTAAACAGTTCAATTATTAGTCCATCACCCTTAAAAACACGTGTACTTACTATAAGTCTTTAAACAACTCATCATCTTCAAAATCCGAACCTCCCATCCCGAATATAGCAATTTATTGACAAAAGAATTATGGTGGTAGTAGTGAGATGGAAAGACGTGAAATCCCCGCGCTTCACTCACACTTTAGGAAACGCAGTGCAGCACTGTATGTGGTAATACTGAGGAATAATGAATTTTAAGAACAGAAAACAAATAGAGTAAATTTATGCAATATTTACTAGGTAAACGTTGTATTATTGATGCTTGAAACGAATCTAGGAAAGTGTAAATTCGTATTATAAAGAAGGTATCAGAGGAAGGAAGGAACAATATAACATTAGAACCCTTAAAGTGGAGATGTAAATATGTTGTCGCGGGTATAATAGAATCCAACAGAATAAATAAAATAAATGAGACCGGACATTAAAAGTAAGTGATTAAAGAAAGAATAAAATATACTGAGGAGTAGATGAGATGCTAATTCGTATACTTCTGTTCTGTACGCAATAAGAAAAAATCTTTTGGTTAGTGGAAAGCAGAATCGCCAGAAAAGAAGAGTATCATGTCAAGAAACTTTAAAAGGATTAGAAACGAACCTGAATGTAGACTTAAGGAAACCGTATTTCAGTAAAGGTTTGTCACGCAAAAGATTTACGAGAGAATTCGAGCTTTTATATCGACAATCTTAATGAGGGGTGCCGAGCCAGGAAGATTGGTTTTCAAAAATAATAGCGGGTAATTTAGATTCTGCATGCACATATCCAATTTCATCTGTGCTTAGTAGCTGTTCAGCCGTAATTCGATCTTCTGGATTTGGAGCTATCATTCTATTAAGCATTTTCTCTAGAGATTCGGCACAAGCCATCTTTGATGGGAGAGTCTGCTCCTCTGGTGTCAAGAATTGCGTTAGCTTTGGCAGATCAGAAAAATCGGCTGAGCGTAGCCGTTGCCATTCAACACCGTTGTCTGGAAGAACCACATTTGTCGCGGCTTCGATCATGCTAAGACCCAAGGAAAAAATATCGGCTGGCTTGTCATAGGCATGCATCATCAGTACCTCAGGTGCTATGTACATTCTATCTCCCTCAAGGTCTGTTAAAGAAGAAACAGGAAGACTTGAAGACAAGCCAAAGTCGGAAATCTTAAGATTACCTTCGCGGGTAATAAGCACATTCGAAGGCTTAACGTCTAGATGTACAACACCGAGCTTGTGCAAATAGTATAAACCCTAAATAAAGTCAATAAAACTCAGATGAGTTCACTTACCTGGCTCAACTGTAATAGAATTTTCCAAACACGGAAAGCGTCCAGTACTTGCATTAAACCCAGTTCAGTTAAAAAGGTACCTAAATCGCCATTCTCACAGTATTCTAGTTGAAGAAATAGTTGATCATTATATTCCCAAAAGTCATCCATGTTAACAATGCGTGGACAGTCGCGTACCTGTCGTAGGATGTTGGCTTCCTGGATTTGTCGCATAGTTTCCTTAGAACTATTACCTTTCCTCTTCACGATTTTCACGATGGAGAAATCTTTTTGGAGATCAGCCATTTTTGAAACTTTATAAACATAGGAGAAGTCACTTTCGCTCAGTAATTTCACCTGAGAAAACCGGCCATACAGCATTTCAGTACACCGATTGGCATCGTTAAATTCCTCATGGCTCGTTGTGCTAAAAAAGTTTGGACTCGTCGGTGTCCAACTTAACGATGATGAGTCATCCTCGTCCTCATCTTCTTTCCACCCTGTCGTAGGAGGAGTATGTAGAAAAATTGCTTGAGACTTGTTTGGCGTATTATAAGTATTTAAAAAATCATCTGAACCACATGAAAACGTTGGCAAGGATAACATGTCAACACTGTCTTCTAAATCTTCAGAAGACGAATTTTCGGGCTTCAGGCATTGCAAAAAATCAGGCCCAGGACACTTTCGGCGAAGCAGTAGAGAAGATGGGGATGTTGGGGATTCCGGATAGCCGCTACTCATATGAGAAGTACGTTTACAGGGTGTATGAGGTTGTTCACTTTTCGGATTGGTTGAATTGACTTCCCATAACATTTGCTTCTCACGTTTCGATAAGAGCCCTGTACTAAAGGGACCGGAAAAGCTCTTTTGTTGTTTATCTAAAGGTGTAATGTTCTCTGATTGTTGATCACGATCTTTGATTTTACAGTCCAAGAGACTAGAAAGGAGTCCCGGTGGTTTTTTTTCGTTGGTGATATCCATTCTTGAGAATAACCCATGTCTTAAAGTAGTAGATAGCCGAACGTTTTTCTTTGGATTCATCAACGGCGTATGTGGGCTTTCTTCAAAAGTAGAAGCATTGTAAACATGCGATTGAGGTGAGTAGGACTCATTAGACACGGAATCGCTGAAGATGCTCTCATTTTCAGTAAACAATGGCCTTTTACGTCTATTCTCGTCCAGAGAAGAAAACGATGAACGCGTCGGTGTACTAGGTGTCATAGAAACAGAATCCATTTTTGATATATCCCGTATCTCTGCTTTTAAATAAGTATGCGTTTATATATAATATATATTATAAGTTCAAAATGAGGCAAGGCGTAAATGATTGGAGTAATTGAAACTTTCAGTACAAATGAGTTTAATTCTCCCAAATCGATAGACCGTATCTCAATTTCTTTGGGAATTTCCTTTCCAAAGAAAGGAAATAGTATGTCTTGATTATTGATCGTTGCTGGAAGAAGACAACATTCGTCTAGTAAACAATAAACAGAATCGCGAGTTGATTCAACGCGTACACAAACGCGACGCGTCGCGTAATATAATAATCACTCACCATACGCGTCAGATATTTCGTGGGTGGTAAATCATTTTAACGCGACGCGCCTCTGTATCTTTCCTAAAACCAAACACTTAAACAAAAGCAAAACAAGTTGAAAAATGGCCGAACGGCTTTCCGTTGGTTCACTGCGTGTTATTAAGTATGTTTAGATTTAGATAAATTATTAAATGAACGAATTTGCGGATTAGTTACTAACTTGATATATCAGCACCTCAGATTCTTCGTCTTTTCCCCCAAATCCTGTCCTCCAGGTGTTAACGGTTAAAGAATTAAATTCGAACCCTACATCTGGTGCTCCCAAGCGTTATCGTGTGGTTCTTTCTGATTCCATCAATTATGCTCAGTCCATGCTTAGTACTCAACTAAATCATTTGGTTGCCGAAAATAAGCTTGCGAAGGGTGCTTTTGTGCAATTAACTCAATTTACGGTCAATATTATGAAAGAAAGGAAAATCTTAATTGTTCTTGGCCTGAATGTATTAACTGAACTTGGTTTCATGGAAAAGATTGGAAACCCGGCCGGGTTAGAAACTGTAGATACTCCGCGGCAACAGCAACAACCTCCAGTCAATGGAGGCTCCATGGACCAATCTACTGCACCCGCTAACTATCCTGCTAATGCAGGTAGTTTCTACGGGAATAACTCCCCCAGTACTGCTCCTGCTCCTCCGCCAATGGTAAAGAGACCTTCTGGCCCCAATTCTGGAAATGGATACAGCACAATTATCTATCCCATTGAAGGACTTTCTCCTTATCAAAATAAGTGGACCATTCGAGCTCGTGTTACCAATAAATCTGATATAAAACACTGGCATAACCAACGTGGTGAAGGAAAGCTTTTTAGTGTTAATTTATTAGATGAAAGCGGAGAGATTCGGGCTACTGGCTTCAACGATCAGGTAGACGCTTTTTACGATATTTTACATGAAGGGCAAGTTTACTACATTAGCCGCTGTCGTGTTAACATCGCCAAAAAACAATTTACGAACGTTCAGAACGAGTATGAGCTCATGTTTGAACGTGATACCGAAATAAAGAAAGCTGAAGATCAATCGGCTGTTCCTATCGCTAGGTTTAGCTTTGTTTCGTTACAAGAAGTTGGTAATGTTGCAAAGGACGCTGTAATCGATGTTATTGGTGTCTTACAAACTGTTGGTCCTGTTCAGCAAATTACCAGTCGTGCTACTTCTCGAGGCTTTGATAAGCGTGACATTACTGTCGTTGATCAAACTGGTTTTGAAATGAGGATTACTTTATGGGGAAAACTTGCAATTGAATTTTCCGTTCCCGAGGAGAGTATTTTGGCTTTTAAGGGCGTTAAAGTAAACGATTTTCAAGGTCGATCTTTATCTATGTTGACCAGCAGCACTATGTCTATTGATCCTGATATCCAAGAGTCTCACGTATTGAAGGGATGGTATGATGGACAGGGTAGAGGTCAAAACTTTGCCAAACACAGCAGCAATGCATCAATCAGCTCTGTATCCGGACGATCAGCAGAAAGGAAAAGCATTGCGGAAGTTCAAGCTGAGCATTTAGGCATGTCTGAAACACCTGACTACTTCAGCTTGAAAGGTACTATTGTTTATATTCGAAAAAAGAACGTATCATACCCTGCGTGCCCTGCACCGGACTGCAATAAAAAAGTCTTTGATCAAGGTGGTTCTTGGCGTTGTGAAAAATGTAATAAAGAATATGATGCTCCTCAATATCGATACATTATGACGATTGCAGTTGGTGATCATACCGGACAACTTTGGCTGAATGTTTTTGATGATGTTGGTAAAATTATAATGCGCAAGTCAGCGGACGAACTTAACGATTATCAAGAAAATGATGAAAATGCTTTTATGAACTGTATGGCTGAAGCGTGCTATTTACCATACATCTTTCAATGTCGTGCAAAGCAAGATAACTTCAAAGGAGAGACTCGTGTTCGTTACACTGTCACTTCTTTAACTCAGATGAACTGGCAAGAAGAATCCAAGAGGTTGATCGATTATATCCAAGCTGCAAACTAAGCATCATCCATATAGCTACTCGCTGGTCGAGGAAAATTTTGTGAAACCCAAAAAGGGATTATTATTTGTGTATGAGAGTTCATCCTAGATTTATTATAAAAAGCTTCTCTTTCTTTTTTTTATTTAATACAATTTAGTTGCTATCTAACTTATTCAATTCCTGTATACCCTATATATAAAATGGAAATACTTACAGACTAAAATGAGGCTTAATCGTTCACCAAAGAATATATCAAGATTTGAAAGAGAAAATACATCATAGCAGTATAAGAATGTTTACGAGCGAAAAACAGTAAATATACATAAACATAATGTCCAAATAGAAGTGAGAAAGAGTCCTTAATAATAGAGAGCGCTTAAAAATTCAAATTCTTTCTTTTTCCAACTATCTACTTGTTAATACCACAAAGCAAAGAACATTTTTTTCAGTTTTCTTACTGTATAGAGGATCAATGGCAATTCAGGTTCTATAGGCCATTTCCAACTATTTTGTTTTGACAACTTTCGATTTCTTTAATGCTACAAAACTTCAACGTTTACTTGATCTAACCGTCTGGTCATTGATCTTCTGCACTTTTACCATTGAGTTATCTCGTAATAGCTAATTCTTACACGATTCGCTTTTCTGATTACAATCCTTTTGATCCCTGTTCCTAGATCTGATATGTCGGATTGTATGCCTTTTGGGCATGCTTTAAAGCCATATTATATGTTAGACAAAAACTATGTATCAGTTAATAATGGGAGCTATGGCGTGGTTTGTGCTTCTGCTTTTCAACGGCATTTGCAACTGTTAGAGGAATCAGAAAAGACCCAAGATTTACAAATGAAATATAGGCTTCCCAAACTAGCTAATAACACATTACTCCAAATTGCTGAACTCTTGGATACCACTTCCAGCAACCTGGCATTTTGTTTTTCTGCAACCCAGGCAATTAGTTCTATTCTCTTGACCTTTCCTTGGAGTGCTAATGATAAAATCTTAAGCTTGAATGTAGCTTATCCTACATGTCAATTTGCTCTTGATTTTGTTCGAAATCGGTATGACGTTCAGGTAGACACCTTGGAAGTCGAATTTATTTATGACCCTTCTGAATTTTTGTCTCGGGTAGAATCCTATTTGGTTAAGAATAAACCAAGAGTTTTCATATTTGATTTCATTACTTCTATGCCAGTTACTCAGCTGCCTTGCAAGGAACTAATCCAACTTTGTAAAAAGTACGGCGTAATAAGTGTTGTAGATGCTGCTCATGGTATCGGATTCTGCCCTCTTTCCTTATCTTCTCTGGATCCTGATTTTTTATATACTAATGCTCATAAATGGCTTAATGCACCTTCGGGTACGACGATCCTATATGTGTCCAAGAAATACCACAATTTCATCGAAGCCCTTCCAATCTCCTACGGCTATCATATCCGTAAGCAAAATTCCCCTCCTGCAGATTCTTTAGGCATACGGTTTCTGAATGCTTCTTTTATGGACTTGCCTAAATTTATCGCCATCGATGCTGCAATAGCGTTCAGAAAGTCCATAGGTGGTGAACATAAGATACAAAGTTATAACCATGACATTGCTGTAAGAGGTTCCAAAATCATCGCTGAATCTTTGGGAACATCTTACTTTGCATTGGCTTCTCCTATTGCCATGGTGAATGTCGAGGTCCCTCTGCGGTGTATACCTTCCGCCGACTTTTTAGAAGAGTTTTGGCAAAGCAAAAACACTTTTCTACGATTTGTCGAATACCAGGGCAGATATTACACTCGTGTAGGTGGTGCTCCTTTCTTAGAAGAATCTGATTTTGTATATGTGGCCGATGTCTTGAAAGAACTTTGTCAGAAATAACTTCAAACCTTACGCGACTCACCGTTGATGTTTTCAGCTACAAATACAGATGTGCCCCATAAAAGTGATGTATAAATACACTTTTAATTCATAACATGTTTTTTTATAATTTAGACAAAACATCCGTATGCTTTCCAACATACGGACAAATATATAAATTACAAAAAGTCTATGCAATAAATCCTATTCTACAATTTTTCAGTTCTTACGCAAAGACTTCCTGCAGGAAATGAACAAACGTTAAAAGCGCGAGCGCAAGGGTGAGGGGATAAACATAAGTCGAAGGTACAAAGGGAGCTCTAAAAAGAAAGTACAAACGGTTACAGAGCATGGACAGATCATAAAGTTAGAACATTTGCTACAGTTTCCTTAGGCTGAAGCAGGAGCAGCAGACTCAGCTTCTGCATTAGCATTAGGAGCCTCTGTAGTGGCAGGAGCGGCTTCTTCAGTCTCAGCCTTCTCACCAACCTTCTCAGAAGCAGCTTCATTTTCGTCTTGCTTGTCCTCGGTTTCTTTTTGCTTTTCTTCACGAGAAATAGCATTCTTAACAACCAAGGTAAGGTCACCAACTTGCTTACCGTTCATTTCGTTAATAGCACGGGTTTGTTCTTCAGGAGTGTTGAAGGAAACAAAACCGAAACCACGACCACGGCGTTGTTCACCACGAAGCTTAATGCGGCGGATAATGTAAGGTGGGAGAGAGCGAACAGCAATACGAGCCCGAATTGGGTTGTAAGCATCGAACATCTCCTTCAAGCCTTCGTTTGTTAATGTAACAGAAAGACCAGAAACATAGATAGAGTTGGGAGGAAGAGGCTTAGCCTTCTTCTTGCCAGCAGCATTTCTAGATTTGCCGCTTTGCTTTTTTTCTGTAGATGGAGTTTCGGAATTTTCCTTATTTTCAGTGCCTTCCTCCTTAGAAGAAGCTTCAGCATCTTCAGCGGTAGGGGCAGTTTCATTATTTTCTTCGTTAGCGGTGGTCTTCTCCCTAAGCTTCACAGTCGTTAGTCACACAGCTCAGCAAAATTAGCATTTTGCCATACCTCTTTCTTAGATTTTTTAGGTTGCTTCTGAACAGGGCGAGCTCTTTGTACAACAATCTCGCGCTCGTTCAAGGTCTTTTCATTTAAGGTATCAATAGCCTTTTGAACGTCTTCTTCGTTGGTGAATGTGACGAAGGCGATACCAGAGGGCACTAAGCGAGTACCACGGCGTACTCGGCGGAAAGGTATAGTAACTTTGCGACTGTACTTAGTTAGCTTTCACGCCCACAAGTAAATGATCAAAGACCAAGGCAAACCACTTGAAAAGTTGACGAACTAGACGGAATCAAAAATTACAACATCAAAAAGGTCCCAGTACTTAATAGTAGAGACCCCATAATAGTTGTTTTAACCTTCATCTCATCATTCATCTTAAGTCTTTCGCCATACGAAGCTAGGGTTTGTCCTTTTTTTTTTACATACACAGGTCCAACGGTTTCAAACAAAGAACGGATTTCACTTTTCTTGGTAGACGTATTCAAGCGACCAACAAAAACGCGGAAATCTTGTTCTTGAGGAGTGGATTCTTCCGGCGATTCAGCAGCAGAAGCAGCGGTGTTTACAGACTTCTCTACTTGCTCTTGAATCACGCTTGTAGTGTTATCAACAACGGTTCCTTCTGCAGACATTATTAATATCGTCTAGAGTGTTTTGTCGTGAATGTGGTGATATGTGTTAAGGTTAAGTTTATGTGAGCGTGGATAATCACTTAGTACGCAACTCCGTAAGGGTAGAATATTCGCATACACCGAAAGGTATAGAAAAAGGGAGCTTCAGATACAGGAATAGGGATATAAATTTTAGCAAGATTCTATGATTGAATTTTTTAAATAACCTCATGTTTTTATTTCTTAGGAACTCCTCAGAACATTTCGGTTGCAAAAACGTGCTTTTGCCGTTCAGTAGACATAGGTAGGAAAGATGAAGATGGGGTTGGGACAGAAGTTGAAGACGACGGATTCTGAATTTGAGACATTGTAAACTTTGCATTTCCCTTTGCTAACGCTTTTAATACTGAGTTGTAATCAAGCATTCGTTCCATGGGCACCTGAGCGGAAACACGCTTGGTTTTGGAGACAGAGTACGGCTCATTTTGCGTCAAAGTCTGTTTATCCATAGAGGAGCTTATGGAGGAATACGAAGAGGTTTCTCTTGGGATGTATTTTGCCTTTGTCATATTTTTATCCGTATTTTCTTGTGAGGCTAGCTCCCCTAACGGATCTAAGGCACTTGATTCATCAACAATCTCATGGATCACAGCACTTCGCTTTCCAACTAAATCTTTGGTAATAGTCCCTATATACTCATCTGGAGTTGTGATGGTTATATCCATATAGGGTTCCAAAATGGAAAATGCGTTAGGTGTTTGACGATACAGTTTTTGAACAGCTTGCCGAGTGGCCTTTGCCATCGCCTGAGACAAAAGTGCCAAAGGCGAGAGGGAAGATGAAGAAGTAGATGATGGAAGAGAACATGCCTCAATGTGAACAGCTGCTTGTACATTCCAGAGGGGGAATCCATATAGTGGTCCATGAGATAAACCTGCTAAAATACCGTAGAATAAATGCTCATCAATCGTGGAAAGCTCAAGCGACTCTGGGAAAGTAACAGAATCATTTTTTGTCCAGCCTTGAAAGACAAATCCCTCTTGAAAATGGTTAGCCTTCGTGGTATCTACGATTTCATCTAAAGGATATAAATGTACGTGCAATGAGATACCCAATGGAAAGCCTTCGTTTTCATCAGCATAAGAACAAGGTCGTGTAATTGTTTCACGATATCCTACTTGAAGCTTTCCTAAAGTTGCCCGAGCTCCAAAATCGTTTACGAGTCGCTGGTGAGAGATTTGCAGATGCAGACCTCCCATCCCTTCCAAAATCCACTGATTGCTTTCGCTATTTTGTGTATACCGAAGGGAAGGGTCTTCACGGACCAAATTAGCAAGTGCTTCTAGTAACTTTGGTTCATCTTTTAAAGAGTCTGGCTCCAAGACCGCCATGCAGACTGGTTCTGGAATAGGAATATGTAACTGCGAGAGGTTTTCCCTTTTTATGTAGGATTGTTCTTTTCCTTTATTCTTAGTAATAATTGCATCACCAGTATGAAATTCTTTCAGACCACCTATCAATCCAATATTTCCGGCTGAAATCTCATCTACTTCCTGTGTTTGATCCGCATAAACATTGTACAACCTTATAGTACGCTCTGCTTTTCTCGTTCTTGGATTGTATATCATCATCCCTCGTTTCAAAGTTCCTTCTTTCACCCGAATGTAGGTAAGGATTCCCCTAGTCGGTGTATGAATGACTTTAAAGACGAGTGCATATAAGGGGAGATTTTCCAAAGAAATAGCATTAGAAGCTTTGGTAGTGTTTATCTCCTTTTTGAGCTGATTAACCTCCGTAGGATCAGGAAGGTAATCAACTATAGCATCCATAGCAGGTTGAACACCAATGTTTTTTAACGAGGATCCGCAAAGTACTGGGACTACATTTCCCGTAATACATTGTTCCCTTAAAGCGGCTGTTAATCGATTTTCCGAAAATGCATTCACATTTTCAGTTTGTAAGTACTCGTCACACAAAGTTTCATCAAGATCACAAAGAGTCATTACCATAGCTTCCCTGGCTTCTTGAAATTCCTCCTTTTTTTCTTCAGGAATAGGAATTTCACGTACGTGTTTTCCATCGTAGAATGTTTGGTCTGAACACACATCCCAAAGAATCATTTTCTGTCGTAGTACGTCTATGATGCCTAAAAATTTCTTCTCTTCAAACGATTCCGAAAACACAGGAAGTTGAAGGACGATTGGATTATGGCAATCCAATTGGGCATAAATTGACTGCATCGTCTTTGAAAGACTCGATCCAATGTGATCCATTTTATTAACAAAGATGACTTTGGGTATTCCATACCGAGTTGCCTGACTCCATACAACTTTTGTTTGGGCTTCGACACCGACACTGCCATCCAAGATGGCTACAGCACCGTCTAAAGCTGCGACCGATCGCTCTACTTCAAAGGTAAAGTCAGCGTGACCAGGTGTATCGATTAAATTTATAGTGTGTCCTCTCCAGGAAAATGTAATAGCTGCGGAAGTAATAGTAATTCCTCTTTCTCGTTCTGAAGGTAAATAATCCATTACGGTGTTGCCTGTATCGACATTTCCAAAATGATTTGTGTAGCCTCCATAGTACAGCATTTTTTCCGTCAGTGTAGTCTTTCCCTGGACAAAACAGTTAGCATCTTTTACATTTTAGATCATTGCCTAATGCCTAATGTAAATTCAACACCTTTCCGGCTGAGATTCAACATCGCTCAACTGATTCCATACCGCATCTATATGCGCAATTATCCCAACATTCCGTATTTTATGAATTGCATTGTTAGATGATAGTCGTTTCCACAGGAATATTGGACTTCTCACGAATCTACCTAATGGTCGAAGCATGAAGGCTAGAATATTACTACGGTAACGAAAAGGTCATGGTTATATAGTGATAGAGATTTGGAATCGTAAGAAAGAGTAGATTTTATTTTCGTTACATTAAAAATTCATAAAAATACAGAAAACATTTACTTTAGCAATGATTTAATGATTTGTATCTAGTTTCAACTCAATGAAAGATATCATTTTTCTCGTTGTTAAAAAGTCATGAAAAACGAAAAAAAGCGGCAAAGTAAGCAGAGAAGCATAGATGATATTTTTCCAAAAGAAAGCATAGAGTTTTTCTCAAGTGCCGTGTTCTTAAATATTATTTGCTCATTACTATATTCATTAATTCATATCATGCATACCATCATTATGCCATAAACGTTAGTTAGGAGAGCTCTGTATTCATATAAAGAACAATCATTCCATACAGTACATGTTAAATGACCATTCCTTAAAGCCCTATTATCCTACGAAGAAAGCGCAAAGAATAGACCAACTTTAAACATCCATATAAACTTGACGAGATCAACGACAGCTCCTTCTAGCCACCGAGTCATGGAAAACTCGTAAAAGCAATCATATTTAACGTTCTTTTAAAGCATTGAAACGTAGCAAATGAAATTGCTAATTACATTAAGCAAAAAATAATCGCGAAACTGGCATTATTAATACATGAGGATTGAACTCATTTATAATTTATAGCGATTCGCAATTTTATTGCTGTAATCCCGGCTATTCATGGGCGTTAACCCAAGTCCTGGTTCTTCTGCTTTCGTATGAACTGGAGACGAACAGTTCGCTGAAGAAAATCCAGGGTTATTTGATTGAAATGCTCGTATTTGTTTTAAAGTTACCGTTCCATCAGATGTGGTTCGGGTCATTGATGGACTAAACGAGCTATTTTTCATATCATAATTCAAAGTCTCTGTTCCCCTTGCAACTTTTGTTTCCCCAGTCTTAATAACCTCAGGATTAACATCCTCATTCTCCATGACGTTGGACAAATCTGAAGCATCCATTTTTTCATCCAATTTATCCACTATTCTATCCTCCATTTTGGAATTGGTTTCCTTTAGTCCTTCCTATACAGTAGACAATAAAGTTATTGGAATATAATTAACCCCAGTAAATGCTTATAACAAAATGAGCTCCCACTAACGTATCTTATAGTATATATATATATATATATGCTCATTACTGCAGTTCATCAATCACTGGGATACGCCACGACTTCTTGTCATTGCCACGTCAACGTATACGCCTCTACAATTGGGGACTTCGGAAAATTGCCTTCTGACTCTTTATGAATTGAGCATCATGAAACATGGAGGTTTTGTTGTAGAAGTCGAATAGCTAGCTGGGAGATACAGAGGAATCTGGCTGTCTTCCTTGATTCCATGACGTAAAACAAATTCATGGAAAATAAACAAACGGAATAGTTAGGAATTGTTGGTAATTGTTGGTAATTTAATGGTTATAAATTAATTTAAGGATTTTGCATTTGAAAATGTTCCAGCTGTCGTTGTAAAGTAGCAATCTGTGTTTCTAGATGTTCAATCTTCACCTGTGAATTCATTGTAAGCTGTGCAGTCGATGATTCTACAGAAGAATCAGGCGATTTTTCTTCTTCAGTCTTCTTCTTCCTTCCAGAAAAAGTCCGAAAGAAAGGTATGAGAAATCGGCTTCTCCTTCGTTCTGGACGCTTTGGTCGTTCTTGCTTTCCTTTACTTTCAGCGCTTGGGGTTGCCGAAGTTTCTGCTTCTCTCGGTGTGTCAGGAAAAGTTTCCCGTGATTTTTCTTTCGAAATCTGGTTTATATCCTCTTGTGAGTCTAATATTTCTCCAATACTACTAGTAGTACTACTAGTGACGCTTTCCTCGTCATATCGATCCTTCCCTTTGGACTTTCGACCACGGAGATCCATTTCGCTTTCCGTTTTTTGTCGGGATAGTTCACTTTTTGTTTCATTTGGAAAATTTGTTCGAACTTCAGATTCAGTAGTGCTACCATAATCAATTCCATTTTTGATTTTATCACCCTTCAACTCATTAAAGTTTGTAGGGGTAATGTTTGGGCGCATTACAATGGACTGCGATGATTCTTTGCTTTCACCGTCAAATTCTTCTGTAGGCAACGGCTCTTGCTGCTCCGGTTTTTCAATGGTATAATCATCCCCATCAATAATCAGAAAACTCTCATCAGAACTGAACATGCTAGGAGAAGACTGTTCATCATCCATCGGGACTATAGAAAACGCCACCGCCAACCCATAGCTAGGAGCTAGTTTGTTCACTTGCGACTGAAACTTAGGATATACGATAAATGGATCGTCTTCTTTATCAACATGAGATTTTTCCTGTACTAACTGTCTCGATTGAACTGGACTGGTTTCTGTGGGTAAGACTACAGAATTTGATGTAAAGCGAGCCGTCAACGCAGGTGTATACATAGGTAATAGCCTTGTAGAAAGAGACATGGATGTCATTGCTGATGATGGCGAGGAGTTCTTTATAGGCGCAATTATCTTTAGCTCCTCAATTTGCTTTGTCAATTCTTCAATCTGATAGCTAGCGCATTTTTTCGTCAAATATCGCATAGACATATCATAGATCCCTTGATATTCTGATTTGGCTAAACCATAATATAGAATAGCTTGCGCTACATCTCCAGAGACTTCTTGAATTTCCCCATCTCGAGCATACTCATGTGCCTAATATTGTTAGCTTTCTGTTCAACCGGCTCTCATATAAAGCTTAGTATTTTAAAACTTTAAGTATTACAGAATAAATTATTAATTTTTTAGTGAATTTTCTTACCTTTTTTAGTGAATATCGAACCATCCCACATGATAATGTTTGTGTTTGGATGTGGTAGAATCATAATATTAGTGTTTGTAACATCTGCTTGTGCGATCTTTGATATTCAAGTCCTAAGACGAATCCATATATACAAGTCAAGTTGTAGTCTAATTTTTTCAGCTATTAATGCTAGTTCTTTAGCATACAAGGTAATAAAGATTTTTTAGAGTAGTCGCAGCTACGAAATATTACTACAGTGATTTTAACTTAGTTCAATACTATAGATTAAGGGCATATCTTTTTCAATAAAAAAAAACTAAAAAAAAAAAACTAATAGAAACTTTACTAGTTTTATTTTAAAATCATGATCCATTCCTAAACGGATGCATCAAGTTTGTAACACGGAATCATTAAAATTAATAATAATAAAGGGATAAAAAGTCCACTTATGCATACATAACCTTTAAAGCGATAATTTCGTTTGAAAAGATTGCTCTTCCAAAATTTCCTTCTTCATTTGGAACTGGTTCACCTTCTACACAGTCTCTTATTTACTTCTTCCACTGAAGAAGACCTCAGGAGTGGTGCAAGCACCCAAGGCTCTCCGCATGTGAGAATTGCAAAAGGTAAGTCCAATTTCGTAACTAGCGTTCACCCAACCAAATCCTTCTCTTGCAACACCTTGAATATCAACACCTTGATTACCATATTCTGCTTCAACCCGATGAGGATCGACTGGTCTGGTTAAATCATATTTTTCAACAACGATTCCATTGAAATCAACGAAGGATTTCGTAATAGTATAGAGCCAGCGATATACCACTCTACGGAGTTCCTCATCATAACCATAACGAATGAGACCATACCAAGCCAAGATTTGTTGTGGACTCCAGCCATTCGGATAATCCCATTGACGACTTGGATTATGGAGACCCACCTGACCAAGACTTTCCTTCGTACCAGCAACAATACCACCAGATACTTCAAACTTGGGTAAACTAACTTCAACAAATTTGGCTGCTTGGCGAGGTGTTGCCACACCGGCCCAGAGCGCCCAAAATGAAGTTGCACTCTCATAAGTACTCTGCTTTTCAAATTTGGTGTCATAATCGAACCACATGGATTGGGCTTCCGACCAGTTGTACTTCTCCATAGCAGCACGACGAGACCTTGCACGGCGGTCCCAAACAGCGGAAGACTCAACACGGCCATCTGGCAATTCGAATTTGTCATTGAAGTTTTCCAAAATAACACGGGCTATGTCGGTCTCGTACTTATACAAAAGAGAGTTCAAATCCACAGTTGCCAAGTCAGCACACACTTTCTCAAGGCGGTATGTTGTATCGTGGCCACTTTCACGAACAGCACGATCGTGTAAAAAGTACTCATCTAAAGCAGGTTCCTGAACCTTTTGATAATTGTAAGCCTCGGTAAACTCCTCAAGACTCATGTTATATTTCTCCATGTAGGGCCGCAACAACTGCTCAAAATGGCTAGCTTCAGTTTCGGGAGGAACACCAAGACCATCGGGACGGTATCTAGAAAGACCAGTTTTTGGGTCATAGCGAGGTGCACTCATCCACACTGTGTAGTATTCCTTTATAGCTGCACAAAAGGCGCGGTACAAAAAGTCTTTCGAACCTTCGTCATTTTGTATACGTTCGTATACGCGTAAAGTCATATCGGTAAGGAGTGGAGGTTGAGAACGCAGCAAGTAATAAGTTCTGTTGGCATTCAAAATCTTACCGTAGTGTTTAATTTCGAAAATAAAGTTTTCTACCATTCCCTTAGCTAAATCGACGCGATTATCAGTGAGCAAACCAAGCGCCTCAAAATAAGAGTCCCAACCATACATTTCATTAAAACGGCCACCAGGAACAACAAAGGGGACACCGCGAAGGTGGCTCTGTCCTTCGTCATCCGTATATCTTTCCATGCCAAGAGCAAGTAAACCAGGCTTATGGTTGGCATCCCGGACCCACTCTTTCGTAATTTTTTCGGGTAGATATTCCACTTGCAAATTCAAGTAAGGACGTTCTTTTGAAGCACGGCAGTAGTACTCATAAATCTCCTTTTCGGGTAAGGGGACGTAGATGCGGTTCACTGAGTGACCAGAACGATCCTTGGTGTCATGGCAAATGACGTCCAAAGTACTAGCATCAATTCTTCGGGTAAGTGCATCCCAAAAGGTGCCTTTAATAAGTCGAGAAAGACGGCTAACAGGATTTTCGTTTAATCTACGCTCATCAATCATAACATAGCGGCGGCCATAGTCCTTGGCAAGGGTTAATTCTTGAAGCAAGTTGGACAACTGATAAGTGCCTCGGAGCTCGTAAAGACGATAGCCGCCTGAACTAGCACTACCTAAAGAAACGACTTTCGGTCCAGTGTCTTCAATGGTTATTTGCATATTGCGATCAGTGTCCTCGGATTCCAGCAAGGAATGCAGAGTTTTATCAACGTCAACCAAAAATTTTCGAGGCTCTTTATGTTCATCTAAACTACCGCGGCGGCGAATATTCTTAAGTTCGGGATTAGCAGCCGCAGGTGATTCTGCTGAAGTAGAGAGCGTACGTCCGCGACCTGAGCCAAGACGAGTCGATATATCTGTGTCTTTGCCATAGTAACTTTTAGCATTCACAAAGGGGTCACTGTCCCGTTCATTCTCATTGACATTATTATCGGTGTCAACGTACTGAGAAGAAAATTTTGGAGGCATTTGGAAATAAAGTGCAATGATATCGCAGAGTGTATTGAAGAGAGAAGAAAGATAAAACTTGGAATTATAAAAGAGGTACTCCAAAAAGGGAACGACGACAGGAAAACAAACAAACAAAAAGTTATCAAGTTACTATCCTGTAATACAAAAATTCAGAGTTCAAGAAACACACGCACACACACACACACACACACAACAAAGTCCTATTTTCGTTCAAACAAGTAATTAGCCTTGCGAACTGCTTACTTCATGAAGGGGAGGTTCGCGAAAACGAAAATGTCTATTTTTAAGCAAAAAGACGATGAATTGATCCTCGCTGTTCCAATGCTCTTGGTAAACAACTGCTTAGACAATTGTTAAAAATGAGATTTTATGCCAAAATTTGGAAAAAAAAGAAAATATAAAAATAGGTATGAGAAGGCAATTGAGAAAACCTATTAAATCTTTTTATAAAATGATTTTTTCTGTAAAAACTGGAAAATATTCCTCCGTCCAATATTCTTCGATCTGTTAGGAAACTTGTTAAAGATAAATAAAATCCTCGCCAGCCTTGCTATATTGCTGTTGACGTACACAAGCGTTACCTGATGACGCGGGCTCTTATTTGAGGTTACAAAACAAAGGTACGTATCGAATTCCATAGGAAAAATTTTACTTGGCGAATATTAAAGTTGTTTATTTTTCCCAAAAAAACGCTTGTTTTTACTATTTCAAACCCTCTTTTTATAAATTAAACATAAATTCGATCACCGGAACAGAAGATAGGTGTTTAACGTATTCTGTTGCATCTCAGAATAACGAAAATGGAAAATGGAAGAATTCATCTAGAGGAAGCTTGCAAAGGATTCTCATTACTGCTGGATTTTTTTTTTGTTTTTGTTTTTTATATTGGCCACTATGTGCCTCTTTCTTCTCATAATTGTTTGACTGTTTTTGTTACTTGAGGAATTGTTGGGTGAATGTTCGTTTCCTTCTGAATCTTTTTGAACTAGTTGGACGACCATAATTTAGAGTTGTCTTTTTTTTGTTTTGTTTTCATTACAATTGGTGCGTTACATGGGATTTGTGAGGCGGTTATAAATATCATAGAAAGAAAAATACGATATCATTTTAAGGTTGGTTTTTATTGAGATTATCATACTACATACAATCGAATGGGATTTCAAGGATTGCTTTGTCTGCAGAGGAAAGCACGTTTTATCTCGATTCGAAAGGGAATAAGAATAGAAACCTTCTAATAGGCTTGTTTAAAATAATTTATTGCTTGCCTTCGATTCTAAAAATAATAAGCTTCTTTTTTAAAAGAATGAAAAAAGAGATTGAAATCGAAAATCAGGTCGTACTGGGAATCGAACCCAGGTCTCGAGAATCAAAATCTCATGTGCTAGCCATTACACCATACAACCTTAGCTGACTGAGCTGTTTAGAATACTTATAAGTTTAAATTTTTAACAACTCTAGACTCCATTATTGCAATGGTGACAGCAACAGAAGCACCTGCTGTGATATGGGTCCGCTATAAATCCACCCAGTGGAAGGGAAGGAGACCACGTCGGATTCTTACAGCAAGCACATAACATTTACTGTAGTAGTTAAATTACTCGATTAATTAATCATCTATACACTTCAGGTATCGCACTCGGAATTAATAGTAGTAACACTATAGAAGAGCTACTATTAGATTTAGAGACGATTATCAGTGATGGCAAGCGTGAACGAGTAGAGCTGTTACTCGATTATTTGCACAATAGTGACGATGATTCTTCCTATTATAGCGATATTGTTTCGGGATTGTTGGGATCCTCTGCAACTTACAAAAGGGTATTAAGCTATAGTCCTATATGCTCTAAGTAACGCTGGGCTGATATTGACAGTTGTAAAGCACTGGCTATTCAGATACAAACTGAAGGAACCTGGAAAGCTGCATCCCTATTTCAGCAGAATTTAAGAACGTGCTGGGTGACTTCGCCGGGCGATTACAGCATGACATTTCAGAAGATAGGATTCGAAGCTATGATGGTAGTCGAACATTGCGGGGAGAAGCATTTGGTTTCGATTGGTCTGGCTAAATAAGATCCTCTTCCTACTTTCAATTTAGTTAACCAGATTCCTGGACACTACTAGCGTCTATACACGTAGTACAACAAAGTCCAATTAACGTATACAATTTTACAATTGTAGATATTAATTTCGCTCAAATTTTATTCTCATAAACCGTGAGAATTACTAACGTGTTTTTTAGACGTATGTATTCATTTTTTTTTACAATCAACTCATACCAGTTTGCATCCACTGGAGAGGCTATTTTCATATGAAACGCCCAGTGCTGAAATTGCGAAAATACGTCCACCGTAGCTTGTATTGGTTTCGTATAAGACAGAGATTTTGCGTTGAATACGGTTACAATGAATCAGAGAACAGTTATACAAAGCTGATTTTTCATTTGGTTGAGCCAATTCGAATGTAATATATTGATTTGTAAAAAGAAAGAAAGAAAAAAAGAAAGAAGGAAAAAGAAAGAAAGATTCTATATACACACTATTTTAAGTATGTCTTCATGATGGTTTCCACTTTTGTTTGTTTACGTTTCATTTTTGATACCTGAGCTTGTTACTCTGCGACTCACGATATGGTTTGTTTGCCGTCGAATGTAGGAAAAAGGAAGTCAGGAAGAGATAAAACTATAATAAAAATAAAAGGTTATTTTTTATAAAAATAATAAATCAAGTTCTCTTTGAGAGTCATTGAAAATATATGAAGTGGGTTTTTTTTTGCATTTCGAATTGTACGTTTTTTGCGACTTTTAGTCATTAAAATGTCGCTAAATATTTTTCTTGGCTCATGAAAAACAACATAACAAGCTGTTTATGAATTTTTTTTATAAAAAGACACGAAGCTGCAAAAACTGAACAATGAGTTTCAAGGAACCAAACATGAAACCAGTGCAGCCCATAAAATATCGCAACAGATCAAATATTTACAGTCAACGATTCATATGCTACGCAAAAGATCAATAATTTTGTATTAAGTAAATGTATGAAATGTGAGGATCCATAAAGCAATTACCAACTAAAAGTAGAGATGAAAAATATAAATATCATATCTTGTTTTCAAGGTCTATATTTGGACCCAAAAAAGGTCGTACTGGGAATCGAACCCAGGTCTCGAGAATCAAAATCTCATGTGCTAGCCATTACACCATACAACCGTGCTGAGAACTAACGAGTATTAGAACTAGTTCACCCTTCTGACACATAAATCTCAAGCCGAGGAGAGTCGTTTGTTTATACTTTCAATGAGTGGTCTACTTCCTTAGCATAGTAGGAATGAAACAGTCGTCTTTCGCGCATGTTTTCATCTAATGTACTCACCGTTGTTTCTAATAAATCCCATTTCGCGATACTAGTAATAACCTCAGAGTAGTTTTACAGGGCTTGGCTCCTCACCAGACAAATAACCAAAATTTTAAGATCGAAAAAAGTACGGTTGTGAAGGTCGTACCGGGAATCGAACCCGGGTCTCGGGAATCAGAATCCCACGTGCTGACCACTACACCATACAACCGTAGCTTGACGTTTCGGAAAGCAAAAATATTATAAGAGACATAAATTGAGCACATAAAATCCTTACATACGAAGAAGTGCATTTCAGTCGGATTCAGGATTCATGATAAACATGAATTTACAAGTTCAATAGGATGGTTGGTTTCTCAATTCTAAATGCGTATAGATTTTCTGTTTTTGCTGAAAGTGAGAGGTATCTATTGCTAGGAACGTTCACAAAAGCAGCTTAAAAAGCTACAGTAAAACTTTTGTCAATAAGGTGTAAGAGAGCGACTCGTATTACACATCATTTCGTCTTTGTTTCTCTTCGTTACGAAGTTTTTTCATTTATAGTCTAAACCATACGAAGAAACCAGCTTTCTAATTTGATTTTCTTTTTCTTTCCAGTTATGCTTACATGTCTTTCTTTGAAATACTCATCCTTCTTCAAGTACTTTCAAGCAGGCCATGGTATTGCAATTCATATGGTACAGGAATTAGGAAGAAAAACCTATTCCAAGGCTTGTAAAGACATAATCCTGTTTCTTTTCATTCATTCATTCATTCATTCATTCCTTTTCTTGGTTAGAATATTGTACCTTTAGTAAAAAGTTAACTCCCAAGGCGAGACTCGAACTCGCAACCTTCTGATAACCATCTTAAGAGTCAGACGCTCTAAACCGATTGAGCTACCCGGGACTTTCATATATAAACTATTTAACAGATATAAAGTATGAACATTTCAATTGAATATTTGAATTGAAATAAAAAATCTAGGTCTTTTTTTTTATTATTTCATAAAATTCTACTATCTACTTTCATTGAAGTACTTAAAAACAAACAGTACATGTCTCGACAATTGTTTCCAGTAAAGTTGATTGTAGTATATACATAGGATATTCATGGCTCGGTGAAACGAAAGTACATAAGCTCTATTATGACCAAACATGCCAACGAAATGTGCTTTTAAAATAAGCTTTCCAAAAATTCCAATTTCTCGAAATCTCTTCGAAATATCAATCGGATCAAAAAAGATTGGTGTAAAGCAAAGACCATTGAAGGGAACTCAAGTGTATGCGGTATAACAAATTAGGTATTGGGTAATTAAACAATGAAGATTCCACTGTCATCTTAATAATCGTAATCATTTCTCACGAGTTTTCAAATCGCATGTAGCATATGTTTATCTTGAATCCAGAAATTAAGAGACAAATTATTGGTCTCCGAAATGGTATACTGACAGGACTATGCATGTCATCCGTAACAAATCTTCAATAAAAATCCCAATTATTTCTTGGTATTCTATCATGATGAATCATTTTTTTTCAACAAATGTGTAAAGTACTGAGTTACCGCCCGGTAATGATGTTCTAGCATGTTTGTTGCAGAATCATGCTCACTTTGCATCAAACGACCATATCTTCTTTTGTTCTTTTTAGGCTTTTTCCAGCAGTCGTCCGAAGAACGAACAAAAACTAGAGAGTGTCGAAAGTACCAGCCCGGTAAATCATCTTCAGATGCAGTCTTTAATCCTGTAAGTGGTTCTGAGCCAAAAAAATTAACAATACAACGGACTGTCTTCGTCACATTACGTGAAGCGATTAAGTGAATAATCCCTTCGACTGCTTTCCCGGATGCAACAAAGAAAACATTTCTAGCAGATGTAAGCTCAATATAGTTATCCCAAATATATGTACATAATTTTTTCGTTTCTTCATGCATATTGTATGGTTTATTCTCACCAGTTACCACCTCAGGTATGTTGATGTCTATCAGTCCGAAGTTTTGTTGCATAGCCCATTCTATGTACAGACTGCCAGGATCTACTAAAAGCGAATCAGATGTACTCAAAGCATTTGTATCTTTTTTACCATCCCCCAAAACAAGGGGTGCTTCATGGATAAGTACAACCAAGACATCTTTTTGAAAAAAATCATTTGAACATAAAGTCTGATTGGCAAATGTTTCAGAAAGGGAATCACGAAGAATTGGAAGATTAGTTATTTTCCAGTCTTCGAAAAGCTTTTTTGCCTGATACGATCGTATAATATCGTGAAGTCTGCTAACATGAGCATTTTCAGGATTGGCCGATATATATTTGGGTCGCATGCATCTCCAGAACTGGGACTGTATTTCTGTAACCTTATCTACTGTTTCGACTGCATGCCGTGATGCGTAAACCATATGCAATCGACCAGGGGGTAACCCAATCAAACTTTGTGCTACTGCTAAAGCAGAAACACTTATAGCATCCAAACTATATCCTCCTTCTAAAGAAGCGAAAACTTTCCCATCTGCCAATCCCATTAACATTTGGGTCATATGAGCATAAGCTGCCGGTGTCACTAAGCACTGGCCAATATGATCACCAGCTGCAGCATCAAAGCCAGAACTAATGATCACCAAATCAGGTTGAAACTCATAAGCAATCGGCATAACAACGCGTTGGAAGGCATAGATATAATCACCATCACCCATGCCTGAGCATGGCCATGGAATATTGACAGTACGGCCTAAGCCTGCACCTTCACCACAATTTTCTGCACAACCATATACTGTACCAGGATAAAATCTTCCCTGTTCATAACGGTGAAGAGAAATATACAATACATTTGGATCATCATAGAAAGCCATTTGAGTACCATTACCATGATGCACATCCCAATCAACAATTAGAATTCTTTTTACTTTGTCAGGATATCGTTGAAGCATGCTCCTAGCAGCGACAGAGACATTGTTAAATAGGCAAAAGCCACCAGGTTTATGAGGTTCCGCATGATGACCAGGAGGACGAACAACGGCAAACGCATTTTTTACTTTTCCTGTAACGACAGCAGCACAAGTTTCAATGGCACTTCCACAAGCTAGTCGTGCGCAAAAAGCACTCTCATTATTGAAGTACAAGGAGTCACTAATCTTTTCAAGGTTTGCAAGATCCTCTCTGGACATTAATTCGGTTTTTATAATTTTCTCATACATTTCTGGCGTATGTACCCTTAATAACTCTTCCAAAGTAGCTTCCCTTGATGGAAGGCGAAGAAAAGCATCAGCAGGACTTGGAGTATTAGAAACGTAACCAGCCTTTCTAATTGCTTCAAAGACACGAAGCACACGTCTAGGGTCTTCTGGGTGATCATCTACTTCATTCAGAGTTGCATGAAATCGCATCCGTGGATCATAACAAAGACCGGATTTCTTAATCGCTTCTAAAGATCCTGCATCTTCAGAAGAAATGAGAGTTTCTTGATTTACAATATGATTTTCTCTTTTTAACAATATTGACCAAGGTGTTACCGTACTAGGTCCGTCGTCAGCAAGTTTCTTTTCCAAAACCATTCTAGTTTGTCGTGAGCATTCGAAAAGAGAGGAATTTAATATCAATTGAATTAATAAACGATAGGAAAAAGAAAAATTTTACAAGATCACCAAGGTTCGACGCGGTTCTTCTGATAATGCGTGTACCTTGAATCCGGTAGTACCAATTGGTATAGTAAAGTAGCTAAGTATTTTGTATGGAGAAAGGAGAGATTCAAGCAATTGAAGAATTTGAGTGATAGTTTCTAATACATTTTATTGTTTCCGTGTATTATATTTATAGAAAATCAAATTTACAGCAACCTTCTCTTCTCAAATCCAAATCCGTTGGAAATACAAGTAAGTACATATGAAAACGAAAGTACAGTTCAAATCTCATCTTGAGAAGTAGGGAGATTCTTGGATAATTAAAAATAACATGGCATTAAAATATAAAAACAATTCAGGAAAAGGGTACTCATAACAATAGACTTTAAGGGAAAGGTTCATTTTCGGTTTACTGAAAGCTGATCAAGGTCAACAAAATTTATCATCGTAATAATCTTTACTAATTTGAAGGATTCTCGGTACTTACATCTGCTGAACGCGTATGAACGAAAAGACGGTTCCATGTACAAAGCCAAAAACATGAAAATAGAAGCGGCTAAATCAAATCTATTTCTTCCTTTTCTTGCCACTTTTTTCTTTCTTTTTCCCCTGTTCGAAAACAAAACCCCAGAGCTTCTTCTGTAAGCTATTCAAAGTTAAGTGCGGCAAAAGGTATTTTTGCCTTCCAAAAATGGAGGGGGTAGAGAGGGTTCAGAGAAAATATTAACTTCAACAAAAATCATAATGAATAAAGGAAAATAAATAGAGAATAGCGACATAGAAGATGATACCCAAGTGTTGAAAAATCTTCAGCAACATGACACAAATAAATAAATCAATTCCAGTCAACATAACAAACATAGCATTTACATTAGGGAGTCAGTTACTTTCATTCCTCAGAACTTTCAAAAGAAATATTCCCAGAAGGAACGGCGTGAACCAAACTTAAGATTGCCTCTGCTGCCTTACACTCTTCACTTGAAAGAGAAAAGTGTACCGAAGGACAGTTGCTAAGGGCCTTTGGCTTATAGAGCTCTGAAGGAGATGAACAATTCATCATAGATCCAATGTGTCCTCCTTCATGCAAAAAGGCAATATGACTGTTGCATATAGTAGCTAGATTTCCATTCATGTTTGTAGGAGAAGAACAAGGGAGGTCAAAGGGGACTTTTGACTTCTCCAACAAAGTATCATGCGAATTCAACCACGGAGGGCTCGTCCTGTCTAAAGACGATGACACAGAGGTAGGACTAGAAGAGGAAAAAGGCGAAGAAAAATTATTAGAAATCAATTGTAAGAATTCTTCGCGTGGACTTATCAATCGAGAGAAGGAATTAGCGCGTGTCTTAAGTGGATTTTCTCCAAATGGATAAGCCTTCTTCGAATTCATGGTATCCAAATCGTTTATAGACCGAGACCTACGATGAGCGTTTTTTCTTTTCCGTATCAAACTTTCGACCTGGTCCAACGTTTGGTTTTCCCAACCACGATCAACTTTGAATACCGCGTATTTCAAACGCGCCTTCAGCTTCTCAGACATCTAAATATTAACGTTAATAATAATTTGATATTATCAAATGAAAATCAACAAACAATCCCACGATAGGTAATTGTAATGGCAATTAGTTCTCGGGACCCTTAAAATTCAAGAAAAAACGACGAACCTTTCTCAAAGAATTGCCAGAATTGGTTTTTGAATGCTTTTGCTTTGCCATTGTCATATCTTCACTACTCAAGCTGCTTTCATTCAAGAGCAATGCGTCGTACTACTAGCAACTTCTATTGGTTATTTGAGATCGTCAAAGACTTTAATAAATATCAACGTTAAGGTCCAAGTTTTAAGAGTAGAAAAAAACACAGATGAATACACTAAGTACTCGATAAATTCCTAAAAAAGAAAACGCGTTGTTGATGGCTTCTGGTTAATAGCAAAAGCGCGTTGCTTCTACGTTACGTGGTAGTGTTTGGGTAATATATTTAAGTCATTGATAACTTGTTAAGTACGAGACTTAAAAGCTTTAGAATTTACTCATTTAGTACTAGATTAATTTTTTAATTTCATTGTAGAATTTAACCTGGCTATCAATTTAGCCGTCGTGAACTTGCATTTTCAAGGCAAACTGTGAGTTCAATGTCAAATTTGAGAGCCAAAAGATCTATTAATACATCATTATAAACTATATTTATTTCCTATTATAATCCCAATTCTCCCATTTTTTTTTTCTGTCCGATGCGTAAAAGGAACGAAACGAAAGGAGCATGCAAACAAAACAAAACTTTTAGAAAAAAAATAACCCACACCAGAATAAGTATTAATAGGCTTATCTATAAACCTCCATAAAGAACCTTTATCTTCTAGATTTTTTACCACCAGAGGTAGCACCCGAATCTTGTCGAAGTCTTTTACCATTTCGAGCAAACCAATCGGCTTTCTCTTGACGCTTCTTTTCAACATATACTTGCTCTTCTTTCTGCATTTTTTTGTGATACTTCTCGTGTTCCTCGGCCTTCTTAGCTTTACGCTTGCTTTCTTTATCAGACTTGAGCGTCATTACCTTTTGCAATAAATCACGAGCCTTTCTTTCATCTGCATTTAACAAGACAGTGCGCTTCTGCATGTAGGTAGGCTTGCTTCGAGGTCGAACTTCTTTAGGACGAGAAGCATAAGGAAGCTGTGCTTGTAAAGATGCGGGAACCTTGAGAGGATTGAAATGTCGAGTAGGGCGAACAATTTCTTTATATTGGGAATTAGGACGTAATGGAGTTTTCAAACCAAGTTCATGGCGTACTTCTCCTGTCAATCTCATACCCGTCCACTCATTCTTTACTGGTTCTAACAAGTTCGTAACCGTCGTACAAAATTCACGAACTTGCACAGGATACCATGCTCTTAAAAAAACAATATCACTCATCAACACCTTATCCTCAAACGTCGCACGGAAATGACCATGTTCTTTATCAACGGCTTTCTTGACTTGTCCTCGAATACCGGAAACTGTCCTAATATTTGCACCTTCGAACTTGGCAACTTCCAAAGGACTATTGAACATCTTTTTAATAAATGCTGTATTCTTGAAAATTTTGTATGGAACACCAGTTAATTTCAGCTTCTTTACAATTTCACTCGATTGGTTGACGTCGAGAACCGTACCAGTAGCAGCAATTCTAAAACTACCTGCTTGGGCAAATGAATTAGCAACATACTGCACGGCACAAAATCCTGTATTGGGTGCAATGAATGGTCCGTAAAATGTAGCAAAGCAATGCATGTGCTCTGGGGTATACTTTAACATCCTATTCCTAGTACGAGAATCACTGATGGAATAAACGGGAACGGACTGTACTCTTCTCCAACCCAAGCTAAAAATTAACGGATCGTTTGTTTTCAGGATCTTCTTATGCCAGCGATGTCTCTTGATACGAGCTTGCACAAGTCCATATCGTTGCTCATTTGGCAATAGACCACCAACAACCACTGGATAACGAGAATCGAACTGTTCAACAAACTCGTATGGAACGCCTTTAAAAACGAGACGTACATACGCACCAGCACGATATCCCTCAATTTCTGCTCTACTCTCGGGGTCCATGTCCTTGAATGCTTCTCTGTTGATTTCCAACTGACGAGCAATCTTTTCTTTTTCTTCTCCATACCAATCAACATCTTTTTTCTCTGGATCGCCACGATCTTCTTCTTCAAATCGAAGTTTAAGCTCTTCCTTTTTACGAGCATTTTCCTCTCGTTCTTCCTCAAAATCAGGAGCATCAGAAGCTTCGTCTTCCCCTGGTTCACCAGATTTCTCATTATCAACTGACGGTTCTCCACCCTCATTATTATCCGTACTTCCTTCGTCCTCTAAATCTTCAAAATCAGCTGTTTCATTCTCTTCCTCGTCGGCTCCTCCTTCATCCTTCTCTTGGGTATCTAGCAAACTTCCTGTAATAAAATGATATTTAAGTCGAGCAAGGCGTTCAGAATCTTCATACTTCTTATTATAACGTTCAAGTTCTTCCTCGAAAGAATTCTTTTCATTTGTTCGGGTGGGAGTTTCCAAATCAGCCTTTCTAGGCTTAAAGAAGTCATCATCATCACCTTCACCCTCATCGCTTCCATTTTCCACCGTATCCAATGGCTCTCCATGAATCTCAGACAAAGCTTGTTCTGGCGAAAGAGACTCATCATAAAATACTTTCTGTAAGTTCCTGCGGCGGCGGCGACGAGATTCAATGAAGGAAGCCGTAGCTCGCGAAGCCATACCCTCTTTCCATTTCAAATCAGACGATTCTTCTTCATCTAAAAGATCACCGAGATCTGAATCACTTTCAGCAAAAGGAACCTCCTCTTCAGCAGCTTCATCCTCATTATCCTTAGTCGCTCCAATGTTTTCAGAGTAACCAACGTCATTTTCGTCAGCAGACTCATTTTCAGAGTCATTTGCTTCATTTTCCTCAAGATGCAGCATATCGTCAGAAACAATACCGGTTGGTTGACGTCGTGCTTTTCTGCCGACATCAGATGCCTCTTGTTCAGCCTCGGAACCAATGACATTGGTGTTACTGAAAAGTTGGATACCGGATGAAGGATTTGCACCCAAGGGTTGATGAGCCTCTTGTAGTTGCATGACCATACGTTCGCCAACTCCTGCTTCAGAATTGTCATCTTTTGAAAAATTTGAGGTAGGAACCTCTATATAAACACGATCTTTATCGAAAAGAATACCACCGATATCAGCCATAGGACCATAAATCAATTTTTGCTTTTCAGAAAGCCTGCGTCTCCTGACTTTATCAGCGTCTGGTGGAGGACAGGGGTCATCTAATTTAGAAGCATCGGCCACATTAAAGTCACCAACGCCTGGGATGTGAACTGGTGCATCATGTTTTGGTAAGTTTGTACCATGGAGATAACCATAAAGGGTAACAGTACGAGAAACCTTAGGATTCTCTTCAATTTCAGTAGGTAACGTCAAATCTTCCATGCGATCAGCAAGTAAGTATGGATGCTGGTTACGCCATTGAAGAGGGCGAAATTTCATAACGCTGATAAACCTTGACAAATTCAAAATTTCACGGTCAGGATACCTTCCATTAAGAACACCTGAAAGATAAAATAATTTCGCTCCCTGGTACAACTCTGTCCAAAAACGGTGCTTCAAACGTTTTTTGGCTGCACGAAGGGTAGCAGGTTTTTTGAATAAATCTAAGTGGGTCAACACACCCATAATTCGGGGCATTCCGTGAGGTGCTAAAATGTTAAGAAATTCCATCGTTTCCATTTCAAATCCAAAGTTGGCATCAACTAAAAGTAGAACAAGATCAGCAATCTTTGCTACATCAATCATGGAACTCAAATCATTAGGGCATTCCAGAAAAGTGATTCTTCGTGATTTGCCAGCAACCACAGTAATAGGACCCGTAATATTAGATACAGTATATTTAGAATATCGCCGAACCAAAGATTTAATTAATGTAGATTTTCCTGTTCCAGGTGGACCCATAACAGCAACAATTACAGGTGGCGGCGATTCATCAGGCGTACGATCCACCATGGGCACGTGCAGCTTCTTTTGAGACAAGTCTGCAGTTCTCATAGCTTGTCTAGCCATACGTCCTGCCGAAGCCACGGCAAATGCCTAAATTGTTAGATTACTATTCCAACGAAGAATTCCCTAATTCCACATACCTTTGGATTGCTCTCTGCATTGGCATTGGGTGCTTTCTTTGACTTTTTCTTTTCTGCTTTAGGCCCAGAATGCTTTGCATAATGGGCTTTTTTCTCATCCATGGCCGAAAAGCTAGTTGTAGGATGTTGGCAAAGAGTACTTACTGCTCATAGAAAAAATCAGGTACAAGTAGCGACCAGGTAACAATACAGTGAAATTGAGAATATGCTATTAGTAGAAATTCTTTTTTTTTTTTTAAGCTAATAATTCGTGAAAAAAACAGTTATCTACATTATTCTATGTACTTGATACATTCATTTTTAACTCATTAGTTAGTACTTTAGTATAACGCGTACAATAGAGAAGTTGTATAAATAAAATTGCTTGATGATCATAATTTATCAAAAAAAACTTTAAAAACTCATAATATCTAGGGTTCAAAAGAGAAGTCTAGTCCTCCTTTACCATTCAACCAGTCCTCACCAACGATACGCAAACGGCCATATGGACTTCCACCTCGTTCCTCTCCAACATATAGCTTACTAAAAGACGCAGAGAGCAATTTCCTGGCTTGATTTCCATATGTACGCAAAAGGGCCCGACCAGCAATGTCCAAATATGTAGTTACAATAGAGCAAAGGATTTGGCCTAATTCTATATCCTTATCCAAAAACTCTCTAGGAGATGTTAAGTTTAGAAGCCGAGAGAAAAGTCTCCAACTCCTGGGGGCTAACGAGTCGTCTAGGGATACGAATGCGGCATAAACAGCAAAAATGCCACACTGCCGTTCAATATAAGGAGCTTGTTGTTCGTATCGTCCGTCAGTCATTTTTTTGTAGCCCATCTTTTTTCGTCCAATTTCTGTATGTAAATCGTAAATTTCAGGGATCACCCATGGACACTTTTTCTGTAATCGTGCGAGTAATAAATCAAAAAGATCTGGGTTCTGAAAACATAACAACAGGCAGAGCTTTGCTAATGGAAAGGCACTAGACAGATTCACTGATACTTCGGCTTCAGCTTGCTTTACAACAGCCTTACAGAAGAAATTCAGTATCCATTTATACACTACAGGTCCTTTTGTTTGAGCTTCCTGAAACGTCCCTTGTAGTAGACTAGTGATTTTCTGAATCTGGCTGTTACTCTTGGTTATTTGTCCCAACCGTGGGGTAATTTTCCGTCTCTGAGAAAAACAAAAGTTTTTGAGATCTTTGTTTTCAGACACAGGTTTGGTTATGTCACTTTTGATGGTTTCTATGATGTTCCAATAATAATTAGCATCCTCTTTGGGATCATCCTTGAATCGTTCTTTCAATTCCTTTTCACGCTGTGAAGCATGACTCTGAGTTTTTCTTAGTTCATCCTTTTTACTCTGCTCTTCCCTTTCTCTTTTTTCCCGTTCTCGCGCTTCCAAAAGTTCTCTTTCCCTTTTCTCCTTTTCTTTTCGTTCTTGTTCCTCTCTCCTCTTTCGCTCCGCTTCTTCTTGCTGGATTTTCAACCGCAATTCACGTTCGCGCTTTTCTCTTTCTATTCGAGCTTGTTCCTCTTGTACTCGCTCGATATCTTGGATCGTTGATTCAATTATATCGTTTTCTTTTTTATTTCTCTTCTTTGCCCAGTCTTTAGATGCTGTAATTGGGAGAGTTGTAGGCTTAGCATTCTCAATACTGTAAATGGGGATAGGAGGTTTTTTCTTTAATGATCTCCGCTTCCACTAATTTTAATTAGTTTCCTGTAAAAGAACTTCAGAAAGGAATTCATACCGCAGCAAATATCCGCCGAGTTTCATCATTGTATAAATCCCAAATATCTTCCGCATCGAGACCAGTATTTGGCAAAAGAATTAAAAATCTATTTAATTGAGATTGACTGTGAAATAAATTATCATTATTAGTTTCCATATTAGACTTTCAAGCAAAAACGACGATTCACCTAGGAATCGGCGTTTACAAGTGAACGTTTGATGGGTAAGCATTTTACTAGGTATTGGAGTAATAACAAAAATAGCAACAAAAGGAAGACATAAAAGTGCATTAGGAGTTAAATTCTTATTGTGAATAAAAATATGAAAAAGAATAACTGTGCCTTTCAAGGACGAGGACAAAGTCTATTGCCATTCTTGGAATAATGAAAAATTCTTTGAGGATGGAAGGATGATATATAAAAACAAAGGAATTGGAGAAACAAATCTTTTACTAAGAAAATTTCAAAGACTAAATACAGAAAACTATGATCGGGATTTGCAAAGATTGTAAAAGCATAAAAAGATTCATTTCAGCATAGAAACATTCTGCAACTTTGAGAACAAAGTAGCAGATTAAGAGCGTTGCTGGCAAAATAAATAAGTAAAATAGTTAGAATAAAAGAAACTGTAATATATAATAAGTAGAAGAGCAATAGAAGATACGGTACAGTATATATGCATAGAATTGATCATAACAACGAATTTGAAAATGCATTAACCCACAATGAGGGCAGTTAAGATAATACCCAGAATAGCCACTAAGATAATTAAAAAACAAAGGCTACGCTTCCTTGCCTTTCTAGATCTTTCGTTTGCAATCTGTAATTGTTTTGAGGCATTTTTAGAATTCGTAGCAGTATTCCCAATGTTGTACTCTATATTCGTCACTAGCTCTCCCTGTTCATTCACTATTGTGCTTAAATCGCCTAAAAATTGGTTAGTAGCAGATCAGCAAAAAAGAATCCGTTTCAAGGTCATTTCATGAATTTAATAAAAATGAAATAAACGAACGAAATACAGTAAATACTTACGGAAGATGTCATTCAATTCGCCGATTCCCTGGGTAATGTTGTCAATTTCACCTTGACGTTCGTGAATTAATCGCTGCTGGTATTCCAATTGAGAGTTCGACAGCCTTCGCTGGGTATATGTTTGCTTGGTACTCCTTTCTCCTACCAGAGTATCTTTTGCATGCTCCTCTTCTGCAATTGCCTGCTGACTTGCGTCTTGATTTAAAGCTGCTTGAGCTGCTTCTACAGAATCTGTTTCTTGCTGAGCACATTTTTGTTGAACACGTTGAAGTTCAGCTAATACATTATTAAAGTCTCTTGTAAGTTTTGAAACTGCAAAAGATGATGCTTCTTCTCCAAACTTCGAGTCTCGAATGTTGGAAAGACGAATCAGATCTGATCGTACGTTTTGGGATAATTCTCTTGACTTCTCTAGCAAATCATGTATATTTTTTGTTATGTTATTGACCAAATATCTGTGAATAGCGGCTGTGTTTCCTCGTAAAATGTGAATTTTTTGAGCTATTGTGTTTGCTACTGACGCAAACTCTCCATTCTGATCAGTTAAATTCCTTCCTTGTTCTAAATCTGCAAAAGACATGATAGAAATTAGGCATATATATACATAAAGTCGCAAGCTTTAGTAGTATCCTTCTTAACAACTATGAAATACCGTCCAACTTGAAAGCGAGACTTTCGGTTTCTTTCCGTTTTTGACTTGTTAAGCTTAAAACCTCATTCAACTGCAATTTGACAGCAATTGCTATTTCAGTTATTGAGATTATCAATAATTAGTTTGGTATAGGTAGTGGGATAATTCGATTACTATGAAACGAATCATAGCATACTTGCTATTTACGCTCCGCCTCGGTCGGTAAACGAAGTAACAACGATGAACTACAAGCTGAATAAGGTCATTTAAGGAATTCAGGCGAAATGCAGTTCGTACGTTCAAGGTTGTAAATATAAACAAGGAATTCATAATAAAATTGAACAGAAATATGTAATCGAGTTAAGGCAGACAATTAATGCGCATCTTAAATAAAGGAAAAAAACAAAAAAAGAAATATAAATTTATTTAGTCGCTAACTATCTTTTATATGACTTAAATGATGGAAGTACATTAAATAATGCAATGGGAAAAACAAAGATAAAGTAAAACAAAAAAAGTTGAGTAACGTTATAAGCATTGAACGTTTAAAATGGAAAATAATATCCCTTAAGAAAAAAAGCCTGCTTCCTTGAAAGTCTGGGGAGAAAACAGAATTCCATCGGTCTATTGAACCGTCTATGTTTAAGATCGATTCTGATCTACTCTCAGAAAAGCATCCAAAGAATGATTTGTTAAGAAAGAGTAGGCCTAATACTTAGTTCTGTAGGTTTTTTCTACGTTTCCCTACATCAACATTAAGAAATACCAGAAAATGCAGATCCTGCTTTTATTGAACATGTAGAATCTCGGAGTATGATCTATCTGATTATGCTTCAGCTAACGTTTCCTTTGTCCTTGTATCTTATATTTCAGTCCCTCAGTGAATTCGTTTGTTTATTTTCTGACCTTTGTTTTTCGTTATAGTATATTCACGTAACATTGTGACTTATATAAAAGACCATGGTACTAAGAATGCAAACAAGAGCCAAACTGCAAAAATGATTGAAGTTATTTGGTATGTCGATTTATATATGGAAAACAGCTTTTTATACTTTTTTTTTGAAAGAAATTCTATTGATTAACCACTCTCTTTCCTAGCAATGATCGACTTGGCAAAAAAGTTCGCGTCAAATGCATGCCTGACGATACTATAGGTGACTTCAAAAAGCTTGTTGCTGCTCAGACAGGTACAGATCCAAGGTACGTGTGCTTAGAATTGTAGGAAATGGTTTATTGACGATTCGTAGGAGAATTGTGTTGAGAAAATGGCATAGCACTTACAAGGACAATATCACGTTGGCCGACTATGAAATTCATGACGGAATGAGTTTGGAGCTTTACTACTCTTAAACTAGCTCTATGGTTTATGTTGAATGGGATAGTGTCAATAAATTCATGGTTTCTGTTTAGGTTCCTTGAAATTCTAGAACCCTAGATGTTTTGAGTTTGTGAATCATAATCTTCGTGAATTTAGCTTCTTTTTATGAAATCCCTTGTTTAGTAAGGAAGTTGATGCAGGCTAGTCTTTGTCAAGGAAAATCGATGTCAAAGCTTTCCATCAATGCTTCCTTTCTATCAAGTTTTGAACTATGAACAACCCATGTTTCAATAGCATTATTTCTTCCTTTCTGAATTGTTAAAGTGTAATACCAAGATTCAAAGTTTGGGTTACAATTTTGCTCATACTAATCTTGAATGAAAGGAATGTTAAAAAAAAAAAATACATGAAAATTCCAGTTCTCCTTCTCTGTTGGGGCTCTATTTTACATTATATATGGTTTTGACTGTTTGGGATGCTTTCAATGTCTTGTGAATTTGAAATATCTAAGATCGGTAGTTTGGTTTGACAATATGTATTTAGCATACCCAAAGTACCTTTATTCATATGAATTAAAAAAGAAACTTTACAAATGAATTTCAAGGATTCGTATGTAATCATCCATTTACGTCTTATTTTTGGCTCGTAAAGAGGTGAAACAAAGGCAACGAAACCGTTCATATTAGAGACTATCAAGATTCTAAAGTTGGCTTCTATATGCTAAACATCCTAATTACTCGTTTATTCATAATGGTTTCGCTGAAAACCTCTACGCGATTTTACTCATAAACACCTGAAGGCAGACTTTCTATCAAAGACTATACTGCTCACCCCGAAAATATAAGAGTTCAACATTCCTTTCATACACAGTCACTTTTTTATCTTATTTTTTTCTTTTTGGTCTATTATTTTGAATTAAAGGAAAAAAATTTGCTTTTATATTGTGTTTTCGGAATCTTTTGTGAATTCTTAGACACATATCAGTGTTCTTGGTGAATTGAAACGGGGGACTATTTTGTTCAAACATTTAATATTTACTAGAAAGCTTACATGTATTTTGCTTTTTAACGGCTTTTGGTTCTAACTCGTAGCACTTTTCTGTGTTGCATGGCAACTTGCCTTGCGATTATTTCGAAACTAAGTCATTCTTTACCAATCTAGGCCATAATAATCTTTAATTACTCTTGTTTTTTTATTTCCATTTACTTTTTTATCTTATATTCTTTCTCTTTCGTTGAACTATCCTTGTTTTGTTGAACAGACCAGTTTCCATGAGTAATCCATATCTGTCTTATACGACTGAACAGACCTGTTCTGACCTTGACACTGACGTGCACAACGGTCTTTCTAACATCCAGGAAATTACGAAAAGACATGCTGTTTATGGTGATAATGATTTAACTGTTGATGATAATGAATCCATTATCGTGCAATTTCTGAAACAGTTCATTCAGGATCCTCTTATATTGCTGTTATTCGCAAGCGCTGCTATTTCAATTATATTAGGAAACATTGACGATGCGTTCAGTATTGCTTTGGCTATTTTTATCGTGGTGACAGTGGGATTTGTTCAAGAATACCGCTCAGAAAAATCTTTGGAAGCTCTTAACAACCTTGTACCGCATTACTGCAATGTCATTCGGTCTGGTGTCACTCAACATATGGTTGCTACGAAGCTAGTACCAGGAGATTTGATTACTCTACAAATTGGTGATCGTGTGCCCGCCGATCTTCGTATAGTCGATGCAGTCGAATTTGAAATTGATGAATCCAATTTAACAGGAGAAACTAACCCTAGGAAGAAATTCAGTGAACCTTTAATGGCTAATCTGCCTTTAGGTGAACGAAACAATATGGCATACATGGGCACTCTTGTTCGTCATGGTCATGGTCGTGGTATTGTAGTTGCTACCGGAGCTGATACTGAATTTGGGCGCGTTTTTCTCACCGTGCGCGAAACGGAGAAACCAAAAACTCCCTTGCAAAACAGTATGGATTATTTAGGAAAGCAACTGTCTGCCATATCCCTTATCGGAATCGCGATCATCGTTCTAGTCGGATTTTTCCAAGGTAAAAATTGGCTAGAAATGCTCACTATTGGAGTTAGTCTGGCTGTCGCTGCAATTCCAGAAGGACTTCCCATTATCGTTACCGTTACCCTAGCATTGGGAGTTTTACGGATGTCTAAAAAAAGAGCTATTGTAAGACGCTTGCCAAGCGTGGAAACGCTTGGAAGCGTTAATGTTATTTGCTCAGATAAAACGGGAACTCTTACAATGAACCATATGACAGTAACGAAAATGTACATTCCTGGCATGCATACACCTTGTGTTATACCTGATGGCGATCATCTCGATTTTTCCGTTGATAAAACTGTCGGTATGAACAAACTTCTGTTAACATCGGCTTTATGTAACAACAGTAAACGACATGTAAACAAACCTGAATCAATCCTTGATACAACCAATCCATGGGCTGGTTTTCCTGTTGATGTTGCCTTAATTGAATGCTGTGAACGCTTTGGTCTAAACGACCCAAGAAGTTTATACACTCGATTATCAGAAATACCATTCAATAGTGAGCGCAAATACATGTCTATTATTGCCCATTATAACTCCACCAAAACTACTTTTATGAAAGGCGCTATGGAACAGGTTTTGAAACATTGCGCTTACTATACAGACAATGCTGGAACACAACATGAATTGACATCTACTATGCGTGATGAAATCCGTAAACACGAAATGGATATGGCTAAAACGGGACTACGGATTATCGCTGCAGCTAGTGGGATTCTTCCTAATAAACTAGTCTTCCATGGTTTGTTTGGTATAAATGATCCTCCAAGACCATACGTTCGTGAAAGCATCCAACAATTAATGACTGGTGGCGTTCGTATCATAATGATTACTGGTGATAGTATTGTCACTGCTGTCAGTGTAGCTAGGGCTTTAGGCATGGCTATACCAAGCAGTGATCAAGAGGCGATTCAAAATTATGCAATCACAGGTGATCAATTGGATGAGTTAGATGATTCATCTGTTCGAGATGTTGTATCTCGAGCAGTAGTTTTTGCTCGGACGACGCCGCATCATAAAATGAAGATTGTAAAGGCTCTTCAATCGTTAGACGATGTAGTCGCTATGACTGGTGATGGTGTTAATGATGCACCAGCTTTAAAACTTGCGGATATTGGCATTGCTATGGGCCGTCAAGGTACTGACGTTGCTAAAGAAGCTGCCGATATGATCCTTACCGATGATTCATTTGCAACTATTTTGCACGCGGTGGAAGAAGGAAAAGGTATTTTTAACAACATTCGTAACTTTATCACTTTCCAACTATCAACAAGTGTTGCCGCATTGTCATTGATTGCAATCTCTTCTCTATTTGGTTTACAAAATCCGTTGAATGCTATGCAAATTTTGTGGATTAACATTTTGATGGATGGACCACCAGCCCAGAGCCTTGGTGTAGAAACGGTTGACGACGATGTGATGATGAAACCTCCTCGTCCTCGAAATGCACCAATTTTGACCGTACAGTTACTAAAGCGGGTTCTTCTGAGTGCTTTTATTATTGTACTTGTAACCACCTTAGTATTCAAAGTGGAAATGAAGGATGGCCAAGTAACTGCTCGAGATACGACCATGACCTTTACTTGCTTTGTTCTTTTTGACATGTTTAATGCATTATCTTGTCGTTCCGAAACAAAATCCGTATTCAAATTGGGAATATTCTCTAATCGGATGTTTAATATCGCTGTTGGAGGATCATTACTTGGCCAAACTCTTGTCATCTACATGCCTCTATTCCAAAAAATTTTCCAAACAGAAGCTTTAGGCTTTAAGGATATTGTTACATTAATTATATGCACTAGCTCTGTGTTGTGGGTCGACGAGCTTCGAAAATGGTATCATCACCGAAAAGGCCTTATTCGAACTAAGAGTAATTACATCTTAGGAAACGTTTGACAATTTTGATATTGTTGTTTAAAATTCTTACCTCGTTAGATTTAATATCCTAAATATGTTAGAGTCGGCAAATCTTTTGATATTGTAGGAAACGTAGTTACGCCATGAAACTATATTATAGCTTATGTAAGTCAGTGTTACTGATTTATTTTAATTAGAATCTGTTCGTATGTATAGTCAACTGTAAAAGTCAGTAACTCAATCGATAATTTCCTTGTACACCGGTTTTGTATTCACGGTCCTTCGTAATCGCAAGTTGGATGGTTTTGCCAAAGAATGTACCCTTTTTATCATTTGATTTCATTCATATTTCACCAGCTGAATGATTTTTCACTGTTCAATTCCTTTCTGCATTTAAATGCCCAATGAGTGTTCAAAAATTCCTACGCTATCAACGATAGCCTTTCTCTATCTATGCAATAATTATTTATTAAAAGTTTGTTTTAAGTTATTACATACTAAAGTCTTTCATTTTGTGATGTTGACATTGAACTGACTGCTTGGATGATCCTACCCAGAACCGAATCCTCAACGAATGCGGCAATTGTTTCGAAAACAGTAACAATTATAGGTCTATTCAACTAAAATAGGTCTAAAGAAGATGAGGTTACCTTCGTGGTTAAAAAACTCGTCTTCTTGGCTGTGGACTGCTGCCTTGTCACGAGCAGTTCAACGTCGACTACTAGCGTTTGCTTTACAAAAGCTTATTGGATCAATTCTTCAAGAAAATATTCGTCCTGAGGATATACAGCTTCTATTATCAAAAGGGGTGTTGGTTTTGTCTAATTTACAACTAAATTGCGAGTTCTTAAATGCAATTGTCCCATTTCCTAACATTAGAGTATTAAAGGGAAATGTGAGGAAACTTGTTTTGCACGTAAATGTTACAGATCTTGTCAATTTGAATGTGGAGCTCGAAGTTCAAGGACTGTCATTAGACGTTACACTTATTCAAACAGATGAATCGATGGATTCCACAATCTATCAAGATGCTTCATCTCAACTTGACATTTTGGATAACGTAGTCGAATACATGAACAAGACAGCCTCCCACGACTTTGAGGAGGAGGTAAAAAGCGAGGGACTGGACGATGAAATACCTGATAACTCCCGTAATTTGCTTGACAATATATTACAAAAATGCCTTGCTTCTACTTCCGTAATTATAGAACACCTAAAATTGGTACTCAAGCCATCCCATATCCCTACTGCTTTGGAATTAAGGATTGATTTTATTAACTTTTCCTCTTTTAATAACAGCTCATTATCAAGATTATTGAATATATCGGGAATAACTCTGGGTATGCTCAAGCAAGAGAATAACACCGGGCCTCGCAATTCATCATGTTCTGAAGGTTCTGTGCTCTCTCTAAATACCTCAACCTCTAGTACCATGGAAGATGCGAGAAGTTTTTTTACGCCTGAATCTGAGTCCTCTGAATTACATGAAAAAATGTACGTGAGTGGTAATAAAGAAAATGCACCTTCTCATTCTCCTTCAACTCTGGATGAGTCAAAGGAGACAAATCATATAATTTTTTTCCGTTCTGCAGGGGAATTTCGATTTGTATTCAGCGTTGAAGTCTCGACATTGTTGGTAATAGAAGCTCATGTTCCTCCTTGTGTGTTCGATTTATCTCCCCAAGTATGTGCGTTTCTGATGTACTTGTATAGACTATTCACTGTTTCATCCAACGTTTCAAGTGTGGGATCCGATACAGCAAAATCTCCGCTTAATAATATTCAGTTGGATATTCATATATCTTCTTTCGAAGTTGATATCCATTGTAGGCAAGCTGATGCAGTCGACTATCTTATTCCAGTCAATATATCAGATCAGCTTCATTGGATTCCTGAAAATGCTTCTACTCTCGAAATTTATTTTAACCAAATTCAGATATCTAACGACAATCATGACCTTAATGACCTTTTCATGACTTTTTCCAATTTTGGAATATTTATGGATGGTAGTCCCTTTATATCGTTTCATAAGGCCCTGCACTCTTCTTGTTCAATTAATCTTAATATGGAAAACTTGCAGTCGACTTTAACATTGAGAATGTCAAGCGGTGAAATATCTCTTCCATTTGAAAAGTATATTAATATTCAGGAATTCTTTATTACTTTTTTTAAAGATTTGACAATGCTACAAGATTCTTTGATAGGTTTTACTGAGGTTAGCAGACGACAGAATGCTTACCAGTCTTCAAGCTCAGTTAACATAGAATCAAAGTGTCCAACAATCGAGATTATAGTCTTATTTGATCGATTTCAATTTCAGCTAACAAAGCGTCAATCCGAACAACTCATCACTTGCTTTTCTATAGCTGCCAATCATTTCCAACTTACTAGAAAATCTTTGGGAACTTTTTCTTCCGTCTTATTATTTTCTAAAAATGTAACTTTTAACATAGAACTCTATTCTGCCGCTCAGTCCCCATGGAAAAACATATCGTCAGAAAATGTTTTGCGAATCTCCAATGGCATTTTTGAGACACATTCAGTTTCCGGGTTACCAGAATTTAATGTTTTTGTTCAACAAGATGAATTTTATCACCCTAAATTCCACAAGGTAACTAATAAAACTCCCTGTCATGAAAACCACTTTTACGCTGCTTTTGATGGACTACACTTGACAATCAATAAAAATGTAATCGACTCTTTGAAGTCATTATTTGAGGATATATCTGCTGCGTTCATCAACCCTGTAACTCCTAAAAATATAGTGCAGCCGGATTACAAAAACTTTTTAAAAATACGGAATCGTGATTTTTCATTGTTATCGTACCACGAGGATGGAAGTTCTTTACTATTACGGTCTGACAGAATTAAGCATTATATGTCATGGATTGGGGCAGAATTAATAAGCTTAGATTCTCGTACCTACAATCTTTCGGCTTATTATTCTACAAATTTTTTCAACGATCTTCCACTCTTATCAGTCGTTAGGAATCTAAAAAAAGGTGAAAAATATATTTTAAATTTGTCAATCACGTTTTCCGCTCAAAATCATTCCGATTCTGATAACGAAATACAAATAAGCATAGTCGATTTAGGATATGAGCATTACATGGCCGGTTTTTGGTTCACTAGTTTGTTGGAAACGTACTTTCTTCAAGACCCTGATGTCCCTTTTCTTGAATTTCCTGAATTTCATTATAGCATAAATCTTACTGTATCTGACTGCATTTTAGGATTGAATCCGTCTACCGGGGAGTCAAAGTTGTTGATACATCTGAAAGCTCTTGAAGTTCACATTGACGCCATTCTTTTAAAAACAACGGTAAACATCAAGTGCTTCACCAATGAAGCCTTTTTATACATAATTAACAAATTGAACGAAGATGTGGTTTCTGAGAAGAAGTCATTGTTTCAAGAAGAACTTTGGAAATCCGAACTTATGCTATCGCAACTGACGGTTGATGAAACCATTGGTTTCGTGATTCAGTCATTGGGTTATGTTGAATTGGCAAGGATAACTGGCTTAAGTATTGAAGTTACCATACGAATCAATAATGGAGATCTGGCTACTTACATAAATCTTACTAATGCTGATTTACATATCCAGTCTTGCGCTGACAGCACTGAACTGCTTCTTCAATTAATTTCTGACTTTTCCGGTCCAAATGATGATGAAACGCTCAAAGATTACTTAGTATCCCCCGATGTCAATTACGCAGACCTTCTTAGGGAAGTGGACACAGAATTTTTTGTTGATATTGTAAATCATAGAAGCTCGAGGTCTTTAGATACTGATATTTCAGTTAGCAGTCAAACTCTCGATATCGTCAACGACTATTATGCTTCTTCCGATGGTTCAGTAGATGAATCATTTCAGTTGATAGCTTCAAAGGGTTCTCCTCGAAGTGAAAGCTTATCGGATGAATTTGATGACCTCAACTTTTCTGATGAAGAAGACTTAGCGTCGGAAGGTAACTTGAAACAGGATATTGAGCTTATTGAGGATCATTTTTTGAATCAAGGATCAATTGAGCACCATGACCATGGTATCTTGGCTACTGATTACAATTTACAAATTGAATTATCTAATAATCGTGTAGTTTGGGAATTATACGATGGTTACGACTGGAATTCAACTAGACAAGCTATATCTGAAGCTGTTGGGGCTTTTGTACAAAATAACAAATTAAAAAGCAAGGGCCGAATCAAAACTCATATTTTTGAAAGTATCTGTTTGGAAGGATTTTCTCAATTTGGAAAACTATATTTCGATAAAATTGCCCAAGCCATTGACCTGGATGACCGAACAGAAGCTTTTTCTAAAAATGATAGGCAGCACACTTTACGGTTAGGCCGGTCAAAAAGTAATAAGGTAGTGGTTGAGATAATCGGGTTAATGGGGAGTTTCACCTCCTTACGGGAGGAAAAAGTTTCAAATGAAATTTTAAGTGAACTGGATCTTGGCATGAAAGATTTGGCTATTTACGATCATTTGCCTTCCTCAACCTGGAACAAGTTTTTCAGTCGTGATTCTCGATCGCCATCATCGAAAAATAGGAACCAACACATGAATTTTAAAATTGCTACAGTGCGCCCTGTACCAGGATTAACGAATACAGAGTTACGGGTGGAAATTGGGATCTTGCCTTCAAAGATGTATATAGATCAGGACACGCTAGATTTTTTAATTCGGTTTTTTGCATTCAAATCGGAAGTGCCGACGGAAATGGAAGCGTTTACTAGAGACCTTCCATTTTTTCAATCTATCTGTGTACATGCTACTCATTTTACAGTTGATTTTAAATTCAAGAATCCTGATCCTGCAGGAATGAAAAGTGGAAGATTACCTGATTTTGGAAATTTCTTTGTGGTTCAGGGTTCTGAAGTTTTTTTAAGGCAATTGCAAATCTACGGTCTGTCTGGAACCGAGGAGTTTTTGCATGCTCTTCTGGCTATCTGGTTTCAAGATATACGTAACAATCAATTGCACAAGGTGCTTAATGGCATAGTTCCTATTCGAACACTTTTCACTGTTGGAAGCGGAGTTAAAGATGTATTTGTTTCTCCTGTTAAAGGTTTACAGAGAAAACACTCGATGAGAAATCTCCGGCATGGAGTATTAAAATTTACTGAAAAATACGTAAACGGTTTTTTGTCTTTGAATGCTCAAGGAATGACAGGGACGCATGCACTATTGAGGCATGTTGAGGAATACCTGCAATCTTCGAGAGAAATGCGATCGAGAAGATTCAGTTATTACGCAAATCAGCCGGAATCGTTGGAGCAAGGGTTGCTGGAAGGTTATCATGGATTCCGGCAAGGTTTAGTTGGAGCAAAGACAACACTACAATCCATTCCAAGCGAAGCTTCTCGACGTGCAAGTTTAGGTAGTGCTGCTCAAGTTGTTGGCAAGAAAATGCCATTAGCAATGCTGAAGCCGATGGTTGGAGCTACAGAGGCAGTGTCAAAAACCTTGTTGGGTTTATCTAATTCTCTCCAACCTCAACGCAGGCATGATCTTCGAGAAAAATACAAAAGATAATCTTTAACAAGGTTTTTCGAAACCTAGGATTGCTTGTTGATTACATGTTCAGTAGAAGGCTTACTTGTTTCTCTGACCACTTCATTATCAAAAGAAATTGAATCTTTATTTGAATAGTTCATCAGAAGTGGTAGCAATGAACCCGTTGTCACGGAAGTTGCATTACTATGTTATTACGAATGACGACTGCCAATTCGGTGATAAACTGGAATTTGTTTTTTTATGATTTATTCCCCGAGATCAGCTGGGGGTTTAATGTTACGATATGACTTGTAATGAATTAATGCATTCTAATGTTGACTGCTAGGGCAAAAGAATTGCAGTTTAATTAATATTTATTTTAATGAATGATCGCTAGTTGTGGAAATTTGCAGAACATTTCGTTTTTCAGTGTATACATCTTGATTTTTTAGAAATAAGCTTCAGTAATTAGATGAATTGAACATACGTGTTTATAAAGCCTTTTTGCATTGTCTACTAAAAAGTAATTAAGAGTACAAAAAGGTCGGTTGGAAAGGTCGTACTGGGAATCGAACCCAGGTCTCGGGAATCAGAATCCCACGTGCTATCCACTACACCATACAACCGACACTTGTTAACATAGGTTGATATATACTATATATTCCGCACAAATATATCTGAATATTAATAAATCAATTCTTGCCATTCGCATCCTGTTAAAATAAACTTCATTTTATGGGACTCAAGAGTATATGTATTACTTGGACAAATCTTACAGATAATTACAGCTACGCTTACAAATGCTACAGCTTTCACTTTTCTAATATATATATCCCGCATCGCGCGTAATTGCACCTCAATTCAATGAATGTAAGTAACTGGAAAAATAGTCTACTAGGCTTAGACTTCGACCATTTCACGAAGACGGCGAATAGTAGAGCGAGCGCTAGTGGCAGCAGGAGTAGTAACAGTCCAAGCACCACCGGCCATAGCCTTACCACAGCCCTTAGCATTGCAGTTCCAGATGCCTACAATTTGCGTTAGTCATTACTTTTTGTGACATTGGTAAAATTGGTAAAATCCAAGCCACGTCACTCCATCGGAGCAAAAAAGGCAAATTTGAATAACCATTTACAACTTTACATACCAGCAGCAGAACGTCTCACGGTGTTACGACCGCAGAAGGGGCATTGATAACGAGCATGTTGTTGAACCTCAATCTTGCGGACGTCACGACGCAAAGAGGCACCATAACGAACGCCATATTTACCGGTCACACCAACCTTTTTAGTTCTCTTCGTCATCTTGGATGGGGTGTTTTGCGTTGGATGAGTTTTCCAAAAGCTTACATTCCTGGAATATGCAAACTGTGACTGTTTTTTCAACTTACAAAATTTCCCTTTAGGTGACAATGTTACCCATTGCAAGCAACGAATAGAAAGTCGTTAAGTGTTTTCTTGTTTATTTGTAATATGTAAGATCAGTTTTATAAGTGAAGCAATGAAAGTACGGCTTGATATTTCTTTTATTTTGGGCTAGAATATGCATTTTGAACATAATTGCTAAGGATAGTTTCATGATGTCACTACAACAGGAAGGAGCGAGATAGATTTAGGGAATGTTTTGAATACCATTTTGTAGACTAATGAGAAAATCACAAAGAACGAATACTATACTTGTGCTTTTGTAAAGAGCCATACGACAAAAAGAGAAGGAGTTGATGGATAGCAATATCAACTTATAAAAGAAGGAGAAACATGTAAAGATTGCTTCTATGCAAAGGAATCATTGCATCTTATAAACAAGCAATGACTGGAACCAGAAGGAACAGAAAATTGTAGCGGCGACGAGCAACCTTTTGTTTGGAAACGTCTGTGCGAATCACTTAGCAAACTTTTATAGAATACCAACAGTAAATAAAAAAATAAATGTAAAATGTATGGGAAAAATGAACGAACATAGACAGCGTTTAGATACAGGTTTTTTCTTTTTTTTTTGCTTATTTTTTTAAAAAGAAAAGACGACAATTTTTTAGGATAAATATTACAGGTTCATCGTTACGATTAATATTCCTCTTCCATGTAATCAGCCTCCATAGAGTCCTGACCAACTTCTTCATAATCACGTTCCAAAGCAGCAAGGTCTTCACGTGCCTCGGAAAATTCACCTTCTTCCATACCTTCACCGACGTACCAGTGAACGAAAGCACGCTTGCTATACATAAGGTCAAATTTGTGATCCAAGCGCGACCAGGCCTCGGCTATAGACGTGGTATTGGAAAGCATGCATACAGCTCTATCAACCTTAGCAATGTCACTTCCTTCAATATGTTGAGGAGGGCGGTCGCAAATACCGATCTTGAAGCCAGTAGGACACCAGTCGACAAATTGAATGGTGCGCTTAGCTTTGATGCTTGTGACAGCAGACTGAACATCACGAGGGATCACATCACCACGATAAAGCAAACAAGTAGCCATATAACGACCGGCACGGGGATCACACTTAACCATTTGGTTGTAAGGTTCAAAGCATTGATTGGTGATTTCTTGGACAGAGTGAGATTCGTGGTAGGCCTTGGCCGCGCTCACGATAGGAGCATAGGTGACAAGTGGGAAATGGATACGGGGATAAGGGACCAAGTTGGTTTGGAATTCAGCCAAGTCGACGTTTAAGCTGCCTTCAAAACGAAGAGATGCTGTGATGGAAGATACAACTTGAGCAATCAAGCGGTTCAGGTTCTCATAAGAAGGACGTTCAATGTCGAGGTTTCTACGGCAAATATCATAGCAAGACTCGTTGTCAACCATGAAAGTGCAGTCTGCCAAATCGAGGGTAGCATGAGTTGTCAAGACAGAATTGTAAGGTTCCACAACGGATGTACTCACTTGAGGAGCCGGGTACACTGAAAACTGAAGCTTAGATTTTTTAGTGTATTCCATAGCCAAACGCTCAAGCAGAAGGGCTCCAAAACCAGAACCAGTACCACCCCCAAAAGAGTGAAAAACGAGGAAACCCTGGAGACCAGAGCAGTTGTCAGCAATACGACGGATTTTATCGGTAACATCATCGACGAGCTCCTTCCCGACAGTGTAATGACCACGGGCATAGTTATTGGAAGCATCTTCCTTACCAGTGATTAATTGTTCGGGATGGAAAAGGTCCCGGTAAGGTCCAGTGCGTACTTCATCAATCACGTTGGGTTCCAAGTCTACGTAAATGCTTCTAGGAATGTATTTTCCTTGTCCTGTTTCTGCGAAAAAGGTTGAAAATCCATTCTCTTCGGTACTTGCGGCAACTTCAGGGCTCATATAACCATTTGGTTGGATTCCATGTTCCAAACAGTAAAGCTCCCAGCAAGAATTACCGATTTGAGCTCCTGCCTGACCAACGTGAATGGAAATGATCTCTCTCATTTCGTCTGTCTTTTGGGGTATTCTAACAGGATGCTAAAATATTTGGTTTATGTTAGGTTTGCTGCTGCCATAGACCCAAACAATCTCGAAATAGAGACGTTTACGATAGCACGGTATAGTGCTGAACGAACTGCGAAGGAATACCATAATAAACAGAAGGAGAAGGCCGTAAAATGATGGATAATTTAATGATAAAGCAATTGAAAAGCTTATATGAAACGTAGAATTTGGGATTTGGACGTGAAACAATACAATCCGGGAACTTTGAGCCTTTTTACTCCGAAACACAAACTCAAACCGTCATGTTTACTATTGGAGAGGTAAGTAGGTCATTTGAAGCGAAACTGGTTCTTTTACAAGGTGCAACGGACAACACTGAAATGTATTTCTTTCAAAAGCTGATGTTTGTTTACTAAGCAACGGGGTTAAAGCACGTAAAATGCAGCACCGCTAAAAGTTTTAATACGGTATAATAACAGCGCCATCACTAAAGTACGGATTATGGGGCAACGAAAAAGTCCGTGTGTCGTTAAGTTTAACAAATTTGCTATTCCTAGGGAGAGAAAGTAAACTGGAGCGTAAAAGTCTGATTCACAGAATTGGCGTTTTTGCTTGTGTTTTTAATAATCTTTAGCCTCTTTTCCAATTTGGAAAGCGTGTTTGTTTGGTATTACTCTTATTAAGGTTGATTTGGCTTGCATTTGACTTTTTGAAAACAGTTTTCTTCTTTCTTAGTCCATTCATTTTAAAAAACGGAAACAAGCGATTTTTGTTTATCAGTGTTTTTCTTTAATTAAAGATGAGTACCATTTATAAGCTTAAAACCAAGGCGTCTCGTGCTGGAGACGAAGAAGAGGAAGATGCCCATGCACCTGTCGTTACAGCCAGAAAGCACTCTGAAGGCTTTGTTCCTATTAAGCAGAAAGTTTTGGTACTTTCTTCTCGTGGTGTCACCTATCGTCAACGCCATTTGCTCACAGATCTAATTAACATGATGCCACATTCTAAGAAAGATAGCAAGTTCGAGTCGAAAGACCGTCTTTACGAGCTAAATGAACTTGCTGACCTCTATAACTGTAACAATATTTACTTTTTTGAGTCTCGTCGTCGCGAAGATCTTTATTTGCACATTGCACGTGCTCCTAACGGACCTACCGTTAAATTTCACATTGAAAACTTGCATACTATGGACGAACTCAACATGACAGGAAATGCTTTGAAGGGCTCCCGTCCCATTCTCTCTTTTGACAAAACGTTTGACTCGGCTCCTCATTTGAAGATAGTCAAAGAGCTTTTGCAACAAACTCTTGGTATACCGAAGGGTGCTCGTCGTAGCAAACCTTTTATTGACCGAATTTGTACACTCACTATTGCTGACAACAAGATCTGGTTTAGAAACTACGAAATCCGACAAAATGAGGACCCTGAAAAAGATCCTGTCACCTTATTTGAAATTGGACCTCGTTTTGTCATGACCATCATCAACATTCTCGAAGGATCATTTGGCGGTCCCGTTATTTTCAAAAATGACACTTTTGTCAGTGCAACCATGGTTCGTGCGGCTCTTCGCAAACAATCTGCTCAACGCTATGTCAATCGTCAAGAAAACAAACTTGAACATGCTGTTCGTGTTAAGCAAAATGAATTACCAGAAGATCCTTTGGAGGACGTGTTTGCATAAATTCAAATTCAATGACCTCACATTGTTGTTTTCAAGATACAGGTTTGGATTTATGGTTATTATATAAGTATAAGTGCAATAGTCAGGTAAAAAAAAAATACATGGGTTTATTAGGTTGGCCATAATTGATAATATTGAAAGACTATATTATTAAAAAAAAGAAGAAAATGCTGTAAAGCTAGTAGCTGCGATTATTCATAAGGGTGAGGAGAGATAGGCAAAAAATTGAATGTATGTAAAACAAAAACTTGAGCAGGTTATTCAAAAGCACCGCGCTCCCAACGGATCCAGTCTAAAATACTGCCACCTTCTAATAAACCCTGAATTGTCTTTGAAGACTTTGAGATGGAAGGCAAAGATAGAAATTCATCCGTCGAGTCTGGTGCTTGAGCGACAATTTCTTTTGCAAGCAAGTCGGCTATTTCTGAACAATCACTTGATTCTTTTTGAATGAGTATCATGGAAGCAATTCGTCCGAGTTGTGTAGAAGAAGAAGATGTTGTAGCTCCATGGGCATAGATGCCGATACATGAATTGGATTGTAAGGCGTTGAAGCCAAGTACTCTGTTAATGTTCACCTTTTCACCAGTTAAAGACGCTGCTTTTACCAAATAATCACTTAGATTTCCATTGCTGCTATCCGGAGCAGCAGAGCCTGGAGGGAACGTCAATGTCTTGTCTTTAAACATATCCTTGCAAGTGGACTCATTTAAAAAGATGCGACTTTCATTCGAGGGAACGTGATGAAGAAGACAAGATGCAATAGTTCGAGAGAATTCTTGGAAAGATGCTGTTTGACTCACGAAATCAGATTCACAATTTACCTCGACCATAATCGCTTTCTTTCTATCAGCTGAAACACATTGAGATATCCATCCTTGTTTAGCAACACGATCTTTCGTTTTCTCTGCAATTTTTCCACCGCGTTGTTGAATTTTTTTTGAGAGAATTTCTCTTGCTTTTTCAAGGTTCCCAACTCCTGCTTCTTCGACAGCTTGTTTTATAATCTCTATAGAAGCACTGTTTTCAATTCTAAGCTGCTTTATATCACTCATCTTCCCGCTCATCTTGCTGAATCCTTGCAGACGCATACCAACGAGAAAAGGCCTTTGAATTGCCCTAAGACGAGGGCTCATGAAGTTCAGTCGTAACATTTTCAATAGTATCTATATATATACAAAAAAAGATGCAAAGAGGATATCCTTTGAAACAGGTTCTCACGATGAGGTATAGGAAAGAATGTACAGGTGAAAAGAAAGAGGATCATGATAAGAATGCTTTTCTTAAAGAGTTCTTTTGTAACAGCATAATATTTCATTTCTACTCAAATAATATTTAACATTAGCTACAAATCATTAGGAAAAACTTCTTTATTTTGACTGTGACTCTTCTGACTATAATTTTGTCAAAAACAGGAATCAGGAGATTTTAGAAGCCAGAAGCTTGCCATTTTTAAGGAAAAAGAATATTTTGAATGACTTTTAGCTCGTTCTTACAACTTCCTGCTGGCGCCGGTAACGACTGAAGCTTGACTGGTTAATTCTACTCCCATTTTGAGTCTAAGAAGAAAAAAAAACAAGTTTAGGTTTCAAGAAGATACTAGAAAAGGATTTTAGGATAATTGTTTTTGGGTGCACAAAGGCTAAACAATCCAATGGAATTTTTCTACCAAGAGCAACATGCTAAAGAGCAGCCCTATCATACAAGAAAATAGCCCTGTTTTCGTTAAGTTACCATCTGAAAATGTTCGTTTTATAACATTGAAGCCAAATAAGTAAGTAGTAGCCGAGAAACGTGTACTTCCTGCAACTATTTCATGGTTTTCCACTGGGCGCTTGGTTTAGCTTGAAGCCAGAATGATTTCTTTCTGCTTTGCATAAAACAAAGTTAACACAATCACTAGTACAATTAGTCTTGGTAAATTTGGATCCTTCTACACGAATGATTTATATGGAAAGACCTACGATGAAACATTTGAAATTTACGAGCCTAAGAAAATCCGCGTGCTGAAAACCCGTGAAGTTCAAACTCTAGAAGAAGAGAAAAAAACAAATCAAGAATTAATAGATTGCCGTGGCAATCAGCTCATGAGTCAAGAAGAAATTGATAAGCTACGAAAACAAATCAAAGAAGGAGGGCTTCGCGGCGAAGAAGCAATTCGTCAATTAACCTCAAAAAGCTTAACTTTTGATCAGAAAACTCAATATGCTCAAGCTAAATATGTCAATCGTAAGGGAGAAAAGTACCTTCAACAGTTTCGAGCATTGAGACCTTGCCTTGAAACCGTGACGGAGTATATGCTCGCTCATGACCCTTATAAAATTATGGAGCTAACAGCTGACTGTTCCACTTACATGATGACATTGGGCAATGCTCAACCCGGAGGCAGATACCTTGTAGTCGACGAAACGGGATGCCTCTTTTTGGGTTCCTTACTGGAACGTCTAGGTGGAGATTCTAAAGTTACTCTTATTCATCCTAATGAGCAGCCCAACAGCTCCTGCTTGGAACTTTGGGGAAAGGAATACACAGAAGAAAGTCTCGTTGAAAAAGGGATACTACGGACCTTGAATTGGCTACAAGTTGTGGGCCCTGATGAGGCTTTAAAGGATATGTATATGGATGATTGTTCCGAGGAACAGCTCAGCGAAATGAAGCTTCGCCATAGAAAGAGATATGAGGGTCGAAAAGCTTCCTATGCCCGATTACAATCTACTCTAGAGGATTTTGAAAAAGGAAACTTTGATGCATTATTTGTTTTAAGCAATCATACACCAATGTCAGTATTAAATCTGCTACTGCCCAAGGTAGGATCCTCTCGCCCTGTTCTTGTTTATTCTCCATACCAACAAGTACTGATCGATACCCATCACGAGTTGTTTAAATGGTCTCACCCGTTTGAAATGACAGAAATTAAGAATGAAGAAACAACAAAAGATGAATCTGCTGAAGAACAAGAGTTGCGAATTGCACAGGATGCATGGATTGAAAAACTTATCATGTTGGATATCCATGAAATCCGTACTCGTCCTTACCAAGTTCTTCCAGAACGTACTCATCCATTCATGAGTGTTCGAGGAGACATGGGATATGTTTTGTCTGGCCTCAAAGTACTTTCTTCCGTAGGCACTGTCGCTGCAGGCAGGTTTCCTAAACGGCAAAAGCAAGGTTCTGCTAACAAAAAAAAGTAAAAACAAGAAAATATTTGGAATTTAGTTTGGTATAGAAAAGTTGGGTTATTTTTGGAAATAGGTCATGATGAATGATCTTGGTTATTTTGTTAGTGTCTCCATATATCAATCTTTGACACTGGATGTATAGAATATTAATTAGATAAAAAGAACCTTGAAATGTCTTGCAAAATACTAGATGACTTAATAACCTAGCTATTGAAAATGGATCTTTAACAAGCTGGTAGTAGTATCTTCAGTGACCATAGAACTAATGAACAAAAGCACAAATCCAATCAAATTTGTTGCTTCAATTGTTTGGAAAAAATATATGAACATACAAATTCCTTAAATAGACACCTCATAAGCTTTTCACAAAATGTTATCAGAAACATACATAAGATGGTCGAAATCCTTAAATGGGTATCATTTGAAAGTAGTTTATTCTTATTGAAACACTTATAGAAACAAAAAAAAGTTTTTTTTTTTTATTTTCATCTCCAACTTCTACATGAATTTTGGTGTTGCAATTCTTCCACCGAGGACTGTCTTCGACTTCCAAAAGTTACACCTCTCAACCACAACGGTAGTTTCGTGTTGAAACCTTTCTCAATGACAGAATTTATTGGTTCTCGTATTAGTCTGATTAGTAAATCAGACATTCGGTAAGATAAAATCAGTGGTTTTTTTACTAATCGTTTAGATATGTGGGTATCTTGCAAGATATTAACTCCCAAGACTCTACCCTAGCTTTAAAGCATGGTATGCATTTCCAGTACCATTCATTTAATAACAATTAGTTCGATGGTGCGGTACGGAAGGTAGAAAACAGGATCCATCCCAAGAAATTCCGCCGTCCGAAAATGTGTTTGACTACATCGTCTTTCGTGGAAGCGACGTTAAAGATTTACGTATAGAGGAGCCAGCTACTACTCCAGCACCTCCTCCTGTTCAACCTCCCAATGATCCTGCTATTGTCGGGGTATGTTTTTTTTTTTTTTTTACGTGGAGGTTCGGGGAAATTTGTTTCGTACATTACTGAACGGTTTCTTCTAGCGTCCCTAAAGAACTCTACCTAAGAGTTCCTTTGAATATCTCATTATTAACCATATGTTGTAGTCAAATAGTGGTCAGTTTGGTTGGAACCAACCTGGTGCTCCCCCAAATCCTCAGTCAATGCAGCCTAACCCTTACTACAACATGTATGGACCCAAGACGGGTGCTCCATATAATCCTATAGCAGGTGCTGCTCCCTACTACATGTATGCAAATACAGGGGGAGCTCCCTATGCTCCCTCAGGTGCTGCTCCTTTGGGGACTCCAATGGAGACTTCTACCCCTGCTGTACCCTATTATAATGCTCCTGTAGATCAGCAACAAGTTTCCCAACGTCCAGATATGCCTCACCCAGGTGTCACCCAGCCCCTTCCTGGACAATCTCCATTCATGTCCAGACCAGGGTTCGACATCCCGAGTGGCCAAAAACCTATGACTCCAAACCTCCCCAATGCTAATGTTGCACCTATTGCTTCTCCTTCTGTTACTCCCTTAGCACCTAGCGGTGCTACAACAATTGCCTCCGCTCAAGTTAACAATGAAGGTGACAGATCGGTTAAATCAGTTTCTGTAAACAGCGAACGTGTTGTTGATGCCACAACTGTGCCCGCAGCTTCTCAAGTTGGAGGCGCTGTTCAACCTTCTCATTCATTGACTGCCTCTGTCAGTGTGCCTAAAAACGAAAAAGGCGAATTTGACTTCCAATCTGCTAATGAAAAATTCCAAAGTCTTAAGAATGAACTTAACAACGAAGAAGACCAAATTCATCAGGACTTTTACAAACCCAATCAGTCTTTCTTTGACGATATTAGCTGTGAAAGCAAAGAGAAAAATATAGAAGCCTTTGACCGTCGCTCTTTACGCGACCGTGAACGCTCCTTGAATTTGGAAACCTTTGGAGTTGCTTCTAGTGGTGGCCGAGGACGCCGTGGTCGTGGTCGCGGTCGCGGTCGCGGCCGTGGCCGTGGTCGTGGAGGATACTCAAGAGGTTATTATTATCAAAGAAACAACGGGGTACATAATGCTCCTAATGCCCAACAATAAATTTGTGGATATGGATACCAGTATTCAGCCAATTGAATAGTTCGGAAATTCACCTTATCGCTCTTTCCTTGCGATCTTTGAGACATGAAAAAATATGTTTTCTGTCACATAGAATTGAATGTCTATGGACGTAAAAAATATTTTGGAGATAACGAATAGAGAAAGTCAATTTGTAAGTACCATCAAGTGCTTTTTTTATTCGAATGAGTCAACGAAAAGGTATTTTTTCAACGAATATATTTAAGCGTAAATGAAGTTTATTTTGAATCTGTTTTAGAAGGTTTTACGAAGGAATCAAAAACTAGTATTACAGAACGCGAGGTTTACTAAACCAATGGGTTTCCTACTTTGTCCAACATTCCCTCATAGAAAGAGGTTAAATCATATTTTGTTAATCTATTATTTTAAAAGAAAAAAGCAGTGAAAATTGGTACTTTATTGAACGCTTTTTCTGTATCCAGCAACGATAACAACGACAAGAAACTGCGATGTTTTACTTAAAATATCCGTTATATTATTGATTGAAACATTAAATCCTTCTTTACCTAAACTAAGTATGGACTAAAGATTCGTAAAAGCAAGATGAAATATGAAAGGTTAAGAGAAACATGGATTAAAATAGAAAGGTTCCAGCGAAAGAGGCAAGCGCAGAAGTGCACAATAAAACACTTCGGAACAAACTTTTCATGCTCCATTTATTAAGCAATTTCCGAAAAGTCTCCGTTGCGTCTGTAGACCTCAAAACTTTGTCTGGATTCATACTAAGCAGTGTGCTATTGGTATTCTTCATGAACATTAGAATGTAAATAACAATGAGCGCACTACATGTTCCAGATATAATGTATAGGTTGGAAGACAAGACACTACGCCGTCTTTCCCAATAGGCCAAACATCCTTGGACTACCGTACTTCCGATAGCAATAAAAGGGAAAGTTCGTTTGCCAAGCGTATACATATATTTAAATTGAACAAGTCCAATGTCTGCAGGTGCTAATAAAATAAGAGGAACCACTTGAGCAGAAATATAACCAATGGCACCAGCGCTCATGCTAGGAGCCAGAATGCCGGCCGCTTGAAAAAGGTAGACCAAATTTAAATTCATTTTCAATTACAAGATATGGGGAAGGAAGATTAAACTTGGTAACTTGTTGTTTAATTACTGACGATTCAAGTGACGTTTCCTCAGTGAAACTCAGTATAGAGTTGTTCTTTCTTCGGTAGAAGTCAAAGAAGCGAATTTTCAGTCGTTTCCCATCTCATATCGGCGAAACTTAGGGATACTGCAACAAAGAATTGTAATTCATAACCATATGACATCGTATAGTTGAAGCCGAAAGCATGCTTTTTTGACACCCATTCCCTGTTTGTTTACATGATTACAAACCGTAACGCACGATGGAGCAGTATGTAATTTATGTATATACTGTGATGGAACACAAAGCGCTATAGTACTTATAACAGACTATGCGGAAGTATTTAATACCTCTGTATAAGTTCGCAAAGAAAAGTTTGATTCAGGGTGCGAGAACATGCTGGGAACGTTTACCTCTCCAAATCCATCTTTTCTTAACGAACTCAGCAATTGTCATGTCGAAAAGAACTGCGGAAGATACTCAAGACATAGAAGCCAAAAATGGTCCTGGAAGACGCGAGGTTGTCTCGGATTCCATGGATACAGAAATGGGTAACTTTGAGGACGCGTACGAAGACGAATTTGAAAGTGAGGATGAGTACTTAGAAGCTGATGGAAACGAAGACAATGAAATGGAAGCAGCTGAAGGTGAGGAAGATGCTGCAGCTGCAAAGTCTGCCTGGTTACCTGGTGGTGTCATAAACGAAGGCGAACAATTGGTCGTAGACCCTAGTGCTTATGATATGCTTCACAACATGCAAGTGAAATGGCCGTTTTTGAGTTTGGACATCCTCCATGATTCGCTTGGTGAAGAGCGTCGAGCTTGGCCTCAAGAGATGTACTTGGCTGGAGGCTCGCAAGCACTCAACAACGAAAACGAAGTTACTGTTATGAAAGTCAGTCAGCTTTGCAAAACCAAGAATGATGCCGAAGACGAAGAGGACTCTGATAACTCGGATGTTGAAGAAGATCCTATTTTGGAGCATCGGTCTATTCCCACCAAGGGCGCTTGCAACCGCATTCGAGCTTCTCCTGTTTCATCTAGGGATCCTCAAAAGAAAAACTTTATGGCTTCTTTCCAAGAAACAGGCAAAGTCCATATTTGGGATATCGCTCCTCATCTCCAATCGCTCGTCAGCCCTGGCAATGTGGTTTCCCGCAATCAAAACAACCCTGTTTACACTGTGAATCAACACAAGACAGAAGGTTATGCTTTAGACTGGTCACCTTTCGAATATTCCTTACTTTCAGGAGACAACGCCAATGAAATTTATTTGACTCGTGCTACAAATAGTGGATGGCAGACAGAATCATCTCCCTTTTTGGATCACACTGCAAGTGTGGAAGACATCCAATGGTCCCCTAATGAAAAGACTGTGTTTTCCAGCTGTAGTTGTGATGGTACTTTCCGTATTTGGGATGTCCGAAATCAAAAGAAGAATTCTGCCTTAACTGTTAATGCCCACCCTGGCGTTGACGTTAATGTTTTGAGTTGGAACTCGCGTGTGCCTTACCTGATGGCCACTGGTGCTGACAATGGTGTCTTCAATGTATGGGATCTCCGCTCTTTGAAATCTTCATCAGCTGTCGCCACGCCTGTCGCATCCTTTAAATGGCATCAGGCAGCTGTCACTAGTATCGAGTGGCATCCAAAAGAAGAATCTGTAATTGCTGTTGCTGGTGCTGATGACCAGCTTTCGCTCTGGGATCTTTCTGTTGAATTGGATCCTGAAGAACAAGCTAGCCGTGCTGCTGAAGGCCTTCAAGATGTGCCTCCTCAACTTATGTTTGTCCATATGGGACAATCAGCCATTAAAGAGCTTCATTGGCACAAACAGATTCCTGGTACCATTGTTTCTACTGCTCAAACGGGTCTGAACGTCTTCAAGACGATTACTTTTTAAAACTTCATGGAAATGAGTAAAGCAAGTATTTGTAAATATTATAAATCTACGTCTTGTTTCGATACCATGATGGGAGATGTTTGATACTGTGCATTTTATTTCCTTATTTTCTTTTCTCTATCGTTGCAAATTTTTGGGTTTTTGGCTTATTATTGGTTGGACATTTCAATAAAATGGATTTTCAGTAACACGGTTCTCTTTAATGGTTTAGTTTTTGGATAATAATAAAAAAAAAAAGAGAAAGTGAGACAGCTTTCTATGGAAAGAGTAAAATGCAGTGTATAACGCTGCAAAACCTTGAACCTTTCTAGTTATCTATATGAATAATAAAAAAGGCTTTCTGAGTTTGATTTTTGTTCTTCTGGCACATTGTTATTTCCAAACGATAGATCATTTTGGCCGAATGGCAATAGCTGGCAGATTTGTTATATAAGAAGTCTGATTTGCTAGCTTTCTATATTCTGTAACTAAAGGTAAACAATGCTTTCTGAAGATGGCTTTTATGGAAGTCATGTATAATAAGATATTAAGAAAAGTAATCTTGATTTGTGATATACGCTCAGCAAGTTTCTTGTTGCTTGACTCAATGATCGCACCTGCATTGGGTCTTTGATGAAGGCTTAAAAAAGAGAAAAGATGCATTGTCTAATGGGGCTCTATTGAGGATCCTTTGTCTTCCTTGTTCTTGTTTGAGTTTAATGAACTCACTTTCTTCTTGCATTCTTGCCTCTCTTCATTTGTTTATTACTATATTTACACTCTGGTTCGTTATGCAAATATAACAAATGAAAACTAACAGTCAAATTTTCAATATATAGCGAAGCTGGTTTGCACTACACAACAAAGCTTACCGCCATATCAATTACAATGCTATTGTACATACAGTATCGAAATTGAATCAGTAAATTTATTAAGACATTTCTGTGCAGCTTTGCGCAATTTGGTATTTCTACTCTCGAAGATTCCTGAGTCTTCGATCCTCCCACTATGGGCTGCAGTATAAAGCCTGAGCTAGCAACTGAACAACAGCAAAACGAAGAAGCTGGGACGTATTTGTTTACAAAAGAATTTGGAGGGATTTCTTTTTGTTTTGAATTTGTTTACGTTGGAAAATGTCTGCAACATCTGTAAACCCTAACAATTGGTAAGTTTGACGCGTCAGCAGTAGAATGGCCTTGTCGTTCATTAAATGTTCGTTCAACAATATGGAAGATTGAGCTAAGGTTGCAGTGCCTAATCGGTGTATATTGGTTGTGCTCTTTACGTGTTTTCCTCGTCAATGGCTTGTTTGCCTTCCAAATCGATTTTTCTGGGAAAAGTCAATTGGGGTTACTAGCCATTAACGTGTAAAGAGTTGCTGAAACGCCATTAGGGACTTGGCTTTTTCTCTGTTTCTCTTTGACTTTGCTTAGTTTGGTTAAGTGGTCGCTAACAACGGTTTGTAATAGGCATTGGACTAGCAAGGATTGCCGGTTATGGACTAGGGATTACCTTGATACGGAGCTTGTCAAGATTGCGGTGGATGAGGGTGATAAGAAGGCCGCTATTAGCAGAGTCATTAGTTGTGAAGGTGATGTGGATGTTGCCATGCGTAAACGTAAGATCATTACCATTTATGACTTGAAGATCCAGATGGAATTCAACGGTGAAGTCAATGGTACTGAAGCTTCAGGTTCCATCACTTGTCCTGAGGTTTCTTATGATTTAGGTCCTTCCGATTATGTTTTTGAGATGGACTTGTATGAAGCCAACAAAGAGAAAGAGCCTGTAAAACAGTTTGCCCGCGAGAAGTTGCTCCCTAAGGTTCGTGAGTTTTTTGGTAGTCTCTCGAAAGTTTTGTTGGAAACTCATGGTAACGACGTTTACTTGTCGACCGAAGAACACAACGGTAATGCTGCTCGGGGACTCCCTAGCCATAGTAGCCTTACTGGTCAACAGAAAATTGGCAAAACGTCTACCAACACACCTTCCAAGTCTGCTTCTTCCCTCTCTGCCAGTTCTGGTTCTGATGGTTCTCATGCTTCTGCTGTCGTCAATACTTCCAACATCTCTGAAAACTTTAGTTTTGATGCTCCCGCTGATGAGCTTTATGCCACTTTTTTTAGATCCTGCTCGTGTCGCTGCTTGGTCTCGTGCTCCTCCTCAGCTCGATGTTCGTCCCCAAGGTCCCTTTTCCCTCTTTCACGGCAACGTCGTAGGCCGTTTCCTTATTTTGGAAGAAAACAAGCGCATCGTACAAACTTGGCGTCTGAGCGCCTGGCCCACTGGTCACTATGCTGAAATCTCTTTGAGTTTTGACCAAGCTGATACTTATACCACATTACGCATGGTTATGAAGGGAGTGCCCATCGGAGAGGAGGAGATTGTTCAAAACAATATTCAGGATTATTACATCCGTCCCATAAAAACTATTTTCGGTTTCGGTGCTGTCCTTTAAAAGGTGTTTGGATCGGAGTTGATGTTCTCGACTTTATCAGCGTTGAAAAAGATCAAAATGTGTTGGCGTAAATTTTATCTTTTACGTGTCCTTTTCATATAGAATTTCAGTGATCAGTTCTTTCTGAAACTAAACGACGGTTTACAATAGCTCAAAGAGTTAAAAGCCATTTGTGATGATAATTTTGGAGTAATGCTTTGAAAGGATTCAATCCTTTTCGTCCTCTTTGGAATGATATATTTACGTTTCCGTTAAGAATAATCACAATCAATAAGATTTTAATGAGAAAGACGATATAGAACTACATCTTATTTAATCTTAACTATATCTTTAGTATAGAAAACTGGCCATGAATGTAGAAAAGTATAGAGAACAAAACGGTTAACTTGATCATATTGAGTTCCCTTTTACTAGATGGTGTCACTGCTTTTGGATTGTAAGCGTATAAACTAACGTAACATACAAAAAAGGATATGCTGAATGACCTGATAATTGGAGCAAAAAAAGCAGCCAGCTTTCAGCTTATGCAAACTTGGATGAAAGTAAGTGATCACGTTCACGGGCAGCTCTGTCATATTCATATGTGTACTCGTTTTGTTCAGACTCAGACTGCTGGGATTCCAGAGCGTTTAACTCCGTAGATCGACTAGCTGGACGAGCAATCGGAGGCTGATATTCCTTTAATTTTTGATATCTGTACACAATTAGGAGGAAGGTGCCAACAGTGATTACACCACTTAGAACTATCCCGATAACATTTGCCGGAGTGGAAGTGTTGGCTGCTAAACATACTCCAGCATACACAGGAACAAGGTATTTGAAACAAGAGAACCAAAATGCGATTGACCAGCCGACGTAAGATACTTGGGGAATAGTAGCAAAGAAGACAGTGGTAAAATGAGTAGGCAGAAAACTAAGGCGAATTAGCCAGATAAGAGGGTAGCTTCCTTCTTCAAGGATCTTGACAAATGTGCCATAATGCTCTTGATGTCGACTTCGGAATTCCTGAGCTTTCTCTTCTAAAAAGTAGCGATATCCTAGAAAGGCAATTGATTCTCCAAGAAAGATACCGCAGACAACGGTGCAAAATCCGACGTTAAGGCCCCATACAGCTCCTACAACAATAGATATAGGATCCTGCCCAGCTAATGGAGGAACTGAAGACGCAGCAATCATGCATAGCGGGATCAGAAATGAGAATCGGTGATGAGAGAGGTTTCTAGCAATGGGTAAGATAATATGCAGAATTTCTTTATGGTAGACACTTAATAATACTAGGGACGTTATAAGAAAAATTGAGAGAGCGAATAGCCCAATCTAAAAGTTAGAAACAATGCTTTATGTTAGGTTATGAATAAAACTTACAACTTTAGGCATTGCTCTAGACTGAAACATTTTTTAATCTAATAATTCTCATTAAAATTAATTGAAATTCTTATAAACATATATCAGTCTTCGTTAGGCAAATTCACATTCTAGTCGGTATATAGGAATTATTTGGGATCGGCGATGGTTGATATATGAGAACTTCACAGTGAAAACAAACATTAGGTTTCAAAATTCGATTCTATTTGAATTTGCAAAGTACAGTTATACATTGACTATGTACGGGCGTTCAAAGAACGCTTTGAACTAAGCCATGTGCTTGGAGGATACGGTGAATTTGAGATTTAACAAGTACGAAAAAATAATTGCCGCTGTAAGTTCTATTCCTTATATAAATCTAATTTTCATTTTCTTCATGCGTATTTTTCCATTAAAATGGTTCCCATCGCCGCAATTAAACTAGTATATCGAAATTTAAAAAAGTCGTTGTCATTAATTTTATTCATCTTCTTCATCTCAATTGCTCATTTTTATCGACAAAACCATGAAAACCATTACAACATAAGCTCAAAAAATGCTCAAGAAAGCGCATATATCAAGCATAAGTCTCACATACTGCTGTAGAGTACAGCCAACAAAGTTTGGTAGCTTTCTCTTGCGTTCAAATTCTTTTCATTTTCTTCAGTTGGAGACATAGCGTATTTCGCGAAAGCCTCCATATCGTCCTAGATAAAATTAGTACAAAGACTTGGTTAACTATATTTCCACAAACCTGTTTTAGAATGGACAACTGAGCTAACAATAAAATGATGGGGAAGTTAGAAAGGCTGCCAGCTTGTACAGCATCATGATCAAAAAGCTTTGCTAACTGTCTCAAACGTCCTGTTTCATCGGCGGTCTCTATAGCAATCGGCAACGTCGTATCATGTTTGGCAAACATGGGAGAAGGTTCTTCCGGGAATCCATCTGTCAAGGTTACAAGCAAAAAACTAACAGGAAAAGCAGGCTTTGCGTTTTTAGAGACCTGCTTTCCATATTCGTCAACGTATCGATAGAGAACATCCGGCACATATCGAGATTTATCTTCCCTTTTTACTAGCATGCGGTCTGGATCAACGCTAGGCTGAATTAAATCAGCTTTATATAGAGAAGTGGCAACGTTGGAAACTTGGTAAGACGTGACTTCAATCTCACCGTTGGAATTCCCACTGATGACAGAAGTGACAAACTTGGATCCAAAAGACCCGGTTTGTGACCATTTGTTTGGGTTCGGAAACTTCGCTTGGAAGTATGAAGAGTTGTAAACCTCAAGAGAAGAAAGAAAGTAAGAATCTGCATGACGCTTACAAAGGACTTTTCCGGTAGCACTACCGTCATCAGTCAAATCAGTATAAATAATACCGACCCGACGGAGTCCGCAAGCCGCAGCCACTTGATCAACCAAAGTTTCTTCTGGCCATTCCTGTAAAGTAACACCATCCGCTTCGGAAATCTGGGGAGGCTCATAGATAGTCTCTACGACAGCTTTCATTCCCAAGGGAACAGTTGTGTAAGGTTCATAATGCCCATAGGTATAACCAATTCTTTGAAAGCCAGTTCTTCGCCAAGCGTTCAAGAAAGAATCGACGATAGCGGGAGAGGCGAATTCTACATGATCTACAATTCGAAAGGGTTGCAGGTTCATCATTATGGTAGAAGGTTGGCATTTTGAGCAGATACCCAAAGGCCAGGGAGGATGTCCGGAAGGGCACTTTTCTTTGACTTTGAAGTAAGGTTCTTCCAGCGGTGGAATGAAGGATTGTGCACTGGCATATTTATTAATATTGGAGTTTATCTTTTTCAAATAAGAATGAAAAGACATGTGCTTAATGTTATTTTCTCGTTGATAACTCTCATCATACGGTTCTAGAGGAGAGCAATAATCGCACATGCCTTTCGGTCCATGTCGACAAAACGGTGTCGTAGGTCGAGGGATCAAACCATCTTGCATCTCAAGAGCATCATCAATATTATCTTGAGCCACATGAGTAGTAGCAACGTTGCTGGAGTTTGTAGCCGATAAAGCGTTGGCTTTGGAAACTTCGACTTCAGCAACCCCTTCTTTACCAGGAGGAACAGGAGTTGATGCAGGAAGCTCTCTAGGAGACCCAAGGCGTAAAAAAACCATGCTTCCATGCGTCAATCCCGTTTCCTGCAGGGTTTTCGCGTCTAGTTGAGAACAAGGCGTACCCATGTCTGACTCATCCTTGCACAGTGAAACGCTTTCAGCGGTGTATTGATTTTTCAAAACATTAAACAAAACCTATATATCGCGTTAAAACCGTCTAGTTCATCCTCATGGCAATGCTTCTGCATATCACGTACGCTGTCCTTTAACGTTTGCAATGTGTCTGTAGGTTGGAATTCCGCACGGGACATTCCCAGCCTACTTCGAAATCGTATAATCTATATTCTGTTAGTATAAATCCTTCGAGACACTTGCTTCCTTCATACCATTTTTCCTGTAGGATACGTGAAAACGGTAAGTAAACAATTGCTATTACAGCCTGTGTAACGTGGTCTAATACCGAAGTCGAGAGCGTCGTTAAAGGACTATAAAGTGCTAATGAATGTACGTCATTGCAAAGGACGAACTGTTTGTTTTTGGTTTGGGAAAGAAAGAGACCACGAAAAATAATATAAACCAGGGATAAGGAAAAGGAGAAGAAAGTAAAAAATGGACGATTGAAGTTTCTCGTTGTAGCTTAGTTTTCGACAAAAGATTCATATTAGACTTTTAATATGATATATGATACTTGGTGATTATGATTTGTTAAGTCTATACCAGGGTCCTTTAAACTGTTTGTTGATTATGAAGAAAGAGTACTCTTTTACTTTTTCTTCCTTTTTTTTTATTTTATATGTAGTTAGGCTTGCTTTCCTTACTTTGCGTGTAGTTTCAAATAAATTTTAGTGATATAATCATTGTCGTGCATGATACTTGATCTTTGAGGTACCTTTTTAGTGTATATACATACAAGGCTTTCTGAAGAGCAAATGCTTAAAGAAAGCTGTACATAGAAAAAGAAAGGGGGTGCCTTCGCCTTGAATAGTAAGAGCCGAATAAAGGGTAGGAGTTGTTTTAAAATTTTTTAGTATTCATTTTATTATTATTATTATTATTATTATTATTGTTTTTTTTTTATTTGGTAAAACTGAGAATGAGTCTAAGTGTCATATAATTCACTATTGAATAAGATTTTGCAAAATGAATTCTCTTTATGCTCTACGTTGCCGAAGCTTACCGAAACTCCTTTAAGGAACTGAACAGTAAATAAAAAACCTTTACACTGATCATTACACATACACGAGTCTTGTATATTTATGTTAAACAGGCGGTATCAATTATTAAGCTTACTTTATACCCACAGGTTTTCACTTAGTAGGTATAAATATTTATAAGATAAGTAAACAAATAGAATGACTAGCTTGAGAAATCGCATTTATGGGAACTTTACTTAGCAAAAAAAACAAACGACTGTAAGACGCGGTTTTCGATATACAGACTTCTAACTCAATTTTTAAGCAGAAGCTATCGGATAATACTATAATATAAGTCTTTTAAAGGATTGCAACTCAATATTAAATATAAGATTACATCTGTCGCCTTGAGTGCGAAACAGAAAAAAAAAAAAAAAAAAGAAGAATGACTTTTTTTAATCTGCATTAGAATAAACTAGAGAGCTGCTTTGCATGCTCTAACAAAATGAAAAGTTATCAACTTTACAAAGTTCTGCTATTAAGTACAAGCTTTTGTTATTCGGTCTCTACAAATCATGATTTTTCTTTGACTGTTTATATTTCTTGACCTTTTAGTTCATTTGTCTACGGCCATACCTAGGCGAAAACACCAGTTCCCGTCCGATCACTGCAGTTAAGCGTCTGAGGGCCTCGTTAGTACTATGGTTGGAGACAACATGGGAATCCGGGGTGCTGTAGGCTTTCTCTCTCCTACTGGTTTCTTTTTTTTTTGCCTTTTATAAATCTTAAGCTTAATAAACTAGATAGTTAATTTATCCCCATTCATTAGGATTGAGCTTCATACTTGTGCCCACTGAACATAGACTCAATCAAACAAGTCAATAGCAAGCAATATCAACAGTTTATTGATAAAAATAAAAATAAGGCTGAACTGATAGAGACGATGATATAGCAAATAAAAGAACTAATTTAAAAATAAAAGAAAACCAAAACTATAACACGCAATAAGAATAAATGTCGAGGAAACGAAAATATATTGGAGTGCATAATTATAAAGAAAAATATTACTAACCCACCAGTCAACACCAATAAAGCACAGTACTAGCGAGAAGTACACTATAAATTATATTGACCCCAGCCCAGTTCAAGGTGGAGGCATACTGCTTCTTTTTTACCAGCAATCCTAAGAAATTGAGTATAGGTAGGTATACATACAATCTCAAACAAGTAGATTCCTGTTATTTTTATTATTATTCTAAAGTATTTCATTTTATTATTTGTTATATATTTAATATTTGGTATACAAAAACGATACTTTACAAAAGGTCAAGTACTGCTGCTAAAACAGCCACAGTTTAGCTGAACCAAAGAGATGTCATAAAGCATCCACGATCATCCTCAATGTTAATTTTAAAATCCATTGCCCTCAGGAACCTCACAACTTAGAAACGACATCACGCTTCTCATGACATGACAATAACTACTACTACCGGTTGCGCTTTATGAAGCCAATTATGAGTCATTTTGGTAATTACGGCTTTCATATATGAAGAAAATACAGAGAATTGGGATATTATTAAAATAGGTAACTACCAATTGATTCAAATGAACCTCATTCATAATACTGAATGCCGTAAAAGTCATCACAAAACGCAATGTTTCCGTAAATTTTTTCGTTCACTTAAGAAAAATTGCGCGTTTTAATTAATACTTAGAAATAAAAAGTGCTTTTCAACCAATCTATTGTTGTAGAGCTTGTTGTCGTTCCGCTATGGTCGCAGCGACGGCGGGACGCTCAGTAAGACGTTTATGCCAAGCATAGGTCTTGGGAAACTCCTTTTCGAAATCCAATTGTGGAAGATCTTCTTTGAATTCATGCCTTCCTTTTCCAAAAAGCGAAGGTAGCATACTGTTCCAGTTAATAAAAGCCACGTCGGCGATTGTGTACTTGTCAGCGACCAGATAGTCTTTGTTTTGGAGAATTCTTTCTAAAACACCGAGCACACGCTTTGTTTCGTTTCTGTATCTAATAACGGCCGACGCAACAGGTTCTGGATGAAATAAGTTAAACCAGCCTGCTTGTCCCCAAATGACACCCTGACCTGAAGATTGAAAAAAAAGGTACTGAAGCAGATGATGGTACTCTGGATGATCATGAGGTAAAGAAATCTTTCTTTCCTTGTCGTACCTGTCTGCCAAGTATGCCAAAATAGCATCGGACTCCCAGATTGCATAATCATTGTTTTGATGATCAATTAATGTAGGAACTCTACCATTGGGATTGTAAAAAAGGTGTTGTTCGTTCTTTTGCTCATTTTTTTCAAAATCAAAGAAGACGGGTTCGTAAGAAAGATTTAATTCTTTTAAAGCGATAACTACTTTCCAAGGATTTGGACCTCCTTTATGAGAGAAGAGAGTAAATTGAGCCATTTCTTCAAGAATGTTGGAAGTGAATATTATGAGTTGGCTGCTTTTATATCAGTTTTTTTATCGACACACTTTTACGTAATTAGCGTTATTTGATGACTAAAAACTGAGGTTTGTTTACGATCATACGATACTGCTTATAAAGCAAAAATACAATCTTCTAAAATAATTGTTTGTAGCGCAAATTTGCTTCTCCGAAAGCCTTGCAGAAACAAGACCAAGGACGAGAAAACTTACAAATTTTTATTCAAGAATCATTTGCTCTACTTGTGTTATTCACTGTATTGCATGGTAGAAAACAGTTGGAATACGATTTCAGCTTCAGGAATATGATACGAAGTAACAAATACTCGTTAATAGGATATATGAAAGAAAAAGTTGGTCTTGCAGGTGGATTGTGTGTTTTTCTCTCAGTTTAATCCATAACGGAGAGAAAAGAAGTGATACATGTTTGATATGTAAACAAACATTCCATTTCCTGGATATTGGCGATGTTTCCGACCCAACTTGGGCTCCTCAAGAATGGAAAAACTAAACATACGAGGAGGATCCAGAAGAAAAGACAGCGACAATGGTTAACCGCTCGTTTGCTGCTAGATATTTCCAATGGCTATCCAGTCTTTTGTGCTTTAAAGTTGCAAGTACTAGCGTAGGTTCTCCGAGGGTTAAAGAAAAAGTTTTCGTATTAGTTTATATGTTCATTGATTAGTTATAATGGCGACTTCCATTGCCATGTTGGATTTGAATGAAATCAGTTTGAATGTAAACATGTCTTTCAGAAAAAGCTCACTTGCTATTCTTTCAACAGTCACACCCTGTTTAAGCCTCTAAAACCTCGTATTACAATGGTAGAATATTTGACGATGAAATTCTGAACAGAATGAATCTCATTTACCTCACAAACAATCGTTTAAGTACTAAATTCGCTTTATTTATGTTAACGTTTGAATAACGAATATGAAACAGCAACTCTTCTCTAAAATTTGTTTTCTTCATAAGTCAATTAAGCTGTCGTCAATAGATGACGATTTGCAATTTACAAAACTGGAAAGTAATTCAATTGAAACCTTCTGTTAATTTCTTTTCTTCTGATTTTATTCTTCCATTGATGAAATTGCTTTGAGTATTGAATTCTATGAAAGAATCAATCCTCAGGTAACTTGATCAATTGAACTTGTACTTTCCTACAGTGCTGACTCAAGAATTTTTACTGAGCAATTGAAAGGTATACCATATTTTGAAAGGTTTTTATATATAATATAATAATTTCTGTAACAATTGAAAAGGTTGTTTCCCCTTGAAAGACAAAACGGCCTGAGTGTTTTAACATAGAGAATAAGGCTTGCAGGTATCACCGTTTGCGCTTGGTATGTAAGCAATGCTGAAATGCACCATTGAAAATGATCAAATTCAGACTTTACGAAATGGAGAAACATTTGTATCGTATGAAGTCCGAACTCAGAGCGACTTGTCAGTGTTCGAGGAGAAAGAATTCTTCGTCCGACGAAGGTACAGTGATTTTGAGATGCTTCACAACATCCTGAGCAGAGACTATAGTGGATATGCAATCCCTCCTGTCCCAAGAAAGCATACAGTCACTTCGTTTTCTGGTGGATCTCTTTCACCAATATTCATCGCCAGGCGAATGCACTCTCTACAAACATTCCTGGATCGTTGCATTGCCCATCCGGTAATTAGTACTTCCATGCACATGTATCAATTTCTTGAAAACGAATCCTGGAAATTCTATTACCATAATGCGTGGATGCAAGCCGGGAATGCCAACATCAAACCTCCACAAGGAGTGAAAAGTGAAAGAAATCTTGAAAAGCCTTTTATCCTTACTGATCCATATCCAATTGACGTTCAAGAGAATGCGAAGCGGATATTAGAAAACTGTGAGACAGACCTGCAAAAACTGGCCAAGGCCTGCGCTCATCATATGAGTAGTCTACAGGCGTTTCCATCAGAAACTACAATATCCAAAGATATTTATGCCTTTTATTTCGATGACATTGCCTCATACTTTGGAATCCTAAAGAAAAATAATGTTCAATTGTTGAATGCTTTTCAAGCAAATATACTGACTTCAATTCAAGATTTGGAGGATTATCTATTAATTTTTAAATCTTTAGTGAAACAAAGAGAGCAAAAGCAAAAGACCTTTGAAACGGTCCAATTCGAATGCTCTCATCGTCCTGTGATGCCTACGTCCGCTCACAAACAACAGCTAATCCACGATAATGCGAACGATTCGCAAACTTCTTGGACAAAGATAACAATTCCTTCGCAAAATAAATCTTCTAGCTTATTTACTATCCCCAAGTTTCTTCGGAAAAAGAAGTCAATATCTACCGAAATCGAAAATCCCGTAGAGGCTCTGAAGCTATGCTATCAAGATCTTCAGCAGTTCGATGAAAAATTGGACGGCGAAATGCAATTCCTTCGTGAAAGGTTAGATACTGAAACCCGGCGGACTCTACAACTTGTTTGCGACAATCATGTGAATTACTTTACTGCCATCCTTGAAAGTTTAAATTCTTAGAAAATACTTACGATGGAGATACTTAATTCGTTTCTAGCCTGGTTTGTATAGGAGAATTTTTATTTTTACTCTCATGTCATCTCAATGGATTCTGTACAAAAATGTCATTTCTTCTGCTCGCTATGTTCTTCTAATTATCTTTCTTACAAGCCAAATTTACCTACCTGTTTTTTCTCGTTCAGAAATGAAAAATAACTCTTTATTTTATACTATACTAATGTCTACAAGCTTAAACCATGAATTCGAATGACTAGTTTCTCCCACTTTGTTCTTTTTGATGTCTTTTATTACTAATGATAATGCATAGATGTTCAAATTTCTTATTCTAAGATTACATATACTTATGTTGATGAATGAATATGTTAAAAAACAGTATTTATAACTAGGATGCATCGTAATGTTCCAAGTCTTACAAGCTAAAAACTTCACTGTAGAAAACTTCATAGATTTTGTTTATGTTATTTCTTATCTTAAATTAGAAGGTCACTATTGACGTACTCTTGAAGAAATCGTATCTGTTAAATCAGGAAAGTCTTCCAGAGCAAACAACAAGATTCGCTCATTAATATACCTGAATTGGAATTTTATTTGAAATCTTCACTGAAATTGGGATCCCACGTTCAATTTTTGGCTTAGTTCAACGATCGTTGCAAAGTCGGTCATTTTTTGTCTTTTTTAACTTATATCGCTTTGGAAAACTAAACTCAACCTAAATGCTTTTTATAAGCAAGTTTTGTTTTTTAGTGGCCATGACAATCGTTTCTCTTACAACAGCTTCGTTCGACGCCAAGGGAATGCTGGAAGCCCCCAGACGATCATCTGTGTCCAGTAATTTTCAAGGAGATTTAGGTGTCTTTGTGGAATCCAATTATTCTTTTGCAAATCATAGCTTCTCCTCTGGTATCTACCTAGTCAATAGTTCCATCAAGAATCATCAAGAACTTTTGGTACCTGGAAGGGGAGCGAAGTCTCCACGGTGGATCACAAACCATTCATTCCTTTACGTTAAGGACAATAGTGCTTCTGGATCCAGTATCGTTGTATTTGACGTTGATCATCGTTCCGAATCTGTTCTATATGATCATGATGTCCTTATTTCAGAATTATCGGTTGTGAAAGATTCTAACCGTTACCGAGTAATATTTACTTCTCTTGATAGTTCCGGAAGATATGAGCCTCTAACCCAACCTAATGTCCACGTCTATGATAGCCTGTTTGTCAGGCATTGGGACCACTGGAAAACAGGTGAAAGAAACAGTCTCTATTCTATTATCCTTGAACACCATTCTGAAATCGCTCACACTTTTCAACTAACTACGCCTACAGCTATTGATCTCTTGCAAGGTACTGGACTCGAATGTCCCATAGAGCCTTTTGGCGACTCAACGGACTTTGATGCTACATTTAATGAATTGGTTTTTGTTGCTAAAGATCCGAAATCTAATCCAGCAACCCAAACAAGGACTGTTGTTTATTTGTTGAACTTGACTACGATGAAACTGAAAAGCCTCAGTGCTGCTATGGGTGCTTGTAGCTCTCCTATTATTTCGGAAGATGGTTCCAAAATTGGCTGGTTGGAAATGAGAACACCTCAATATGAGAGCGATCAAAACCAAGTTATGATTTACTATCCGAAAAACGGTAAGAAACAGCATGTTGCTCAGGATTGGGACCGTTCCCCTGCTTCTATTCATTGGGGTACTTTACCTAGCGGCGAAACTGGTTTGTATGCCATAGCTGATGACGAAGGAAGAAGAAACTTGTTTTTTATTTCCACCGAAAACAATCAAGTCATTTCTTTAACCAAAGATGAAAGTGTCTTATCAGTTTCTAGTTCCGAGGGACCTAAATTATGGCTCAGTAAATCATCTTTTATTAGTCCAAAGTATTTTGTTCTGTATGACCCGTCTACAAAAGAAGAAGAACCGTTGTTAGATGCCAATCTTGGTTTAAGCAAATCTTCGTATGAAGAGGTATGGTATCCTGGAACGAATGGTCACAAAATCCACGGATGGATTGTCCGGCCAGAAAGTTTTGATGCTACGAAGAGATATCCCCTTGCAATCTTTATTCACGGAGGACCCCAGGGATCATGGACAGATAGCTGGTCGACACGTTGGAATCCTGCTGTATTCGCAAATTCTGGGTTTATCGTTTTTACCATTGATCCAGTAGGATCAACTGGCTACGGCCAGCAGTTTACCGATGATATTGCTTTGAACTGGGGAGGTCGTCCATACCACGATATTGTCCGTGGTGTCGATTATATCACTGGCCAAATTCCTTATGTCGACGGCAGTAGGATGGTAGCCTTAGGTGCTTCCTACGGGGGTTACATGATTAATTGGATTCAAGGCCATCCTCTAGGAAACCGCTTCCGAGCTTTAGTATCTCACGATGGAGTCTTCAACACAGTGAACACCTTCTATAGCACAGATGAGCTTTATTTTCCTATGCATGATTTTGGTGGTACTCCGTGGGAGAATAGAGCCACCTATGAACGCTGGAATCCTTCTAATTTTGTCGAGAATTGGGCAACTCCTCAACTTGTAATCCATAGTTCCAAGGATTATCGCTTAACGGAAAGTGAAGGAATTTCTACATTTAATGCACTCCAATACAAAAAGATTCCTAGTAAGCTTCTGGTTTTCGAGGATGAAAATCACTGGGTCCTTAAGCCAGAGAACTCTTTGCGCTGGCACCATGAAGTCTTAAGCTGGATTACCCAGCACGTAAATGATAATTGATACATTTTCGATGGATTTTTCTAATTATATAATTATTAACACGCCCATCTTGTCTAAGTCTTCTATTTCTGATTGTGGAAATACCGCGGGTTTCCGAGTAATTCCGTAAACTTTAGCATCAAAGCCAGATCAACCAAAATTCCTTCTTTAGCAAAAAACGTCGAATAAAGTAATTACCAGTCAGGATTTTTACTTTAATTGAAAAGAAACTTAATCCTTGACATATTTAGCTGGATTTATTGGCGACAATGGTAAAGTACGAAGTTCGTGTACCTACTTATACGGCGTCTGCCGTTAGTCCTTCTGAGCGTGATCGTATTTTGGCTCGTCCTATTCAAGATACTCAGAATATCCGTAAAATTGTTGAGCCTATCATTGACGATGTAAAAGCTCGTGGTGAGGCAGCCCTTGTTGAATTTGCTGCCAAGTTTGAAAAGGCAGAATTAAAGTCTGCTATTTTGAAGGCTCCCTTCAATGAGTCAATGATGAAGGTTGACCCAAGGATTCGAGAAGATATCGACATCGCCTATAATAACATCTTCGCTTTTCATTCTGCTCAATTGCGTCCCAACATCTCAGTTGAAACCATGCGCGGTGTTGTCTGCCAGAGGATGTCTCGTCCTATAGAGCGTGTTGGATTATACATTCCTGGTGGTACGGCTGTTTTGCCCTCAACTGCCTTGATGTTGGGAGTTCCAGCCAAGGTTGCTGGTTGTCCTCATATTGTCATCTCCACACCTGCTCGTAAGGATGGTACTGTGGCTCCTGAAATTGTCTATATTGCCCACAAACTTGGTGCTGAGGAAATTATATTGGCTGGTGGTGCTCAAGCTGTAGCTGCTATGGCGTATGGTCTTCCCGGTGTCCCCAAGGTAAACAAGATCTTCGGCCCTGGAAACCAATTTGTGACCGCAGCCAAGATGCACGTTCAAAATGATTATGGTGCCCTAGTAGCTATTGACCTTCCTGCTGGTCCTTCGGAAGTATTGGTCATTGTAGATGAATCTTGCAATGCCGAAAGCGTTGCTCTTGATTTGCTTTCACAAGCAGAGCATGGTTTGGATAGTCAAATTGTTTTAATCGCGGTAGCACTTACTGATGAGCAATTTGATGAGATTGAGGCGGCCATTAACCATCATGCCTTGCGTTTGTCTCGTTCTTCTATCATACAACACGCAATTAAGAAGTCGGTTATCATTCGTACTGATTCTACTGATGAAGCGTTTGAATGGTCCAATCTTTATGGCCCAGAGCACTTGGTTCTTCACCTTAAAAATGCTTCTTCTCAGCTGCCAAAAGTTAACAACGCTGGTAGCGTTTTCGTTGGACCCTGGTCTCCTGTCAGTATGGGAGATTACGCTTCTGGCACAAACCACACTTTACCGACATACGGATATGCTAACGCCTATTCTGGTGTTAACACAGACAGCTTTTTGAAGTATATTACTACTCAAGAACTCACTGAGGAAGGTATCCAACGTTTGGGTCCTTCTGTGATTCGACTTGCCGAATTGGAAGGACTTACTGCTCACGCTGATGCAGTTCGTGTTCGTGGTGTAAAGCTTTAAAGTTAAATAATAAGGTCAGTAAATGCATTTTGAATACATGGGCAAGGATAGAGGTTTCAAATGTTTTTTGCTGGGAAATTTGAAAGATTACAAACAATTGTCATTAGCACGTTTATATGGTTATATAAGTTCTCTCTACCTTTACTCTAATATTAATAGATTTCCAAAGGTGTATAAGTGTATTTTCTGCATAACCTCAATCAAGTAATCGTTGTATACGCGTCTTGTATCATGCTGGAAGTATTTACCAAGAACCACTTCCATAACAAAATTTATTTCCTTTGTTTCGCGACTTTTATACCTTAAAGGATAAAACAGAAACTAATTAAAACGTTATCATACCAAAATGAGTTACTCAGTCTCAGCAGCGCAATTATGGTCACGAAAACTGGCGATGCAAGCAGAAGACATGCAATTGAGCCAAAAGAACACCAACAGCCGTATTTTAAATGTATTGGGAGACATGAAAGCACTACAAGAAACTACAAATCAAAACATCGATCAAAATTTCAATTCTGTTACTCAAAATCACAATCAAGTTTCCTCTTACAGTAAGACAAGAATAAAAATTGGTACGCGTCGAAACTAATCAAGGCTTTATTTTTTTAGTGTTTCAAACATTAAATAACTTTCAAACTTTTCTTCAGAAGATCATGGAAGAACAACAGAAAAACAGTCTGCACATGGAAACCATGGAAAAAGATATCGTCGATTTAAAAGCTCAACTCGGAACCATCCAAAGAGAGCAAGAAAATGGTTTTAAAACTTTGGAGAAGCATATGAAAGAGTCAATGACCATGATGAAACAAGTGACAACAAAAGAACAAAAACGCAAAACTACTACTCAGTTAAAACCTGTTCATACAAATCAAACATCAGCAGCGAAAAGAAACGCTACTTCAATGAGGAAACGGGTACTAGCTTTGGACTTTTTAGCTGAAGATGACTACTAAACAATGACCACCCTTTACGCTACTTCATCATACAGATAATCAAGAAAAATGTCAATGGCAAACGTGCATAAAGTTATGTACCTAAAACAATTCTTATTTATTTGTTGTTTTACCTATACAAACATCTGAATATGGTTAGCATCTTAATTTCTTAGTTGTTGAATATTTCAACTTTTCACATGAGACACAAAATACTTTGGCATAAAGAACCTCAGACTCTTCCTATTAAAGCGATATCATCGAACAAGTGCTCTCAGACGGCACTTCCTATATTTGCTCAGGTTTTTGTCATCACTTTTTTCTAAAGTACGAAGGTATCTCAGTGACAAGTTGTTGCTCGTGAACATACCTAAATTACACAGAAACAAATCTTTAACTCTAGAAGAGCTAACAAGAATGGTAGATATTTTGTTTCACACCCGCAGCGTTTGCTATTTATAACATTTGTGACGGCTTTTTCCTTTTTTTTTTTTACCAAACCATTATGACGAGAGGATACCCGATAATTTAGCTTACCATTAAGCGACGTACAGAAAATTTAACCCATAATACTGTGATGTACGGGAATTAGAGAATGATTACGCTGAAACTTGCCAAAAGCATTGAAAGATATTCAAGAATGAACGTAGACTTGTTCATCTGCAGGAAGAAACCTGACTGAAAAGAGCATTTGAGACATCTTTACATGAAAAGGGAAGGTTATGAAATCCAATGATTTACCTTTCAATGAAAAGAGTATATACTAGAATGTTAATAATCTCAATATTTATCAAATCCAAACTTTGTTTTTGTATTTACTTGTAACTACGCTATGATGGCTTAATGGAAATTTTCGGTTTGCTAATTTAATTCGTTAAACGTTTAGCACCCTGTAACAAACTCTCGAAATATGCCTTCTTGTTGCAGCAGTTTCTTCTTCATCTTCCCAAAAATTACTTTTTGGGAGTTATTGGGATTTTTTCGGTAGGAACATAAGAAAAACCCAAAAAAGTGGTTTATATTAATCTGGAGGTCTTTGTTTACGCGTGAAACTGAGAATAGTGTGAGAAACTAAGTGCTGAAAGTTGAAAAATGTCCATTGTTTCTTCAGTAGCCTTTGTCCCTCGCGGATTTGCTGCAGAATTTCCAAAAACTTACGAATTGGATGAAGCTGAATACGAGAGAATCAATAATATTTCAAAGTTGAAGCTGGAAGATGCTCGTGCTCAACTTGAGAATCCAGAGAACGAACAGGAAAAGAGCGAAAATTCAGCTGGTGCACAAGATCAGACTGCCTCCTCAGGTGCAGAAGTCCAAACGGCAGAGGAAATGGATGATGAGCTAAAAGAATATAAGTTGGACAACTACGACGATGAAGAAGAGGAAGAAGAAGATGATAGTTTAGCCATGTTTAGCAATATCAAAGGAGTTCAATACCATGAAAATGGAGAAAATGACCCTTATGTGACAATGAATACTCAGGAAGAAGAAGAAATGGAACGTGAAGAGATGCAAATATATCCTACAGACAACCTTTTGTTGGCTGCACGTACAGAGGACAACTTATCTCACGTCGAGGTATATATTTATGAATCGCAAGAAGAAAACTTGTATGTCCACCACGATTTCCTTCTTCCCTCTTTTCCTTTGTGTTTAGAATGGCTCGACTACAAGGTGGGTACTTCTGATGATACTCCTGGAAACTACGTGGCTGTCGGAACATTCGATACTGAAATTGAGATTTGGAATTTGGATGTGGTGGATGCAGTTTACCCTGCTGCTGTATTAGGTGCAAATGCTGCTAACTCGGGCTCCAACAAAAAGAAGAAAAAGGCTCCCAAAGTTAACCCCAAAACCCACACGGATGCTATTCTTGCTCTTTCCTCGAATCGTAACGCTCACAATCTCCTGGCTTCCGGTTCGGCAGATACTAGTATCAAGCTTTGGAATTTGTCATCTTGTACTTGCGTCAAGTCCTTCACTTATCACACGGACAAAGTTTCCTCTTTATCCTGGCATCCCAAAATGCCCTCTGTTTTGCTTTCTGGTAGCTATGATAAGACAGCTAGAATTGCTGATTTGCGTGCTGACGCTCCTCCCTTAACGCTTACTATTGACAGTGATGTTGAAAATGTGGCATGGGACCCCCACAACGAAAATAACTTCTTCGTCGGTTCTGACGCTGGTATTTTGTACTATTGCGATGCTAGAGACATGTCCAAGCCCGTTTGGCAGCTGCAAGCCCATGACGGCCCTATTTCTTGTCTGAGCGTCAACCCCAACGTTCCCTCTTTTGTTGCTACTGGTTCGACAGACCGAATGGTCAAGTTGTGGAACACATCTGATCATACCCCCAAGTTAATAGTCTCTCGTGATCTTGACGTTGGTCGTGTATTTACTTGCTCCTTCGTACCTGATGAATCTATTTCTTTCCATTTGGCTGCCTCAGGAAGTAAGGGTCTTGTTCGTGTTTGGGATACAGCAACAAATTCTGGAGTTAGAAGAGCATTTGAGAGTCGTATTGGTAAAAAATCCGTTGCTCCCAAGGAACGGGTTGTTCAATTGGAAGACGCTGGTGCTAATGATGAGTCCGACGAGGAGGACGAGGAGGATGATGAATATGAAGATATTGAAGCGAACGAGGATGATGATTCTGCTGATGAGATTCAAGATCAGGAAATGGCTTAATTTTTCGCACAAATCGTCATAATTTGGAAATTTTTCCTTTCATTATAAATTGGATCTATATAGGTGTTGTGTATCAAAAGTTTGGTTAGATGTATTTTAATTATGGACCCTGCAATGAGGTTTGCATGGTAAAACTGGGAATTTTTGGTTAGAGTGAATAAAAGATTGTTAATTATTCTTTCTTTCATGAACTATATGTATGTAAATCTCCACTGTACTTTTTATGAAATGGTCAAAAGTCCCATTAAAATTCAGTTGAGCTAAAAGGCTGTTGTTGAATTTGGTAGAATAACCCCAATCCTATTTTAATAATTATTTATTTACTCTCTTTTTCTTTAATGAGTAGCGTTTGCCTAAGTTATGTTTTCTTGGCCACAATCAGAAACGCTTCCTTCGACTGTCAACTCTACACTTTCGTCAGCAATAGGTATGTCATCAAATTCTTATAATGACAACTTATTTTCTGAGTTAATTAGAAAAATTTATGAATATATACCAAGTAAAGATGCTAGTGAATCGCTAGCGAAACGAGTTTTGGCGATTGCCAAAGGTCAATCGAGTGAAGAAGGCTTTAGTAAGGCATTAAGGACTTTTGGGCGCTTTTCCGACCAGGATAGCATTGCCATTTATGATACATGTAAATCTTTAATACGAATGGATGATTTTATAGGTCGACCAGCGGATACTTTGCCTAGCAACAATGCTGAAACGAAGGCAGGTTTGGTGGTTCCCGTAAAACGAGCGAATAGTTCAGAACGAGGAGCAAATTCCTCCCTGCTAGGATTAGATGTTTTAGCAAGTGAAAAAAGACATGAACAAGCTCAGAAATCTCACGGTTTACGAGGGGGATCACCGCCTTCTCATGTAGGAACTGTTGGAAATCATGATCGTGTGGAGTTCAAGAAACCAAAAGTTCCCTTAAAGTCAGAAAGGCCCCTACGCCGTCGAAGGAATGATAACAACGAATTTGAAAACGAAGAAGGGGATTCCAGGGATAGGCAATATCTTCAACGGAAAGATAATAATGGAGGTAGAAGGAATACTGGAGATGAAGGATCGACGTTTCGTAAATCTCGTAATTCTTCTAGGGACTCCGGTTATTATAATCGTGATGATTCCTACTATACTTCAAGATCAAGGCATGATGATTTCAGCAAAGAATCTTATGGTTCAAGGAAACGAGGGCCGAGCAAAAAATTCTTGTCTACTGGGAACAATGATGGAACAGCTTTTGTATCTCATAGTACTTGGGATCCGCGAGATGTGGAATATCCTGAAGAAGACCATGAAAGCATAGAGGACCGGCGTCGCTGGGAAGAAGAGCAAGCCCATTTAGACCGTGAATGGTATATGAATTCTGAATCCCAGAATTTATTAGGAGATGAAATGCATAATCCATTCGCTGATTTTGAGACGCAGGAAGACAAACAGAGAGAAGTCGAGTTTATCGAGTCTCAAAAACGGCATCTCTCCGTGCGAGCTACTGAAAGAATGAAGGAGAATTCAATATGGGAAAGAAACCGAATGATTACTTCTGGCATAGCTGGTACTCCCGGGTTAGAGACAGATTTTTCGACCTCTGAAGAAAGACGTGTGCATCTTTTAGTACATGAACTTCGTCCTCATTTTCTTGACGGTGTTAATTTTACATTAAAACAACAAGAAATCACTTCCGTACGTGATCCTCAAAGTGACCTCGCTATAAATGCTCGTCGAGGATCTGGCGTTGTTCGTGAACGACGGGAGTTCAGAGAACGTCAAAAAGCTGCTACCGCAGCTACGACTCTTGCTGGTACTTCTCTAGGAAACGTTATGGGTGTCAAAGAAGCTTCGGATGAAGATGTTCATAAAGAACAGAGTCGCACATCATCTACAGTTGCTGGCAAAATAGGCCCAAAACAAGAGAAATTTGACAATTCCGCTAGGACAAAAACATATAAGGAACAAAGGGAGCTACTTCCTGCGTTTGCTGTTCGTGAACAGTTATTATCTGTTATTAGAGATAATCAAGTACTTATTGTGGTTGGTGAAACAGGTTCTGGTAAGACAACTCAGCTTTCCCAATTCCTGTACGAAGATGGATACGATACAAATGGGATGATTGGTTGTACTCAACCTCGACGTGTTGCTGCAATGTCAGTGGCCAAACGCGTGAGTGAGGAAATGGGCGTTGATCTTGGCTCCGTAGTAGGATATTCCATTCGTTTTGAAGACGTTACCAGCCCTGATACTGTGATAAAATACATGACAGATGGTGTATTGTTACGAGAATCCCTAGTTCAAAATAATTTGGAGCGATATAGTGTTATAATTATGGACGAAGCTCATGAAAGATCACTTAATACGGATATTTTAATGGGATTACTGAAGAAAATAATATCAGTGAGAAGAGATTTGAAATTAATTGTAACATCTGCGACTATGAATTCACAAAGATTCTCTGATTTCTTCGGAGGTGCACCTCAGTTTACCATTCCTGGTCGTACGTACCCGGTCGATGTCATGTTTTCTAAAGTTCCCTGTTCGGATTACGTAGAAGCAGCAGTTCGACAGGCACTTCAAATTCATCTATCTCAGCCTGCAGGTGACATATTAATTTTCATGACCGGTCAAGAAGATATTGAGGCTACTTGCGAAATAATGGCAGATCGACTGAATCAATTAGACGATGCTCCTCGACTTTCTATTCTTCCAATTTATTCTCAGATGCCCGCTGATTTACAGGCAAAGATTTTTGAATCTGCCGAATCAGGAGTCAGGAAGGTCGTTGTTGCAACAAATATTGCTGAAACATCTCTTACGGTGCATGGTATATCATACGTTGTCGATAGCGGTTACTGTAAACTGAAAATGTACAATGCAAAAATGGGGATTGATACTTTACAGGTCACACCTATTTCCCAAGCAAATGCTAACCAGAGATCCGGTCGTGCCGGTCGTACTGGGCCTGGTGTAGCATATCGTTTGTTCACAGAATTAGCTTATATTCGCGAAATGTTCCAAACAACTTTGCCAGAGATTCAAAGGACGAATCTTTCTAATACAGTTTTGCTATTAAAATCTCTTGGAATTAAAAATATTTTAGATTTTGAATTTATGGATCCTCCACCGATGGAAACTCTAATGGCGTCTTTATATGAACTCTGGACTTTGGGTGCTTTGGATAATTACGGTCAACTTACAGAGATAGGAAAGAAAATGTCACTTTTCCCAATGGATCCATCTTTGTCGAAACTTATCATCATGGCAGAAGATTATCATTGTACGGAAGAGGTCATTACCATTGTCTCAATGTTATCGGTACCGTCTGTATTCTACCGACCAAAGGAAAGGGCTGAAGAAAGTGATGCAGCTCGAGAGAAATTCAATGTTCCCGAAAGCGATCATCTTACACTCTTGAATGTTTTTCTGCAATGGAGAAGAAATGGATGCTCTGATTCATGGTGTAATAAACATTTTTTGCATGGAAGGATATTGAGGAGAGCCCGTGATGTTCGGCAGCAATTGGTAGAAATTATGGCTAATCAGAAAATATCTATCAAATCTACTGGGTCTGAATGGGACATAATCCGAAAAGTTTTATGTTCATCGTACTTTCACCAAGCTGCTACAGCGAAAGGTATTGGTGAATATACACATTTGCGTAGTGGAATGCCTTGTCATCTGCATGTTACATCTAGTCTTTATGGATTGGGTTACTTACCAGATTATGTTATTTATCACGAATTGGTGCTTACTTCAAAAGAATATATGAATGTTGTTACAAGCGTTGACCCTTACTGGTTAGCAGAATTTGGAGGAGTATATTATTCTTTAAAAGAACGGGTTCGCAACGAGGCTGAAAATTATGAACGTGTGTATTCTAGTAAAATGAAGTTGGAAGAACAGATTGCAACAGACCGTGAGTTGGATGCTCAGCGGAAGCAATCTACCATTGATGTACCAAAAAAACCTGCTAGAAAAGCAGTAATACGTGCGAAGGCGCCACGTCGGGTACGGGGATTTTAAGCATAAACTGCTAGTCCTTGTTACATGTATATTAGATAGTTTTCTTTATGGATTAGGTATCAACAAATTTGAAAAATTGAGCACTTCCTTGTACATCTAAACAGGAAGATATATGGAGTATCGTAAATTGAGAGACTTAATTAAATTTTTTTTTCCGAACGTTGGCCAAAAAGATATTAGTGAATAGGGCAGCTTAAAACAATACGTCGTTTTTGATGACGGCGACGTTTTATCGTCTGCCACCGTTCCATAGGGGCCATCGATGTTCCATCCATCTTTCCAATTTGTCCCATAACTGACTGACGACCTCACGATCTGTGTGTCGTCGGACACGTTCCACAAATACACCTTCGACATTCCAGTCTCTTGTAGCAGGATGAGGTGCATCACCAACGTATTGAACCAGGAAACCTTTGACATGGTGAAAGAGCTGATGGGGTTCTGACCATTTATAGTCACGGAATTGCCAAGCTTGACCTGTAGTAAAAACACACACTACACGATTCCAATAATCTGGCTTAAAATTTTCTGTGTTGTCTACAACGATGAACCGCATAGTACCAAAGTTAGATTTGGAACTTCTATGATTCACTGTTACCAGTTCAGATCCGCGTCCGCCGCCTGCGGCTTGAGCAGCTTCGATTGGTGGTACGAAGATACCTTCTTCGAGGAACTTCTTTACATTGTGCATAGTCAAAAGAGAAGAAGCAGAAGGAGAAAGTAAAATAATAGGGTCACGATCTAAAGACTTGTTAATTGACAGAAGAACATGGCAAAACAAAATTTTAACATACTTCTTCTTTTAGCAGACTTGTCAGCATCTACGGCAGCTGGGCCATTGGAGCCTTTGTTCATATGGATGTATTCTAAAACGTCTTTACGCAACGAGAGAAAATTCTAATAAAACAATTAGTAAAAGTGAATTGAGACGCAAGACTAAGGATGAAACATACCGTAGGCTTTGCACCGTGAAGGATAGTATTATGATTGGAGACAACACGAGAATTATCTTGTAACCATTTTACTTGCTCGCTTTTTTCTCCAGCTTTCTGTTCTCTAGCGGGAATCTCTCCTGTCTTTTCGGCTTCTTCTGTTTCTATAGGAAATCATTAGTTGGTTTCATTATAAGATATGACTCGCATACTTAATCCAACGATATGTTCACTTTCAGCAGAACCTTCTAACCAAGAGATCAAGTCGGTTCTTTCTAAGAATGTCAGGTTGCGAATACCATACTCTGAGCATTGTTGGATATAATCAGCAATACTGGAATCTCTCAAAAGCCAAGCAAAATAAATGCTTCTGAGCGTAAATGGTTCATTCGTTTCCAACTTTACAAATTTTGTATGTTCATCTAAATTGAAGGGCTTGGGGGACTCTGAAAAGGCAACAAACTTGGCTTCCGATATTTTTCCTACTTGGGAGCTGTCATTTTCGTCTGCTAGAAGTTTTGGTGTCTCGTTTTTATTAATACTTTGTTTTAAAACCAACAGTGCATCTAATTGCTCCATTTCCAGTGCTTAATAAAAAAAGGGCAAAGGTCAGGTAGTTTCAAGGCACGACTGAGTTTGTTGAATATTAAAATATCTCGAAAATACTGATCCTTCAAAACAACTTGCTGAAATAAATTAAATTTAAGCACAATGGATAATCCATTGAAACCTTTTCGGTGTTTACATGCTTAACAATATGCTAAAAAATGAACAGTCCGTAAAACTAACACTAAACGTTCTTCACAAATGCAATGGAATATGAAAAAGATTACTAAGGTTCATTCTTACACAAAAAGTAATACGATTACGACCAACGTTGTATGCGCTTCGCTGTTTCCTTCTAACACAGAAAGCAATAGATATTCAATTATTATAGGATGCTTTGCTACCCAATCAAACCAGATGTATATACAGTAAGGCTGTAATTTCTAAACAACAAAGCCTCTGGTAGGAAAGAATGTAATCTATAGGGATATTAACAATCGAGTATGATTGTCTATGATTTAAGTAACGACCAGATAACCCAAAAAAAAGTTACCCAAAAGAAAGCTTTTTACTTGGCAATAGTAGGTTCTTCAGCTTTAACTTCAGGCTTCATATGAGGGAAGAGTAACACTTCACGAATGGTGTTGCTATCAGTTAAGAACATGACCAAACGATCAATACCAATACCCCAACCACCAGTAGGAGGCAAACCGTACTCAAGCGCTGTACAGAAGTTTTCATCAATAATTTGAGCCTCATCATCACCTTGGTCTTTTTGACGAGCTTGCTCTTCGAAACGTTCACGTTGATCAAAGATGTCATTCAATTCAGTGTAGGCGTTGCAAATCTCCTTTGTGGCAACGAAAGCCTCAAAACGTTCACACAAACCAGCCTCAGAGCGATGGTACTTAGCCAAAGGAGACATCATTTGAGGATGTCCAATAATGAAAGTAGGGTTGATGCATTCGTTTTCAATGAATTCACCAACCAACTTGTCAAGAAGACGAGAGCTGGTTTGAGGAGGAGAACATTCAACGTTGTGTTTGGCGCAAAGATCTCTCAAGAAAGCATTAGCTTCCTCTGAATGGAGAAGATCACCAGGAGGGAACTTAACGTTAAGACGTTGTTCCAAGTGTTCAATCATGTTGATACGGCGCCAAGGACGAGAAAAGTCAAGCTCCCAGCAGGGACCTTCAGGACCTTCAGGATGATAAGGAATCTTGTAAGAACCGCAGACTTCTTTAACCATACCAGATATCAATTCTTCAGTCGTGTCCATAAGATCGTAATAATCAGCGTAGGCTTGATAAAATTCACAAGAAGTAAACTCGGGGTTATGAGTCAAGTCGGCACCCTCGTTACGGAATTGACGTCCAATTTCGTAGACACGATCCAATCCACCAACGACAAGCATCTTCAAGTACAATTCAGGAGCAATACGCATGAACAAGTCCATGTTCAAATCGTTGTGATGAGTGACGAAGGGTTTAGCTGTAGCGCCACCAGCAATCATGTTCATCATGGGTGTTTCAACCTCAATAAATTCACGATTATCCAAAAAGGAACGCAAGTACTGGATGATGCGACTACGTGTGACAAAGCGGTCACGAGTGGAGCGGTTCATTATCAAGTCCAAATAACGTTGACGATAACGAGTTTCCAAATCCTTCAAACCATAGTGCTCCTTGGGAAGCATGCGCAAGCAAGGGCTGAGCAAAACACATTCACGAGCAAAAACGGAGAGCTCGCCATCAGCGCGGCCCTTGGGATTGGAACGGCCAGGATAACCACGAACACCAATAATGTCACCACGTCGGATGTGCTCGTGTTGAGCAGCATAATCAACACGATCAGCATCTTGAGCTTGGCACATAATTTGAAGCTTGTATCCATCAGCGTGAATCTCGTAGAAGCGCAACTTGGCACCAGCGGTACGAAGACCGTGAACACGACCAGCGACAGTTACCTCAACATCAGGTTTGGTCTCACCGCGTTGAAGACTCTCATATTCCTTAATGAATTCGGGAAGCTTAGTACCAACCTGGAATTTGTGAGGGTAGGGATTGGGATCCCTAGTTTTGCGCAACTCTTTGATAGCACGAGAACGGTTCTCAAAATATTGGGAAGGATCCAATTCTTCTTCGTTTTTTTTAGCGCTTTTAACCTCAGGAGGAGCAGTAGCAGCCTTCTCAGCGTGCTTTTTGGCTTTAGCTAATTCACGGGCACGAACTTTTTCCCTCTTCTTCATCTCAGTTTTGGAAACATGTTCCCCAGTAACAGGGTCAAGGACAAGAGCCTTGACACCTTCTGTAACGTCGTTAACCTGTTCAGCACTCATATTGCCCTGCAATTGCGGTTGTTGGGTCTGAGTGAAAATTTTGGTGGAAGGTAAATTTATCTTCTCTGCGACCAGGACAAAAGCTGCCATCGTATTAATTAGTATGATACATGTTTGATAAGTGACGGGAATAATACTAAACCGGATAATTATAGTTGATTGAGAATAAGGAATGGGTATTTTTAGTAGTGATTTGAAAGTTCATTGAAGCTCTAATAGCTACATTAGTTATTATGCAGGAATCATAGGAATGCTTCATGACGACCTGAGATGTATTAATAAACATGTTAATAAGCTCGATCAACAAAACATTTCACACTGGAAAATTTATCTGGAAAAAGTTATTCTGCATATAGCTTTTCTTTTTTAGCAAACTAAATACGTTTAACTCAAGAACCAGTCAATTTCCATTGGTTTCTGAATTTGTATTTCCACGTATTCTGTTTTGTCTTGTCTCAGGTAACGTCGTAAACCGATATATTCTTTAGTTTTATAAAATTAAGGTAATATTTTGTAATATTTTAGCGTATTAATACGATAATTTTTATATGGCAAAAAATGGGAGGAATCAATTGTAAAGAACATTGTACGGGTAAAGAACACAGCACAGAAAAAAGTAGTAAATAATAAAATGCTCTTTAAGAAGACGTCAATACAGAAGGACGTATTGCTATAAACCCTAGCTTGTACTACCTTTCCTAATTTATTTCAGGAAAGTCTTGTAAGAGGCTTTTTAGCTTTTATTTTACAGTATTCAGAAAGTTCCATGAAACAATAGAAGCCAACTGGACTCGGATATCTCTGACGAGTTTAGAATCCGATATATGTTTTTCATGATCTTCTAAACACGCAATGCAGTCGTATGCACTTGCCAGAGAAATAGTCTGATAATTTTTTAAATTTCTTGTAAATAAAAGCAATTCTTTCAAAAGCTTTCCTTGATAAAGTTTGGGAGAATTGATCATTTTTAATAACCCTATAAGCAATTCACCTGCTTGACGAGGATTATCAGTTTCTTTACAAATGAAGTACTGGTGGATGGCAGCGGCAGGAGAAAGGATGGAAGCCAAGGTTGGCGAACATATGCGAGGAGTGCTCAGCAGATCAAATAGAGTTTCATCTTCTGAAGCATCAATCGGTTTTTGGTTTTGGAGACAGAGGTTGAAAATTTCCCAAGTTACTCTATTCATTGCAGTATAATCACCAGCCTTATCCAAAATAATAAGTGCTTCACCATAAGCACCTTCCGCGATTAAGTTCGTTGCCCAGTGAGACATAACACAGTGTGCTTCTTCTTGTAGATCCAATTCTTGGCAGATATTTAAAGCTTCATCTTTTTCAACAATGTTATGCATAGGGACCCTGTGAATTAAGGATTTAATTCGCTGGTGTCCGTACCCCGGAACAAGTTTCCAATATGCAAAAGCGACTTGCCAGATGCCTTTTGTTTCTAAAATGGTTTCACCATATTCAAGCAAAAGATGTTCGCGAAGTGTAACGGGGAGTTCTTCGGTAAAATATTCTTTAATATATCCGGTTTTATGTAGAAAATCAGCCAAGTGAACAGCGAGGCCGAGATCCAACATATAAGAATGCTGAATAGCATCCAATGGCTGATTATTGCACAATGTAACGCAAAGTTGTTCAAATTCCAAAGTAGGGTCTATGTAAAAATTTGAATCTTCTGCAGTTGACATTTGATACAATATAGAGACTTGAGCTGGGTTCTTACAATCCAAAGGATCGTATAAGAATGCTAAAGCTGAAAAGTACTCTTGCCAATGACCACAGTTAGCTTTGATTTCTTCTTTGTTACCACTTAGAATGTCCAACAAAGAAACCAAGCAGTTTCGAACTTCAGTTGGTATATCATTGTAATTCATCATAACTTGACGAAGATGCGCTATCCGTGAACGCCACATCTTCCATCGCTTTTCAAAGTCAAAAGCAGAGCGAATTGACTTTTGATGCAAGCATGGGCAATACTTCAAAATATCTACAATATCATTCACTGAATTTTCCAAGGTGGGTATTTCTTTGGTCAATCCCGAAGACTCTAAACAAGAAATAGTTTGCTCGAATAACCCACGAATCGCAGTTTTATTCACATAAGACCAAAAGGAAGGATGTTGATAAGGAATTCGGTAGGTCATGATTTCCAGTCCATCTTCAGCCACGGGCTGAGGATCGTAAGAGTTAACCCAGTCCATTATTGCTGTTGCCAAAGTGTAAGGAGAGGAAGAAGGAAAATATATTGCTTCCGCACAGCGCCATGCAGATTCAACTTCCCAGAGAGTATCAAGAGTGGGCTGGAGCTCTTGTTGTCCATTGTTAATTTGGGCTTGAAAGTATTCTAAAACATGGTTGATCTTTGAACGAAACAAAGAACTTATTTTTCCATAAAACTGAACTAACACCAGCTGGTTTAACTCATCGTCCATGGTAGGCGTTAGAGAAACGTCTTGAAGTTCTTCCCATAATTCGTACCATGAAACCAATAGTTCTGTGGGCCCAATTAAAGGAGAAGGTTGTTGAAATTCATATAGGTTTCCTTCTGCCTCTTCAAAAGGACCTGAAGATTTTGCATCGTACAAACTCACCTGCTTACTTGTAATAAAAGTAGATCCTTTGAGGGTATATGGATGCAAAGTAAATCCTGCCGTACGCCCATTAGATGACCAAGCAGAGACGCTACCTGTTTCTATAGGAGCATCCTCAATATGGTGAATTGTATTGGAAGTGTCCCCAGATGTACTCATTTTTCTATACTCGGAAATTTTTAGTCGTTTATACGAGAGAAAAAATAGCTAATAATGTTTAAATAATAAATAGAAAACAATCAATTCATGAAAGCCGGATGAATCGTGAAGTTATGGAACGAAGAAGAAGAAAGCGTCTAAAGGCTCAGGATGAAGGTTTTCCAAAAAACAAGTAGTGTTTTGTATTATATTATGGAGAACTGCAAAAATTAAAAAATGAATTAACCCACAAATAAGGCTAGAAACGAGCGTTTAATGTGCAGTAGGGAAAGAGTTGTTACGTGGAGCTAGAGAAGCAAAGTACAACAAACGCTGACATGAAGGTATGAAAGTTGACGGCTGAGAAGAGTGACATAGCAATCAGAATTTAAGGAATAAATATTGGAGGACTTTCTTTTTCTTTTATTTTTTCCAACTAATGTGTTTGTCTGTTTCGTTGCTTTTTCAATGTTTACAAACATTCGCAAATCTTTAATTCTTTTCCTTTCATCCTAAAGACATGATAATTTATAATTTGATTGAACATGAATTGACTCGAAGACAAACGAACAACTGGTATATTAATCATATAGTTAAAAATTTATTTATTTTTTGTTGACAGATCTAACCATGCTAAAGTTTCTTCAATCAGATCCAGCCCAACAAAAATGCTATAGATATTACTAGAAAGAATAAAAATAAAAAATAGTATTCAGAAAGTGCACGAAAAGGCACTGTTTTAAGCCTGACATGACATACATACCCTCCTTTGTAGAAAATGCAAAGCTTGTTTCATACAAGTCCTACAACCACCCCATTTAAACGGATGTGTTGAAAAGTTTCTCATTTGAATTCATTTCAATTGTCTTTCCATTTTTTCAAAACCCATAACAAACAGAAATGTATGCTTTCTATTGTTTATTTACACTATATTCTTTTACCATACTAGCTATCCCTCATTCCTACAAACTTAAAACGTGTCTCGCTTATATTTATCAGATGAAGAGGACCCGATTCATTATGCGACATTTTTTTTACGGTAAGCTCAACACGAAAATACTATTTTGTATGATTTCAATAACAACTGTGAAATAATATCTAAGTCCCCCCCTCGTGTATGCTATAGTGCTGTCCCATGAGCAAATGTACTGTAAATAATGAAGTCAAAAATAATCCAATGGAAGAGCATGTTCAAAGTAACCTCCTTCAAATGATCCAATATTGAAGAAGGGTTTTTTCATATCACAGCAGCATTATAAATTTGTAAAGATTTCTGATAAAATATACCACAATGAAAAGACACGTCATATATTGCCAGGAACCTCGATCTGATAATAATCAGCGAGCGAGCTTATATAGGTAATTAGCCATTATCGCATGACTACTTTCATGCGAAAAACGAAATATTTGGGCTCACTCATTACTCTTTCATTGGTAAATAAGAACAAACTAATTACAGAAGAGGTGTTCACTTCATTTGCGTGCTTCATGAGAAAGCACCATTAACTGAAGATTTTCTTGAGCACGAACAAACTTCCTCGCAAGAGTACGGAGTATCTTTTTTTCTTTGTATTATTTTTTTCCTTCTTTTTTGTTTCTTTTTTTTGGGGGGTTTTTTTTTCTTTCTGCGGTTTATGTCGAAATTGAAGAATGCACTTAGGATCGGGGTTTTACAAATTTTTGGTTCGAGATTACCAAAACATATGGATGGTATCCATAATGGGTACTGCCATTTCTGCTAATATTTTGTATAATTTTCCTTACAGCGCAAAATGGCTGCGCATTTGTTCGTACATTATGTTTGGATGCGCTCTTATAAGCCTTTTTCTGAATACGATCATCTTTTTTTTCAAATACATCATTTACAGGGCGCTTTTGCCAAAGGGGAAAACGTTCAATAATGTGGCCGACACTTTGTCCTTAGGTTGTTATACTATGGGATTTCAAAGTATCATTAATATGTTGTGCTACTTGAGTAGTCCTCGTTCTTCACCGCAGAATTGGGTCAATTTCATCTATATCCTTTGGATCTTTAGCGTTGCTATGTCGTTCTATAGCTCATGGGTGATATTCTCATTCGTATTTACCAAAAGATTGAGTTTTCAGTTTTCTACGCTCTTGGGAAATATCGCGCTTCCCTTTGTCCCGTTAACTGTTGCTGCTGCGACTGGTTCCGTAGTTGTTCAAACCTTCTCGTCTCGTATGAGCCGCAAGTTTATTTTGAATACCATCGTCACAACCTATATTTGTTGGTCAAATGCCATTACTGTAGGATTTTGTGTCATTGCTGTTATTTTATGGAGGCTGATTTTTTACAAATATCCCGATAGTCCTGTGGTCTTTACCCAGTTTGTCCCCATTGGTGTTCTTGGTCAAGGTGCTTTTGGAATCATTATGCAGGCACTCAATGTGAGGATATATGCAGATTCGTATCTACAAAATATTTCTTTTATTGGAATTTATACCAACTTTTTAATTATCATGTCAGGATTTGTATCGCTATTTCTAATTTCCTTTGGTTATTTTCTCACTTTTGTAGCTGTCTTTGCAGTTTTCACTCATGGAGTGCGACACGAATTCACAGTGGTCTGGTGGGCTACTACTTTTCCGTTGGGCACTATGGCCATCTCCAATTCGAAACTCGGCGAAATAGCTCAATTGACCTTCTTCCGTGTTATAGGCGCGATTTACGGTGTTGCGTGCATCTTAACTACCATGATCTGTATTTTTGGAAGCATCTATTTGGGAATCCAAAAATATCGCATAGAGTTTCTTAAAAATAATTTGAATACTCCATTACCTACAGCAGTAAAACATGAGACAGAAAACTCTACCACCTGACATTTCTCCTAAACCCCGGATATCATTCTCTCTCCTGCTCTTTTATCGAAAAACAAGACCTCCCAATGAACATGAATGCTCTACATTGGTTACAAATAATATTTTGTGTCTATCCTTTTTCGCCAACCAAGACAAGGATCGGAAATGCGTGAATATGGACATGCTCAAAAACAATCCAACAAAAATTAGAAAAAGTGGCTTTTCTGTTGCAAAATTTTGTAAAACAGACGTTTTCAAGGACACGGAGAAAAAAAAAATCACTGCGTTCTTTTATGTATACATTTGTACCTTTATTTATTTATTATTTATTTATTTTTGAATTGTGTTTTAATTAATAACCAAAGAGTATATGTATTTATTACATTTCCTCTTTTGTTTACAATAGTAACACAAACATGTTTCGCTCTTTTTTTGTTGATTACTGTAATGAAACAGGCCAACATATCCTTAAACGAAATTTCGAGTTCGCTGTTCAATGATATCCATTTTTCGTATTTCGTTTGGCCTCCCAATTTCACCCCAGTCATTACTCACTTTTACGATTTCAACTTTGCAACTACCCTATTGTTCTAAGAGTGAATTGATTTTTTTTTGTCTTTATTCTTTAACTACTTTACTAAAATACCCTCTTTGTTTTAACTCCTTGCTTTCACGTAATCTTTGGATTTGGTGGTGTTTTGCAAAAGCAAAAGCAGCAATTGAGGTGTTTATAGCTTATAAACACTGTTTATATCATGGCTGGGTATAATGAGTTAGTTCCAATACAACGATGTATGTGTATATAGCTTAAATTGATGGATTATACTCGTTTACTAACATATGTTTGCTTTAGTCAATATTCAGTCTTTGAAATTCCTTTCACAGAATGGCAATGAAATACTAAATATTCAATCCTCAGAATCATCTTTTTTTGACTCAAAGTACCGGTTTTCGCGTAGGAATCATGAACCGGTTGAGTTCATTCAAGTTCGCGAAGAAGAAGGGCCCATGGTGAAAGTTATCGAAGAAGACGGTTTAGAGCTGTCTTTTAAATTGATCGTACGTGCTTCTGAGACGAAGCGAGAACTTACAAACTTAACTTTTATTCATGGTTCCTCTCCACAAGAAATAGACAGACTCATAACGCGCGAGTTTTCTACAGATGCAAACTTTCAAAACCACCACCAAGTGGCTTTGGTTGGTGATGTTTCCTTTGCGCCAAACGAAAGCGAGCGACTGCTCGAATGGAAATGGCAATACAGCCACTATAGTTCCTTATATTACTACAGCAGTGGATGCCCTAACTATATTTGTTTTGCTGAATATGATAAGCGGTTGAACCGGCTCGTACCTTTACAAACTTTTCAATTTTGGTTAGTGGAATCTGAGCAAGACTCTACACCGGCTACGCCGAGCTTTACTTTGCGCCTTGCCGAAGACGGTGCAATCAGTCCAGAGGTACCAGAACCGCATTCGTTGCTAACTGCCACCGAGCAATTTCCAATCCAATCTCCTCCACCTTCCAATGTCAATCCAACCTCTAGAGAACTTGATCAAACAGAACCGGAAGACGGCCCTCTTTTCCGAGCTACTATCCTTAATTTTGAAAGAACCACACATGAAATGCGAATGGCTATGAAAAAATTAATCAAACGTGCAGATCAAGTTGCTCATTCCCATGGTATGCTGTACATGTCTCATAAGGAATTCGTCGATGCCTTCGAAAGAGCAGCAAAGATCAACCCACCAGCCTTTAAACCGTTTTTAGACTATTATTATGAGAATTGTGCTAAATCTTTGGATAATCTTAATATTGATCGAGCTCATTTGTTGAGGAACTCTTTAATAGAACCTCTTCGAAGGATTTATGATAATGATATAAAAAACGCGTACTCAAAAAAAAAAGATTTCGAGGAAACAAGTCGTGATTACTATACCTCTTTAACTCGTTATCTATCGAAAAGCGAAAAAGTCTCTTCTGCCGATAAAGCTAAAGAGTCAAAGTTTTCAGCAAAAAGAAGGGACTTTGAACTTTCAAGATTTGACTACTACTCTTATATGCAGGACATCAATGGAGGAAGAAAAGGTCAGGAAGTTTTGTCTGCACTTACCTCTTTTGCTGCTAATGACTACAGCTTGATTCATTCTACTATGGCAGAAATAGATTCAATTCGACCAAGCATCATAATGCTTCAGGATGTTGTTAATGAAGCTAACAAAGAGTTTTTGCTTTTGCGAGCTGAACGTGAAGAGAGAAGAAGACTTTTAGAAACTAGTAGTCGTGAGTTAGATGATCAAGATGCAGAAATTGCTGCTCAAGCTTACCGAGCCAAAATCGGTCAAGATACTTCGGCTAAGCAGGGTTTACTGTTAGCTTTTGCAAAATCTAATAGTGATTTACAGATGGTATCAAAAGCTGGGTGGCATAAATACTGGGTGGTATTAGATCATGGTAAAATTTGCGAATATTCCAATTGGAAGCAATCTTTAGAACTTCATGAGGAGCCTATTGATCTATTAATGGCAACAGTTCGGATTCCTCAATCCTTTCCTAGAAAATTTTGCTTTGAGTTAATCACTCCTCAGTTACGTCGAATTTATCAGGCGACTTCCAAGACGGAAATGCATTCTTGGGTTGAAGCCATACAGTATGCTATTAGCGAAAGTATTTCACTCAAGGGAAGAAGACATTCTGCTTCCGAGGATTCTACCATTAATAAATATGGATCAACGTCTTCGATTGGTAAAGCTTTACAGCGTGTTGCTTCGGTGACCTCCCCTGGACGATACAGCGGGAGTGGAGGAGACTTAAAAGATAAAAAGGCGCAGAAACCAATTTCCCTCTCGAAAGCGGTAAAAGAATCACAAATTAGTGACCAATATTGTGCTGATTGTCGCTTTACATCACGAGTGGAATGGTGTGCTATTAATTTTCCGGCTGTCTTGTGTATAGATTGTTCAGGAATTCACAGATCTTTAGGAACCCATGTGTCAAAGGTGAGATCACTAGATTTGGACAAACTTTCGACAGAGACAGTAGAATTGCTGCGAGCCACTGGGAATCAATTAATTAATGAAGTTTACGAAGCTAAACTTAGTGAACCGAACGCGAAATCAATTGAAAACCAAGAGGAAAGGGCTTCTTTTATTAAAGAAAAATATGTACAAAAGCTTTATGTTCAAGCTATAGCCGATTCAGATGTAAATGCTGCATTATATGATGCTGTTGAACGAGGGGATTTGAAGCAAGTAATTCTGCGCATCGCACAGGGTGCAGATGTTAACTATCAATCAGTGATTCTTGTATCCCTTCGTAAGAGCAATTATTTAATTGCTGAATTGTTGAGTTTGAATGGTGCAGGTTTAAATTTCGATGAAGCTATCATGGATACGCTTCCAGCGCGGGCGCAAGCGTTTCTTATGACTAGGTCGACCAATTAACCATATGTAAGATAAATTTTATTCTCGTTGTTTATGGATACAGTTTTAATTTCCACTTGTTATGAATAATATGATGTTGACAAGTAAGGCTTGTTTACTTTTCGGAAAACTATTTTTATAGGCTTAATAAACAGGAAAAATAGCTACATAGGAACAGCTACATTTCGCCATGCGAACTTTTACAAGATAATAGAATATCAGTGATAGCTGACTGTTTTTTTGGTTACCTTGGTGGAGAATTGAGTGTATTGAATATTTTAGTACGCGGCTATGAACGACAAACACTCTAGTCTTGGCTCTTGGCTCTTCTCTTGGCAAGGCGCTTGCCAGTACCAAAGACCTTCTTGCCTCTGTTCTTACGTTGCTTGCGTTGTTGACGGGCAACCTTTTCGATGGGTTGGGCTTGACCAACACGGACAAGACGGTAATGAGGTTCAAACTTCTTCAAAGCCTCATTGGAGTCGTAGATCAAGGCAAAACCAGTAGACCTGCCACCACCAAATTGAGTACGAAGACCAAAGGCAGTAATATTCTCGGCATCGGTCTTGTACATTTGAGCCAACTTTTCGCGAAGTTCATTCTTAGAAAGATTGGCCTTACCAGGGTGAAGAATATCGACGACCTGTTCTAGTTAGATTTTACTATTCTTCAAAACCGTTCTACGTTAACTTGACATTCAGCTATTCAAGCCAAAACCAAGTGTTTTCACTTACCATCTGCTTTCTTTGAAGCAAGCGGTTAGTCATAAACTTGCGAGTTCTGATTGTCACGGCCTCACTCATTTTAGCAACTTGTGGTGACTGATGGTGGTAAAGAAAGGATTCTCAGTCGAGTACAGGATTTTGCCTGGTGGAGGAAACTGTGACTGCTTTTTTGGTTATGGAAAGTCTTTAACGCACCTTGACATGGCGTGGTAAATGTCGTCCAACTTGTTTCGTTAAAGCTCGGTAAAGTGCAATTCACTTATCTGATCAATCTCACAATTGTAAAGGCCATCGGTTCCGTAGTCTGTAAACAAACCAGAGCCATCCCGTTTGAGTTGTAACACATCGTGATTTAACGTTTGTTTCGGCTTGATTTTGTAGTCCATATAAAACGTTTTGTTAATTTTGTTGGTTTGCTTTTTTTGTAGCGCGTTTCTTTGAAATTTAGGTCCCAAATAGACGTGAACTAGTAAAAAGCCACTGATATTTAAGTCAAGTCTGCTTCTTCTTGCCCATTATGTCGCAAACTATTTGGTCAAATTCATTGCCTTTTTCATTAACGAACCTTCAGGGTTTGAACGCAGTGCTCCAGCACGATCAACGACGTCTTCATTTGACTCGTCGTGAAGATTCAAATTTGTGGGAAGTGGATCTGAAAAACTTTGAGGATATTGAAATAGATGAAATCGTTCATTTGGCTTTTCAGGCGATTTTTACCTCACTTCCTACCACTAAGGGTGAAGTCACCTTGAAATGGGAGTCTTTGGCTTCCCATAAAGGAACTCTGACGATTCCTGTCTTCTACAATGAAGAACAGGGATTCCTCAGCACTGACCGTATGTCATTTTGGCAAATTGCTACTCCCTGGATCACCAACAAGCAACCTGAATGGCCCTTGTCTTACCTTCCAAACCAAAGAATACGTCGCCCTAATGCTCCTAAGCCTGGAACCATTCTGTATGAACGCTTTATTCCTAGTCTGAATGAGACATTATCGTTTGTTGCCTTAGACATTGATCAGCATCTACATTACTTTCATGAATGGCAAAATAATCCTCGCGTTAGCTATTACTGGACTGAGTCCGGAACCTGGGACCAGCATCGCGAATATCTACTCAAATTACAAAATGACCCACACGCATACGCTGTTATTGGCTGCTTCAACGAGCAACCATTCGGCTACTTTGAGGTTTATTGGGTCCCAGAGGACCGAATCGCTCCCTTTGCTCAGCCTTGGCATACCCATGATCGCGGCTTTCATGCCCTTGTAGGCAATGATCGTTTCCGTGGCCCTCATCGCGTTCCTGTTTGGCTATCTAGTATTACCCATATGCTGTTTTTGGATGATTCTCGAACTCAGCGTGTCCTTTTAGAGCCTAGAAATGATAACAAAAAGTTTATTGATTACCTTATTGCTGAAAATTACTGCAAGCGGCTCGAATTTGACTTTCCTCATAAACGGGCTGCTTTCATGGAAATTACTCGCACCATGTTCTTCTCTTGTCTTGGACCCCGTATTTAATTACCCGTGCTCCTCCATTGTGGAAAATGATCCTGCTGCAGGATGCTTTTAAACCACTTAGAAATTCCGAAATATTATATGGTAATATAGAATCCGAAACTTTACACTTTTTATGTTCCAATGATTATGGAAGCAAACTGACCTTTTCCGTACTTATAACAGAATTCATGTATGTAATTTATTGATACTTAAGAAACTTTCAAAAAAGTTGTCAAATTGTGATGATTCATCCATAACCGTAATTTCATTTATTCATTAGCATTAAAGGCTTGAACGCTCTACTTATTTTTAATGATAGTGTCTTCTAGGAGGATCACGTTCTCTGTAACTTCGGTGCCTATACGAATCATCTCGAGAACGGTAGGAAGATCGTCTGTCATCGTCATAACGACTTCCTCGGCGATAGTAACGATCATCGTCGTATTTAGAGCGATGCCTGTGAGGTACATGATACGAATCTTCATCTTTTGTTCTTCTTCTGTACTCTCGACCCTCTTCGGAAGGCCTTGAAGAGCGACGTGGTTGATATTCGGATCGCTCACGAGAATGACGAGGATATGGATCGAATTTTTCTCTTGATCTATAAGCTGGAGAGCTTGAGCGAGAACGGGATTGAGACCGTTTGAGTTGCTGTCTATATCGAGAGACACTTTGAGAAAAGTCAACATGAATGCGAGCATCATCGATTAAAACGTTTTGCATCTTGAAATAAGCCTTTTCGACACTTTCTTTGTTATCGAACTCTATAAAAGCATATTGAAGGCTATTTCCGGTTTCCTTATCGCGAATAATTTGGCAAGAATTGATCTTGCCAAACCGGGAGAAAATAAGTTCCAAGTCCTCGTCTTGAGTAACGGGGTTCAATTTACAAACAAACAATACATTTTCAGGAGGAGCAACATGAGCAAATGGCAAATCGCCTACCATTTCTAAAGTAACTGCTTCTGCCTCTGCCTCTTGTTCTTGTTCTCGTTCAAACTTGTTTTCGTCATCATCATCAGAAATAAGGCGTTCCTCTTCTCCAATTCTAACGGTAGCGAGTTGTTCAGGCGTTGGAGAAGGCGACCTAGGCGGGTCAATGAATCGAGGAGGATCAGGAAAAGGATCGTCCAATATAATGGTATGCTTGATGCGAATATCTCGAAAGGGTTGACCCTCATCATCGCAAATAGCGTCATTTATTTTTTGTAAAGTATCAAAACCTTCTGCCACTCGACCAAAAATAGGATATCGGCCGTCCAAGCTTTCCAGATGGTCTGTGAATGTGATGAGAAATTGGCTTCCACAGACAAGTGATTCTTCATGGTGAACGGGAATAGAAGCTGTGCTCATGCTAACAGTTCCAGCCTTGTTGTGGCTGAGATTACTGTGAAATTCAGCAGGGAAAAATCGATCACCTATATTGAGTAAATTCCAAACCGAGCGTCCTCCATCTCCAGTCGGGCCTATAGGATCACCCGTTTGGCATGTGTAATTTTGTTGAATGTTGTAAAAGGGAGCAAAATTATAGTATTTGAGTTTACAAAGCTTGAGAAAATTCTCACAAGCTTGGGGTGCCTCTTCTGTAAGCAGGTCAATGACAAGATCCCCAACCGTGGTTTCTATCAGGACGGACATCTTTAATATTTTCGATATTATCTTAGAAGAAGAAAAAAATAAACAAAACAAGAATTAGGCCGCAGTGGGCTATTAAAAGGAAACAACTGACTCAAGAACAAAATCCTAATTTTCAAAAAATTTTAGCGGAAACCAAATAAAAAAAGTAAATGATTAATTCAAATTTTTTCCGTCCACAGGTATCGCAATAATGGAAGGAAATCGTCTGTTTTTCCAAAACGCGTAAAAAAGACGTTTGTTTACGGTTGCTTTTGTCGATACCGAATAGCGATGTGTAGGGAGCACGGTTTGCAATATAAGCGCTTCTGGTGATTGCCTTGGTAAATAAACAAACCAATTCAATTCAACTTGTTTTTATTTAGGATTATTTAACATGTGGCTTTCTTCTCACAAAGATGCAATGAATCCAAATAAATAAAAAAGTTTTATATGAAAAAAAGAAAAGGTCGGGTACAGCTATTTCTCAAAAAATGAAGCATCCAAGTGTTCTAGTTGTCCCATGTGAAACCTGCAGATATACACAAAGTCATAAGCACCGACGGAGGTATCTACCCATATTGGATCTGCAATTGTTCAAACAAATGAAATCTGCAAAGTCAATGGATGCTGCCATATCGACTGCAAAAGACAAACCATAACAAAAGTATGTTTCGTTACAGATTTTTTTCCTTGTAAATGCGCTTTCAATCGAACAGAGCTCTTCAATGAGAGCATTCATTAGACGACATCATTTAGGAAAGAAACCATTTCCATTCACTAGGAAAAACTACTTTTTCCTCGCTTCCTTATTTTACTGTTTCATAAGTAAATTCTGCTTAGTTTATTCCATCCTTTTCTCATGAGCAACAAAAAGCTTCTGTAGCTCAGTTGGTGGTAGCGTCCCTCTCATACTAAATGACAGGGGAAGGTCGTGAGTTCGAGCCTCACCAGAAGCACCTATAGGTCGGATAGCACAGTTGGTTAGTGCGCATGACTGTTAATCATGAGGTCGAGGGTTCGAGTCCCTCTCTGACCGGTTTTTTTGATTTACGAATTTTTAATCGACTATATTTCTTTCAATCGAAGAAGGAATTGGATTTGATGGCAGGGTACCAAAATGGATCCTACCGACGTCTGAACAGCAAAGTGAATGGTCAACGTTGTACCAAAAGCAGCCGATATACGGGATTTCCGCCATGATTCACCTTCAGAAATGGCTCAAACGTTGATACAATCAGCCGGTTCCTTTGGACGAAGTACCTTTTTTCTGGCTCTTTGAGAGGAACGAACATGCAGGTCATGTAAGATGAAAAGGTACCAATATTCCAAAAAAATCATAAGCCAAAGCAATCGTTACTTAGGGTAGTAACTTCTGTTTATCTGGATGAAAAGATCAAGACATTGGATAATCATGTAATTGCTTACCACATCCTCATCAAAAATTCTTCTGCAGTCAAGAAGGATTTATGAATGATTAAAGAGAGATTTTTAAAGCTTGATTTGAACTTTGCGTCCCCGGTGAAAGAAAATACGAATATCTTGCTGACGATGAAAACACCTAGGACCTGAACCGTTCAAGTCGGCTCAATGGCCTTTTCATCTTTCATATAGCAACCTTTTAATTGGAAAGACAAGTTTTATAAAAATTCCAGAGGATGAATCCTTCGTCTTTTACCCAGACAACGATGCTAAATATGATTTCAAGAAGATCCCACCGAAGGCATAGCATCAAAAAAAAACACTCATAATTATAAAGGAAAAAAAGAGAATAAACGAAAACTCGTGTGGTTGGTCACCCATTGCACTTTGTTATGGAAGCTGGAAGCCATACTGTCTGAAATCACTTTTCCTATAAAACAAGATCTTCAAACAAGAAAGCAGGAAAAGAAAAAAAGAAAACAAGGAAAAAGGAAGAAAATCCGAAAAAATGCTCACAGAGTACTCTACGAAAGAGATTGAAACGCAAAAGGAGAAAGCAGCCTTCTATGAAAAAAGGAATGTATAAACTCAAAGAATGAATAAAAATATTGAAAAAAGAAATATTTATGGAAAATTCACGTACCAATGCTCCAAACGGGAGAGAACGACTTCTCTTTGAAAAATTCCTTCTACTAGGGGAAGGGACCCGACTACCTACCAATTGCCAATACTCACAACGGCATCAAAAAAGCATTAATTAGGCATTTTTCGTGTCATTTTTGTAGATAAGAAAGTAAGAAGACTTTCTTTTGTGTACAAAAAATAGGGAAATCGCTTTTGGCAAAGAACTAGGTCGAACAAAGACGAAAGAATTTTCTTCGATCCAGTATTGCCAGTTTCTTGAGAGAAAAGAAATAGGAGTTTGGTAAAACCAATTATAAAGAGAGGAATAATCTATTTTAGTGAAGAGCAAGATGGCTGAAAACCTTGATATTTCAGAGTTGTCGCCAATTCACCCGGCCATCATTTCGAGACAGGCTACAATTAACATTGGTACTATTGGTCACGTAGCCCATGGTAAAAGTACAGTAGTTAAGGCTATCTCAGGCGTTCATACTGTCCGTTTCAAAAATGAGTTAGAGCGTAACATTACCATCAAGCTAGGTTATGCCAACGCTAAAATCTACAAGTGCTCCAACACTGAGTGTGCTCGTCCCGGATGTTTCCGCTCCTACCCTTCTGGCAAGGAGGACAACCCTCCTTGTGAAATTTGTGGCACTCCCATGAACTTGGTACGCCATGTCTCCTTTGTCGATTGCCCTGGTCACGATATTCTTATGGCAACTATGCTTAACGGTGCAGCTGTCATGGATGCAGCTCTGTTGTTGATTGCTGGTAATGAGTCTTGTCCTCAACCCCAGACCAGTGAACATTTGGCTGCCATCGAAATCATGCAGTTGAAACACATTATTATTCTTCAAAACAAGGTTGATTTGATCCGTGAAGCTGCTGCTGAAGAACATTATCAATCGATTTTAAAGTTCATCAAGGGTACCGTTGCTGAGAATTCCCCAATCGTCCCTATTTCTGCACAGTTAAAATATAATATTGACGCTATCCTTGAATATATTGTAAAAAAGATTCCCATCCCAGTTCGTGACTACACCACTGCTCCTCGTTTAATTGTTATCCGTTCTTTTGACGTGAACAAACCCGGTGCTGAGGTCGAAGATTTGAAGGGTGGTGTCGCTGGTGGTTCTATTCTTTCTGGTGTACTTCGTTTAGGTGATGAGATTGAGATTCGCCCTGGTATTGTCACAAAAGATGAAGAGGGTCACATCAAGTGTCAACCCATTTTCTCACGCATTGTGTCTCTTTTCGCTGAACACAATGATTTGAAGATTGCCGTCCCCGGTGGTCTTATTGGTGTTGGTACTACTGTTGATCCTACTCTTTGCCGTGCTGACCGTTTGGTTGGTCAAGTTCTTGGTTCCAAGGGCAACCTTCCTGAAGTGTACACAGAACTCGAAATCAACTACTTCTTGCTTCGTCGTCTTTTGGGTGTCAAGAGCGGCGACAAAAACACCACTAAGGTTCAAAAGCTTGCTAAAAACGAGGTTTTGATGGTAAACATTGGTTCTACTTCTACCGGTGGTCGTGTCATGATGGTCAAGGCTGATATGGCAAAGATTCTTCTTACCGCTCCTGCTTGTACAGAAATTGGTGAAAAGGTTGCCCTTAGTAGACGTATTGAAAAGCACTGGCGGCTTATCGGTTGGGCCAAGGTTGTTGAAGGAAAAACACTTCAAGTATAGTTTGGGTATTACTATGAGCATTGTATAAGATGACTTTTACTTTCCAGTGAAAGTGGTGTCCTTTTTGATGTATAGATAAGCTGTGATTCCATGTTTTCTTTGCAACTATTTGAAGAGATTCTTGATTCAAAGTAAGTTAGCTGTAAATATTTCTTTGTTTATGATGAGGCATCCAGTTGAGAGTGTTGATTACAACTCCACTATAAAATCTGTATTTGCACTACCTAATAAAAGCAATCGTACCTTTATCTTGTAGTCATTTTCAACTAGACATGACATTATATATCATGAATTGTTTGCCGCTGTTGGATTCTTTTTCCTTCATTTTATGCTCATGAGGCATTCGGCTTTCAAATAATTTTGTTTCGAAACAACCTACTGTTACATTTTGATATAATAGAATATCAATAAATGCTTTTTTTTTTTTTTACCAGCTTCCTTTTAGACCGTTTGTTTTCTTACTTTTTTCTACTTAACACCTTTAACGTTTCGCTTTGACTTATCAGAGTACAACGTCACTTAGCTTAACACAACCCTACCCTATGTTATGTGACTGCTTATGGAAGGGGAAACAACAATGCGAGAAGAAAGATAGCTACCAACATCCAACACCATGGCAGAGAAGGCTCAGAACCCCATGAAGGAGCTTCGTATCTCCAAGCTCGTCTTAAACATTTCTTTGGGAGAATCTGGTGATCGTCTTACCCGTGCTGCCAAAGTCTTGGAGCAACTTTCTGGTCAAACTCCCGTTTTCTCCAAGGCTCGTTACACCATCCGTCGTTTCGGTATCCGCCGTAACGAAAAGATTTCCTGTCATGTTACCGTCCGTGGCCCCAAGGCTGAGGAAATTTTGGAGCGTGGTCTCAAGGTCAAGGAGTATGAATTGAAGAGACGCAACTTTTCTGCCACCGGTAACTTCGGCTTCGGTATCCAAGAACACATTGATTTGGGTATTAAGTACGATCCTTCCATTGGTATCTATGGTATGGACTTTTATGTCGTTATGGACCGTCCCGGTATGCGTGTCACTCGCCGTAAGGCTCAACGTAGCCGTATTGGTTTCCCTCACAAGATCACTCCTGGGGACACTATCAATTGGTTCAAGCAAAAGTATGATGCTGTTGTTTTGGAGAAGTAAATAGAAAGATAGCCATCCAATCCTTTGTCATACTGAAAATTTAATTTTGTTGGTTGAACTAGTTTTTGCTAGCATATTTTGTACTTTGTTGTAATCTTAAGTAGCCGTAAGCAGAATAGGGAAAAAACGATTAGAAATGATTGTTAAACGGACATATGTTTGCTATGCTGTTACGATATTTCTATTTCTTTAGTTAATTAGTCCTTTATTTTGTTTTTGTGTTCAATTTTTAATATATGCTTTGCAAATCATTTCTACTCCCTAATGCCCACATATCTTATGCATGAAATATGCCGCGAAGAATACAAAAAAAATTTCATAAAATAACTCTATAAATCTCATCAAATAAGTTCTGTCGTCTGATGAAATTATAGATAACACTCAGCTTTTTATCCGTAAGAAACATAATCCAAAAGGAGCAAGAGATTGAAGTGATCATGCAAAATTAATAACAAAAATCAAAGTTCTTTTCATATCTGTATGCAATATGCACAGTATCTTTTAAATAACGGAAATATATACACATGTCAAACCTGTGATTTTAAAGGACTTTGGTTTACGCAGAAAGAACCGATGATTACTCTGTTTATGGCTTTTCTAAAACCGCACAAAGGTCACCACCATTCACAGAATCACCTTGTTGCATCAACAGCTGTTTTACGACACCACTGTGAGGAGCACTAATAACAATTTCCATCTTCATTGCGCTCAAGACAGCAATAATATCACCCTTCTTCACCTCGGAGCCTTCCTTAACACGAATCTCGACAATGGCACCACTCATAGGAGCAGCAACGTGTCCGGGGTTACTAGGATCAGCGCGAGCACGAGTGACTGTCTCTGTGGCAGCCTTCTTATCTTCAATGATAACGTGACGATTTTCACCATTCAACTCAAAGTAAACCTCGCGTTGTCCAGTACGAGAGTTGAGGGGTCCAAGGGCTATAAATTTGATGATCAATGTCTTACCCTTCTCAATTTCCACATGCATTTCTTCGTTCATCTGTGGCTTAGATAAGAAGAACCGAGTAGGAATATTAGTCAAGTCACCGTAACGGTCAACAAATTGGCGGTAATCCTCATACACACCGGGAAATTGGGTGAAAGACGCAACGTCTGCATCCGTAACATCGCCAAATTTCTCAGACAGAAAGTTACGAATAGCATCAAAGTCAGCAGGAGGCAAGAATTTACCTGGACGATCAGACAAAGGTTGACGACGTCCCTTCAGGACATTTGTACGCAAAGGCTCTGGAAATCCACCGTAGGGTTGACCCATCAAGCCTTGGAAGAAATCAAGAACAGATGCGGGGAAGTCGAGAGAAGCAGCTCTTTCCTCAACATCTTTCGCAGAAAGTTTGTTTTGGACCATAAATTGAGCCAAGTCACCAACGACCTTGGAAGTTGGAGTAACCTTAATGATGTCACCCAAAAGATTGTTGGCTTCAATGTAAGCCTTCTTAGTTTCAAACCATTGGGCTCCCAATCCCAATGAGCTTGCTTGGAATTTGAGGTTAGTAAGTTGACCACCAGGAATTTCATGATTGTATACATCAGAATCAGCACTCTTTAGTTCGGCTTCGAAGGGAGAGTACAATAAGCGTATTTGACTCCAGTAATTGTCAATCTCACGTAATTGATTGTTGTCGAATTCAAGCTGTCTATCAGTACCATCCACTGAGGCTAAAACGGCACCCAGACTAGGTTGGGAGGTAAGCCCAGACATACTATCAGTAGCAACATCGACGACATCAGCACCAGCTTCCAAAGCAGAAGTCATTGAAGCAACGGCAGTACCGGCAGAATCGTGACTGTGAATATGAATTGGTAAGTCAGGATACTTCTCACGAATACCACCAATCAAAATGTTAGCAGCTTTAGGCTTCAAAACACCAGCCATATCCTTAATACCAAGGATATGAATGCCTAAGTTAACCATCTTATCAACAAATCCTATGTAATAATCTAAATTATATTTCTTCTTTTTTAGCATGTCACCAGAGTAACACATAGTAGCTTCAACAACACCACCAGCTTTCTTAGCGGCATCAACACCGAGAGAAAGGTTATTGATGTCATTCAAAGAATCAAAGACACGGAAGATATCAATACCATTCTTCTTGGCTTGCTCACAGAAGAAATAAATAACATTATCAGGCAAGCTAGAATAACATAAGCCGTTTGCACCTCGAAGCAGCATCTGGAAAGGAATGTTCGGTACTAACCTACGAAGTCTACGAAGTCTATCCCAAGGACATTCGTAAAGGAAGCGCATGGAAACATCAAAAGTAGCACCACCCCACATTTCTAAAGAATAAGCATTAGCAAGTGCATGGCTAGTCAAAGGAGCGATATTAACGAGATCAATGGTACGGACACGAGTAGCCAAAAGAGATTGATGAGCATCACGCCAGGTAGTATCCATGATCAAGCCAGGCTTATGATTGCGAACAGCCTTAGCAAAAGCTTCAGGACCTTTCTCCAACAATAAATTACGCCAGCCTTTCTCACATGGTTGGTAAACGTCAATAGGCTCGCCATTAGAGCCAAGTAAGTTGGGCATGATAACATCAGATTTCAAGGCAGGTTCACCATTCTGGCCCTTGATTGAGCTGCCATTAACGGCCAAATCACCCAGATATGTAAGCAGCTTTTGACCACGGTTACGGGAGCGATATAACTTGAAGAGTTCAGGGGTATCGTCAATAAAAGTTGTCCAGCAGTTACCGCGAATAAAAGTTTCGTGGGAGAGAAGGCGTAAAACGAAGTTAATATTAGTCTTCACACCACGAACACGGAATTCAATTAAAGAGCGAATCATTTTACGTCTCGTAAACTCATAAGAAGAATCACGACAAGTACACTTTACCAACATGGAATCATAATGGGGAGTAATGACGGAACCAGCGAAACCATTAGCACCGTCAAGACGAACACCATTACCTCCAGCGGTACGGTATACCTCAATTTTACCAATATCGGGGACAAAACCCTTGTCCGGATCTTCAGTGGTTACACGGCATTGAATGGCAAAGCCACGAGAGCTAATCTGGTCTTGAGTAAGGCCAATTTCAGGAAGGGAGAAACCGGCGGCAATGTGAAGTTGAGCAGAGACAATGTCAACACCAGTAATTTCTTCAGTGATTGTGTGCTCGACTTGAATACGTGGATTGATTTCAATAAAATAATGACGTCCTTCTTGATCAATTAAAAATTCAGCTGTGCCTGCATTGCAATACTTAACTTCTTTAGCAATCTTAATAGCGTCATCGTAAAGAGATTGACGAATTTTAGGATCTAAGTCTTTGGCAGGAGCAATTTCAACAACCTTTTGGTGACGGCGTTGTACGGAGCAATCACGTTCGTGAAGATGAACCACATTGCCATGCTGGTCGGCTAAGAGCTGAACTTCAATGTGTTTAGGGCGGTCTAAGAAGCGTTCAATAAACACAGTACCATCACCAAAGGAAGATAAAGCCTCAGAACGAGCACGTTCAAAAGACTCCTTTAAGGCATCTTGGGAACGAACGACACGCATACCACGGCCACCACCACCCATGGCAGCCTTGATGATGACCGGTAATCCATGTTCTTTGACAAAGGTTTCGGCATCCTCAAAGCGTTCAACCGGACCAGGGGTACCAGGAACGACAGGAACGCCGCAACGAATTGCAATGGCTCGGGCCTTGGTCTTATCACCCAAACTATCTATAATATTGGCTGGAGGACCGACAAAAGCCATACCGGCATCAGTAACTTTTTGAGCAAATTCAGCGTTTTCTGAAAGGAAACCATAACCAGGGTGAATAAGGTTAGCACCCGTGCGCTTTGCAATATCTATAATTTCATCAATGGCTAAGTAAGCACCAACCGGAGTATACTGACCAATTTTACCAATTGGGTATGATTCATCGGCCTTTTGACGGTGCATCGACAGCCGATCCTCATGAGAGTAGATGGCAACTGTGTGCATTGACAATTCATGAGCGGTGCGGAAAACTCGGATCGCAATTTCAGATCGGTTTGCAACCAAAACTTTGTTATATTTCTCACCTAGCAGAGAAGTACGCGCCTGTAGTTTGCTATAAGGATTCGTATTTGTGCTTGGCACTGCGAATAAAGTTCCAGATTGGAAAGCCATATCGTCTATTTCCACCTCTCCTCAATGCCTCTAATTTCTTTCTGCAGAAACGCGTTTATTCAAGGCAAGAAGAAACAATGATGGTTGTTGGTTAAAGGCAGAGTTGCTGGCTCCCTTGAATCTGATGACACCATCCCGCTTAAGATGTGAGTGATGATACACTAAGCGATTATCTACTAAACAAAGCCTATTTACAAATTCCACCAATCATACTGTTAAGAGGCCCTATTTATAACCGCAATAGCCGCTTACGTCCAATACATTATTGAAATGATAAACTTAAAGAAGATAAGTTCAATTTTTCGTACTTTCAGCTTGTTTTATTTGTCCAAAGCCTTACTTACGTTATATCTTACCACTTAATTCCGATCGATCTGGAAAATAAATACCGAGATTAAAAGTTTATTTTCGAAGCCAAAACAGCACGCAATTTTGTGCTATGCACTCACTATCTGTAATCTGATGCAAAAAAACGAAAACAAGTTAAAGGAGCAGGCAGGTAATAGTTAACTGAAGTATCGAACTTAGTCAATATGGTAGGACAGAGAAGTTTTCAAAGCTTATTACATAATTATATAATATTAGATATAAAGATAGACGAGAAATGAATAGTGTAAATTTAAATCCATTAATATCCTTTCGTTCATTTTTCTAGTTTACTTTTTTGGAAATGTAAATTCGTGGTATTCGCATATTCAGCGTCGAAACACTGCCGTTATGATGTGCCATTGATCACAAGTGTATATTTTTGTCTGCGAAAGACTTTGGGCTTTTAATGACTGAGATTGGTAAAGAGGAGAAGGATTGAACTGCGGCCTTTCTTTTGTATTGGACAAATCATAAGAAGCATCTAATTTCAAAAGTCTCACATCAGAAAACGATTCCAGAGTGAACAGAATTTTTTCGGTTGCAAGGAACAAAATACTTATCGACGCATGTGAGAAGCAACCAAAGTCGGTGCTTGAGTCTCCGATGTAAACGGTAGCATTATAAGGAGAAGAACGAACAAGTGTCTGGAACTCACGGGCTTTGTCATCAGCAGTTAAGATTAAAGACTCTGCATGAAATGGTACAATTTTTCCTGTTGTTAGTTGATTTGTCGGATCCATCTCCAAGTCATTTGAATGAATAGTAATAAGCCCCGTATCAATATCTGGGATTCGACGTAAAGTCGCTTCAATCACACGACTCGACCAATTGATAGAGAGTATATGAAATTCATCTGTTCCATCTCGCAAACGTGGCATTAATAATTGCAAAAACTTGTCAAACCCATCTCGTAAAGTGATGGACGAAGCAACCCCTTCTAATTGTTCCGGGGTTAACCCCTCAAAAAATTTATGCTTTTGAATCCTCTGTATACTGGCTGCTTCTGCGAATCCACCTTTACGTAGTAAATCAAGATACGAGGAGAGTGTGGTCAGCTTTGGCAAACCGGATCGCCAAGACAAATACTCATCCCAGTACGCTTTAGCCAAAAAACTCCATAAATCTGGCTTATTAGCTGCTTCTGCTATGCAAGAAATGGTATCATGAGCGGTAATGGTCTCATCGAAATCGACCACAAACAACATCCTTCAAAACCTAGAAAGTGTCCCAATTCACTTTAACAAATGATAAAGAAAAATATTACTCACAAAAAAGGATTAGTTCCTAGATATTAATGCCTTTTTAATGGGTAATTGACTCTCTCGTTAGCAAGTTGGTTCCAATCTGAGCTATGTTTAGTAAGGCCATTATATATCCGGGTGTTTACTATGCAGATCCAACTAGCTGTTGCAAACGCCCATCCCATATATCTCAAGCTCGTAGATATAGAGATATTTGATTCAATCTTATAATAATAGCCATAGCCTCTGGTCTTTATGAACATAATGATAAACGATGATTCACGTTCGTGAAAATCAAAATTTTGCACGAATATTTTATGCGGTACAATCTATAATTTTGATATAACTCATACTTTAATAAGTAAAATTAAATTTTTCCAAAACATTCGCTTCTACAAGCTCATCCTTCAAGTGAAGGATCCTTTCTCGCAGAAGGTGGATCGCGGTCCTTGGGCAACAATTTTCCCAACTTAAACTTCAGCTTTACATCGTTTAGACTTTCCCAGCAAACCACTGGATCAGAAGTTCGGCTTGGGTAGTAGGGAAGATAGCAAACGGAAGCCAAAAAGTGAAGAATACACCTCTGTACTCTTCGGTAAACGCTCCTCTTTCTTTCACTGTGAAAACTAGCTACATAATAGCTAGAAAAAACAGAAGGATTCTGGGTCCAAGCATCAAATAATAACTGGTGCAAATGGGCGTGCTCGTGAGGGAGGAGCGGCAAGGCGATACGAGGTAAAACTTGCTTGAATGATCTCTGACAAGCATTCACAGCATTTCGCGGCTGATGGGAAAGCTCTTGTAGATGAGTTTGGAAAATAGTAGCAGGGGTTTTGCTTATGACATCTTGCTCTTGATTTTTTTGAAACACGATCTGCAGCAATGGGGAAATATAAGGTAGTTGTGAGGAGTCTATTTTAGAGGATAGATCTTTCTCATGAGGAGCAGGAGGACCAGAATTTTGTAGATATTGAATTCGACGTTGTCGAAGCGGACCAGATTGGGAATAAGCCCGTGCTAATATTTCAAAAATGTATCGCTGATCACCTTTATTTGATCTCTCGACCAACTTTATCCATTCCCTTAATTCCTTTGAAATTTCTGCCTGCTGTTTGATGCTGATGATAGGATGTTTCTCTCGATATTTTCGAGCGTAATCTCGAAAATAAGTGGAAAGAATATTCGAGGCCAACGGGTCCCAAAACGATCTTAATAGACAAAGCAACGTCCTATATCTAGGAAAAACTGCGAAACGCCGTAAAGTGGAAGGCAGAGGTGAACGCAAGGCAGACCCATAATCAACAAAATCGTTAAAAACCATTGACAAAGGATGTCTGTCTAGTTTACGAGATTTGGCAAGCGTAATTTTTGTCCTATAATCAAATGTCGGGAAATTTTTACTTTCTTTACGAGCAAAGGAAACTGTAGCCTGTGGTTTACGATTAGGTCTCCTGGCAAATCTGTATCTTTTACGAGCATTGGGATTGTCCCCTTTCCGAGAAATGGAAAGCCAAACCCGTGTTTTTTTATCAAGTCGCCTGCGTTTCAATACAGGACGACGAAAGGCCATACAGAACTATGGATGATGGTTTCAAACGGCCAATAACGAAACACTGCAAAATAAATTTTCTTCTGGATTTTTTAAATTCAATAAATATGCCACTTTTAATGGACTGTGACAACAATAAACCAAACCAAGTAAGATGTAAAGTAACAGAAGCGATTTATGAACAGGCAAAATAAAAAAAAAAGGATTAGCAAAGTTTAATTGTAAAGAAAGATAACAATATCTAAAGCATGAGTGAGATTTCAATTGGATTCGTCCAAAGTGGAACTTTTGTAGTAGAAGGGTGTAGAGAGCGAGCAAACAAAATAGCTTATGTTAATGTTAATTGTGCAGTTTCAAGAGTCTTTCAAATAGATAAAAAAAGATCTTTTCAAGAAATTTTTAGTAAATTGATACACTTTAGAGAGTCTTGAACAATATCATGAGAAATTTCGCGATAATGTTTATTACGGTACCGGAGCGTGTAAAAAGAGGTGTCAAACTGAGTTTTGAATGGATTAAAAGCTATTAAAAGGATATCGGTGGCGCAAAAAATTAGACATGAAAATGAGCTCCTTAAGCTCAGTATGAATTTTGGGATCCGCAAAACAATAAACCCCACGATGAATATAGTATTAGCGACATCACAAATCGTTAAGCATACCTTTGAAATGTATATAAGAATATAATAAGCTTAAAAGGTAGTAATATGATTCCATTCTGTAGGGAAACGTTATTAAACTTTGGAGTACAAGCAGAAAAAATCAAATTATAAAAGTTTGTTTCATTGATAATTTTATTCAAAAGAGTAGGATGGTTTCTTCAATATCAGATTTCATATTTGCGTCTTGGAGAACGTCAGAATGATTTGTATATTTATTACGCTCTCGAGATATCGATCATATTACAAAGTTTAAATTTCTCTGAACCATTCCTTATAAAACAATTAAAGGCAAGAAAGTGATCTAGCAAATTTTTCGTCTCTTACACTCAGGAAAACCCTCCTACCTTGACTTGGCTGCAACACTCATACAACAATTTACTTTCTGTACAAGAGAAGCAAGTTTAGACTTTATAAAAAAGAAGAACAAATTTACAAACTTAAAGATACTTTTTACAAAAAAGAAAACCCGTTAAGAACTTAATTCTTAATTTGTTTGTTTACATCCTTCGGTTTGTTTATGCGACGATTCGCATATAGCGCGATAATTGCGAACTGGAAGGAACATCGGTTTTGAATTGATATAGATAGCCAATAACATTTAATAACGATCTTCTATATATTTCCTTCCGACACATATAGCGAATGCTATTTTTCTCGGTAAAAAGCCATGGAATGTGTGTCTCAATAAACGCGCTGCATTGGTTATTGAAAACACGTTTTAGTTCGCTATCAGGGGTTTTCATAGCGCAGCACCTTGCACCACAAGAGCCGGATTCGTTTTGCCTATGGTTTGCGTGACTTTTTTGTCTCTTTGGTGTCGTTCCGGTAATTGACCAATTAATCCGTGTTATGGAATTATATTTGATCCCCAATAAACGGCCCGTTGCAAACTAACAGCCAATCATACTTTACAATCTCACAACCTCCATAGAAGAGGACGTCAAAGTTTTTTCCACCCAACCGCAGGTACCGTTGACGTCGGAAAAACATTCAGCGCTGATCTTGCGTTTCCCTGGTTTCATGTTCCCCTGCGTTCTTTAAGGGGAAGGGTAAGGTTTGTTCTTGCGAAAAAATGAAAAAACATTGATGTAAGTTTATGGAATTAAGCTGATTTTGAAAAGATTGAAGGATTCTTTGTTTCAGTAGCTATTTCTTTATTAAATGTGATTTTTAGCTTATTTCTGCAGCCGTTATTGAATATGTTAGGTGAGTCGCAACAGATGCTTCCTTGGTTCCAATGTACGATAGTCGGGTGATTGTTACTTAGGAGAAATCAAGCGAAGCGGGCTTAGCGACGTAATTGTTCCACCGGCTTCCGTTGAGGTCAGTCATGGTCATATGGAAAATTCGGACGGTTGACGAACCCAGGGCTATATAAAGGCCCCGGCACCCTACATATTTCTTTAAGGATCTTTTAGTATCTTACATTAGACATCTTTAATCATCATGGGAATTGAAAAGCTTTTCGCTCGCCAAATCTACGACTCTCGTGGTAACCCTACCGTCGAAGTCGATCTCACTACCGAGACTGGCATTCACCGTGCTATTGTCCCCTCCGGTGCCTCCACTGGTGTTTGGGAAGCCCTCGAAATGCGTGACGGTGATAAGTCCAAGTGGGGTGGTAAGGGTGTTTTGAACGCTGTTGCCAACGTCAACAACGTTATTGCTCCCGCCCTTGTCAAGGCCAACCTTGATGTCACTGACCAAAAGGCTGCTGACGATTTCCTCCTCAAGCTCGACGGTACCGAGAACAAGTCCAAGTTGGGTGCTAACGCCATCTTGGGTGTTTCCATGGCTGTCTGCCGTGCTGGTGCCGCTCAAAAGAAGCTTCCCCTCTGGAAGTACATTGCTGAAGTTTTCGGCAACAACGGCCCCTTCACCCTCCCCGTTCCCTCTTTCAACGTCTTGAACGGTGGTGGTCACGCTGGTGGTGAATTGGCTTTCCAAGAATTCATGATTCTCCCCGTTGGTGCTCCCTCCTTCTCCGAGGCCATGCGTTGGGGTTCCGAGACCTACCAAGCCCTCAAGTCCATCGCCAAGAAGCGTTATGGTCCTTCCGCCGGTAACGTCGGTGATGAGGGTGGTATTGCTCCTGACTTGTCTACTCCTCAAGAAGCTCTTGACCTCATTGTCGAAGCCATCAAGAACGCTGGCTACGAAGGTAAGATCAAGATTGCTCTTGATGTCGCCTCCTCCGAATTCTATGTTGACGGCAAGTACGACGTCGACATCAAGGCTAAGAACCCCAAGCCCGAGAACAAGCTCTCTTTCGAGCAACTCACCAGCATGTACTCTGACCTTTCCAAGAAGTACCCCATCATCTCCATTGAGGACCCCTTCGACCAAGATGACTGGGCTGCCTGGACTCACATGAAGGCTGCCACTGACTTCCAAATGGTCGGTGATGACTTGACTGTCACCAACACCAAGCGTCTCGCTACCGCTATTGAGAAGAAGTGTGCTAACGCCCTTCTCTTGAAGGTTAACCAAATCGGTACCGTCTCCGAATCTTTGGCTGCCGTCAAGATGTCCTATGATGCCGGTTGGGGTGTCATGGTTTCTCACCGTTCTGGTGAAACCGCTGATACTTTCATCTCTCACTTGACTGTCGGTATCTCCTCTGGTCAAATCAAGTCTGGTGCTCCTTGCCGCTCTGAGCGTTTGGCCAAGTACAACGAACTCCTCCGTATTGAGGAAGAGCTCGGTGGTGAAAAGGCCCTCTACGCTGGTGAGAAGGCTACCAACTACATTAAGGGAGTTTTCTAAATTGAAAATGTCTAATTTGTATTTTCCATATTTTGTTTTTTAATAGAATGCAATGAATCAATTTTTTGCCTTTCGGAATAAATGTTTTTTTAGTGTATTGAAATAGTTGTTATTAATAGAAACACGGAAGTAAAGTAGTTTACGGCAAATTGAGTAGTTGAATGGTAATGCACAAGAACTAAATAATAATTATTCAAATTATTATTGAGCAAGCTTGTTATTGATAATAAATACGAAAAGATAAAAAGAAAGAAACAATAAACCAGCAAATTCTAGATTATACTTTACAGACTTCGTATAGATAAAAACACAAACAAAAACGAAGAGATGTAGAAAGGAAATGATCCATCAAAGGGAATCAAAAGCCGTTCTCTACAGGAGATCCGCGTCTAAAGATGAACAGTCTATTTTTAAAGAAGAGTTTGCACGAACTGGAGGGCGTCGCCGCGTAGAGGAGAGAGCACCTGACCGAGATCGAGAAAGACGAGAATGCAGGGCTCTAGACTTCAATAATGGACGGGGAAGAGATTTCCGAGGAGTAGATGAAGAAAGAGAAGATGGCTTTCGAATTCGAGAAATGGAGGGTTGCGATTTGGGGATGGAAGAAGCAAGGAGCTTGTTAGGCATGTCATTTCTTGCAGATGTGGAGGAAGTGTTTGGGTTCTTTTCAGAAAGGGGTAGCCCAGTATCAAGATCTAATAATGGAAGCTCAATTTCATCTACTCTTTCGTTGATTTTATCTGTATGTCTATCGGCGACTTTGGGCAGATCTAACTTGCAATTGTTTGTAACTGAGGGTGCTTCTTCAAACACCCGAAAGGTAGGCGCGCGGGGAGAAGAAATCGTACGTGAAGGACTTACAGAACGTTCTTGGGCGAATTTTGTTTGGCCAGATTGAGCGAGTTCTGTGGTCCAACACTTGCCAAGCTGATCAAAGTCGATGGATACATCTTCGAACCCTAGATTACTAAGTGGATCTGTGGAAGCCGTTGGAGGCATGTATTCCAGGTCATCTGCCTCGTCGTTGTCTGGAGAAGGTATATGAGAAAAGTGATGATGGGTGGTATCCTGCCGTATATCTTCATTGAGGAACGTTAAGTTTTCATTCTCAGCGATCGATTTTAAGGAAGGAGGATTAGAGTGTTCATGAACCATGGAATCGTCTCCAGTTGGAGAAGGAGTCTGCAGAGCGCTAGGAGAATCCATAGAAACATCCATTGGAGAAGGTTTTAAGAGAGGAGGAGCAGAAGGAGCAAAAGAAGGTGGTAAAGCTTCACCTCCCTCAGAATAAATTTTGCGAATGTTTGTGCTTTTCCCCCCTAGAACGGTCCTTGGCGCGTTCCTGCCCGCTGGTGTGCCATTCGCAGTGTGTTTTGAGGTCAAAGGAGCATTTTTAGACTCTTCCAATCCACGTTCATGTTTCTGAGCTACCGGAGTCACCGGAACAGCGTTTTCTTTTCCATACGAGAACATGGTTTTGGGTGTGTAATAGAGGCTGGCGCCGTGATACTTTTAGAAAACAGGTGACGCTGTTTGTTTATGTTACTCATGAGAGAAAAAGAATAAATAAAAGGAAATAAAACACGTTAGGAAGACTATTGAATTAAATGGACGTTGGAAATATACTTTGGTTTTTTTAGAAGCAAAAGCGACTCTGTTTGACAAAAGTTTGATGATTGACATGGCCATAGTCAGAGAACTGGGAAGCCATGTTCGATTTGAAGGATTCTTTCTATTAAAAGGATTTTAAAACTCACTCATCTTTTAAACATGATTCTCCTTACAATAGGCAAGCACAATTTCCTTTAGCAGGGTTTGTTGTGAACCGAAAACCGACTTCAGAGTGACAACTTGGCCTCAGCAATCAAGCGTCAAAGAATCACAGAAGCAGCTTAATTTAATAAGCCTTTAGATATTTATAGGGGAAACCTTTAGCTTTCGATAAAGTCTACGTATAGATATTTGCCCCAATGTCAATTGCCAGAGTCGTGAAGACGAACGTTTCCTATTTCTTTTTGTTTCATCTTTTACACTGAAAAAGCTAGGAAAGGAGGAAATTCGACACCACAATTTGCCTCAGGTGGCCATCATGTCCTATTGACTCGCTCCACCGTATGACACACTTCTCCTTCACGTCCACCTTACCCTACCACCCGACAAAAACTAATTTGTCGAAAAAGGCTCTTTTCTGGAGTACCTTTTCGTTTATTCTTTCGTTTAATAAAAAACCCAGAATAAAGATTTTAGATGATTGTCTCACGAAGGATGCTTCGAGGCCGTTATGGTCCAAAGTTGCTGGAACGTTCTTTGCAAACGTCTGCCTGGAACCGAAATGGAGGACCACAGTCTCCTATTAAAGTTTTTATGGATACATTTCGATCAGAATTGAAGAAGAGCCAAGAGTTTCAGGACAGTATGAAGGCACTCCAGGATAGTTCAGGGAATTTGGGCGAAAGCGATGCATTCAAGCGCGCCCGTGACGCTTATGATAAAGCTCGTCAAGGAACATCTGCCGCTTCACAAACCATGGGAAAGGCAGGTTCCGCTCTTGGATCTGGTGCCCATAAAGCTTGGGAAAGTGCTCCTATGCGTTTCTCGCGTAAAGTCATTGCCGGTACCACTAACACAGTAACAAGCGGTGTGGACAAAGCTACTCAGCCTGTTCGTAAGACCGACCTCTACAAAACCGTCAAACAGACCATGTCGGACGGCAGTACCTCATCTCGATATGGGTTTTACGCCGATAAGGAACAACGTAAAAAGCTTCGTGAAGAGTTTGAAAAGAGGACGCATATGTTTGGTCGTTCTGCTAAGATTCAACCCAACGATGACGTTCAAAGTGTAGTTGTGCATACAAATCCTTCATGGAAGAACAAAGTGGACCAAATTACAAGCGAATCGAAATTTATCCGTAAGCTTCAAGAATATAGAAGAATCTACGAGGAATCCGAGCATCCCATTATTTCTTCCATTCGTGATTTGGCTGACAGCATCAGCGGAACCTGGTCGCGCATGTTTTCCGAAACCGAGGCTTCTCAAGTCATGACCCGTTTCAAGGAGATAGATCCTTCTTTTAATCTCGAGCATTTCTTGCAGTATTTGCGTGAGTATGTCGTTCCTGAAGTCACCGAAGCCTATGTGAAGGGTGATAAGGATGTTTTGCGAACCTGGTTCTCTGAAGCTCCATTTTCCGTCTATGAAACCACTACAAAGGAATACGCCAAACACGGGATTGTAAGCGTTGGAAGAATTCTGGATATCCGTGGCGTCGACATCATGTCTCAAAGACTACTTCAACCCAGCAACATCCCCGTCCTTGTCGTTACCTTCCGCACCCAAGAAGTCCACATGTTCAAGAATGCTCTGAGCGGCGAATTGGTTGCCGGACGAGAAGATCGTATCCAGCAATGCACTTACGCTGCCGTGCTTACTCGTATCGAAGAAGATATGGAAAATAAAGAAACCAGAGGCTGGTGTATAGTTGACTTTGCCCGTGCTCGTGCTGTCGACTATTTCTAATTTTGAACGATTTTGCGAAAATGTTTTACTTTACAGATCTACTTTTTTTCGATACTTTTGCATATGTCTTGATCCTTTTATACATAATCTCTTGTTTATTCATTTTTACCCAAAAAACCCGTTCAACGTTTGTTTCGGATAATACGTTTCTCTACTAATCTAAAGCTACAGAGTTATAGGAATGAATGGTCTTGTAACGGTAGCTATTCCAAAATTTTTTGTGGTTTTTTGTTGTACCTCTACCTTAAATTCGCCCATTGGTTTATTTTTTTCGTATTTGTTTAATTCCATATGATGATGAATCTTGGGGAAGCTTTTTTGTCACTTTGCATTCAACCAGTTGAGGAAATAAACGTACAAATAGCTATGAAAGCAATAGTAGCCTATAGTCAAACTGCATCCGAAATGAAAACTCTGTAATGCCGTTTGTTTTATTCATCTCAAAAAAACAGTATAATTACAGAGTCCTTTACTAAAACAAAGCTTGGCATTCTGTGTCAGAAGCCTGTATATCAAACATCTTTGAAGTTGTAGTTTCGATGATTTCCGTTTTGAAACCTTTTGTGAACTTTCCCTTCCATTTTGTTAAAAGTTTTTCCTTTTTGTTTACAGTTTCTGCATTTGTTTACTGAATAGGATGGATCCCTTGTGTTACGGTTGCTATAACAACTCGGTATGTTCCAGGTAGGGTGGTCCCAATTTTTGTAACTTGCACTCAACCAAACACTATCAAAACAAACGGCGACGTTAAGCATTTAAGCAAGAAATATGAGTGGTAATGAAGTAGCAAGTACTGCTGCCAAGGAGCTTGAAGAGAAGCTCTCTTTGAAGGAAAACGAAGCTCGTGAAGAAGAAGAAGAAGACGGTGAAGAAGGTGAAGAGGGAGCCGGCAAAGGTGGAGAAGACAACGCCTCTAGTGCTGATAAGAAGAAAAAGAAAAAGAAGAAGTCTAAAAAGAAGAAAACTCCTCAAGAACAAACCGATCCCCCAAGAGTTGGCCTTTCGAAGATTTTCGTTAACAAGAAGTACCCTGTTGGAGAAGTTGTGGACTATGCAGAAGATAACCTTTGGCGTACTACCAACGAAGAGAAGCGTGCATTAGATCGTCAAGAACACAATCACTGGAATGATTTACGCCGTGCTGCTGAAACTCATCGTCAAGTCCGTCAACATGCACAATCGGCGATTCAACCAGGCATGTCTTTAACCCAAATTGCGAACTTAATTGAAGATGGCACTCGCTCTTTGGTTGAAGAAGACGGCTTAAACTCTGGTATCGGTTTCCCTACCGGTTTGAACTTGAACCATATTGCCGCTCATTTCACCCCTAATGCCGGTGACACTACAATCCTAAAGGATAAGGATGTTATGAAGGTTGACATTGGCGTTCATGTCAATGGGCACATCGTGGACTCTGCTTTCACTATGTCCTGGAATCCTGAATGTGATCCCCTTTTGGCTGCTGTTAAGGCTGCTACTAACACTGGTATCCGTGAAGCAGGTATTGATGCTCGTATGAGCGACATTGGTGAAGCTATTCAAGAAACCATGGAAAGTTATGAAGTTGAAATAAATGGCAAGACTTTACCAGTCAAGTCCATTCGAAATTTGTGCGGTCACGACATAAAACAATATAGTATCCACGGTTCGAAGACTGTTCCCATTGTTAAGGGCGCGGAAGATGTTAAAATGGAAGAAGGTGAAGTCTTCGCCATCGAAACTTTTGGCTCTACTGGTCGTGGTCTTGTTCACAGTGATTTGGAATGCTCTCATTATGCGAAGAGTGATGATGCTGGCCATATTCCTTTACGTCTTCCTCGTGCCAAAGCTTTGTTAAACACCATTAATCAAAACTTTGGCACTCTCCCTTTCTGCCGCAGATACTTGGACCGTTTGGGTGAGTCTAAGTACTTGATGGCATTGAACAATTTGGTTTCCGCTGGTGTTGTTCAAGATTATCCTCCCTTGCTTGATGTCAAGGGTAGTTATACTGCTCAATATGAGCACACCATCATCCTTCACCCTACCCAAAAAGAAGTTGTCTCTAGAGGTGATGACTATTAAAACGTTTCCCAACCTAATGCTTGCATCATAAGCGTTGTAATAATTAGAAAAAACTCCGTATTTACCATAATAATTCTCCTACCTTTACCTTAGCTGTTTAAATTTTGGTTAATGGTTTATAATATATTGTTTCTAACCGTATGCAGTGCCATGCAGGCTGAAAAGCACTAGAAGGCATTTTGAAGGTTTAGGAAGGAATGAAATCAGCGTTCCATCGAATGTATGATTTCACCTCTATCCTAAGACTTGCAACGTTCAGCTCACATGAAGTACCTTTGTTCAAAGATTCCATTCAACAGACTGACGTTGGCAATATTTGTACTGATGAGGATAGTAAGACATGAGTAATTGAATATGTACTCAGTTGTTTTCTCCGATTGCATTTGCATAATATGGTGTAGAGTAGAACAATGGAGATGTGTTCGCTCTTTTGCCTAGAGGATACAACTCTTTAAAGCATGCATCCTATACATATAGATATAATTTGTAGATAGAGAAATCTACCATGGGCTTGGTATTGTTGTTTTGCCAAGAGCTGAAGAATCCTTCCATTATTTCGGCAATTTGTTTTTATGGTTACTATGAAAGGTTCTACTCTACAAACATATTTCCATTCGTTCATTCAGGATTTCTGCTCATAAAACAATTATCCTGTTATTTCATATCTTCTTATAACATCTCATTGATTGGGATTCATCCTGAACAGAGCACTTGCTTACAGAATAATGGATTTTGAATTATATTAAGAAATGGGTCTCATTATACTTGATTTTCTCATGAAAGTCTCAGTACTTCGCCTTGGAGCTACAAAGATTGTCAGTATTTCAAACCTACATGTAGCAGGAGTAAATGAATCAACAAAAAAATAATTTGCAATGTATAAATTTCAAAATTTTTACTATTCTTTACCCACAATTCTGATTGAGTGAGATAAATTTGTTGTCACAAATAAATGCACCTAATCTTGGTTATATCTCTTAACCTGCGCACAACCACCATGTTAGCCAGAAGATTTGGCCGCACGGTAAGTATAGGAAATTCAATTCAAAATTTTATTTTTTAAAACATTACTGACAAATTATATAGGTCAACCGTTTTGTCCGATGGAAAACGACTTATGTGAATTCTCCCATAACATACAAGGCTTTGCATGCGAATGCACCTTTACCTCGATGCCGTATCATTGAGCCTCCTCGTGCTACGGTTCCTGAGGCCGTTTCTAATGTATGATGCTTGTAATTTTTGGGATTTGTGCCTTTTATTGGGAATTGATTCAATGGTGTATAGCCGGGTGTAAAATTTGCGTTATTGATGGATGGTCGATGGAAAGGATGTAGAGCAGTTTGGAGATGTCAAAGGCTGTTCTTGAGTCTTCTTGTTGGTTCGTTGAGTAGTTTTAAGTTGTTTTCCTATACGGCCAAAAACTAAAGACCAAAAGAAATTTCTCCTTCTATACCATTTCATTTAATGGCTCATTTCCCAATTCCTTGTCTCTTGATTTTTGCTTGCTAACAGCATCTCAGATTATTGTCTCCACCCCCTTCAATCGCATTCCCAAACCCCAGCGTCATGTCTTTAACTGCCTTGTACAAAATGAACCTGGTGTTCTTTCTCGTCTTTCTGGTATTTTGGCTGCCCGTGGCTTTAACATTGACTCCTTGGTCGTTTGTGCTACTGAAGTCGAAAATCTTTCCCGCATGACCATTGTAATTCGAGGGTAAGTTTCTTTCCTCTGTTGGTTGTTTCTCTGTTTTCCCTTAATTCTAACGTTCATGGCAGAAATGATGAAGTTGTTGAGCAAGCAAGACGCCAAATTGAAGATATTGTTTCGGTTTGGGCTGTTTTGGACTATACTGGTACTGATATTGTCGAGCGTGAATTACTTTTGGCCAAAGTATCCCTCTTGGGCCCCGACCACTTCCAACAGCACTTTGAAAGAGATGCTTCTCCTGTTGAAGAGGTTGAAAAGCCGACTTCCTCCGTTAGTGATACCATGAGTGCAACTGCTGCTTTGCAACTTAGAGCAAACCAGCTTTCTGCCATCAATCAAGTTACTCAGCTCTTCAACGGTCGTGTTTCAGACATCTCTACTGAAAGTCTTATAATTGAATTGACTGATGGCCCTGATCGTATTGATAACTTCTTGTCTTTACTTCGTCCTTTCGGTGTGTTGGAAGCCAGTCGTACAGGTACCACTGCCATGGCACGCTCTCCTCTTTCCAACGCCATACCAGAGAAAGTAGAAGAAGATAAGGTAAGTACCTTTTTAGTATGCAAATTTTTCCCTAACTAACTTTACATTAGGATAACGATGATGTTTTCGACTTGCCTCCAGGCTAAACAATGAATATGCTCTGCTAGGGGTAACCATTTCTCTTTTGCATTCTTATCCTTCTTTAATTCTTTTTGACTGTTCATATTATGAAGCAGATTAGTTTTGAATTTGTGTCCTATACTAATCTATGGTGGTGGTACATATATATTTTGGCTCACAAAATTTTACGACAATATCAAGTTTGTTTTGGAACCTGAAAATGTTTCCATATGAATAGGAAATAATTGTGATAAGCGGCTTAGAACTTGTATGTTTGTTATTTAATGAATCATAAAATGTAACTGATTATTTAAATATGAAAGCCAACCACTTAGAGGAAGGGGTCATGCGTTCATTAGTTGTCTTTATGCTATCTTGTCGTGATTGAATTATGCGTAGCTAAAGAGTTATATTAGAATTAAACTGTATGTTTGATAGCCTCCCTTCTGTAGATGGCGTTCAGTAAAGAGCTATAGCTCCAAGTTAGATCCAGGGCGCCCACTTGTTGGCCGTCAAAACGAGAGATTTGCTCAGACATGGAACCATTGGGATGTTGGAACTCTGCAGCGTCTTGTAAAAATTTATCGGCGTACTTTATCAAGTTTTTGCGAATGAGAGGCCAGTTGTAAGGATCACCGAATTCAGCAAAGTAAACAAAAAATTGTACGTTGTGGCTAGTGAGTTCTGGAAGCCCATATGAGTCGTAGTACTGAATAGCCTTATAGACTACTTCTGCTGCACTGTGAGTACAGAGAAACCAAGGATTGCCAATGGAGGAACTAACGCCGTCATATACATCCTCTAGGTAGCGGCCGATGAGCTGCTTGTGTCCTTGATTAATTGGATAAGCCTGTGTCATCGACTCTTGGAGCTTCCTCAACGTTGGGAGCGTATGTGTGTCGAACTCTTTAGAGTAAAGAGAAGCCAGCAAAACAGAGCAATCAAGTCCGGAACGGTTAGGAATATTTTTATACCCTCTGATGATTCCCTTTTCGTGGTCCCAAAACTCACCAAGCTTAAGATCGATAGGATGGATTGTTTCAGCATAAAGAGTGGATTGATCCCAAGCTCCAACACGTTTCGCAAAGGCTGCTCCCTCTTGCAAAGCTGTTTTTTGGACGGTCAATGTGAAATAGTGAACGTCTTTGATTTCTTCCCAAAGGTCAAAACCAGGTTGCGCCCAAATACCCACAGTATAATCCAAATCTGCCAAGAGTGCTTCAATATAAGGAACGACTTCATGTGCTTCAGTACCATGATCAAAGCGATAGTTTAGGTACCTTATAAAGGCCATAGCTCTCAAGGCAGGAGAGTCATTTTGAGGACGTCCCCAGTCTTCGTCGAAGCTTGAGCCATCGGTATGAAACTTGGGCTCTCCTAAACCTCCACTGTAAAAGTCACCGCTAGGGTTGTTGACCTTCTGTAATCGGACCATCTCATCCATGTACTTTACGATGATCGATTCAAGGCCATGGTCGCCCTCGAGGAAACGATCGATAACGGTCATCATGGTAAGAGCACTATCCCGAACCCATTGGAAATAATAGTTTGGAACGTTATTCGATGGAGAAGCAATAATACAACCAGCATTTACATTTTTAGCATATCTACCACTGTCTCCAACATTGTCAAGTAAATGACTCATCGCAATTCCTTTTTGGAGTTCAGCCCAATGATCCACATCCATGTTTTCAGTTCGTCTTTCAGCAATTGATATTCCGTGTAATGAAACAGAGCTAACGACAAAGGCGAGGAGCAAACGAATATGCATACTTCAGTTTCTTTTTTAGATATACGGATCGATAAACAATACAGAAGATGGTATAACTATGATACCTTTATAAATATATATACTTGTTAAAGGTATTTTCTGGACAGCTGTCTCTTATATGCATTTGGAATTGCCCATGTAAACAAATAACTTCAAAACAAACAGACACCGCATTGCCCTATGCAAACGCAGTATGAAAAACCCATTAAGATTAAAGATATGTAAACAAACCAAGTAAGTAAATAAATAAACTTTAGCTTAGCTCCCATTACTAAAGCCACAATTGAACTCTTGTCTCCAAAGACGATAGCGTAATAGACATTGTTTACAGCGTACTCGGTATAGGAAGGATTCTTGACATGTAGACACCGATGCTATTATGAAAAATAGTAAAAGGTGCTTCGTATGCTAACAGAACCCTGAGCACCTTCTTTCGAGGGGGGAGGTATATTGGCTAGACGAATTGAACTATTCTTGAAGCCAAATGGATAGTTTTCTTTTCTTTCCTCTATTCCTTTTATCCCAATCTTCCCTCCTCAACCCTTTTTACGCCTTTCTTTGGCCTATGTATAACCATCAATGTTTGGTTACATGTTCAAACAAATACAAAATTGAGAGTTTCAGGAAGTAAGCTTCCAATTTAAGTACAAGTAATACTAAATAGGGCTTCCAAAAGCAGTAGTGAAATTCTTTCAAATCGAATTTGAAAGCACTCAAAATCATTTGTTTACTTTCATTAGAGAAATCAAACTCGATAGCGTTTGTATATTTACTGTTTTCGCGTCAAACCAAATTACTTACATGCAAACAAATACTTTGCGCTGAGCTGTTTTTCTCCTTCGTCCTTTTCTTTGTTTACATTGTTCATGGGTTTACCGCAGCTTTAAGCCTTCCTAATCATATTTACTGTATTCCTTTGGGAATCGCTATTCCACCTATTGACTTCATATCCCGAAGGAATAGAACTTGCTACTAACTCATCAGTAGACTGCTAGTCCTGTGTGAATTACGGAAATGTCGAGCTTTCAGCTTCTTAGCGTCCTTCCAAAACCTTCTTATGACCATGTCTTTAATAGAGAACGCAATGGTAAATGACAAAGAAACTCCTTAGAGGAAAGAAAACTAACGTGTAATTTAATAGAATTTGTAACTACAACAGCCACGAACCAAGTAGAAGTATATAAACAACAAGGCAACGAATGGGTTCTCAACAAAACCTTCAGCGATCACGAGAAAATCGTCACATGCGTTGACTGGTCTCCTGTTACCAACCGAATCGTAACATGCTCTCAGGATCGCAATGCGTATGTGTATGAAAAGCAACGTGATGGAAGTTGGAAGCAAACTCTTGTCCTTCTTCGGTTAAACCGTGCCGCTACGTTTGTCCGCTGGTCTCCGAAGGGAGACAAGTTTGCCGTAGGAAGTGGTGCTCGGGTCATTTCAGTGTGCTATTTTGAAGAAGAAAACGACTGGTGGGTCAGTAAACATCTAAAGCGTCCCTTGAGAAGCACCATTCTGTCTTTGGATTGGCATCCCAACAACGTTTTGCTTGCTGCTGGCTGTGCCGATCGCAAGGTGTATGTGTTGTCAGCATACATTCGTGATGTTGATGAAAAGCCTGAAGCTACTGTCTGGGGATCCCGTCTTCCCTTCAATACCGTTTGTGCGGAGTATCCTTCTGGCGGTTGGATCCATTCAGTTCAATTCTCTCCTTCAGGAAATGCTTTGGCTTTTACAAGCCACGATTCTTCCCTTACTATCGCATATCCAAGCGCCCCTGAACAACCCCCTCGTGCTTTTGCTACTCTTAAATTACCTCAGCTGCCCTTTCATTCTCTTCTGTGGGTGAACGAAACCACCATCGTTGCTGCAGGCTATAACTATGCACCTCTTCTTTTCCAAGGAAACGAATCTGGTTGGTATTTTATTGGTGATTTAGATCCTGGTGCTTCAAAAACCACGGCTACTCAGACCGGAAAGGATGCCGTAAAAGATGAAGAGGAGTCTGGTCCCGTCTCCTTTTCTGCCTTGCGTTCTACTTTCCGAAATATGGATCTGAAGGGTTCGAGCCAATCTGTTTCTTCTTTACCTACTGTACACCAAAATATGATTGCTTCTCTTCGCTCCTACGCTGGTGCACCAGGAAACATGACTTCCTTCACCTCTAGCGGTACTGATGGTTGCATCGTTTTATGGAATCTTTAATTTGTCCAGTTATGACTTATGATCTTTTTGTCGGTTCTCTTTCTTTTTGCGGTATTGTATAAATATTCATGGCTTTATCAATATCTAAAGTTTATGTAAAGAACAATACTTTTATGAATAAAGCGCTTACTCTATCTATGTCACCGTGATCTCGCACATATACGCTTATATTTTCAAGCTAATTTGTTTGATTTAAGAATGCTTCAATTGATACTTTGGATCCATTATTTCTGAAAATTAAACTAAAAGTATGAAACAAATCATTAAACGTACGAAAGATATCCTATAAATAAATTAACCTATCAACAAAACCTTTTTGCATTTCAGGTTTGTCAATGAAACCCGTATTCATCTTTCCTTTTCCTGTAATTATTCCGATTTTATGCGCAGCTGTTACCGTTTGTCAAAAAACCGTTTTAAGGTGCCAATACTACCCACAGCAGTAATGATGTCCATTTCAGGAACTAATAGATTGACAAATCGGTCATTCGACCTTGAATTTCTTTGTTTAGATCTCAAACGAACGATTGAAAGAGCATCTAGTGAATTCATAACATCGCAAAATTCCGAGCTTGTCAACGGATGAATCAACTTGTCTCTTAGACAGAGAGAACTATATTTCTCATAGACATCAGTGATACTTAAAGACGACTTACTACACACGACCAGCGTGCATAAAATAGCCTTTTGCTGAAGACTTAGATCTTTTAAACGAGAGCTGGCAGACTGACTTAGGGCAGAAGTAGCACGAACTACATGAGCAATGGTGGCTTTCGGCAAGACATCTGTTGACATAAACACCTCTAATCCACGAGATTTTTGTTCGCGTTCCACTAATTCAATGGCATGTCTGCAAATATCCAACGCTTTTCGCAAGTCACCGCTTGAGGCTGCAACTTTTCGAGCGCAAAGTTCAATAGCAGATGGATGAATAAATGGAACTTCGTCGGAAACCTTGTCATGAAAAGAAGGTGAGCTATTTTCTTTTTCTTCCTCAAGTGTGTTCGAGTATGTATCTCCAGTTTTCTGTTGGACTAAGGCGCAACCCAACCTTGCCTTTATAATACTGGAAATCTCTTGAGCTGAATATGGAGTGAACGAAAGCAATGTTGGGATTATGTTTTTGGTTTGTAAACGAGGAAGGAACCGATCTGTCATATCTAGTGCATTCGCAATACCGACTAGGATGAGCCGGGACATGGGAAGAGAAGGCCATTCGAATAGCGTGTACAGAACCTGCTGTTCACGAGCAATAAGATGGTCCATTTCATCCAAAACGAGAATAATTGGAGGAGCAGAGGAAGGATGATCTTTGGTGAAGTACTCTTTTAATTGAGATTGATAAGTAGAATGGGAATCCTCTTCATCGAGAGTGCATTGTTTATCAAAAAGTTGATTGTAAACCCTTTCGAAAATCATCCTGGGTTCTGTGATGGTCATACAATTTACAGTGCACAGTCGAGCATTTTGAAACTTTTTTGTAATACCCTGCAACACTTCATTCACCAAAACAGTTTTACCAGTACCGGGCGCACCACTAATGTAAAGAGCAGCGCCCGATGGCTCATCCGTCAAATGTTGATTAAAAAACGATTCCAAAAACTGCATTTCCTTTTCACGACCTACAACACGGGCAGAACGATAGGATTTACGCAGACATGACTTTACTGGATTGTATGCTGAAGGAGTAGACGGTGTTGAGGGAGTGGGAGGAACTATTTGTCTATGAGGAGTAGCTTGCAAAAGACGACTAGTAAATGGGTTCGACTTATTCACACGATTCAAAGACCTAGGAGTCACGAGCTGAATTGTCTGTCTTGGGGTACGAGGTGTCCGAGGTGTCTTCGGTGTGGAAGGAAGTTCTAAGAAGTCTGGAGGTGTATTTTCCTTAGAGTCTGATACTTCTTCTTCTTCTTCACTCCTTTTGGTGTTTAGGTCGCATCTTACCTTTTTCGATGGTGTTAAACTTTCCAAGAACGGTAAATGGACTCTCTTTCTACGGGGTGTAGAGGGAACTTCTACAGCAAAGGAAGTATTATGAGTTTCATTTGTGCAATCATATAAAGCTTCCTTTGATTGAATTCGATTGCTTCGCCGACTAGGCGACAAACATCTTTCTGTGAGTTCATTAAAATTGGTTCCTGGATTCATGTCCTTGAATAATTCTCCAACAATCTTTAGGAATCCGTTAGAGACAATCTTTGTTTTCAAGAAGAGGTTTGTTTATCCTGAAGGACGTGTATTTTTAATATAAGAGAACACGACGCGTCGCGCTTTTTCATTTTTCATGGTTTCGTGTCGCGTGTCGCGTCGTTAATGTAATATGTGAGACGCGATGTGACGTGACGTGACGCGACGAGGGTAAGCGCGCGCCGAACTACTTTTCTATAGTTTGTTTACAGACAAACTAAAACTTACTAAAGCAATAAAACTAAAATAAACAATACAATCATTATAAAAAAGGTTTTAATTCGTATATTCTATAATGTCAGGTACTACTTGAACTGTATTTTTGAAACCGAAAACCCTCAAAAAAACTAAAGATATATCGCGTAGGAAAGGCTATCAAACCATAATTAGAAACAATTACGCTCGCATAAACATGGATCAATCATATCGACCTTACCTCAAGTTAAAATTCATATATCCATCTTGAAACAAGGGCATGAAACATCCTTTTCATATGTATGAAGCGCCGTCGTCCAGAACACTCGAAAGTATTTACATTCCCAAACCCTTTCTATTTCCCTTTTGATGAATTCCAGATATGTATTGCTGCTCCAACTGACGCTCACGCTCGTGTTCGAATTGACCCTTATTGTCCTTTGAAGAAGAGTCTTCTCCATCTCCGCGAATTCCAAGCATTTTTAAAAACTTGGACTTTCTCTGATTACCTCCAGATAACTTTGATGCAAGCCAATAGTCCTTGTTTCCATCATCGGACTTTTCCTTTGCAGCATTGGCTGCTGCTACCTTTTTGGGAGAACTTTCTTTCTCAGCAGCTTCTAAAAGTATATCAGCATAAGAACCAAGATGTTGAGCTTACGTGTTGAATTTTCCTTATTGTTCTTGCTATTGTTATCCTCCTGCTTCTTTTTCGCTCTATTTCTGTCAGCATTGTCGAACGTATAAAGCGAAAAGGTTTTCATACATGAGCTTTTTCACTTTATGTTTGAGCTTTTTATATTGCTTCAATTCATCTTTGCCTAACGATATCGATTAGTCAAAATTTCTTACAAAGTAGGAACGTACTCAAAGTCTTTTTTTCTTCAGACTTTAATTTCCGGAAATCAGAAACGCTGTTGCCCCAAATTGGAGCTTTCTTTTCCTTTTTGGAGACTTTTGAAGATCCCATGGTTAAGGAAGGTAATGGGTAGGTATCTGATATAGAAAAAAAAAATTCCTTAAGACAAGAAATGTGGAGCACGAATAGACGTAATTTGAAAGGAAATATACCAAAAAAGACACTTCGATCAGCCGTCGGCTTTTTTTGGCATGATTGAACTATGTGGGAATAGTGAAAACTCCTCCATATTTTCAACTAGCACCAGATCCCAAAGATATACTCATTTAAGACTCACCATTTTGTTTTTTATGGAAAGGATCCTTCACTGTCGAAACCTCAGACGGTAGTGTACCATCCACTGGTTGTTCTGTGGAATGACTCTCATTGCCGAATTCCTCTTTAGTTTTAGTATCCTCCTGTTCTTTAGATATTTCAGATTTTCCTTCTTCTTTGCCTTCTTTGTTTTTCTGTAATTCGGATCGCAATGCACTGATCATACTGTTTCGACTTTGCAATAACATGTCCAAAGTGCTCAACGATTTTGAATGATAATCAACTTCTTGTAAAGGAGGAAATCCAAGTGTCTTGCGCAAAAGATTAACAGTACGATCTTTAGCTATTACCTGACGAACCTTCTGATCCAAAGGATTGACAGATCGAGGCTGACGCTGTTGCTGCTGAATTATGGTGGCATGGACCCATGCCTCTTTCTTCTTATTTTCCTCTATATGTTTCTTATATTTTTGTATAGCACTTTTTGCTGTGTCCACTATGTGTTGGAATCGAATAGGTCCTAGTAGTTGACCGCCGTACCATCGAACACAGACTACGATCCCATAGACGGATTCTTTTACCAATGTATTTAAAAGTTTCTGCCCTGAATATTCTTCTCCGTCGTCGTTGTACGCTTCTACTTCACCTGGAAATCTCCAAGCCTGCATTTTATGATTACAGTGTTTCAACTCAGTGCATTCCTGAAACATAAACCGGTAGGAAGGGAGAAGTTTCGGGTCATCAGAAGGAATAAAATAACTCAAAAACGTAGAGTCTCTGTCTGTAATCAAATTCGACATGAATGAGCATTCTTGCAATGACTGATTGGGAACCGTTAAAGCCAGTCCTTGACCTCCAAATTTCAGCTGTGATTGACGTTGGGTCATTTCATTTCATCTAGAGCAAGAAAAAACAAATGCAAGGCAATTGAATGCCGATTCTGGTACTTCTCTTCACGATGGAGGAAAGCTAGGAACAATCTGCGATCAATTCCTTTTTCTGAAACTACCTGAACTCGTCCTCTCACAACTCCATTTCCTAAAACTTTGAGTTACTTGTTACTGAGAAAGAGCTATATTCAAAGGAAACCTTCGAATCCTCTCTAGATGTTGCCACGAATGATACCCCTTTCATGCTCTCTTGACATGGGAATTTCGAATGATTTTCTTTTAAAATAGTACCAAACATAGTCTTATGGAGAATTCTATTGTTTCTTCCTCTGCATCAAGCGCGTCAGAGTAAGAATCGGCGATTCATTTACCATAAGCCCCAAACCGTTGTATGAAACACTTTTATTTAATACGAAACTTTTTATACATATTTTTCTATTTACCTTAAAAACTTACATCTTTAACGATGCTCCTTTCCTCCTTTTGTTTCGTAGTCTATACCAACAAACCTGATCTCTACAGAAAACGACCAATTTGCGGAAATGGCTCTCAGAGCTCTAAAGAAACTGGCATACCCCATGCTCCCAGTGAAAGGAAATGTTTTAAATCCTCTTGGAAAATTTCAGCAGAATTTGTACGGTGGCTCGAAAGTTGAAGTTGGACATAACAAGATCCCAAAATTTGGACACAAGACGAAGCGAACATGGACGCCCAATGCTCATTATAAATGGCTTTACTCTGAAACTCTTCAAGAAAAATTCCATTTGCTAGTTACCTCTAAAGTATTGCGCACAATTGACAAAGAAGGAGGGCTCGACAAATACTTGATTAAGTCAACACCCGGAAGATTGAAGACACTAGGAATGCGAGGTACTGAATTGAGGGCTCTTGTAATTCATAAGTTAGGGGTTTCTAATCCCGTAATTGAACAGTTTCCTAAAAACATGGAAGCTCAGCAACGCTACTTGGGGAAAGTGCGCGACGTCGTTTTGAAATTGAACCGAAGCAAGAAGTTTTATCAGCAAATTAAGAGTTCTGTGGGTCAGGAAAAAGCCAAATCCGCTTTATAAGCTTGTGCTGACTGCTGATGGTTTCCCGGCTGTGTTTTAGTTTTTCCTTTAAAAAAACCTTTACGTTCTATTTCCTCAAAGACTAACTGCAACTTCCCAGATGTATCCATAAAATATCCCTGCAAACTAGGTTTTTGAGCCTCAACTTTCTTTTCATAATCTTTCGTCCCCTTTTTTAAAACGACAGCGATTTTCATAGGAATTCCTTTAAAACTATAACTTTCTCCTTTATTTCTCTTTTCTTTTTTTTTTTCTTTTTTTTTTGAAAAGCCTTCTCCTTGTCCTCGCTTTGTCAATATGCAGTATCGGCATTAAAAAAAAAAACTTCGCCAGCATGCTGAGGCCGTGGTACGGTTGCTCTTGCGTTTTAATTCAGCCAACGAATATTGAATTTTCTTACATGATAGTGATCGAGAATCCGCATTTCTGGTTAGGTATCGTCTTCTATTGCTCGAACTTCTTTATGTTTAAACTATGCTCCAACTACAAGCAACTGGACATACTTGGATAAATGCTGATCCAATGTAATCCTCTATAGCTGATACTTTTAAAACTGCAGGTTGCAATTCTTCACCCTTTCATTTTGTTTATTGCTTTTCAAGATACACCTATTTAGCGATATTTAGTGATATAGTCCGATATTGGACTAAAAGTATGGTAGAGTGCACTAAGTAAATTTGCGCACAAGTGATTCTATTCTTAAGAAATTATTTCTTATAGTGCTTTTAACAATCGTTATGATTGTATAAGAATGGTTAGCTACTTTTGATACTTATAATACCGTGTTTTACTGCAGCTCATAAATTGGCAAAACTGAAAGTTTCCTGGTTGGACCCTCTTTGAATTCTTTACCTGTCTTCACCAAGAGAAGCGTAGGTCATCACATTGGCGGTTTAGAGCCACTTTTCAAGCTTGATTTCCCTTTTACTTTGTTTTGCGGTAGCAAAATTACCTAGCTTTTTTTTTTCCGGCTAAAAACGACAACGGTCGCTTCCATATAGCAAAAATGTCAGAATCAATTCTTTTAGATGAGATTTTCACTGTAACTTCTGTTGACAAGCAAAAATATCAAAGAGGTAATTCTTAGCTTCGTGAAACGCGTTCTAATAGGCTTATAGTTTCTCGAATTACTGGCACGTCTGCGCAAAATGATATGGGCCTTACTCTTGATATCAACTCTCAGCTTTACCCATTGGAACAAGATGCTACATTTAGTTTGCAGTTAGCTAGTAATCTGAATAGTCAAGAGTTGAAAGACGCCGCTGACTATATCATGTACGGCAAGGTATACCGGGTTGAAGAAGCAAAGGACGATAAAATGTAAGTGAAGGTTTTGTCTATCTTTTAAATTGATATTAACAAATTAGCTCTGTATTTATCAGCTTTGGCGGCCTTCTCATGTCTATTGAAGGCTCTCATCGTAAACTGTATCGTTTATCTTTAGAGCATGTTTATTTACTTTTGAGAAGGTAGAATTGAGTGGGTTGTATAATCTTGTCAAAAATAAATAATTTTGGATGGTGTTAATTTATGCCTTAAACTTACGTACGAATTTGGATTTCTATGAATGTCTTTATGCTCAATAATTTATCAAACGTTTCCATAAAAAGGCTTCTATAAATATTTATAGGAAGCTAGGAATAATTGGCAGTGCTCTTTTTTTAGCAAACAGGTAGTAGGCAGGTGATACTGAAACAATTCGTGTGTGTTGTTCCTTCCCGTTAGCAGGATACTAACTCAGTTTAAAGTTGATACATCAATTACCTTCTACGATCAACATTTTACATCAATAGCAATTAAAAGCCATTCAATGAACTTCGTGTGCTGTTTCGATTCTTAGCGTTAACCTTCTGGCGAATATTGTTTTGTATGTGAAATCTCATAAATTTCATTAAATAATATCGTAAGAGTATCTATCATTAAGAAGGAATGACTTTTCCGCGTTTCAAAGCATCAAACGTCTCTTTAAATCCTTGGAAAGTATCATAGTATCCATGATAACCCAATTGACGAGCCTTGGTCATGGACGCAACCACATTGTAAGTTCTTCCTACCAAAAAGTCACAGAAAGCCCATGTGCCAGCATCCAAAAGATTAGGATCCAAGTTCTCGCGTTCGGCAATTTGTTTCCATGCCTTCTTTACTTTGTCTTGCTGTACCCATTTGGGAAGGGAAATATGGTTGATTAGCTCACTATTGGAGACGTTTGTTAGGCCCAATTCCTCTTGGTGTAGCTTGATAGGAGGAGGTGTAGGCAAAGTCATTTTGTTGCTCAAAGAAGACCAGTTATTAAATTGATTTTTAGGAACCTCTACACCAAAGTATTGAGCAATCTTTGGCCAAGTTCTTGACCAGCTATGGATGTCTCCGTTAACAATATTGAAACGTTCATTGCTGGCTTCGGGTTTCTGAGCAGCCCAAACTTGGAAATCAGCGATCAAACGAGAGTAGGAAATGTCATCAAAGCCTTTATAAAAAGTTTCGTTTCCAGGGAAATAGAATGGCTCTTTCAGTTCTTTGCAGATGAGTGCATACAGAGAAATCGTGAACGCATGGTTCATGTAGCTTCCTTGAGAAGCACCACAGATGTCATTAGGCATGGCAATTACATAGTCCCATGACTTTTTAGCACTTATTTCTCGAAGAATGTCTTCTTGGACGTAGTAAAAATTGGGAGCACCTGAAAAGCTTTCAGGCACACGGCCATCCGATTCTTCCATGGGAAGTCGTACAGCACCGAATTGAAGGCCATAATACTTCAGGCCAGTCGTTAAAACAATTCTCTTCAACGACTTACTGTTGCTCAGATCAAGACCAAGCACAAAGTTTTTCAGCATGGCTCCATTGGTCTTGCACATTTCACTTTCATCCGACTCCTCCTTATAGGCTGCATGGAAGGCATATGTAATATTTGTAACTCCCTCCTTCAGAAGGGTTTCCGCAACCTGTTCAGGAGTCGAATGAATTAAATCAATTGAATAGTGCTTAACTTTACTAGGGAATTGTTCTTTCAGCCTACGAGAGACGCAATGAATCTTTGTGCATTTGGGTTCTTCTAAGAGTCGATTAATGATGGCAACACCATTAATGCCAGTTGCTCCTGTGACAATTGCTTCAAATGTTCCTGTCATTTCTTGTCTTAGCTTGTTGAATATGAGTGGAACATTGGGATTTTTATAACTTTTCCAACTCCTCTGAGAGTAATGATATAACTATGTTTGTTGGTGTAAGAGAAAACTCGAACGACAACATTGCTCGTCTAGAACCTGATTTTTCAGTCATGGCAGTTCTATAGCCACTTACTCGACGTTCTACCGAAATTCAAATGACACAGGTGTTTACGCAACCTTTACATCAAAGGACGGTTTTACCCATAAAAAAAAATAGCTTAGTTGTGAAAAGTAATCGAAATTCCATAGAAAGTAACGAATAGATTAGTCTTTGACTTGGAAAGAAACATACTGACTTTCTCGATGAGTGAAAACCCTAGTGCGAATATGAATATGGCTATGATGGAGCCAGCTTTGTTAGAAGAATGAGAAAAAAAGGCGCAAAACACAAATAAAGTAATGAAAAAAAAACACTCGAGAGGAACCTTCATTTTGTCAATTGACGAAAGCCTTCTAATCGAACTCAGGTAACAGTAAACAAATCAAAGGAACATTCTGGTAACGATTAGGCAACAAATATCATTCCAAAAACATTTGGTGAAAATAGTAGAATAAACCAATAAAATGATACGGATTGATTCGTTTTTAAAGCCAGCAAGATTTGGGTATGCATTTTAAAATAGCCTCTCTAATAGCTTAAACAAGCTTGCTCAAAAAACCTGGATATTCCGCTAGAAACGGAGGTTGTACTAAGAATAGCAAGCTCGCTTGATAGGGCATTGATTCATTTTCAAAGAACAAAGGATTTCTTTGATTTTGGTCAACTCTTTTCCTTTTCTTGATCGTCCTATACACAAAGTTTAGTATTATTTACTGAATAAAAAATATTCACGTAATCATGAACGTAGAATGCACTAAGCTTTTTAGCGTGCACGCTTCATTATGAGAAACGTGTTAACAAAGCAGGCTTGGATGTCATTAAATAGTAAACACTGAAAAATTCATTTTTACCCCAAAACGTAAACAAACGCGAAACTTTGGTTTTTTAAGTTTGTTTCGTTTGTTTTGCGATTCCAAGCATCTTTTATCTATGAAAATACTTTAAAAGACGAAATTTAGAAAAGAAGAGCTACAAAATTAGGATCTGTCCGTTTCCCTATATAAGCTGTCAAAGAGTCGAGTTGTGTGTGTATACTAGCTTGTATGGATTTTGTTCTCGTTACAAATCCCCGTAGGAGGAAAAAAGGAACCGTTGGGAAGGGTAAAAATGTCTCAAAAAAGAATGCGGACATTGACAAAGAGTTATGGTCTCAGGAAGCTCTTGAAAAAAAATTGGCAAAAAACGAAGATCGATTTCACGTGGAAAGATATTTAAAAAAAATACGATCTTTACTTGAGCCACAAGCTCTCCAGTTTAACCATTGTCTGAGTCTTGGTTTAGGTCGACTTCATACGGTTACGGCTTCCTTGCAATTACAACTATTCTTTGAGCTTCAAAGTATTTTTAAAATTCCTTCCTCGAACTGTTCTTTTTATGATCCTGCTTTCTTAGAAGACGACATCCAGTTTCTACAAAACAAAGGCTTTACCATATTAAGAGATTCCCCAAAGCTAGAATGTCTCGAAAATACTCTGCTGTACATGCCTCATTGCCCTACTTCTTTATACGAACAATGGTTAGATGTTTACTCGAGGTCTGAAAAACAATTTTCCATGTGTGGTAATAATCTACAACTGTATGTGGACAATCTGCCATCTAAAGACATCAAATCAAAATACCCAAACATCTATAGAGTATGCCAGAAAAAACTATATACCCAAATTTTATTTCCTGAATTCTCCGAGGCATTCGCCTTTAATGATTTATCTTTCCATTTTCCTTACCCCCCTCAGTCGGATGAGCATCCAAAGAAGACTTTGCCTGAGAAGACACCGTCAACTGTTGCTGATGCTTCAAACGTTGCTGAGCACCCCAATTAACAAAATCATGAAAAATATTCGCACTGAAATGGCTCTTGCTTGGGTTTTGAATCCAGTTTGTAAAAGTTGACATGTATACGTTGAAAGCCTCGCTCAATTCAACTTTGTCAGCAAGTAATCGTAGGAATAGTTGAGATATACTGGATCCAGTCGCTCCTAAATTAGCTTTTTTACTACACAATTGGTGGACCTTTTTCAGTGCTTCAATCACATCCTTTGGCTCAGGGAGCTCTTTTGTCCAACGTAACTTGTTAAGGCGGTTACGAAAAACAGCAATTCCCTTTTCTTCCAACACTTTGTGTGTTGTCTTTGTAACCATTTCTAGCATAGGAAGAAGGAATTCGAATCCCAACCCACTGTGAGGTTGTGCTTTGTAATAGTTGTCAATCAAGTCAATCACCTTGACTTTGAACTGAACAATCTGCAATTTTGTTTCTTCCTCTCCCTTTTTCTTTTCCTTGTTAGATGCCTTCTTCTGTTCACGGAAAACTTCTGCTAGTTTGTCATCCAAAGCAAGCATTTGTTCATCGTTCATTAGTTCTTCTTCAGAACTTTCATCATCCTTAGCTTTAGCATCTGCATCTTCTAATACCTTATCCAATTTACGTTCAAGTTCTTCATCATCAGAACCTTGGTTAGAGACCATTTCCCAGTCGCTCCCCTCAGCTTCATCCGTTTCTATCTCTTGAAATCCATCCTCGTCCATATCCATTCCTTCACCTTCTTCTTCTTCTTCTTCTTCCTCTTCATCCTCGCCTTCCCCGGCGAACATTCCATCTTTTTCTTTTGCATTTTCTTTTGTAGTCAACACATCACAAATAAGACGTATGCTGCCACGGTTCATGTCCTGTGAGAATGAGGTAAAAAGCATATCCACAAGTCTCCGAAGTAGATGAGAAGGACGAGACAAAAGAGACAGCATGACTTCTGTTAAAATTTCCATAGAAGTAGGTTCCCCAGCAGACGTTTTCTGTTTAGACTTTTTACTGAAAACCCTGTAGTAGCAGTTGTCTAGATCCTCTAAAACCTCAATTGAGTCTGTGTCACCTGCGTAAACCTGTAGAAGTACTAATGAGTAAAGTAATTGAAAAGCCTGTAATTGTTGTAAGTGATCGCTCTGCTTGTTGAATTTTTTGGTAACTTTGTGGAGCACAGATAAAGACTTATCTAAAACTTCATTCACAGATTCATCCATTTGAACAATCAAAGCCATCTTTTTATCCTTAGCGTGGTCAAGCAAACTGTTCAATGCTGTAAACGGCCAGTTCTTTTTATTGAGATCACCGTCTTCCTGAGACACTTCGAAAGCACTATAGCTCAAGTAGCTTAATGCTGACATTAATCGCAAGCGAAACATGTTTTGAGTAGTTTCTGAGATTTTGGGACTAGCTTCATTTTCCGGAATTTCAAAATAACCATAAGTGATAAAAATATTGAGAAGCTCACTAACCCAACTGCTATGCTTTACAGATCGATTGCTGCGCAGAATATTCAGCATGGTATCAGTTACCCACTGACGTCTTCCTTCCACAGCCTTGGTATCAGATGCCATGTCTTTAGGACAACGCTTGATAAATCCCAAAAGCAAGTCGAATAGAGAAAGGATCCCTTTCTCTGTGGCAAGAGGAAGGATATGCTCTACCAGTTTAGTATTGGTAAGGCGATCAAAGGTTAGAGAGCCACGTTCTCCCAAAAGGTGAACAGCAATTGGGTATACTAGGTTAGCGTCATTTTTGCAAACCTTCTCAATTTTTGAAACAACGCGTCTTGCCGCCCGGTAAAGATAGCGCCCTTCATCACTTAAATGGTTGATGAAACAGTGCATAAAATTTCTAGAAAACAAAGTACCCACTGTAGAGCTACTAGCATAGTCTAAAGCTAATTCAATAATTTGAAGCCCCCAGAATTTGCGCTCCAATGAAGAAGTGGAAGCAAAGACGCCTTCATCTACCACAACGTTCCAAAAATTCTCAAATGGAGCAAGCTGTTCGTTCGAATTAGTTTTGTACTCGTTGAATAAGAAGCGCCAGACATATGGGAGCTTTTGTTTCCAAGCGCTATGTTGACCACCCATTTCCTGCACTTCCACTTGCCTTAAGACTTTCGAAAGAGTCACAAGATTGGATTTATGCAAGGGATAAACAGGGTCCCAGCCAGACATTGACGTAGGATGACTCTTGATGTCTTCCGGTATATGAGATAAGCAAAGGTATAAGCCCACACCTTCGGAAGATTTTGAGACGGCCGTTGTTTGTAAAAGCTTGTCAATAACGTCGTAAGCCTCAGAAGCATAGGGTAATGCTGGAATCTGCTTTACCAAGTCATATAAAACAAGGAAGCAAGTGTCCCGAAGCCAGCTTTTCTTCTCAGACAACTGTAAAAGTAAATCCACCATTCTCTGAAAGTCATCCTTGGAAGAGGACTGACGTTGGAGAACGCAGGAAAACGAGATAGTTTGCAAACCAAACAGCAAGCCAAAATAATAATCGCGTTCTTCTTGTCCCTTCAAATTTCCAGTGACAGTATTGTGCTTTACAAGCAGCTCTAACACTTGTTGAGCAGTAATTTCTTCTTTGCGTGTAATGATCTAAATATGATTAGTGCTTATTTTTTTTTACAAAAATTGAATTCATTTACCTCAGTAAGAGCAACCGAAAACCCTAAACGAGCGCTTTCGCGACCACTAGAAACACCTTTGGTCAATCGATTCAATGCATATTTTAATTCCTCCTCGCTAGCTATAGAATCGATCAATTCCTTTGCAGCTTTTAGTCTAGTATTTTTTTCATTTGAAACTAATGTTGTAAATAACTCTAATTGTGTTTTTGTCGCCATTTTTGACGATTTTACTCACAATAGAGGTAGTGGTAAAAAAGTGCTAGTCGAAAGTTTCTCCAAAAAAGGGTTCATGCGACATCGCAAATTTTTTCTCTAACCGATTTTATAAGACTCTTTACGTTTCGTTTCTTTTATTCTCTGCTTTCTCGGCTGAAGAGTGTTTTCCTTGCTTGTTTTTTTTTTTTTTTTGAAAACCATTCTAAAGCATAGCAGTCGTCGAAAAGGTAAACTTGGTAGCAGCTTTTTTATTTTACTTTTACCTATCTATCCTATACGAGAAAATGAAATATAAGGCTCAGAATAGGATTCGATTCTTCATTCACAATGCAATCCTGCGTATGTTTACTTATTGACTGAACTACTGTATTCATATTGTTCATACTTTCAAGAGATGGATTCCTTTCTTTTTTATTTTCATATACATGCATCTATGATAACCTTCTGTTTGCCGTTACGAATCATCCAATATGAGAATCAAGTCTTCATAGTTCGTTAGTGGCCTCTTCGGCTTTTAAGAGGAAGCGATAACGAATTCTTTTTACGGAAACGTGTACAGTGAATATATAGCCGAGTGTACAAGATTGAGCACTGCCAAGAGTCTGCATCAAAACATTGATTTCTATAAGGCCTTTTCATCTCATATCAAACGAAAACGACGGCTGTTTACCAAAATGTCAATCCTCGAAAAGAAATTAATTTGGAAACTATGAAGCTTTTATGTTCGTAACACCGACGAATGTAGCAAGTCCCCAAAGTTACTTTGATCCCTCTTCCTTATGTTTGCTAGACAAGAAGGATTCTCATTGTTTTTCAAAACAATTTACTTCATATTATAAATTAAAAGAAAAGAGTTACCCTTAACTCGCCTTCATGCCTTGCAATTGTTTAATTACTTTCTAACGATATCTGTATAGCGATATCATCTTAAACTTGTGATAAAACCAAAAAATGAAAGGATCCGCTGACAAGAGTAAGCCTTGAGAAATTCGCAGTTATCTTATTCTTAATATATTGTTTTAAAAAATGAATGAACTGTAAATACCAGTTGCCAAATTTCCGTCTTTCCTTGTCAACTATAGGACGAAAGCAAAGGAATACCCAACTTACAACTGACAAACCTTCAAGTAGAGATAATAGCATTGAAATAGACTTCACAAGGAAGCCTTTGACTATTCCAATTGCATACTCTTTGCCTCATTTGAGTCTCTAGTTTTTCCCTATTCATTCCCAAACAAACGCAGAATATTATATAGAAAGAAAATACGCAGAAAAAACGTTTCTAGAAAAGTTTACTATTATTTTTTTATCTGATTTACTTATTCGCATAAACTTTGTGGTCAGAAACATAAAAACCCACCTTTAGACAGAGAAGCAAAAGCACCATTGTTCATGAAATATGAAGATTCAAGATCTGAAATTTCTTATTCAAACTCTTATTTAAAAATCACTCTTTAAGCAACATTTGAGAATTTAAATGACCGCCTTTACCTAACTTTACTGCACGTAACGTACGGTCCTCTTGCCTTTAACACCAAGATCCATTGAAAAACTCATATTGGTATTCTGTACCGCTTTTAGGAGAGTATGGGAAATTGTGATGAACAAAAAAAGCAAAGATGGTATTACTTCAACAAGTTAGCGTCAATGAATGGGATTGCTAATTGTATGTATAGGGGAGGTCAGATCCTATTTAGTTTCCTGCTAATTGCACTGGAAAGTTTAATTCGTATTTGCACATTAATTCTGCCTTCTCCCTTACGAATTTGGTTCTATGAACAATCCAGAAAGTATACAATTGAATCACTTTTCTATGACAAGGAGATTTAACTGACTTTTGCTTAGAATTTACCTGCGGTTCCTTCCCGAGTTTATGGAAAACAATGAAGTGAGTCAAATGACTACAGCAAGAGATACCGTCGATTTATGCCAACTCCATGGATATGATTTGGAAGAACATTTTGTGCGAACCCCAGATGGCTACCTGCTTTGCGCACAGCGTATCTACAAGGTCCAAGATCAGGAAAGTATATCAAAGTTAGCGTATAAGCCACCTGTACTTTTTATCCATGGGCTGCTTATGAATTCCGAGATTTGGGTTTGCAACATCAAGAAAGAGGACTCTATTCCCTTCGCGCTCGTTGAGCAAGGCTACGACGTATGGCTAGGAAACCTCCGAGGGAACAAATATAGCAAGAAAAATGTCAAATATGGTTCTGAAAACCGGGAGTTTTGGGATTTCACTCTGGACAGCATAGCGATCTTCGATATACCTGCAACTGTCAGGTATATACTTTCTGTGAACAAATCCGATTCAGTCGGGATTGTTGGGTTTTCTCAGGGTGCTATCATGGCGTTTGCTGCATTGTCCATCGACACAGAACTTCGTAAATCTGTCCGGACTTTCATCGCACTTTCGCCTGCTATTTTTCCAAAGAAATACAGCAGTAAAACGGTTAATTCAATTATTCACTCTAATAGCCAGCTATTATATTTGATGTTTGGTACAAACTCGATGCTTGCATCTACTATTTTCTGGCAGGCAGTCCTGTATCCTCCGGTGTTTTCTAAAATTGTGGATACCTTTTTACGTTATTTTATGAATTGGAGTGGGAAAAATATCTCTGAAGAACAAAAAATCGTAGGCTATTCACATTTATATTCTTATACTTCAGTCAAATGCTTTGTACATTGGGCCCAAATTATGAAAAATAAAGTGCTACAAATGTATGATGACAGTCCTGGTATTAAACCAAGCTATTATACAAATTTGAATCGGATTGCTCGGTATCCTATTGAAAACATCCGGCTTCCCATTATCTTGATTTATGGTAGCGATGATAATTTGGTGAATATTGATGCTTTAAAAACTAGTCTTCCTCCATTGTCTCAGTGCGTTCAGGTAAGTTTCATGTTCTGGTGCGTTTTTTTTAACCCAATTCTTAGATCCCTCACTATGAACACTTGGATATGCTAATCGGCGATAAAAGAAAGGACATAGTCATCAATCAGGTAGCTGAGCAATTAAATCATATAGCAGCAGGGAATTATTTTGAGACTATTAAAGAGGAATTTGGGCTCGCATCTGATATAATTGACGGTTTGATGACTTCTTCATGAGCAAGGAGTTTTGAACTTATTGATGTGATGTATTCATTATTTATGTTTATTGCTCGCTGTGATACTTGTTTTCTCACGCTAATGTCTTTTATTATTTTGATCATTGTATTTATTTAAAAGTAATACACTTGTTTTTCTCGTATATTTTACTCGTTACGAAATTACTGAGCTATATCGGGGTAAATTAGAGTTCGAATTGTAAATCATAACAAAAAAGATATGCTAAATTAAGAGAGGAGGTTTTTAAGGCAAGGCATATTCAATTTGATGTAGCTGCCCGTTGTGTAACGTAGATGTTGCCAGCCGTATCACGCTTCCAAAGATCACCGTTAGAAAGATCTACTAATCTAAAAATGCGCTTCCCTGTTTGAGTCTCATCCACCGCAACCAAGCGGTCATTTTGTAAAGAGCCGTCGCCAGCTCCCTTGATTTTATTGTGACCCGAAGAATTGTTCTTGGCAGCAATTTCCTCCAAAGAGGGCCAACGAAGTGTCTTTGCAGCTTCTTCAGCAGTAAAAATATGATCCTCAGGTATACTTTTCCATAAAGGAGTTGCCCTCGATTGGATTGGAAGATCTTCATGGTCATTGAATTGGAGTCGGCTTGGTTCATTGCAAGCATTCACCATTCTTTCCATTACATTGGCGTAACTGGATAGCACAGGAGCGTTTTGACTTTGACGCTCCTCAAACAGATTTCTTAACTTTAAGATAGCCTCAACTCTTTGGGGACACGTTTTGTATTTTCGAGCAAGCACATCAATACTGACACCTTTGAGATACTCATCACTAATTTGCATTCGTGCGGAATGAGAAGTAGGACGCGCAGGTCGAAAAGTTGGATTTAATGGGAAGGGTTGATCCCGTCTTGGTCCCAATCCAAACCCAGATCCGTTAAAAGACTTTGCTTTCCTTACCTCAGGAGATTGAAGCCATTGCTGAAACGTGACCCTTTCTTTATCATCTCCGAGGTTTTTTGGTAATGAATTCAGGTTTGCTTTTGTTACATCACGCATTTGACAGGAAATATACTTATCAGTTTGTCTTTCTGAGTTTTCGGGATTCCGTCTTTCAGGAGATGCCTTAAACAAGCTACTTTTTGTGCTAAAAAACAAAATATTAGCTTTCAAATGAGTTCCTTTATAGTTTCGAATCTTTAAGAGCATTTTTACTGACTTGCTGAACACCCATCCAAAAGAAGTTGTGCACAAGCGAAACTAAGGTTGGTGGAAGGTTGGACATCCAAAATGACTGATGAAGACAATATCGACTATGAATGTAATACAAACTTAATTAATTTATTATTTTTTGTTAATAAAGTTATCAAGCTGTAAAAAAGCAGTAAACTTCTGATTTATTGGATCTTACAGAACGAAAAGAAGTTTTAACAAACCGATACAAAAACGTTGTCATCTCATTATAAAAGTGTTATTAAAAGAAAGTTTAAAAAGAAAATGGTATCTTAAGAAGAAGCGGAACCAAAACGATCGTCATTCATAAAATTTTTTAGCCATACATAGAGTGCCGTCTTGTCTTGAATAAATAAGTCCATGTCAATCATAAAGTAATTCATGGAAGAACATTGATTTGATATCCCATCAATACCTCCGTCGTAGTTCCTTGCCAACCTCTATTTCCTGAAGCCGTAAACATGAATCTACATGATGGATCAACATGCAAACCACTCACAAGCCCTCCGTGATGCCCAGGAACAATCAAAAATCCAATTCCAGATTTGCTTTGAAGATCATACAAGCGAACATTGTCAAAAGAAGCAATTACCAAATGTCGACCATTAATCATGGGACAAACATTCGAGACAGGTCCTGAATCAAGTGGCATTTTTAAAGATCTTACGGGGCTCGTTCCGGAATGGATGTTGAATTCCTCCACAATTCCATTCCTACGGCCAACATATATGCTGCTGCCGTCTACACCCCAGCATGCAGACATAGACCATGGAGGAACTCCTTTTGGTACGGGATACTTGATGACCGAATCTGGCATACGATGATCCCAAACATTCATTACTCCATCTATCGAAACTGTCAAGAAAACATTAGGATCTTCCATAGTTGTTCGATTAAGGTTTGTAAGAGAAGTGTCAGAAGAGGCGTTATTTTCTTCTGGGATGAGTTTCTCTTTCTCCTTCTCTTTATTTAACGTTGTTTGTTTTTCAGTTTTGTTGGAGTTTCCAGCATTTTCTTCAGTTTCTTCTGGTGCTTGCATGGATTTTGTTTCTTCGTCTATAGCCTTTTCTACTTCTTCATCAAAATCGTCATAGGATCCATTGCTTGAGGGTGTTCCAAATAAGCTTCTCATATCATCAGAATCAGTTCCCAAAGAAGTGGGCACTTCAGTCGGGCGATATTTTATTCCAGAAATTTGACCGCATTCCCCAGCATATGAAGAGATCACGCCTCCTGTATTTAAATCCCAATTATGGACCACTTTGTCCCAGCTTCCGCTTAAGACTTTTTTTTCAGACGGATGAAGCGTCAAACAAGATACAGGAGCATTATGCTTTTTTAGAGATGTTACTGGATATCCTTCCTGATGTCGAGTTGAATACAAGACAATGTCTCCATTATCAATTCCAGAAAGGGCCCAGAGACCTCTTGAATGCACAGCTAAGCTGTAAACGGGAGAAGGAGGCTGTTCATCGTAACCATTTCCCCAGTAATTCAATAAAATACCAGCCTATGTAAATGTTAAGATAGACCATTAAAGTATACTTACCTTTGTGACAGTATCAACGAATGGATGCCTTTGAGCGACCGTCAGAGACAGGTCACCGTTAATACTTGGAAAAAAGTCATATTTTCGAATATAACCATCTTCCCCACCGGTGAACAGCCATTTCATATCAGACGTAAAGGCAAAGGTGTTCACATTTGTGGCCATAGGAATAGCTAAGGTTGGAATAATATCATAAAAATCAGCTTTGATCGCTCTTTCCTTCAATTTTTCTATAGGATCCTCGTCAAACTTTGAATCTTTTTTCTCTAACTTTAGGTCTTCCTGTTCTTGTGTTTCTTCTTCGTTTTCATCTTCTAACTCGTCCGCATCCAATTCTTCTTCGCCGATTTTTTCGGCTTCCCCTTCGTCTCCTTCCTCGTCATCATCCTGCTTTTCTTCTTCCATTTCAACATTTTCGTCTTTTTCTTGATCTAAATTCATGTCATCATCTTCTTCCGGCGATAATGCTATTTGAACGAGTTAATAATTTCCTTCTCAATCTCAGTTGAGTTTACGAACCATCTGAATTCAATACCATCGAATAAGCCGCATTCTCATAAGGTGCAGGATTTTGTACTGGATTTGGATTTGAGGACATGACGGTCGAGATAGCCGACTATGTAATTTTTTATTGTCACCAGGCCTTTATTTACAGAACGATTTCTCCGTAACGCGTCCTTCTTGAAGTTTATCCTCTTTAACCATTAACAAAACTTTTGGATACAGAAAAACTTCTCTATGAAAATTAGCAATTGATAAATCCTGCCTTCATTGGAAGCTGACAGAATAAACCTGTGTTATAAATGAACTTGGTAGAAAAGAGGAAGTATATCATCATAAACAGAAGTATCATAGTAAATTCCGGTTTGTGTTATGAAAGTTATGCTTTGCTCATCTATTGTTTTTTTTTTTCACTTTTTTTTTTTTGGAAAGTTTAAAATTTATTGACTTAAAAATGCTTACCTCGTGATGGAACAGTACTTTCAAGAAAGGTCTCTAAAGGAACAATAAATCTATATACTTGCACTCTTTGATAACCAGAGTCTCTTTTATGATATACATGATGCCTGATTCATTGTTTCTCATTACTCAAGATCCAAAGGAAATGTGAGTGTTGCTGATTGAGACGCTGAATGGAATTCAATTGAGCATCTAGTTATAATGTCCAAAATTAAATATTGTCAGTACCCTCAAGAAACAATTAAGCAGATAATAGCTTTTGTAATTTCTGGTCTTGGCTAGTAAACTTTGAAACCATTTTTCCCGAAAGCTGTAATAGTCCCTCAACTTTGCTATCATCTGCTAAAATTTTAAGTGTTTCCTCAGATACCCGAGATTGAATACGCTTTAACTCACTTTTAGACATCTTATTAATTGCTTCACAACACTAGCACCAGTTAGTTTAGCTTTCACCTTGGATCTAAATCATACCTGTCTGATGCCGTACCAGGCATGGAAGTATGCTTCACAAATTTCCACAGCACGACAATAATGCTTGAGGGAAATCCATAGGTGTATGGGATTGCTCCTACTCATCACATAATGCAAGTCCGCAAGCTTTGCAAAAATCCGAGGCTCAAAAGGTTGCAAAAGAAGCATTTCTTCATAACAAAAAGCAGATTTTTCATACGCTTCTACAGAAAAATATAGATCGGCCAATTCGGCCCATGCCTCAATGTCGTTGTAGAAGGTATCTACATATTCTATTAATCCGTTTATGCATTCCTTTAATTTTCCCACCGAACGTAATAGCGATAGCTTTCGTTTATGGATGATCTATTTTTTAGTAGGTCAGCAAGAATTGGTGGATTGTAAAGTTACCACATACCGTATTCGTTGAATCTTCAAAAAGCTTTTGATTATAATAATCCAATGCATCCTCAAAAGTAGAAGTAGCTTCCAAATACATTCCGTAGAGTCCGTCCACTCTAGGAGATTTATTAAATCGGTCGTTTAGGCGGTTCCAGCATTTCTTTAGTCAGGGTTAGAAGATTAGTCTTAAAGCCAATTCATTTTTTTTAAGAGCTATTTACCTTTGCAAGGGTGTCTTCTTTCAAAATGAGAGCAGCAACAAATACTTTTTGGTACACATCCCATACAAGATCTCCATATTTATCCAGCTTGGCAGTAGATTCTTGCCCCTCAAAGACTTGCAAAACCTTTTGCGGGTCCTTTATTTCAGAGATTTCCAGGATATTTGCTGACATATTCATGAACCAACTAGTACTAACTTTCGTATTGATTAATTAGTATTCCTCAAGAAAATGAATAAAATTAAAATTAAAGAATATAAATATGGATGATATTGGCTTTGCTGAGGAAAATGGGTAAATTGGTTTAAGGGCACGCTATTACAGAGGTGGTCTCAAAAAGCCAAAGATAGAACCAGTTTTCACATCTTATAAATTATATGCATTTGATTCTCTTGAGTAATTGGTACCGAAGAAGCTTTCAAGAGCTTCATACCCCAATTCAAACCAAAGTTATAAGATGATGTTGTATTTTTTGTAGAACACTTATTTGTTTACATTCAGAATGCACTTGAGTTTCAGCTATCTAAAAAGCACAAGCAAAAGGACTAAAGTAATATATCATTACTATGAGGAGCTAACCAATCCTTCAATCCGTAGTGCTTTCCTGCAGTATTGTCGTTTTTTTCAAGTGCTCTTCTTGTATGTACAATTCCGAGCGTAACCTCAAAAAAATTAGGAACAGAAGCCACTATTGCAAGGATGAATTGAAATTTGTTAAGAATATCCACTATAAATTGTGGTAAACCCACTTTCGAGTGTTATGCTATAAACAGGATGCCACAGTAAAATTAAAGAAGCAGTATGCTTTCATCAGCTTCATCGTTCCCTAATGCCAAGACCTTCTATTCATTAAATTCAATGCTTTGAATAGTTTTGAAGCTGTTCATGACTGAGACAGTAGGGTATTTTTATTCGCGAGGAATCTTTTGCCGTAAAGATACTCCTCAAGGTCTGAACTGGGACATGCAGAGACATATAAAATGGGCATACGGGATCCTATACTCTAAATGTTGTTTTTCATGTTGCAGAGAGATGGTCTTCCCAGAGAACGGCTATAAAAAACAAACTCGACCAAAGAGGACACAGAAGAAATACAGTTCATTAAAAAAAATTCTTTAGCATAGAATAACCATCTTTAGAAGCGATATACAGATAGAGCGCCTTCATATAATCACTTAAAACGAAGGGCGTAGAAACTGAAACTTTGCTTTCTTCTCCTTTTTGTAGATTTTTTTTACTTCATTTGATATAAAAATTGGCTTCGTATCCCTCGTTTCTTCCTGAATTAGATATACCAAACTTTCGCATCTCGCATACATACAATCCCCAACACAAAATTGATCTAAAGTATATGTTTTCTAGGTTATTTTGGCCAAGAGCTTCCAATTACTTCCGGAATTCTTCAAGAAAGGGAATACCTAAACTTTTTAGCGTGCCTCGCGCCAAAACAAATGGAAAATTCAGAAAGCCAGTCTTTGTTGGTGCAGGGATCACATTGATGGCCTCTGTGGCCTTGGTAGATTTTGATCCTCTAAAAAATGCTAGTGTCTCTTCAAAAAGAGCTTATAGAGTAGTATTAGCTGGTTTCCTTTGCTTTTCAGATTACAAAAAGGTTCTGTCCAGTTCATACGCTACGGAAGAAAAACGACAAATAGCGCTCAGTCAATGTCATCAGCGGTGTGCAGAACGATCTTTAAAGGTATTTGAAGAAAATGGAGGGATTTTTATCAAGGTCGGACAACACTTGTCTGCTATGAACTACATTATTCCGAAGGTAATATAAAGAAACGCGATTTGTTTCATCAACCATATGGTGCTTTGTCTATAAGCTAAAGGGTGCTAACTACTTATTTATTTAGGAATGGACTAGTACTATGGTCAAGCTTCAGGATCGATGTCCTTCCACATCCATTGAAGATGTTGATCGTCTGTTTAAAAAAGATACAGGAAGTAGCCTAAATGAACTCTTTGATGAGTTTATTCCTGAGCCTCTGGGCGTGGCAAGCTTGGCACAGGTTCACAAGGGAAAACTCCGTAATTCAGAAACATGGGTTGCGGTCAAAATTCAACATCCCTCAGTAACCCAAAACTCACCACTTGATTTAGTAATGACTCGGTGGGTGTTTCGAGCAATCAAAACTTTCTTTCCCGACTTTAAACTGACGTGGCTTGCCGATGAAATGGAGGTTTCGCTTCCTCAAGAGCTGGACTTTACCAGAGAAGCTATAAACGCAATCGAGACAGCAGAGCATTTCGATCAAATTTCTACTTCTCTTTACGTTCCCAAAATTATCTGGTCAAAGCCTAGAATTTTGGTGATGGAATATGTTACTGGAGCCCGTATAGACAATACCGAATTTTTTGACCGAAATCACATCTCAAAAGACCTTGTTTCTACCGATTTATGTCATATTTTTAATGAAATGATTTTTGGAAAAGGTGGTCATTTACATTGTGACCCTCACGGTGGGAACGTGTTTATTCGGAATAAGCCTAAGGAGTCAAAGTCGCCGAGGAATTTCGAAATTGTATTGCTTGATCATGGGTTATATCGAGATATTCCAAACAAAGTTCAAGTTGATTACGCCAATCTTTGGCTAAACATTATTGATTTCAATGAAGAAAAACTTAAGATTTATGCGCAAAAAGTAGCAAACGTATCTGAAAAAAACTTTCCCTTGTTTGCAGCCGCCATTACAGGACGACCTTACAAAAGCTTGAAGGATTTACCCATGAGCGGGAGAGAAAGAGAAGAAGAGCAAAAAAAATTTATGAAAGTTATCCAAAGAGGCGGTATGCTTCAAAGTATTATTAATTTATTAAGCAATATGCCTCGATTAACGTATGTATCTGTTCTCCAATTGTTTCCTTGTTTTGCTAACCTGAAACTAGCCTTCTCTTAATGAAAACCAATGACTTAGTCCGCTCATTAGATGAAAGTTTACATACTCAAACTGGTTCTGAAAAAATTTACTTAATTATGGCTAGGTATTGCTTAAGTGCAATTCACAGGGATCGGATGGAATCGTTGTGGAATTCTCAATCCCTTTGGGTTACCAAATTGCTAAAATGTTCGCTTTACAAAATTAAATATTCTTGGAGCATGCTAAGGTTTTACCTAGCTGAAGACTATTTTTATTACAAGCATAAATACTTTTGTTGAATGTCTTGTCAATTAAGGCGTATTGTTAAATACATATACCCACCTAGCTCAGGATAATACTTTCGTTTATGTCTCATCTAAGTCTCTTGACACTTCACCTTTCTCTTTTTTATATAGTAATATCATCAATTAATGTTTCATTCTCGAGCTTTCAACTGTTTTAGTTTACCAAACAAACTTGTCTTTTACCCCTTCCATATTAACTAGATGCAAGATTCAAATTCGTTTGACGTTATTCTTTTAGGAACAAATTTAGTCAATTCCATATTATCTTCGTACGTAAATATATTCATTTTCTTTCTTATTAACCATAATGTTCATATAGAGCCTGTTCATGGGCAAACCTAAAAGTCCTTCATATAGATGAGAATCCGTTTTACGGAGAAGTTGATGGTTCATTTTCTTTAAGAGATATAATTAATATCTCAGAAAATGGAAATTTAGAAGTGGGAAACCTCCGTATAAAGCGCTCCGGAGATGATGCTCTCGCTTTACAAGATGTCAATATAGAAGTTTTAGAGAAGGGTTTGCTACCGAGTTTTAAAGGCTTTACCATTGAGCTTATATCGAAAGAAATGTACGCTGGTGGAAGTTTAGTAGAATTGCTCTCAAAAACTAAAATATATAAATATCTACTATTGAAGCCTCAAAGAAGCTTTCGACTTTATACCTCAGACCAGGTATGGACGAAAGTACCTGAGTCAAGAGCTGATATTTTTAATGATAAAACTCTACCGCTTACGCACAAACGAATGATCATGCGCTTCATGAAATTTGTGTCCTCCGTTGATGACAATCAGAATCAAGAAAAATTGAAAGAATGGCTTTCGAAGCCCTTTCAGGACTTCTTGAAAAAAAATTTTGAGCTCCCCAGAACTATACAAGAGGGTATTGTATATGGATTATGTCAATCCTTGGATTCAAATATTTCCACCCAACATGCTCTGGAAAAAATCAAAAAGTACTATCAATCGTTCGGAACTTACGGTGAATATTCTTACTTGCTTGCCATGTATGGTACTGGGTCTGAATTATGCCAAGGATTCTGTCGCTCATCGGCTGTCATGGGCAGTACATTCATGCTCGCTCAAAAAATCAACAAGGTGGAAGCTACTTCTGTCGAACTAGGAGAAGGGGAAAGAGTGTGGGCCAACAATGTTATTACGTCGAGACCAATGAAAAGCGCATCTAAGTCAGGCATAAACATTCGTCAGCGATGTATAATAGTACGTGGGAAATGTCCTGGACTGTTTCACCAAAATCTGTTTTTACTTTCTGAAGCCAGTCAGATCCACTTTGTACCTTATTCTCTAGGAGACAGATTTTCCAATAGCGTTCAAGTCAGAGCTTTAGGAGCTGGAACTGGTAATTGTCCAGAGGGTTATACTTTATGGTATTTGCAAACACTGGACTGTGAAGAATACTTCGAAGTATTTACTTTGGCAACTAACAAGCTCCTTGAACTTTCACATTCAGAAGATACAAAACCCTTGATGTACGTTGATGTATTGATTGACCAAAATGATTTGGCAGATTACGATGTTGCTGTTGAAATAGCTAAGCAATTGTATGAAACAATTACAGGTTCTACGGATACCTTTTTTCAAAGAGATACTAGTTTTGATGACGACGACGAATGATGATAACATGAGTACCTTGATGAAGTTTAAGAAAAACGGGTTGTATATAAGCTAATAATATCCTGATCAGTCATTAAAACAATACATATAAGACGCTATACCTTCGCTAAAGATTATCTTAAATATGCTAAAAATCGAAGAGAAGAGTGTCAAGTTGAAATACTTTTAAATAACTCGTAAAAAAATGGAGGGCTAGGGAACAAATGAAATAGAATTTTTTGAAAATCCTTATTTCATTTTAAATGGATCATCGGAGTCCATATCAACGTTTACTCGAGGACCAATATAATTCTTTCTAGCACCAGACCACCAGTATACAAGGCTAAATAGTAAAACACCTGCAAGAACAATAATAGCATAGTTCATGTTCTCAGGAGTTACTGGACGGATATTAGGCATAACAAAAATAACAGACACAAATGAAGTCCATGCTACCGCAAAAGCATTAACAGGCATCGATAGCCATCCCAAATTCCAAGGACCATGTTTATAGTTCATTCTTTTACCAAAAATTAATCTGCAAGCAATTGGGATTACATAACTCCAATCCAATGCAATGGAAGTTACGCTGAAGATAGCCTCAATGGCCTCAATACTGCCAAGACCAATCAAGTTTAAACCAATACAACATAAAACGTTCAACCATACTGCAATCACAGGAGTAGTCGTTGTTTTGTTAATTCTGTACCAATAACGAGAAAAAGGAAGAGCTTGATCTCTTGAAAGCGCCCAAATTGTGCGAGCGTTTGCCTGCATAGAAGTTACACCAGTGAAATTGAGAATAACAAAAGCAAAGATAATAAAGGCTAAGCTTCCGTTTTTACCGAGAACATCGTAAAATATTTGAGCAACGGGTTGCCCAATAGAAGACTGACTGAGACTAGCAAGGTTCGTTCCCATAACAAAAACGAGAACAATATTAAATATCCATCCCAAAAAATACGTCAAACTTAAAGCAAGTGCAATGGCCTGAGGTGCACGAACAGCAGCATTTTCGATTTCCTCGGCGATATGTGCAGTAGCATCATAATCAGTCATAGACCATGCTACACTAAGAAAACCAAACAGAAAAGAGAATCCAGTTGGCTTCCAACCACTAGACGGCTCTACGCTAGTAAATACGTACTTTCCAGTGTTGAAATGCTTGCACATTGCTAACAAGCAAATGATACAGATAAGGAGAACTAGTAAGTGAAAGGCAGCATAGAACCGGGTAATACGATCAAGCCAACGAGTAGACAAAGAGTTGATGAATCCATGAAACATAATAATCGCAGCCATCACACCTACGACATGACGATTTGTGGGCTGATAAGTCATATCTTTAGAAACGGACACAGCAGAAAGCAGTAGCTGTGCGCAAGACCAATCGGTGCTACTTACACCAGCAACCTGACCCAATAAGTTAAGCCAGCCTACTACCCAAGAAACAACTGGCATGTAGTTTGGTGGTACCAAATTCTTACATGTAAAGTAGAGTCCACCTGATGTAGGATAAGCAGATACAAGTTCTGCAACCGAAAGAGCGATACACATACAACCAACACCGCCAATGAACCAGCTCCAAACGATAGCGGCAGCACCACCGGCAACCAAAGGATAAGAGAAGGTAGTGATAATTGTGGCATATAACCCAGAAATTGAAAATGCAAATGAAAAGGTAGCCCAGGTTGAAAACTCCCGTTTAAAAACGGGTTTATATCCCAGTTCAACTAGCTTATCGTCTTCGTTTAAAGACGAATCACCCAATTCCTCCACAATTGGCTTTAAAGGCTTCAAGTTTGAAGGGTCTTTTTCCTTGACAGCGTCAATGAAAATAGTACCGGATTGTGCGTCCATAACGATGAGTCTCCTTGAGTCCGATCTTGTTTTTTTTTTGTTTCCTTCCAATTATATTTTCAGAAGTGAACCCGAAGATTATGAATATAAAAATTAATATACGAGATTAACTATGCAAGAGATCCAACCAACTTGACCAAAAAGATTTGATGATGGATGAATAGATGTGTAATGAAAATTCAGATATCAAGTAGATCTCTCTAGAAGTAAAGATTTGGAAACATAAATTTAGCTTTTCAACAAGTCTTTCTCAGTTGTATCTAAAAACGAACCAATTTCGAAAAAGCAGAGGTCGTTTAAATTAGAATTCGTACTAGCGGAGTTTAGTATGAATTTTTTATAACTGATTCATGCTTCGCTTCGAGCTGTCATTTAAACGAGACTGATTTCCACATTTTCATTTTCATTTTCTTCACAATATCATTATATGCTCAGAGCAATTGAATCAGTCTCAGTCAATGCACATCAACAAATATCTTCTAACTCTTCTGTAATATGATACAGAAAAATTGATCTTAGTCAAAATCAAAACGCCTTCATTGAATGAATATTCATTCTTCCTTTCATAGGAGTTAAGTTATTTCCTTCTTTGCTAGTCGCGAGCTCAGTTAAATTGATACAAAGACATCGTAACACGAGAACGCGGCGTCTCAGCTTAAAACTTATTCGTCAATGTTTTAGTGTCTTTTCTAGACAAAACAGTTATATAATATTAATAATTTGAGAATCTCATCTCCTGATACCGAAGTTACAGATTTGACTGGTGGTTTCATATTCCTACTACTGCAATTTCCAACATCCACCTATAGTTTAAGCAATAAAGGGTACGAAGCAATAACAGTTTCCGTTTTTGTTGAACTTACTTTTAGTAAACTCATTTTTTGAGGTTTTTATACTTCAACTCCCAGGTCTAAACGTTTTCCAAAGGCTAAGGTACTTTGAGCTACCTTGACATATACAGGTAGTAAAAGATCCTTTACTATTACTTCGGAAATCAAGCGAGAAATAAGTTATTTATAAAGGATCGACTATCATTTTGTGAACGGCTTTTATAGACTTGCTCGCTCAATATGGCAAAGAAAAAGTCAAAAGCAGCCAGTTCAGCTCGTGGATACGCAACGACCTCAGTCCCTTCTCGTGCTACTCCTGTCCCAAAAAAAGCAGAAAATAATGATACCAAGAAACCGTCCAAGGTGGATGCTGTCAAAGAAACTTCATTTGCTGCCCCTATGAATGACCCTGTCAACAATGCGCTTCATGAAACAAATTCTTTTGATGACCTCCTTACAGAAGAAACTTCACCGTTGATGGATACTGAGTTAGAAAAGTTGAAATCTACAGCTTTATCAACTTCCAAGTCTTTCTTGCATACATGGCAAACTGAACTTCGCCTTCGAAAGAATACAAACATTATGAGTTTTTCTGACGACGAAAGTAAGCTTATTTTTGATTCATTCCGTAATAGCTGGATTGACTCTCTAAAAAGCTCTGCTAATCAGTCAAACTTAATGGCTTATCCCTCAAAAAAGCGTTTGTTATGGTCTACATATTTATCCTTGCTAGATATGGGGTTCAACGGAGATCAGATTCTGGATGCCTTTTCCTCCCTTCCAATTGTTTCGATAGAAGATTATATTGCCTGGATTGTCACTGAGCCTGCATCCCTTGAGAATCCTTCTTCTTTTAACTACGAGGTGCAACCTACGAAGTATACGGTGTTTTGTAGACAATTGGACGAGCCTTTGCCTGCAGTCCCTGTTTCCACTTCTGGTAACAAACGGCTAGCTCCTTTGATGACTAAAAAAGAAGAGCCAATAGAGCCTTCACCGATAGTCCCAAAGCCAGAGCCTCGTGAGCAGGATGAAAAGGATTCCAAAGATGGCGATGCATATTCCATGACTAGCTTACTTCAACAAATACCCGAGGAAGAGGATATGCCAGGGAATGATCCCTATGAGCTTACCACTCAATATGTTAAAGTTAAGATGAAGTTGCTGCGACTTCAGCTTATGGGACAAAAGGACTCAGATGCTACGGATATACTCCGGTCTGAATTAGAGGGCATAACGAGTCAATATCTATTCTCCTCAAAAGAAGCTGAATCAGTTCTCAAGAGAAAGCGTGGAGAGTTTATGTCAAAACTAAAGGCTCTGCAAGCAAAAATCGCTAATGAAAGAGCTGTTAAAGCACTTCAAAATCAAAAGTCTGCTGAAGAGGAACAGGCTACTGAAGAGAATAACACTGATTCTAACGATGAATCGGATCCAGATCAGGTGCATAATGAGTCTGCTCATGAGGACCAGCAAAGCAGGATAGATGAAGATACAGACCTTGTGGGCGGCTTATTCAATGAGCCTGAGGAAAGTAGTGTAGTTGTTGATAACAATCAGAGTAATTACACTTACTTGCCATTGTCCATGGATCGATCTGGTACCCGGCCTTCTACTACATTACAATATGAACTGCACAAGTTAGGTAATAATCTTCATGCTGATTATAAAACATATCCTATTGGTCATCTTGGTTGGCAATCAATATGCTTCGTTAAATGCCCTACCGGACAAAAGACCTTTATGGATGCTGAAACCGTTTTGCCCAGTCCTGTTTTAGCTTCAGATTATATTGCTACTCTTGTGCTCTTTAAGCTTGTTTCTCCTTACACAAAGCTGAGTGTTACAATGTTTCCTAAGAGCTTCAAAGATTTGTTTGAGAAGCTTTCAGATGAGCAATTGAGTGCAGTAAAGCAAGAAGATATGAAAATATCAGAAAATTTGGAGGTTATTCTAAAATCTAAAGGACATCAGAATACGGGTGTCCAAAACAAGATAGGCTCTAAACCTATTGATACTACGCAAACTAAGAGCACTATACATCGTCCACCAGAAAAAATTATAGAAGAATGGAACCGCCAATTGCACAGCAGCAATGCAGAAAAATTCCGTGATTTTCGTAACCAGTTACCTGCTTCTCAGTATAAAAACGAAATTTTGGAAGCTGTTAAAAATAATCAATTGCTCATTGTTTCTGGTGACACGGGTTGTGGTAAAAGTACCCAGATTCCTGCGTTTTTGTTAGAAGATGCTTTATCACAGGGTGAACACGCTAGAATTTATGTTACTGAGCCAAGGCGTATTAGCGCTGTTTCCCTTGCACAACGTGTTTCTCAAGAGCTAGGAGCGCATTCGCCTTCGAATCGCTCTCATGAAATGGTGGGTTACTCGGTTCGACTTGATTCAAAAAGTACTTCGTTCACACCATTAGTTTATGTGACAACGGGTGTTTTCCTTCGTTTACTTGAAGTTGGCGACGAAATTGAGTCTGTTACTCATTTAATTATTGATGAAGTACATGAACGCAGCATTGACTCAGACCTTCTTTTGATTCATGTCTTGCATTTATTGAAAGAATACCCAAAGTTAAAAGTCATTGTTATGAGTGCTACCTTGAATGCTGAAAAATTTCAGGCTTACTTCAACGGCAGCAGTTTGATTAGTATTCCGGGTAAAACATTCCCCGTACAGAGATACTTTTTGGAAGATATTATGCAACAATTCCATGGTGATATATCTCTTGGAGAAAATAGCGCAGAAACAATTGACGAAAATGATGAATATGATGTTGAAGAAGGAGAAGGAGAGGATAAGGATTCTCCGGATTCTGAAGCTGTTGTTCAAAACCCAATTCCGAAGTCTTATAACGAGAAAGTCATTAACTATGATTTGATATTATTTTTATTGAAGTACGTTTTCACTGAAGGTAATCCCAAATACAGTAAATGTGTTTTGGTGTTTTTCCCTGGTATATCAGAAATTTTGCGAATGAGGTCGCTTATTGACGACGTTCCCATGTTCCAAAAACATAAGGATTTCCGTATTTACATTCTACACTCTTCGTTATCCTCTGCACAACAACAATCCGTCTTTGAGATTCCACCTCGTGGATGCCGTAAAATAGTTTTGTCTACAAACATCGCTGAAACAGGTGTAACTATTCCTGACGTTACTTGTGTTATTGACACAGGCGTTCATCGAGAAATGCGTTATAACAGTAAGAGGCATCTGTCTCGTTTAACTGACACCTTTGTTTCTCGTGCAAATGCCAAGCAACGTAGTGGACGTGCTGGCCGTGTCCAGGAAGGTATCTGTTATCATTTATTCTCAAAATATAAACACGATACGCAGTTCTTGTCATATCAAACTCCTGAGATGCTACGACTCAACTTGCAAGAGGTTGTTTTGAGAGTGAAAGTGTGCCAGATGGGAGAAGTTCAAGATGTCTTAGGAAATGCATTAGATGCTCCTTCTTCTACTAACGTTGGTCGAGCATTGGAAAAACTACAACAACTTGGAGCCATTGGAGAATTTGAAAGGCTAACTAAGTTAGGTAAATACCTTGCTCAATTACCACTTGATGCTTCCCTCGGCAAATTACTGGTGTTAGGCTGTTTTTATAAATCTGTTGATGCAATTGTTTCAATTGTCGCTATGATCACCATTGGCTCTCCATTTCGCAAACCGGTTGGACTTGAGTTTGCGGCCAACAAAGCTCGTTTATCGTTTGCGAAGGAAAATACTAGAAGTGATCTACTATTAATGTATTACGCATACTATGCTTGGAGAGAAGTGTGTCTCAATAAACTAGGTCCAAGTGAAAATGAGTTTTGTAGAGAAAAATATTTGAACGTTGAATCTTTGAGCATGGCTGAGTCATTGAAAATACAATTATTGAATGAGCTGAAAGATATGAACCTGATATCTGCACCATTTATTGATACCTGTAAAACTGCCAAACGATCAATTTGTCGTCGCTTTGCAGTTGTTCCCAAAAGCTTTGATTTATTCTCGGATAACGCTGAAATGGTTTCCGCAATTATTGGTGCTTCGTTATATCCAAACATCCTCAAATACGATTTTGAAAAGAAATATTGGACATCGTTGCATACAAATAAGCGTATCCGAATCTTAGATGTTTCTGTAAACAACAAATCTGAGATGCACCAAATGCCTTCCAAGATTGTTGCATATACAAATATGATGTCTTCCACGAGAGCAAGTGAATACGTAGCCGAAACTACGATGGTTACAATTCGCATGCTACTTTCTCTTTGCGGCTTACGGATTGACTTGCGAGAATCCATAGGTCAAGCTAAGCTTGACCGCTTCACTGTGTATCTGGATAGTGTCTATACTGCTTCAGCTCTTCACATGTTACGAAGCTTTATAGAATCATCTTTTACTGCATTTCTTTCTCATCCTGAAGTATACCTTTCAGATGAAGATTTGGCTGTTATTGTTAGTCTTGTTTCCCGTCTAAACTTTAATAGGGTACAAAAACAAAAAATTACAGCATAAAGAAACATCCATAAGTTTCATGCTACGTGTACAGTTCTATCGTTTGGCTTTCAAAAGGAAAAGCGAGTATGGGTTTTTTTCGCAAAAGTATATATTAGATTATTTATAGCAAATATTAAACGTTATTACTTTAAAATGCAAACTGAGGCTGTTTTTTGTTTGTATTATTAGTAGGCATTTGCATTAGAAACCATAAAGAAAACTGAGGTTATCAAAAAAAAGAAAAAAAAATTAGACCTCCTATAGTATGCAATAAATAGAGTATATGATGGCATCTTACAATAAATAAGACTTGAATATATAACAACGCAAAGTCCAAGTATAAAATAGTAGAACGAAGCAGAAAATTAGACAAGAAATCAATCATAGCTTTATACCTAAGCCACAACAAAAAAATGTTAGAAAATCATCTGAATTCTCGTAATTAAGTTGATGCTTCAATAAATAACCAATATATGGAGCAGATGAAGTTGTAATTTTTGGAAATAAATGTATAAAATATGAGTGCGGGTCATTTATATCATTTTCTCGACAGAGGGAGGAAGAACGGATTGTTTGCAGAGAGGACATTTATCAGAAATGTTCAGCAAATATGGATCGATACAATTGGGGTGATAAATGTGAAGACAGGGAAGTTCCCGGTACAAACTGTGATCTTCGGAATAGTTGGAAAGACATACAGAACACTCAGTCTGATCATAATGATTAACAGGCCTTACAGCATTAAATCCAGCATCCTCTTTCTTTTCTTCTGAGCCAGACGTGCTTGAGGCAGAGCCGCTAGTGTTTTGAAAGGTAGCGGAAGGCGGAGTTAGTCCGGAAACTGTGTATAAACGAACAGGGAAAGTGTTCAACAACTCTTTATTTACAGGAGATTGATTTTTTTTTCTTCTAGGTTCCGTAAGCCGCTCAGGAATTGGGATGCCTGCGCGTCGTAAAGTCCTGTAGAAACCTGCTAAAAGTCCTGTAAAGTGAAGTATAATATAGACAGAGATTATAAGGAAAAGACCAGCAATGACAGCTATAAGTATATAAAACCAAGCCAGACTTTTATAAGACCCTTGCCCTCTATAAACAGGGGTACCTATTCTAGCTTTAGCATTAATGTCGCCATATCTACGAACAAGAGCATCACTATCATTAAGTGACTGTATATTGGAGGCTGAATAAAATCTGAGTGCATCTTCAAATTTTAAACCGTATGGGTGGGAAATAAGTAGCATTGGAATGCTTAATCGAGCATTTTTCGAAACCGTATGGCTGAAGGAATTCAAATTGGAAGAAGATTCAGTATGTGTACTGGCATTATAAAATAATATGGCATTAGCGTCATCGGAAATGGCTTGTTGAACATAACTTGATGCACATTTGTCGAAAGGGGCTAAAGCCACAAGGCCAAAGGAGTGAAGATCAGACACATCGTTCCGATGGGTTGTGTGTTGATAGGAAGCCTGCAATGAATCAGGATCATGGCAATTATGAGCTGGAGTTAAGCGATAAAAATATCCCTTGACTTCACTATCTAGAGTGCTTTTTTGGTAAAAATCGTTTAAAACCACTGTACTAGAAGACTTAAAAACAAACGACATATTGCTTGGAACATCAGCGATGCTTTTTTGAGATAGTAAGGAGACATCCGTATTGTTGATTATTTGTGTGTTTACGTCGAGTAGGTGAAACTGTTTATTATCGATAGCATGATTGATGATACTAGCAGTTCCAAAGTACGACAAGCCAGAACTGAGGTAGGTACCCATAGCACGGTTTCCCGGTTTACCGGAATTTTCATAGTAGTCATGAGAAGAAGAACCACCTGCATTTTTGGGGGAAGATCCTCTAGCAGAACCGGAACCGCCCCCTTTGGGTCGGGTGGAAGACCCAAAGCCACCGGCGTTCTTGGGGGAAGATCCTCCACCAAACGAGCTCGAACTCGAACGACCCGATGCAGCATGGGCACCGCCAGAAAAACCGCCTCCCCGTTTGGTATCGAAGATACCGGAATCAGGAGAAGAGCCCTCGAAATCTTCTTGACGGCGGGTGAAATGAAGGTTTGAGTTTGGACTAAGGTTTTGAGGAAAAAGGTGAGAAGAGGAAAAGGATCCTGATGGGTCACGGTAGTCATGCTCAGAAGGATTAGCGGAAGCGAACTCTATTTCATAATCATGATCAAGCACAAAACCCGAGTACTGGGGATAAGAGAAAGAAGGCAACTTCATAAGAAAGAAATGAAGAAGAGGAAGAATTGACAAACTTCAAATTATGGAGAGCGTTTTAACGCTTGGAGTTGGAAAATAGAAAAAATTGAAAAAGTAAGAAAAACCGGTGAAATGAAATAAGAAACACAAATCAGCAAAAAGAAAAACAAAATTTCTGAGTCCAAATTCCTTAAAAGATGGACACCTATAAGCGCAATAACAAAAAAGAAACAAGAAACCAAGGAATGTACTAGCAAAGTATAGTTTTTTTTTTTTCTTTTATGGAAAAGACTATGCAAAGAAGTTAGTATTTCAAGTCAGTCAATTCAAAACGATTACAAAGTACAAAAGGTTAAGGCAAGGAAACATATCAAAGGGGGGATCCAAACAAAACAAGCCCTTTTTAATCTTCAAACGTACCTGAACAGCCATTAATGTTTAATAACAACTTTAAACGAATCTTTTTGCAGTTTGTATTCCGTTTCTGTTTAGGAAAGGCTAAGTAAGGGTAGATTGAGAAATGAGGTATATCGATAATAGATGCGTAGTAGTATAAAGAAGAGAAAAGCCACAACGCAACAACCAAGAACGACAATGGGAACCTCAGCAATTCTGAGACAACATTTAAATGAAAAACAAATTTATTACTTTTGGAATATGGTGGAAGTCAAAACGGATGAAAGAGCAATGGTGTAATGTAAAGTGTGTTGAAAGTGTGTTGGATTGTTTATGAATCACACCCTTTTAGCGAAGGTGAATTGCATTTACGTTAAAGAAACGAAATTTTCCTTAGCGTAAAGTTGCGTAGGTGCATTCGATAAAAAAATTAGCATCGGTAAGGATCGCAAGGTCATTTGAATTCGTTGTCTCGTTTTACCATCGGTCTGTCTCTGGTCGCTAATGTGAGTCAGGGTCACGTACGGTGCGTTGTTAAAAACGTAATGGATGTGTTTCAGAAGTCGCAAGAGGTTGGAAGGCAGAGGGAGCAAGGATGGAAGAACACGAAAGAATTCTACCGTAAAAAAAGTCGATAAGATTACAAGAAAAAAAAAAAAAAAAGAAAAGACAAGGAATAGAATAGTGGGATTTTAAGTGTGTTGGTTAGGTTAAAAAAAAACATCCATCCTTTTGCTTTTCGGTCCTTTGGGGGAGCATTTTGATGTTAGACAAAATGGATGCGGGAAAATGAAGAAAGCCTTGCAAATTTTCTTTTACATAGTTTTTGCTTTAAAAGCTTTACAAATACCCCCGAAGCCGCTTAGGAGTTTTCTTTGTACAATCAATTGGGGGGGGTGGATTTCATAGTTATATTATTTCATCGTCTATATTTGAGAAAACAGACATGGAACCATTTACTGGAATTGTTGTGTTCTTTTGTGCAGAAAAGCATCTTAGAAGCATCGTGCACGATAATCGTTACTATGTCCTATTAGTTTTTACCTATTAGACCTACTTTGTTTTCATAAGCGAACTATACACTTCCCTGCTCTTTTATTCTAGTGGCGCAAGTTCACACCCATACAAGACCTTCGATTGTCCTTCGCAAGGAAATATATGTATCTTTTTTTCTCCTTTGCAAAAATATATTTCTTTCGGGGGTTTCTGCTTTTTTCCAGCAAGTTAGTTGAACTTTACTCATTCCATTCTATCAAATTTTTTCTTACAACGCTGCCAAAGGTTTCTTTTTGCGCCTGTTTCCCTCTTGGCTTTTAATACAGACTAGCGAATCTTTTTACGTTCGGTAAAACTTTGTCAAAGCTTATTTTTTGGATCCATTCCGCTAAGCATCAATGAACTGACAATTGGGAATTATTACTATTTCGGTTGATCTCGACATCCAGCCTTCTGTTCCTCTTGTTTGTTTGTTCCTCTTGTTTGTTTATTAACGATCGCTGAAAAGCTGCTACCTTGAGTTTAGTGGATTCCATCGCATTGTTTTCCTTTTGTTGCTTCAAATATCATTATATTTTTATTATTATGATATTGCTATCTGAACATTGATCGGTGACCTCTACCATACGATAAACAAAAGAGCCGACATAAAGGGTTCCATCAAAAGAGAATTGAGCTTGGAAAAGCGATTCTCAGTTTCTTCTGCGAACAATTCCAAGGTTCCCTACTTGTTTGTTCTGGTTTTGTTTGTTTGTTTGTCCCAAAGCATCTTGCGCAACTTTATAATGTCGCACAATTTTTCATTTGCATTATCAAGCAGTACTCAGTTAGCGAACTTTTTTTCGTACGAAGTCGGATGGTTTTTGTTTACTCCGAGGGTGGAACTTTCTTTACTCCGCCCACTCGGCCGATGGAAGCTCTCAAGAGATATATTTTTAGCTTCGTTACTTCGAAATGAGTAATGTTTGTTACTTTATAGTTTGTCTATTTTTGCATCACGAGGATACAAAAGGAGCGCCTACCTCCACGTTTTTTCCTTCTAGGATTAACCAGAATCTGTGATATTTAAATCCCCCGCAAAGCGCACTAATTCACGGGACTAGTTTAGGAAATAAACTTTGCGGATAGAGTGGAATTCCTCTCTAATTGCTTTCGAAAGAGGGAATTTTAAACACTGTTGTTTATTGGTTCTGGTTTATTTTGTTTTTGTTTACTTTTCTTTATTTACTTAAACCTCCTCCCTACACTCGTTTCACTTGATCTCTCGTTTCTACTTAATTTCCAAGTTAGTATTCTATTTAAATACTTCACTGTTTCCCAGCTCCTTCGTTTAATTCGTATCATCCATTGATCGCATTTACCTTCGTTCTATATTTTACTGCAATGTCTTCTAACGATCCTGCTTTGAACATTCGTCGGGTTCAATCGGCCACTGAGCATCCCGAAATTTATCCAACACTAAGTAATACATCGCAAAATGCAGCGGCTCCTGCATCTCCCATCAATTTAGATAGCCAGTTATCACCTGAGTCGCAGCAACAGCAACAGTATGCTGCCATGACCCAAAGTTCTGGCGGCGACTCAAGTCGTGAACATACAATTTCGAATGTTCCTAATAAGGAAGCCCGTATTCCTGCGGATAAGGAAGATTTGGAAAAACAACGACCTTCGGAAAAGATTTATCCTAGAATTGAGAATTCTGAACCTTTTATTTATACGCTTGACCCGAGTTCTTCAGAATTCGCCGTCAATTGGCCTTTTTCTCGTAAACTAAAAATTACCGCTATTTATTCTTGGGCCGCCCTTTGTTCCACCTTTGCTTCGTCCGTCTTTTCCGGTCCCACTGAAGTCCTTCCTCAAATCTATCATATTCCCATGACTGTCTCTCTTTTAACTATTAGTTTGTTCCTTTGTGGTTACGTTAGTGGTCCTGTCTGCTGGGGTCCTCTGTCAGAATTGTTAGGAAGAAAGCTTCCTTTGATGGTCGGTATGCTTGGTTTTGGTATCTTCAACATTGCAGTGGCTGTTGCTAAAGATATCCAAACAATCATGATTTGTCGATTTTTCAGTGGTTTCTTTGCTAGTGCTCCTTTAACAATTGTCGCCGCTGCTTTTTCGGATATGTATTCTAATCGTTATCGTGGTACTGCTATTACTATCTTTGCTGCCCTCGTGTTTGATGGTCCTTTACTATCTCCCATTATTGGTGGATTTATTACCAAATCTTATTTGGGTTGGAGATGGACAGAGTACATTACTTCGTTCATGGGCTTCTTCGCTGTTCTCATTATACTTTTCTTTTGTGAGGAGACTTATTCAAAGAAAATTGTAGAAAGTAAGGCTTATGAATATCGATTTGAAAGTAACAACCACTTTGTGCATGCCAAGTCCGAGGAGGAGAGATTAACTGCCAAAGATGTCATCGATAACTATTTGTTGATTCCCTTTAAGCTTTTATTTACGGAACCCATCATCTTCTTGGTCACACTCTACTGTTCCTTCGTATATGGTATTTTGTACTTACTTTTGGAAGCTTATCCTATTATCTTCGCTGAAAAACGCCATTTCTCAATGGGTGTTGCTCAACTTCCTTATATCGGTTTGTTGGTAGGTGTTTTTATTGGCAGTGGCATCAATATTGCGTTCGAGCCTTGGTACTTTCGACAGGTGTTGAAGCTTGGTGGAAAGCCTTATCCAGAGGGACGTCTGCCACCTTTAATTATTGGTGCTTTCACCTTCCCTATGGGTATTTTCTGGATGGCATGGTCAGGTCACTATGCACATGTTCATTGGATTGTTCCTAGTTTGTCTGGTTTGGTTACCGGATGCGGTATTTTGTTGATTTTCTTGAATTGTATGAACTACCTAATTGACGCTTATTTATTCCGTGCAGCCTCTGCGATCGCTGCTAATACTATTATGCGTAGTGCGGTTGCTGCAGGATTCCCTCTATTTGCTATCCAAATGTTCCATAACTTGGGTGTTGGTTGGGCTGGCTCCCTTTTGGGATTTATCGCTGTTGCCTTGATTCCTGTGCCCATCATATTTTACATCTATGGTAAACAAATCCGTTCTTGGAGTAAAATGGCGGTTGTGCTTTGAGCATAAGGATAATATTTATATAATAATTGTTGGAAACCTCCATGCAAAATAATTGGTTTGGTTATGTTTCACAGAAATCGATGACTTTTTGAGAAGCCTATGGATTTACCCTAGGCTAAAAAGAAGAAAGGGGAAAGGAAACAAATAAACAAATAATAGCACGAAAAACAGAGTCTTAAAAGAGATTGTTTTGGTTCTTAACACTCTAGCATGATTTTATGATAAACGAACTATGGTGACACGTTCTACTGGCTTTGTTCAATTAATTTTAGACTTATCCGATTGATAGCTTAATATACTTATTTTCTTTGCCTTATTAACCAATTACGATAAAACCAGTGTGTTTGGCGGTTTGTGTATTTGTAGCGATTCCAACTTGCGGCATGAATTCAAGAGAAATGCAGCTATATTCTTATTCCTAGTTAATTTATTTACTTTGCTACAGTGAGTGTTCAGTGCTCCAAGCCTAGTGTTTCTCGTGAAAGACTTGAGACTGTCGAAATTAAAGTGAAAAAAAATGCTCCAGCAGTGACTCGAACACTGGGCCTCTTGCTTACTAGGCAAGCGCTCTACCACTGAGCTACAAGAGCTTGTTAAATGAGGGCAAAAACAAAAATTTATAAGCTTAAATTTGAAGTGTAAAAAATTAAATTGAAAAAAAGGAAGATTGAAAAGATTCTGACACGATACTCCACTTAGGGTCGGCCGAAAAAGATCTTTGTTTCTCAAGGTGACAAGGTTATCATATTAAAGATAGAGGGATGGACTTTGCTTCGGCCGTCGGCCGTACAATTGAGTAACATGGTGCCGAGAACACGTTCCTTATCGCACTATCTAAACGTCTACCATACGAAGAGCGTAGAAATTTTTATTGCATGAGTCCTTGTGACGTATAATGCAAAAGAGGCAAGTTTAGACCTTAGGGGACGATAGAGAATGTCCTTAAGGCTGTCGCTAGGGTATCATAATAATAAAGAGGATATAATTACTAAGGCGTTAGTAAATAAACAATAAAACAAAATTTCTGGAAAGGAACAGTTAAGAAAAATAAAAGAATTCGATTTGAAGTATCGAATGAGATCTTTTTTCAATGGATTCAAATTGATTTCAAGCTTCAATTGTCTTATGCCCGTAATCTCGTAATATGATATTGGAATATGGTGGATTTTCTGACTTGCCAACAACAAAACATTACCATACAGCCAGACCTGTATTCAGGTTAGCAATTCGTCTTGGAGCGAGGGATAGAGAAAGGAAGCATTGAAGAAATTGCTCAAAATAAGCATCTCAAAGGTTGTCTTTTTTTAGTTGCTTCGTAAAACGAAAGCCACACAACATTGGGAAACTCATGAAATATATGCTAATAAAGCTATAATTTAGGGAATTGGCTAAGGATATCTTTTCATCTTTTATTTTATTTCTTTCTTTGGCGTATACTTTAATTTTGTTTTATGTTTGTCAATTGTAGAGTATTGTGTGGATAGAAAACGAAATTTCAGGTTTGTTTTTTTATTTGATCTCTTGTTTGATACCTCAATTCGTTGTTTCCGTTTATAAACTATTTCCTATTTCCATTTGTGTTTAGTCCCTATTACGATTGTGATTGTGCAAAGATTGTTTAATAGCTATCTTAATTTTCAACAACATTTGTTTTATATAGGGAAGGAAAAAAACGACACATATCTGGTTTCGTTCTTTGATTTTGATTTCAACTTTTTTATTTTTCCAATCACCGCTTTTGTTATTGATTGCGTACCTAAAGTAACTCTTTCTTTTGTGTATTATTGGTAAATCATCTTTTGAATCCTTTTTACAGTCCCGTTGAGTTTACGGGCTGGTTTCATTTGTTTTTGGAAAAGAAAGGAAGAAAGGTAAAACATAATATTGCTTTCCTATTAATTACCTCCCCACTTCCCCTTCTCGTTTATTTTTGCATTTAGATTTTTCTTTTATCGTATTCTATTTAGTTTTATTATTCTTTTTTTTTTTTTTGGTTTGCTTATCCTTATTGAACGATGTCGAGTCAAAATACTCAATCTTTAGATCATTCTAGTATTGACCTCGAAAAACAAAGTACCCAGCACTCTTATGAAGATGCAGGAACTGGCTTGGAAAAACAAAATACCCGCCATACTTACGACCATCGACAAGTTGGTTCTGAAGCCGATTTTAATGAGTATGTAAAACAATATCCCGTCGTCAATAATCCAGGAGATTTTATTGTCACTTTGAACGGTCCAAACGATCCCGATTTGGCTGTCAATTGGCGTTTGGCGACAAAGCTCCAAAATATCGCTGTCATGGGATGTGCCTGTCTCTGGGTCAGTTTCGGTTCCTCCTCCTTTTCTGGTGCTATTCCCGCAGTAATGGTGAACTATCACGTTGGTAAAACCGTCGCCATTCTTGGTATTAGTCTCTATGTGTTGGGCTTTGCCTCAGGACCTCTTGTATGGGCACCAATGAGTGAAGCTTTTGGTCGTCGTAAACCTATGATCGTCGCTGTTTTAATCTTTAGCATTTTTCAAATTGCTGTCGCTACTGCCAAGGATATTCAGACTGTTATGATTTGTCGCTTCTTTAGCGGTTTCTTTGGCAGTTCTCCTGTCACGACAGTCGCTGGCTCATTTTCCGACATGTTTAGCGCTCGAACAAGAGGCTTGGTCATTGCAGCGTATGCTGCCATTATCTTTAACGGTCCTCTGGTGAGTCCTATCGTTGGTGGTTTCATCGGCAAATCTTATTTAGGCTGGCGATGGATCTCTTATCTTACAGCAATTTTGGGATTTTTTTCGTTGATATGCATGCTTATCTTTCATCGTGAGACGTATACGAAAACAATTACTGAGGAACGAGCAAAACTGGTTCGAAAAGTAACCGGCAATTACTGCCTACATGCCAAATCTGAAGAAGAGCCTTTAGTACTGTCGTACTTTATCCACAAGTACTTGACCCTCCCTCTTCGTTTGCTGCTGTTTGAGCCCATTCTGTTGATCGTGTCTACATATACTGCTTTCGTCTATGGTATATTGTACGGTTTATTAGAAGCTTATCCTGTAATTTTCGGTGAAGCCAGAGGATGGAGTGAAGGTGTTATGTCTTTACCCTACCTTGCCATTTTAGTAGGCGTATGCATTGGTTCTATTAGCGTTGCTTTCTTCCAACCATATTACTTTAGGCAAATGGAAAAGAACAAAGGCAGACCAGCGCCTGAAGCACGACTTCCTGCTATGATGCTTGGATGTATCGTGTTTCCTATTGGCATTTTTTGGTTAGCATGGACGGGTAATTATACAAGTATCCATTGGATAGTTCCTACTTTATCCGGTAGTTTTGTGGGGTTTGGTATCATTACGATCTTTCAACAAAGCATAAATTACATCGTTGATTGTTATTCCGGGGTTTCTGCTTCTGCCATTGCAGCTAATACACTTTTTCGGAGCTCTTTCGGTGCCGCTTTCCCTTTATTTACTACTCAAATGTTTAATAATTTAGGAATTGGATGGGCTGGCTCCTTAGTGGGTTTTGTTGCTGTCGCTCTCATTCCCTTCCCCTTCTTACTCTTCTTTTACGGTTCTAAAATCCGCTCGATGAGTAAACTATGTTTGAAAGATTCTGATTAAAGTAATCGCTGTTTTTCTATATGTTTTTTTTTTTTCGATGTCATGACCAGAATCATCAAATTTTAGATAAAATGGTTTTATGGCGAATCATGTTACAAAAGCGCTATAAAAGTTAAGCATGTTTTATTTTTTTTCATAGGGAAAAGTTGGTTGTCTGGAATTATTTATTACTATATCCCCCAATAAATGTTTGTTTGTTTCGTTATGCCAGAGAAGTTGTAGCTGTTATGGTTAAGTTTGGAAAGGTATAAACAAGATGAAGAGAGATATAATTCAAACGTAGAATAGGAAGCTCTAATGAAAGCAACGAATGCAGTCAGAACAAAATGGTAAATAGCATGAAAGTCATCACATTCAAAGCACCTGGTTTTTGGGAAAATCCAATTCTATCTACGGCGGAGTATTTCCTGAAGCAATCTTTATTATTTGAGAAGAAATATGATTCTTTTATTAAAACCTATTTTCTCTTAGGTTTACAAAAACTGCATATTTATGGAGAATCTTCACTGTAAGGTAACAGATATTCTATTAGAGGATTAAGGCGATAAGTTGTAAGGAGCAACGAGTTTGTATCTAAGAAACATTGAAGGGAATGAGAATAGCTTAATCATTGTTTTTATATTTTTAATATGTTGAGTGAAAAAATAGCGGGTTTGCTTCGTCTTATATTACATTTCTATTATAAGCAAAGGTGATGCGACTCTAAGGTATGTTTACATATGTTACTGGTATGAATGTGCTTTTATTTATAATTCAAGGGAATACTGGTTATTCCTGTAAAATTATCAGCTCTTTGTGTAAACATTGATAAAAAAATGTGGAATTCACTCAGGATATGCATGCTTTACAACATCTGATACAATGGTTTTCAACGTCCTAAAAGCACAGTGTTGTATAGGCAGATTGGAAAACCTTTACAGAGTCATTGATTGCCACATGTTCTAATCTATCAAGTCTATCATTTGCCTTGGAAGAGAAACTACTTGTGGCATTAGAACATTTATGAAATTAGTAGTTCATTCAGTACCAGGAAGGAGAGGATAATTCACAATTCTAGAGTATCAAACATGATGCTTAAGAGTTATCAAATATCATTACCTTCCGCTGATGAACTGTTCTCAATTACAGTAGACTGCAGACAAGTCTTTTTAAATTTCATTTCACAATGCCATAGAAACCAAAAAGTATCCAAGGTCCCAGGTGAAAATAACGCTTAGATACTTTCAAGTATTTCTCTCTTTCTATCACTACAAAAAATAAAAAAATTTCCATATCCAAAACTGTCCTTGTCATCATCTCTTATGGATTCGGACATTCCGATGGCTCCCATGTTTATTTACATTGTACGTTTTTTCAATCATCTTAAAATACAATGCTCTAACGTCCTACGTTATCATCACTACAGTGGTTTTGCATACACTTATAAAACGAATAAGGATGTCACTAAGTCTCAGTAATCCATTGATGCAAGGCGACATGATCGAAGAACTTGCTAACTAAAGCAATATTTCAGGAAACGTGCGGTATCGCATAGGATTTGTTATAGAGGATATTGTAAAAGAATAGAGGCAATAAGCCTGTAGGAAGAATATGGAAACAAGAACAGACTGGGCTTCTAATGGACCTGTAAAGCAGACAATGAATAGACTTGGACAGCAAGAGGAGTCTGATACTACAAATAATGTCAAATCTTTGGATGGCAAAGGAAAGGAAACAGGAAGTGATCAGCCAGCTATCGGAAAGGTCAAATCACACGAAGAAAAAGAAGAAGATTATCGGTATGGTGGATACCATCCAGTATTTATTGGGGAAGAATTCAATAAGAAACGTTATGTGGTGGAACGGAAGTTGGGATGGGGTCACTTTTCTACTGTTTGGCTCGCATACGACCGGGTAGCGAAACGGCGGGTTGCATTGAAGGTCGTACGTTCGGCAGAACATTATCGAGAAACATCTATTGATGAGATTCGCATCCTTCAAAAAATCTGCGAAGGCGACGATAAGCATCTAGGAAAGAACCATGTAATTGCCTTATTGGACTATTTTCTGCACCGTGGTCCCAATGGTGCTCATGTGTGTATGGTGTTTGAAGTTTTGGGAGAAAATTTGCTGAGCCTTATTCAATCGTATGGACATCGTGGTGTTCCGAGAGGAATTGTTCAACAAATCTCATATCAATTGCTCATTGCACTCGATTATTTGCATCGCAAATGCGGTATTATACATACTGATTTAAAGCCCGAAAATGTTTTGATTTGCATTGAGGATTCAGTACTTAATGATCTCGATAGTCAAGCGTCGCTTCCTTCTGTCTCAAACTCGCAGAATACTACATCGACCGCTTCAACCGATGGGCATGCTTCTGGTACTCATGGAACTCCTCAAAAGAAGTCAAATCAATCATCTGCAGGTCAGGTGATTGCTAGTGATCCTTTTACTTCTACCCTTACTCAATTTCCTAGTTTAGAAGGAGCTGTTTCAGAAATCAGTCTGCGTGATAGTTCTCTCAACAGATCTAATTCAAAAAACAAGCCTTCGATTCGAGTCAAAATAGCAGACCTCGGCAACGCCTGTTGGACCCGGAAGCATTTTACAAATGATATACAAACACGACAATATCGCTCTCCAGAGGTTATACTTGGATGCCAATGGGGGGCTTCTGCTGATTGCTGGAGTTTTGCTTGTATAATATTTGAGCTATTGACTGGAGATTATTTGTTCGACCCGCGAAGTGGAAGTTCGTATTCCAAAGAAGATGACCACATAGCTCAAATCATTGAGCTACTTATGACCTTCCCTAAGCAAATGGCTTTATCCGGAAAACATTCCCGCGAACTGTTTAATCGTCGTGGCGAGCTTCGTAATATACACAGATTAAAGTACTGGCCATTAAAAGATGTCTTAGAGCAAAAATATCATTTTTCCTCGTCTTTCTCTCAAGAAATTTCTGACTTTTTATTGCCCCTTCTTTCATTTGACCCCGTGAAGCGTGTCAATGCCGGATATATGAGTAACTCGCCTTGGTTACATAACGTTGCTGACCCCAATTTTAAAATTGAGGATCCTGGGCAATATGGTGAATATATACCTGGCTGGGCTAATGAAATCCGAAAATAAAGAGTAACTATCTTTGAAGTTGGTATTCTTTGAATAAGCATGCATATATATAAACATTTACGTTCGTTAATTTTGGTGTACTAATGGTACCATATCGCAAAAAAGTATTAGCCGTGGGAATGACATGCTATTTAGCTTTTCACTAGATTTTATTTGGAGAAACATTTTGTTGCTTTCTGATATGTTGGTCTTATGCTTTGATGAAATGATAAGTCATGCTGACAGAAAAAAATGATTTTAATTTTTTGTTATTACTTTGTTAATTTATTTCTTTTCATTCTCTTGTCATTCGAATGAATGGATACATCATGTTTTATGAACTAATATAACGATTAGTGATTAGGATTTACTAGACTACAAATAATATATACCAGCCCAATATTACTTCTTAAATAAAAATAGAACTGTAAGGTAATGACCATAAATTAAAACCAAAAGATTGTTTGTACACTTGCCAGCAGTTGACGTGTTATTGCTTTTCAAGTTGTCCCTCTTGCGTTACACGAATTTTGTATTCTCGCTCAAAGTAATTTCTATCACAGTCGAGCAAAAATCGTGTACACCCCTGTTTAGAAGAAGAAAGTTGAGCATTTGATTGCGTATACAAGTCCGCTATAGACGGAATTTTTGGATCTATTTTTGTAGCTTTCGGGGGCCTTGAGGAATTTTTCTGGGCTCTTTGAAAGTCAACGCATAAACCTAAGAGCAGATCTGTTGGATACATCTGGCCAAGCAGCGTATATGATTGAAAATGCATATAGAGATCAAGTAGGTCAGCAATCGCTCCTTCAGTAAGTAAGGTAGGAGCACAGAAATTTCTCGGAATGATGGGCTGCGAAAGCTTTTGAAGCTTACATGTAATGGAAAGAGCAGCAACTGCGACAACAGAAACAGGGTATTTGAGTAGTGCGAAAGTTCGATAAGCGTCTGTACAAATATTCCAAGCGACAAGAGCGCTGGAAGGAGAAACTAAAATGAATCATTAGTAAATAAAAATAAAAATAGTTCATACAGTTCAGTGATTTAGCAAACTTGATCATAAAAGTATGAGGATGGCGAACACGAAAATCAAAGCACAGAAGCTCCAAAATCATTCTTTCTAAAACTAACACCTTTCGTTTTACATCATCAATGATCTACCAAGTTGTTAGCTAAAGAAGGCGACAAAAAATTACCTGGACATGAGCATCAGCATCCAAACCAGGGTGTTTAAGTTGGAAGTGAACAAGCAGTATCTCACGAAGTTTCTTAGCTGTATCCTCTATTTTACAGGCAACAAACAAGCATGCTGTAGCACATTCAATGAGAGGAAGTTCTGCCAGAGGATAAAATAGCTGAATTCGAGTGAATAATATCATAGCAAGACCAGTGGTTCTTACAGGACTATAGAAATGTCAGCAAATAGCTCGATAAAATTATTACTTACAACTTTAGACTTTTACTCATTTCTGAAATCCAATTGAAGGCTTGCATCTTGAAGGCATTTTCTTTTGGGTCGCGAGACTGCATTATCCGAGTAATTTCATTTTCAGAGTAAAAAGGTCGAGACAGTCGTATGGATAAGACATGGTTTTCTTCTGACATTCTCATAGGAAGCACCAATGTAAGGAAAGCAGGTGTTTTTATAACCCGTTGTGCCAGTAAAGCCAGAATCAGATAGCCGCTCGAAAATAGAAATATTTAATTTAATATTTTATGTTGATAAATCCCTCGTTGAGCTTAACGTCCCTTTAAATTGAGAAAACTCGCGTCTTTATACCCTAGATGCAGACTGTGGTTGGGAAGGCACGCTTACTGGTTTTGCAGAACTCATTCATTGAGAAAAGTAAGTTTAAATCGATTCATATTGGTAGCTTTATAAAGAAAATTGACATTTGAATTGATAAGTTATCATTTCTGCTACTTTTCATCGCCTGAAAAAAAGCAGCTTCTGGATGTCCTTTTAGCTATGTTTGTAATGTAAATTTAGAGAAAGCATGCTCTATTCAAAGTTGAAACAAAACGCAAAAAAAGGCGATTTATTTGCGTCCTAGCAATAGTTTGAGCGACAATTAATCCCTCATGAATACAACAAACTCCTTCAGTAAGAGGAATAAAGGTCGCACAGCAGCTTTTTTGAACTTTTTTTTTTTTCTTAAAGAAGTATAGAAATGAAAGACAGAATAAGCTTCGGCTACCTTTCACATCCAAAGGTAAAAAAGATTGGGTCTCAATCGCAAAACGATGATGATGAAACAACATGGGCTTCAATTCAGTTGTTTTTTAACAGTTTTAGTTAAAGAATACTGAGGTAATGTTTGTTGAAATATTCAGATTGGTTCTTTTGCTTTCCTTATTTAGGTGTCTTGGAAATGCGCTTTGTTTACTTCGCTTAGATATAGCTTTATTAAAAGCTTATATTTTTAGTTGATGTGTACCAACACCTACCTAACTTTTTCCCATTTTCTGCAAAATGTGGAAAGACAAAGGAATTTATTTATTTATTCTTGTATTCTTTTCTTGGTTTTTCCATTCTAGTCAATCGTCTCCAGTACTAACGGTTGAAAAGCTGAAATTGAGCGATAAACAGCACGATGGAGAACAAACTCCCGTAGTCATTTGGCATGGCTTGGGTGATTCATATAATAGCATTTCGCTTAATAGTATTGTTAAACGTGTGGAGGAAATCACAGGTGCAGCCGTCTTTGTCGTCCACATAGGTGATTCAGGATTCAGTGATCTGAAGGCTGGATATATTGGAAATGTTCAAGAGCAACTTGACGGTGTTTGCGCACAACTGTCTACCATAGAAGAACTGAAGTACGGGTTTCATGGCATTGGTGTCAGTCAAGGAGGGCTTTTCCTTCGTGGTTTACTTGAGACCTGCGATTTTGTTAAAATCCGCACTTTACTTACTGTTGGTTCTCCTCATAATGGAGTTTTTAATTTTCCAGGATGCTCTGCAACGAATTTCTTCTGTCAAGCAGCCAGTAAGTCTGTTCTGGCACTGGGTGCTTGGAATTCTTGGGTTCAGGCCCACATTGTGCAGGCTCAATACTTCCGTACAGAAAAGGACTTTGAAAAATATTTAGCGAACAGTCGATTTCTAGCAAGGATTAATAATGAGATTGATCATGAGGACATGAGTTTGTACAAAAAAAAAATGGAGCAACTAGACAAACTCGTGCTAATAACCTTTGCTACAGACACAATCATTACCCCTCCGGAATCTTGTGCTTTTGGATGGGAAGATGAGGATACAGGTGCACCTGTTCCTATGAAAGAGCACTTTGGCTACTTGAATGACGTTTTAGGATTGAGAACGCTCGATGAACAAGACAAAATCACTAGCCTCATCTATCCAGGATTCCATCTGGAGCTGTCGGATAAAGAGATGGATGACTTAATTCGGATATACTTAAAAGATGCCAAACAAGCGTTGGAAAAGCAAGAAATAATGAGTACACATTCCAAAGAAAAACCTTCTTTGTTTTCTCCGTTATATTTGGATATGCTTGAACGTGTGAATCGGTTTTCTAGTAAAAATCTAGCTCCCAAGATGGAAAACAATGTTCAGAAACGAAGTTTTTTGGAAGGTGAAAATGATAGCATCAATATTTTACAGGACTTATCGACGGAAAAGGACTCTCCTTCCAAATCGCTAGCAACGGAACTGTTTATGACCGTGTTTTCTCACTTTTTCTATCATGTGGATGATTTTTGGAAAAGCATTATGGAATTGTTTTCACTCATTCCTCAAATAATAGGTATAATGTACCTTACAGTGATGGTGACCAATCGAGAACTAGATACGTTCATGCAGTTCGGGGGTCAAGTTACGAACGAGGCACTCAACTACGTTATTAAGAATATAGTAAAAGATCCTCGCCCTTCAGATATCATACATGGTGTAGGGTATGGTATGCCTAGTAGCCATTCTCAGTTTATGGGTTATTTTGCTGCTTATATGATTTCGTGGGCGTACAAATACCGAAAGGAAGAATGGAGTCACATCAGTTCTTTGGCAAAGATGGGGATTTACTGTGTGTTATCCTTTTGTGTATGCTCTAGCCGTTACTTTTTGCATTATCATTCGCTTTCACAGGTGATAGTTGGATTTTTGACAGGTCTTGCATTTGGCTACATGTGGTGCTGGTTTACGGGTCAGTTGCGTGTTTTAGGCATGACCAAGTGGATTTTGGAGTTTCCCATAATTGAGTGGTTTTACATCAAAGACACTATTATTCATACCAAAGACAATCACAGACGGGAATGGTTAACAAGTCGTCAACAGATGAACCAAAAGCGAATCTAACTGGATCACGAATATGTTATGCTGATTGAAACGTTTGGGTATTTATTAAGGCAAGAATAGCAATTGATGCTTATAGAGTCCGTAAACTGTTGGCGCTGTATATGTAGCATAAGCGAAAGCTTTTTCTTATATCTTTTTTCCCAAAAAACCCGAAACCATCTAAAAAAAACAAAAAAATATAGATCATAACTACTATAATTAATACTTGTTTATTTATCATCTTCGTAAGAAGGTTGCAAAAATTCAGATTCCGTCTGGGGGAATCGAACCCCCGCCGCATCGGTGAGAGCGATGAATCCTAGCCACTGGACCAAGACGGATTTGTTAGGATATTAGAAAGTATTACTACTAATATAAGAAAAAATAAAGGAAGCTGCTAAATTAAAATTTTTTTTTTTTAATCAACAGGAATGAAGCAGTATTATAAGTAGGTTTCCCAATCTCTAAACGAATAGCACTTAACTTTCTAGTCTCTGTTCCTGAAACCAGCGTCCACCGCTTTTTCCAGGACTCGTGCATCTGTCTGACTGATTCCATAGCATCAAATTTAAAGTACCGATAACGTTAGCTGAGTTAACTGGACTTTGTACTTTAGACGAAGAAGTTTAACGAACCTAGATGTTACCTGGCATTGAGCCAAATGGCGGCTCTTAGCCACCGGTAGTCGAGCTAGCTCGGCTTTTGTTAGATTTAAACTGCGAAACATCATAGAAGAGCAACTTTCGGAATGCGAAAAGATATAACGCACAGTAACATATCGCGTTAAAAAGCAAATAAACGGAAGAAATCAATCATCATGGTTTCACGGTTCAGTAAGCCCTTAGATCGAAAGATTTAGAATGTCAATTTGTTTGAGATGTTTGAGTTCTTGTTTATTTTCCCGTGGTCTCAATATTTTATAGATAACTTTGCGCTACTCTTCATTTGCTCTTCGATTCGTTGATGTTCTTTTTTTTCTTTCCTGATCCTCATTCTCAATGGTATTATCTTGTTTCTGTACGATTTTAGCCTTTTCTTGATCTCTTCGTTACCTGTTTTTAACTTCTATTGCATTTTTTCTTCTATTACTGTTTACTAAGGAACTAAAGCGCGTCGGTAATTACAAATATGGGTTACTCCACGAAATCCATTAACATTGCCGGAAAAGTTTACCGGAATAACAATGTTTCTTCGCATTATGTAAAAAAGTTGTAGAAGATGCACCCCACAAAATCGCTATGGAAGCCGATTTCAAAACCTGCCTTTTTCCATATTGTTTTTTTGCTAATTAGCGCGTGATTTCGCACGAGTTGCTGGATTTCGGAGGTTTATAGTTGAATTCTTCAAAATTTTCATCTTAAACTCCCATTATCCCTCAATTTCAACAGAAAGCACTAACTTCCCGGTAATTTGGTGTTCGCTGCTTTTGCTCGAACTTTTTGCGGTTTTTCTTTCCATTATCTTTTTTACTGATACAGGTGACAAATCTTAGGTTGATTTCAGCTTTTTTTGTTTATCTGTATTTCTGTTGCTTTTCTATTAAAACGGACTCCTCATCTTCTTTACGCCTGAATGTATCGAAAAGCTCATTGACTAGCCATCATTTCATTTCTTTTTTTTTTTTTCCTTTGGTTAGTCCCCTTTTATTTATTCTCGTTCTCGTTCTCTAGTCGCACACCATCATCGTGAAAGCCGTCAAAAAAACGTCGTCCTGTCATTTCCAGCATAAAAATTGTGTATAGATCGTTTGTTGACCTATACATTATTTATCTGTTTCGAGTTTTCTAAATTTGATTTAATTTCGTTTTCTGTTAGTTTTTTTGTTTTCGTGGTCTCTTTTCCTTTTTTCGTTTTCTTTTCTTCTTTAAAAATTCTTAAATTAAAAGTATCAGGGTTTCTTATTTAGATAACTTCTACCACTAATATTCCTACTCGTTGTATCAATATGGTTTATGACTCTTCTGCTGCTTATCATAAAATATCATTGTCTCATGCACCTCCAAAAGATTCCGTTCTTGGGAAGCGTCCACATGAAGGTTCCCCTGTATCAGACAAAAAAAGACTTAATACCTCTGATCACCCTCCCCCTTCTTCTTCTTCTTCGGGCTTTGTAAAGGACTTCTCGTCTTCTCCATCTTCTGCTTCTATAAAAGAAAAAGTTAGTCATACCCCTCCTAGTAGATCTAATTTCGCCTCCCCAACCGCTTCCGCTAATTCCTCTTCATTTCCTTTCTCTCCTTCAACCTCTGTACCCGAACAAAAATTATCTCACGTAAAAATAAATCAATCTTTTGTCGATACTCCTTCTCAAACAGCTTCCTCCCGTGACACTGAAAATGATACATTTAACTCTCGTGCTTCCGATTCGCGTCCCAAAGCTGATGCACAGTTTACACCTTTCTCTCCACCAAACTCGATATCTCCTGCTTCTGACCACTCTCTTAATCCTGCTTACTATGCTCCTTACCGTCAACCCGGCGGACCGCTTTGGGTAGAAGGTCTCGAGTTCCTACCGAGTCTTGACATCCAGCTACGACTTGCGGATGTATTTTTTATTTATGCCCATGGTCAACCTTATGTTTTGTTTCATCGAGATTCTTTCTTTGCGTCTCTGCGAGCTCAGCGCCTTCCTCCCATCCTAGTACTATCTATGTGTGCTGTAGCTGTACGCTTCTGGCAAACCGACAAGTACGATAGAAATTCCCTCTTCCAACAGTGTTTTAGTAAAGCTTCTTCAATTGCCATGTCCAATTTTGATAGATTAGATCTCGTCTACGTGGCTTGCTTCATTATGCTTTCGTACATCAGTGTTGCTGATGACAAGTATTGGATGTATGCAGGTATGGCCATTCGCATGTCTGTTGCCTTACACCCTAGTAAAAGTTTTGATCTTCCTTATTATGATCTCCCAGACAGCCCTATGCCTTCGGAAATTCGAGGCCAGCTGGTTCGCCGTCTCTTTTGGGACTGCTTTATGCTCGACCGCTTAAACTCTTTATATTGTAATACACAATTTTTGAATTTGGAAGATATTCATGTACCTTTGCCTATGCGTGAAAGTCTGTTTATGTACAATACTCGTGCTGTGACAGAGACCATATATGGAAGACCTGGTACACCTGATTTTGCTAATCCACCAACGCTTGCCAATTCACAGTCGTCCTTGACGTCTAATCAGCATGCCCAAAATAACATGGGAGTACTAGCTTATATGATTCGTATGGTATCTATCTGGGGAAGAGTCGTGCGTTGTCTGAAGGCTTATGGCTCCAACAAGCAGACCAGTCCGCGTCCGTTTTGGCATACATCTGGTTCTTTTCAACCTCTTGACCAGGAATTATACGAATGGGAGAAAAGTCTTCCTCAAAGGCTACGTTATACACGCCAATCTCTACTTTCTTATCATATGATGGGACAGGGAGGCCCATTTGCATGCATGCATCTGATTTATCTTCAAGTACATTTGTATATTCACCGATACGCCGCTTCCGTGTCACCTTTGTTTCATCGACGTGTACCATCGCCTCCTCAGTCATTTGAAAAACAGTCAGTGCTTCTGGCAACTTTTTGTGCAAATGCCATTGCAAGAATCCTTCAAGATTGCGTCGAACTATCCATTTCCTTAGCAGCACCATTTACGGCATATTCTGCCTATATGGCAGGAACCGTTATGCTTTTCCATGTCTCGAACCCCGACAATTCTTCTCAAGCAACAACTGCAACATCCAATTTGCCAAAAGTGAAGCGCCATTTGCATATTATAAAGCATTATTGGCCAACGATTGCTAAGTATGCCAATGCCCTGGAAAGTCTATCCAAGCTTGTATGCCGAAGCTCCGTCACTTCTACTGCCAATACTCCGGGTTGGTATGTTGCTCCAAGACAGGGGCCAGCTCTTGGCGCTCTTTCAAGCAATGTTCCTGTTAAACCCGTTCCCTTGCCTGCAAATATTCCATACAATGGCGCATCTGGTTCAGCAAAGAGTAGTACATTGACAGACCTTGCTTACGATACAAAAATTTCGAGGCCGCTCCCTGTTTCTGGGGTAGCTGCGAGTGGTACACAAAGCGGTTTGACCTTTGAAAATCGAGTGCCTCTTGTGTCCAACAGGGGTGGATTGGTCGCTCCACCAGTCTCGCCGTTTCCTACATCTAATGCTACCGCCTTAATGATTAGGGAGTATGCGAGAAAAGCCGATATAGATCCTGATTTGGTTCGTGTGGTATCGTTGTGCGATTGGTTCAAAAATCCGGTTGATGAGCTTGCTTTAAATAAGCCTTTACAGCTTGATTCATCGGATGAACAGGAAAAAAATGCGATAGACATTAGTCGCCATAATGGCGTGCTAAACCTTTGGAATTACGGTATGTAATGGGAATCTGCTGTGTTTATTCCTCATGTACACTTGCTTGTTTCCAGGAAGGCATATGGTTCTGTGTATTTATCCTAATCATCTTTTGTATTTATCCCTCTTTTTTTGGACGGACTTTTGCTTGGAAAGGTCCGTATGTATATGCTAGTTTATGTTGTATAGAACTAAGGCTCATGAAGTTACTTGTATAATGTTTATACGTAAATGTAGAATAATATATATCAATAATGAATCCCTTCATTACTCAGTCAACATGTTCGTAAGAACAGGATATAGAACAACCTTTCACTATACACAAGAATTCCAGCTTATCGGAAGAAGTTGATCAAAGGCTTTGTATTCAAACTTTCCTAAAAAATACATAAAAAAGTAGATATTCTGTTTCTTTTGATAATCAGTAAACGTAAACAAATCAATCTGTTTGTGTTTGTGAAACGATCCTCGCAAAAGTACATTAAAAGTTCATACAAACGGCCGGTAGTACTCAGTAAATTTATTAAATCTTATTGAATTTTAACCAAAAAACATACGTAATTGGATTACAACATCCAATGAAAGTAACAAGGAATTGGTGTCAGTGACATCAGTAGCTTAATAGAAACCAATGAGAACAAATACTTGAAAATGCTGTTTAACTTTCGTTATCTAACAAAAGTAACAAACCGAGACTCAATGAAATATTTCATTGGGTAATAGAATTAGAGTTGAACCTCGAAGAGAAACGGTTCGCTGACCAATCACTTTTAACTGGTGGGGTTCCGTTAACGACACAATCGTGGAGTATGTGACTGTTCCTTATCACGGAATTGAATTCATATATAAAGGGAAAATGGTCACGAAATCCGTCAACTCCCCCCTCTCTCTCTTACCTTTAACCAACTTCCAACAGGACATAAACAAGAATAAACCGTTTGTTTGACGATTTTTCTTGGAAACTTCTAGCTTTTAATAAACATAAACTTTTTAAAACTGGTTCTTCTTTTGTAGTATTTTGAAGAAACGGTGATTTAAAGACATAGAAGATATTGCATTTGCAAGAAGTTAACGTTAATATTATATTGGACCCCCTTCGTTTTAATTAATCAAAATGGCTTCTACTCAACAACCTACTGCTCCCGTCAGCCCCAATCTTTTGTCCGAGCAAAAGAACTCCCATTTCTTGGTCGACTTTCTTATGGGTGGTGTTGCTGCTGCCATCTCCAAGACTGCTGCTGCCCCCATCGAGCGTGTCAAGCTTTTAATCCAAAACCAAGATGAAATGATTCGTGCTGGTCGTCTTTCTCACCGCTACGCCGGTATTGGTGAGTGCTTCAAGCGTACCGTAGCCGACGAGGGTATTGTCTCTCTCTGGAGAGGTAACACTGCTAATGTTTTGCGTTACTTCCCTACCCAAGCTTTGAACTTTGCTTTCAAGGATAAGTTCAAGGCCATGTTCGGCTACAAGAAGGACAGAGATGGTTATGCTAAGTGGATTTTCGGTAACTTGGCTTCTGGTGGTGCCGCTGGTGCTACTTCCCTTTTGTTTGTCTATTCTTTGGACTATGCTCGTACTCGTTTGGCTAATGACGCCAAGTCTGCCAAGAAAGGTGGTGAGCGCCAATTCAACGGTTTGGTTGATGTCTACCGCAAGACTGTTGCCAGTGATGGTGTCCGTGGCTTGTACCGTGGTTTCGGTCCTTCCGTTGCTGGTATCATTGTTTACCGTGGTTTGTACTTTGGTATGTATGATACCTTGAAGCCCATCGTTTTGGTTGGACCCTTGGAAGGTAACATCTTGACCTCTTTCTTGCTCGGTTGGTTCGTAACTATTGGATCTGGTATTGCTTCTTATCCTTTGGATACCGTCCGTCGTCGTATGATGATGACCTCTGGTGAAGCCGTTAAGTACAGCTCTTCCTTCGAATGCTTCCGTCAAATCCTTGCTAGGGAAGGTCCTCGTTCTTTCTTCAGAGGTGCTGGTGCTAACATTCTCCGTGGTGTTGCTGCTGCTGGTGTCCTTTCCATCTACGATCAAGCTCAGCTCTTGATGTTCGGCAAGAAGCTTTAAATAGCTTGAAAAGCCTAGCTCTATATATACCGAACTTCTTACTTTTGCTTTTACGAATTCCCTTTCACTTTTTCAAAGTCTTGTCGACGTTGGTCTGTATCCTGTTTATAGGGAAGAAATTGGAGTGCCATAAACCTAGTTGTTACAAAAAATGCGTTACTGAGCTTGTACTTTTGTAAAGCAAAAAAGCTTAATACTTGTACAAGCTCACTCACACATCTTTTGTTTCATTGATCCTTACTTCCTTTTCTTTTCATTATAGTCCCTAGACAGAAGATGATTCAAGGATCATCTATTTGGAAAACCTATCTCTCTTTACAAAGATTCTTTGTGTTTACAGTCATGAATGAATGTTCCTGCAGTATAAAAATCTGATTGGTGAAATTAATAAGAAAGTAATCGTAGCTAGCAGTCAATGTATGAACGCTTGTAGTAGTTGAGCAATGTACTAGTTTCGATTTAATAGAAAGAGAACCTAATGTTAGCATGTATGATTTTGTAGTCTGTCATAGTGGATGAAGTTCTACTCTTCCTTATGTTTATTTGCAGTTCTCATCTGATTTTGTATGATGAAGAGAAGGAGCATATGAAGAGTATCTTAATGAGTGGTGTCTGTCATTTTAGTTAAATGAAGTCAAGGTCTTGTCTTTACCATCAACTCGGTGTCCGTAATAAACTTTGAATTTTTGGATCAACGTTCGCTCATTTAATCGCTCGCTGTTACATGAAGAATTCCTTCATAGATTAAGTACTTGTGGCTGGCGTTTTCTTCTCATATTTCAATTTATTGGAGTAAGATATTGATCTTCAGCAGAGTTGCTGTTTTCCCTTAAGTATTCCTTTCTATTCTTCGTTTATACTATATTTCTACTTGTTTTTAATCCTTCTAACGGTTTTTTATAACTTCATATACACAAAATGAGTTCCTTACAAAGACTTCCCTATGTAATCTTATTTTCACTGATTTTCTTGACTAAATTTGCGAGATGCGTCCCATTTAGTCCTACAAAACAAGAAGTTCAAGTGCATGAGCGTGCGTCGAAAGCCAAAGAAGAGCCATTTTGTTCTCTTTATCACCCTGGGACTGGAGAGTTTTATGACCTGAGCCCTCTATCCCGGTCGAATTTATCCACAAAAGGAGATTACAGTGTTTCAGGCTACGACTTTGAAGCAAACTTTACGCTCAATCTATGCAAACCGGTGACAAGCAACCTTTCGAATTACACCTTTGCAGGAGACATTCCTTCTGCTGAATCTATTGGTGGTTTTTTTGTAGATGAACGAAAGCGTATGTTTTCCATAGGTGAGGCATCTAGCGAGCCCTATTTTCGCGGTAAGAAACTGATTATGGAATTGGAAAATGGTTCTCGTTGTCCTACTTCTGATGACCTTCGAATGAGATCTATTATTAGCTTTAGTTGCAACCGTGACCCTTATGCTTCTTCATCTATTTCTTACGTTGCAAATGTATTAGACTGTGTCTTTTTCTTTGAGTGGAAAACGATTCATGCATGTCCAACAGTGAAGAAAGAGGCTACTTTGAGCCCCTTATCCGTCTTTTTAATCTTCTGTACCGTTGCTTTTCTCGCTTACTTTGTAGGTGGATGCATGTACAACCGGGCTATTTTCAATGCTCGTGGTTTACGACAAATACCAAATTATGAGTTATGGCATTCCATGTTTAGCCTTATCGTTGTATGTCCTCAACCCTTCTTTTTTTCTTCATCAAGCTAACATACTTTTAGGATTTCTCCATTATAGCTTTTGCTTCTTTCGCTTCTTGTTTCAATTTTAGAAAACCAAGCGGAATTCGCCTAGGTGAAGGGACAGCGAACAATTTGGACGACGCCTTAATAGACGACATTGACACGAACACTTAGTTCATTCTTTTACCTATCCAATCCTCTACTTTCTAATCTTCCACTGTCTTCTACCTTACGAGTACTATTTTACTCTCATGGGTGGACTTCCATTACAATAAGGATCTTTGCAAAATACATCTTGTTTGTATATATATTGTGAGCTCGGCCAACTTAAGTCAGCATTTATTAATTATGCACCCATTACACCAATTTTTTATTTGTTTTTCTAAAACAAGTGACATTAGATTCATGAATTCTGAGATAACTGATTCAGAATTATCGCTGGGTCGAGCATTGTTGATGACTGGAAGGACTGATTAGGATCAACCTTGCCGTCTGTTTGCTCAGGAGTTTGTTCGGCATCTTCACCTAGAAAGTTATCCCAGAACGGAAAGTGTTCATTTGTAGACATGTCGTTATTAGCGTATAGCAGTACATCCGATCCTCCCGTATCTTCTTCTAAATGAGCATCACTGCGAGTAATGTAAAACGAAGGATGATACACTTTTCCAGCGTGTGTATGATAATTTAGCATACTAGAAAGGGCATTAAAATCAACGAATTCCTCATTGGGAACTCCATATTCTTTGTAAGGTATGTCATTCAAATTTGAGTTATTAAACGGTTGAACGTTGCCGTTATTCACTGAAGGGTTTATAGTTCCTCGGAAGGTATTAAAAGCTGGTTGAGGTTTTTCTGAGGAATTTTTATGATAATCAGGTATATTTGGAGATCGGAAAGTTTCCTGAACAACATGTTTCTTATTTTGTTCTTCCTGTTCAGAAAGCTCCAAGGCCATTGTCAGCTTTGCTTGCAACTCATCTAAAACCGGAATTAGTTGTCGAGTTAGCCAATCGTTCGCAAATGTCTTTAAGGAATTCCGCCCAACTGTCAACTGAACAAGCAAACCTTTATTCTTTGTTAACAATGTAGCGTACATAAGGGTGACCATGGTGTTAAATCCACAAAACAACGTAGTCCAGTAGTAACGATTGTGGCTTTGCGTCAAGGCATTCGTTAAACAATTCAGATTTTGTATGCAAACAATAGCCGAATCCAAACATTTACAAGCCAAGATGAATGCACTTTGTCGTTCGGATGCTTTTAGAGCTTGCATTGCAGAGCTGCCAGCCTCCAAGTAATGAAGTAGAGGACGATACAAGAGCATTCGAAAGTAATAATAAGTCATCATAAGACTATACATGTGACGATTCTCGGGTGCCTGACCGGGCTGCTCAGTCTTGAAGCTTCTTGGAAGGGAGTTGTAGAATCCATCCATTGCTTGTTCCAGTTCAATAATTATAAAATAGGAAACGGTACGTTTGCTGGCAATCCTATGCCCAACCAAGTATAATTTAGTAAGGATGCGGCTAGTAATTTTGTAAAGTCGAATACCATGAAATAAAAAGTCGTTAGCTCGGGTTTGATAACCTTGAAGGAATTGAATTGAGAGATCTTTGGGCAAATATTGATCGATGTCTTCATCAGAAACCCCAAGAGGGAACCCAAAGAGGGTAGCGTAATGCCGGTCATGACAATACAAAGCCCAAAATACTCGTCGCCGAGCTTCCATTTGCTCAGGAGTGAAACCAGCAGTGATATTTCTATGCAAACCAAGTTTTAAAGAGCAATTAAGAGCCAATTTGAGATAATAATAACCTGCGCTTATTTCAGCACGACAATAGCGATAATTACTTATAAGTATAAGACATTGTACGCTGTCCAAGGAGTAATCGTCAATAGAATCAACTACACGTTCCGCATAAAAGCTGTATTTTTTAGCCATTTCTTGCGTCTCCAAATTAGTCGGATCACTTTGTAGAGAATGGTAATAACCATTGCATAATAAAGCACAAAAATATGCCAAAAAATTGGATTGATAATCGCCACTGTAAAGCAAGTTTATTCTATTGAATATAACACTAGGGGAATCGTAGAATAGAACACCTGTTATGTTTAAGAGAGCAGTCTTGATAACTTGAACAGCTATTTCCATCGGAGGAAGCGGCACCTTCCTGGGGTCAATACTCGTTACCAAGAAATCTAAACTAAAACGCGGACAGAAAGTATAGAATCGAGATTCCGGACTTGAGTAATCTGCCTGTATATCTTTACAACGCAAAGGATAAGCGGTATAGGGATTTTTTATCTCGAAATTACCGGGTAGGCATTTAATGAGATGATGTAGGAAGACAAAAACAGAGGTACTGCCTCGAAAATAACGTCTCCCGGTATTAATATCAGTATACAAACCGCTTGGTTCTATCGTAGTTTGAAACATGAGACGTTTATGATTTTCTCCGTGCTCTAGTTCGTTTGCTGCTTGAAACTTCTGTTCTCGCAAGAATAATAAAAAGTTCGGAGAGCTTGTAGATAAATCTACGGAAGAATGCTTTCTCAGGAGATTCTCAAGGTATCTGATACGTGATTCCAAGTTTTCAAGATATTCGGGAGAATGCGAGGATTTACGAGTAGAAGGCATTTTAAAAGTACATTCAACTCTTCCAAGCCTACAATTTTTGCACGGACGCATGCCGTCGCACTTTACCTTTTTCTTCCTGCATTTATCGCATGCACGAGTAACGCGCCTCCGTCTAGGGATCACATTAGCACCTTCTAAGAGAATGGAATCCTGGTCTATGTCGGCAGCTTCCTCCTTTGCCATATTTTAACGAAATAGCAAAATGATAGAAGAAGGTATTATATGTAAGAATAATATAAATAAGAATAATAATAATTATATGAGGACGTTAATCCAAAAAGAAGGTAGCCGAAAGGGAAGATGCAATCAACGGTTTATGTAAAGGAACCAAAAAGATAGAAATAAAGGGAATAAATAATCTAAAAACTGCTCCAACAATACGTTACAATCGCAAGTTATGAGTAAATTAGTTGTGTTTGGTTAAGCTTTGCGACGACCACTGTCGAACGATCACAAGAAACCAACGATTAAGAAGTATGTGAAAAAGAGACTATTATCTATATTAAATGGGTGAGAGTATACATACAGTCATTTGATATCATAAAACCCGGTAGAATGTGCAATGCTCAAAGAAACGATATTCAGTTCAATAATTCCCGTTAATAACTTAAGGATCCAAAAAAATAAATTCTATCAATATTGTAATGCTTTATAGCTTTAAAATTGCAAATTCCTGCCAGATATAGCAGTAATGTCGGTGTTGTTGGTAGTTTCTAGATCCCTTGTCCCGAGTAACTAAAGGTAGCCTTTTTTTATAAAGTGAGACAAGCGAAACATTAAGGCTCGCTTATATTTAGCAATAAACAAGCGAACGGATTGACCTTACTAGCAGGTGAAAGAAGAGGGTTTTTTAATAACTTATAGTTTGAGAGAAAACAAAAAAAAATAATAAAAAAAAACAGATACATTATTCAGGTATCATCAAATTCCTCCTTGTGATTAAAAGAGGACTAGTACCGGTCGACCCTTGAAAGATGTCGGTACACGAGAACGACGGAATCCAACCAAACAAGGTATATGCGCAATTCTATTTCTATATCTTTACAACTCTGTAAAGAGGAATCCAAGTCAATTCAGAGGTTGTCTGTCAAATTTCTTTCTATCTCTTGGATTATTGTCTGAAACAGGTAAGATGATATCACAAAAGCATAAAACCAACGAATACTCCAAACTAGAATTGGTAATTTACCTTTTGATAATTCGTAAAAATAAACTTTTTTTAAAAAGCGTCATTGAAAAATAGTCCAATTCTGGTTGATGAAGCCTTACACATGAAGGCCGCACAGAGACATTCTATTGACTACACCAAGCAGAACAGTAAACAAACCTCTTTCCTGAAGTTTGCACCATTTAGAGGCTTTCAGGATTTACAGCTTCCAAATTGATTCTCCAAGTAAAGGATAAAGGATAATCCTTTTCACCTGTTCATGTACCGGTTACCACTATCCTTGGCATCAAGTTTCCGATTGAAAAGAATATAAAGAAACGTTCCTTCACCGCTTGTAGAGGAGTTTGAAACGTATTCGAAAAGAAGACCCAAATTTTGTTTTCTTACTTAATTGACTCAAGATTAGCGCCCTCTTTGGAATACTATGGATACATATACAGTTGCATTTTTAAAGAAAGCTGGATTGGAGGACAGTGTTGAAGTTGCATCGACATGGAGCCCATTCATCCAAAATCTCGCAACCGGTACGGCCAATGAAGATTCGTTTCGAAAATGGCTTTATGAGGATCGTTTATACGTTCAGGCTACCTCTCTATTTTTAGCGAAGGTAATTGCGGCTTTACAAAAGGAAAATTCTCCTTCTGTTTCCGACGCATTGCACCTTGTGTTAGGAGCTTATCAGGTTGTTCGACCAGAAATTAGTCATTTTAATGAAAAATGCAAAGAAAAAGGAATTCAGCTTCCCCAATTGCCTTGTATTCCGACTTCCTGGGAACAAAATCTACTAGAAAACGACCCCCAACAGTATGCTTCTCATTCCTCCCCTGCTTGTTACGAATACATTTTGTTTGTCACAAAGACTATGTTTGAAATACGGAATGCTTCTGCTAGTGATTTTTATTTGGCATTTTACATGAACGAACTCATCTATCATCGAGCTTGGAAATTTGTTTATGAATCTTCATCCTTTCGAAAAAGCTTCACTCAAGACATGGAATTTGTTTCTTGGTGGGCAAACGATGAATTTGCAGAATTTGTTGAAAACCTAGCTCGTGCAGCACAGAAAATTAATATTACTGAGACAACTATCTTCATTTTAAAGAAAATTTGTCATTTTGAGCAGCGATTTTTTGATACTGCTCTTTCCTAAATCTTTTAAGTGTCTTCCAATTCCAGCATTTAAGCTTGCAAATTCTTCGAGAAGCTAGTATTTTCAACGCCTGACGGTAATCTACCATAACTTAATACCCCTTATTATTACCCTGAGGATACTTCAAGGGAATACTTCATTGTTGATTTCTCTTTCAACCTCTCTTGATAAAGTGGCAATCTTATGTTTACGTTTTTTAATATTATCTTTTTCGTTCCCACTTTATGCTGAAAGTTTCACTTTTAATAGACTTCGTAAATAAACAAGAAAATTCCTGCTTTTTTAACATTCATTTCATATAATTGACAGTAAACGTCCTGTCAAACTTGCTTTTTTAAAAGAATAAAGTAAGCAATGTTTCATTGTATCATAATTATCAGATCAATTCGCTTAGATAAAATCAGAATCCCCCTACCATATACTACGGAAATGAAGTTTCTGAACGTGTCTTTTTCCAAACGGTTGGTCTAATTTTGGCAACTTTTATTTTCTTTGATCAAAGCTTTTTACAAGCAAATCATGGAAGAAAAAGGTAAGATTGTTTAGAAGTGGATTACCCAGGAAATGCTGCCAATTTTCCATATGGTTACGCTGGTTCCGTCGCTTTCCCGAGCAGATTCATTAGCTATCTACTTCAATTAACAAAAACTAACAGAATTAGACAAGTATGCACAAGAAAATGAAAGTGTCCCTTTAAAGCAGACAGAATCTACTATTGATCCGGATGCTGAAGTAACCATAGATATCAGATTTCCTGACCGTACACCAACCTTGTCTTTTTCTTTGCCACTTTCGAGTACGATACATGATGTTCGGCAAGTAATCTTGGAGCTGTTGCTGGCTCCTACGAACACTTGCTTCCACCTTGCTCATGAAAACGAAAAATTACAACCCTTTGCTGAACTTCATGAGATTCAAACTTTAGAGTCACTGCAAAAATCCGAAACACTTGTTTTTGACGTGGTATTGGACCCATACACAGAAAGGGATGCAAGGTTTCATATCTTCACTCTCTTAGATTTTTTGGACAGAAGCAATAGAAATTATAAAAGCGACAATTTTGGAATTCGTACTGGTTTTTGCATGTTTCCTGAAATGAACAACCCTACTGAATCCTATCAGATGGATGCTGCCGAATCATCCAATTCAAAGTTTTCCATCCTAAACAAAGATTTTTGGCCTGATAATACACACCCTTTTCATTCTTCTTATGAAAAATTACTATCTCCCATGCTACCCTCTAGACCATTCTTTCAGCATACCTGCTTTCGGTCTTTTTCTCTTTCTGCTTGGAATCCAGTTCCACCCGAATACGCCATGCAAGGACATCTTTTGTACTTAAGTGTCACGACTTTAGAGGGACAACTTTACCATATCACTTCTCATGTTGCAGGATATTTTGTCAACAAATCCACAAACACGCGATTTGATCCGACCTCCCAAGGTGATCTACGTAGTCATTCTCTCATCTCACTACTTTGTCAACTATCTCCTCTCTTCAAAGAAAACCTTGAAGCTTTACTTGATATATATAGGCAGCAAGATCAACTTGCCTTTGCTAGAATTAGCGGTTCAATTCCTCAAGCTCCTTGGATTACAATGCCCGCTCAAAATATACCCAACTTGAAAAAAACCCAAGAAGCACAACTTAATCCATATATTGAAAATCAAGGAAATCTGCGTGATTGGAATGAAGAGATCCAATCCGCTCGAGAAATGGCTCATGAAAGTATCCAAGATCGTGTCTTACGTGAGCGATTATTAATGAAAACATTACAAGATTTTACTGAAGTTTCCGTTCAAGGAGCCATTGAAATTGTAAATGGAAACATTCCTTCTCTTAACCCCTTGGAGCCAGAAGGTTCTCGCATGTATGTTCATAACAATATATTTTTTTCTTTTGGACGTGATAGCGTTGGCATATTCAAAAAACATGGAGGGGATGCTGCTGCCTATTACGCTGTCGGGAAAGATGCTACCACGATTCGTTTAATAAATCAATTGGATGTAGTAAACCTTTCTTCCCTTGGAACATGCATCGTGGACTATGCTGGTCACAGAATAGTTGCTCAAACAATTATTCCTGGAATCTTTAAACAGCTGGAATTAGGAAGTTCTCAGCTTATCTATGGAAGCGTCGAGGGTGAGGAAAAGTTTCGTTTTGATTCATCATTGGAGCCTGAGTTATTGAAACTTGCTAATACCTTACATATTAAAAAACATAACTATAAAGATCAGGATGGTAGTATCATTCCCTTATACACTAGTTTAGATACCAAAGGCTTGTTAGGTTCAGATGGAAGAAAATACGTGATGGATCTTTATAGCCTATTTCCTCCTGATCTTGGATTTTTGAATCGCATTGAACGAAACAGTTCTGGCTTATATTCTGACTATCCCCATCGGCTAGTGCAATTTCGTCCTGAGCTAATACAGTCTTTTTGGGAAAACTCCTTAAATGAAGAGACAGAAGAAAAAGTAGGATCCTCTGAAGATAAAGATATAACTGAACAATTAAAAAAGACAGTTTTGAATCAAAATGGTACCGGAGTTCCAGAAGCTTCCCAAATCCCATTAAAGACAAAGAAAAAAGTTGCACAGGAAGATTGCCTTTTCAATCCTAATGTTTTTCATCCTGCATATAAATATCCCGAAAACGAAGAAGGTGCTCACAAAGATGATATTTATTTCCTCGAAAAGGTTTCCAGCTATCTTAGTGAAACTGTGATACCTCAGTTTATTGATTCCATATGCAATGATTTTTCCTTTATGCCGATTGACGGCATTGCCCTCTCCCGTGCATTACATCGTAACGGAATCAATATAAGGTATCTTGGGGATATGTTGTATGTGATTTTAGATAAGTATCCAGAAAACACCGCTATGATACGTCTTTTCACCAGTGAAATTTTTGCGCGATCTGCCAAACATCTAATTCGAGCTTATATATCCAAGACTCCACGTTGTCTGATAAGCCATGTCGTATCTCACTTTTTTAATTGTTTACTTGCCGAAAGCGAAGATGATCAGTCATTTCCTTTTTTGCCAGAGGAGTCGATTTCACAATTTTATCCTGAAACCTGCCAAATGCTTGTATCAATGTCGCCAAAATTGGTATCAGAAGCTTTAATGAAGGAGTCACAATCAAGATTTGGTTATAAAATACCCCGAGAGTTTGTCAAAGAAGTTAACCAAATATCCTTAATTCGCCTAATTTGTCTGAAACTGGGGATTCAGTTAGCATGCAAAGACTATGTTAGTAAGGGAGAAAATACAGAAGCTCATGATCAAATATCTGATCCAAAAAGTAAAAGAAACAAGAAAAAGAAAAAAGAGAAGAAGGCCAAGCAAATTGGTTATTCAGAACGGGTTAACTCATTTCATAAATTATTGCCCCAAGACATTCTAAATCTAGCGCCAGTTGTGAAGAGCACTATCCCTTATAGTGCTTTAGCACAGGAATCACTAGATGCTTGTAAAGTCTGCTTGCTTCAAGAAAACAAAGACCTATGTTATGATCTTTTAAATGAATCCCTTTCTCTTCACGAACAAATATATGGGGTCTTTCATCCTGAGATTGCTCGTGCTTATTGTCAGTTAGCCATGATATGCCATCAGTTAGGTAAAAAAGAAGAGTCTTGTTCATTAGGGAGGAAAGCTTTAGTGGTGTGCGAACGAATCCTCGGTTTTGATTCCTCGGAAACCATTTTAGCGTATCTCAACTTAGCGTTGTATGAATTTTCTCATAATCGGATATCTCAAGCTTTAGTATATAGTCAGTATGCATTACAACTGTGGCACATGGTGTTTGGAACTGATCACCCGAATATGATAACCTCATATACCAATATTGGCTTAATGCTCCGCTCAATGAAATTATTATCCGAAAGTAAAACTTGCATCAAGTGGGCCTTGGATTTATGCCAGAAATTTCAGGGCAAGACGAGTACCACCGCTGCACTCACTTTGCAGTATGCTCAAGCCTTGGCATTAACAAAGGACCTTCGTCAGGCATCCCAGGAAGCTCGTGCAGCTTACAAATTTTATGAGGAAAACTTGGGTTCCGAACATAATGCCACGAAAGAAGCTGAACATTGGCTATCCCAACTTATAGCTTCAGCTGTAAAGCAAGAAAAAGTTTCTCGACAATAGGATAAGATGTGCGTTTGCTGTAAAATACTAATTAATTCAAAATGCTCGTCCTTCCATTTACTTCTTGATCGTATACGCCTTTCTAATAAACAAATATGAGAGCAAATTAAACATGAAAAGTTCCGTTTTATTACAGCTAATGTATGATATATCTCAATTCAACCTATGAAAACACCAAAAAAAATACATAAAAAGGAAATATAGAATATAACAAATAACCATGAGTAAGAAAAAAAAAATTTTAAATAGTAACCTTCATTTAAGTAGAAACCTCAATTATTGAACATTGAAAAATCCAAACCCATATCTTCAAACATATTCGGATTGTATACATTAGCAGCCGAGAAATCCAAATGTAGCTCATCGTTAAACGGATACATGGACAGAGTTTGGTCCAAGATGGGGGTTACTCCAGCAACTAAATCATTGCTTGAAAATCCATTCAGGTCATTAGGAGTCTTTCCCTCGCGTGATTCAGCCTTGTTTTGTTGCATTTCCAGAAAGCTGTTATTCAAAGAATCTAGATATTCGTGATTGAAATGGAGGTTGCTCCCAGAAAATACGTCTTCCGTACCAGCTTCAGATTGACTAGGATTTGGTGTAAAAGAAGGTGGCGTTGGGACTGATTCATTGTAAGGAAACGGTGACTCATTAGTTGCAGCAACATCTGTCTGAACATCAAAAGGGGTTGATAAAGACCTTGCCATTTGTTGAGCCTTCTGGACAGCAAGTTCCGCTGTTGAAATTATACTATCCAATGCATTTAAAGTAACACTAAATTGAAAGTAACCAGCCAATCTGCCCACACACGACAAAAAGCATCTTTTGACGGTAATCAAGCAGTTAATATCCTCTCTGCAGGAAGAAGCAAGTGGACGTTTCAGAATTCCGATAAATAAAATCAGGGTTGCAGTGAATGCATGATACATAGCAACCTTAAGGGAAAACTCTTGTCCATGAAGTGATACTGAAAATAAGTAGGTAATCGCACGAGCACCCTGAATGCAAAGAGCTTGGGAATCCATAGTATTGCTTAATCCTCTGTGAGTACAGCTTATTTGAAGGTTTTTTGTTAATGCGTGTCGATGAAGAAGAATAAGAGCTGCATAATAACCTCCAGCTAACAAATGACTCGATGGGCGACTAAATGTGGAAAAGGAGACTGGGCGGATGCTTTCCGGAACCTCTAACAACCATTCATGTAGTTCCAAGTCCAAAGCCTTAATTTTTTCTTTTAAGTCATTTGTAGTCGATTTCATGCCAGTCACTGAGTATAACTGGCGCAAGATACGTCCATAAACTTGCATTAATCTAACGACACATTCAAGAAAATTATACTTTCTAAGTTCATCGCTTCTTGGGTTTCCTACAGGGCTGAAATCATAAATCGAGTAAAACGGTATTATCTGATCAATATCTTCATCTTGAAATGCTAGTGGCTTTCCTGACGTGAAGGAAAAAAGTCGATCCATAGAATAAATCAGCCAAAAGACACGAGCCTTTTCCTCAGCATCTTCTTTATTAATACACCACATGGCACTGTTACGATGAAGACCAAGGGTTTGAGCAACTCTAATAACAACACCCAAGCTTAGCCATGCAGAATTAGGTTGACAAATAGCAGAAAAAAATATAGAGGAAAGAAAAGATACCAATAATGTATCAAAACTCATGAATCTGGTAACCTCCAATTTAACATCTAAAACATTCATATAAAGAGCTTTAGCTCGCTTAAGGTTACATTCATTTTCACCAGTTCCTATACATCCTAGACAGAGTACACTTACATACAAAGCGTAGTTGGTAACATCTAGACAACCATCTTGGCGTTTGTACCAATCAGGAGAACCAAACCTTTTATCAAAACTTTCTTTTGTGAAAATTGGAAATTCACTATTAAACGTATTAAAATAAGCATCGATATAGGCTTGAGCAACTTCAGGAGGTGGTAGCTCTTCTCGGTTCGCGTCGATATTATCTTCTTGTTGTTCGGCTAGACAACCCGATTTTGCAAGCGATAAGTTTTCAAGAGCTTTTTCAGAAGCAATACCTGAAGCGAATTTGGTCGCATGTTGAAGAATGGAAAGGGTTGAAGAGGCACCGATGTACTTTTGATTACCAATAGGAGTAGTTATTAGCATTCCCATTTTTTCATTTAGAAAAGCTAAATCATCAGATGCGGACTCATCAGAGGAAGAATCTGCTTTATAACTTTTCTCAGCCTCTTCTGCATCAGCATTGGGATTTGGGACAGACTCGTTTTCGGGAGTGTAATTTGGAATGACTGATCGTAAAGTTGATTCCATTTGCTCCAGTCTAGAGACCAAAGACTTAACATAAATTTGCTTTTGACCTGTTCTTCTTTTGGGCCTAGCAGTGTAGATACAAGAAACATTGTGATTAAGACAGTTTCTGCAGGTAGGTTGTTTTCCATCGCAGCGAATTTTGCGTTTGCGACACAAATCGCATGCACGATTAATTCTCTTTTTTAGCTTGTTTTCATTTGTCTGAGGATTTTCGCCTTCTGGATATGCCATTTTCTTTTTTCGGTATACGGAAACAGTGCAGAATGACAAAAATACTTCCCGATTTGTAAAGATTTTAGTAATTTAGGAATAGAAATCAAGTAGTCTTAATCTGGCTTGCAATTTCAGACACGCAACGCTTGAAATTCAAAAAAACCTATTTAAAATTATTTGATGTCCCAATATAAAGAAATAGAGCAATTATTTCAATTTCTATTTTCAATTAACATATAAAAGACCATAAAACACTCAAATAAAAGAGGAAATTAGCCTCTTTCCTACATATCAAGTTGGTTATTATAAAAGTCGTTGGTAGAAATTAGATCTTTTAGTAGCCCACAGGAAAGGATTGAACTGGAGAGGTGCAAGGTGATATTAAGAGAGATTCGGTGGTAAAACTACTTTTAGATTAGATCGTAACTTCAAATATATAAGTTTTGCCTGATTATCGATCAATCAGAAATATCTGATCTAAAGTTGACCACCATATCCAAAGGCAAAAATGCTTATAAAGGAAGTAAGAAATTTGTAAAAAAGATCATATAAGGTTAGTTTTTATTCCTTTATAAGCTTTTTTTTTATAGTCTATTTAATTTAAAAGGGACCCTTGAGTATTCATCTTGACTTGTAAAGCAAAACACACTTCAAATGGTTCTTTTTTTATGCCATGTTGTCCATAATAAATGTTCATTCCCATCGAGGGCTTAATCCCATTTATACACGTTTCAATTCATGCCTAGTGGAAGCCAAAATTGAGAGTGCGAGTTGTCTTATAACTACAAATAAAACGACTTCTTGTTCTAAGGTTTCCAATTCATCAATTCATTCATGACTAAACTTTTCTTTTTTTTCACAGCATCTGCATCAGTATTACCCTGTTGGTGATGATAATTAACTAATGCTTGAGAGAACACAAGACGATTTAAAATTTAAATCACTCTTCATTACTGATATTGAACAAAACCGCCAGACATGATACTTTATTACGCCTTAATGAATTATGAATTCGTACAATTTGTCAATATCACGCATAATTCAAATCCCGTCATCATGCTATAATACAGCAGAGCTTTTCTAGCTTTGATTTTTTCTTTTTTTTGGGAGCTTGGTCAGACGCTTTTGGAGTTTGCTGCTTTGACGATGCCGGTCGAGGGGCTGCTGACTCAGTCGCTGCGAAACTTCGAAGCTCAGGATTTGAAGTAATTATATCCTTTTCTCGTGTTTGAGGATGGATAGATTTATGGTGAAGCGAATTATTGTAATCGGAAACAATAGAAACATCTTCTTGAGGGGAAGGATTAGCATTTGATTTCGAGGTTCCACGGAATGGAGAACTCTTCAAGAGCTGAGAATTTTCACGCACGTAAGGAGCAGGCGAGTCGGTAAATTCGTTACGTGAGGAAGGGTTATAAGAATTAGATACAGAAACATCTTGTTGATGGCTACTGTCTATATCATTATCAACGCTGCTTAAGTGAAGTTTGAAAAATAAATCACTACTGTTTGGAAGAGGTTGAAAGGAATGAACCGAACGGGAAATGGCGTCTGAAGATGCAGTACTAGCATCGTCAGCAGGGTGGAAATTGGGCTCATGGACGTTTGGAGAATGCATACCCGAATTTATTACCTGCTTCTCTTGTTTCTCTGCAGACGGAGAAGTAGGATTTGAAGGTAACGGCGGCATAGGTGATTCTGGGGGATTCTGTTTATTGAGGGTTCGAGCAGGTGAGTACGTAGCAGCAGATTTCATGGCTTCGTACTCTTCAGATTGGGAGGGAGAGGGCGCGGGAACAGAATAAGGTCTCGATTTTGATGAATCAGCTGGCAACGCAGCTGACTGTTGCAATGGCCAAGCAGCATGCTTGCTGTTAATTTTGGGTATAGGGATATCACGAGGAGGGTTTTCCAAATGGGAAACAGCACGCATTGTATTTTTTGAAAGCTGCGCGATAGATCGTTCCAACCTTTCCATAGTAAAATTCAGCCTCGAGTCCAGAGTAGATGTATCTAACAAAGCTGGAGACGCACTCTTGATCCGGTTGGCATATCGCTGACGATTTTGAATCTGAGAAAGCTCCAGATAGTGCCTTCTTGTTTCGGTACCAACATCAAAAGCTCGGTAGTTGGATTTGAGATTTGTAGTAGGAATGGCAAACATACTATTGGGTAAAGATTCTCGATTAATTTGATCGTTCGGAAAAAACGAAAAGCTTCTTTCTTGGTGTAATGAAGGAGAGTTCAGATCGATAATTTCTTTGTTTGGAGAAGTGAAAGAGTGCATAGGGACTGAGGTGGAGCTAGGGCCCGACGAAGTAAAAGGCCTCCTTATGAAATTATATGGGTTAAGAGGTGACTCTCGTCCTTGTTCATTTGTGATGGGTCCATCAGAAACGTCTGAAAGAAACTCTGTTTTTACCGGAGAAACATCATGCTGACTAGCATTCGGAACTTCGTCGACATCCGACAGATCATCAGGTGGGAGAGCGGTTGTTGTTCTTGGTCTTGATTCTCGATACTTCTATACAAATTGATGCATATCCATGGACCCTTATGCAAAGGGACCCATGAGGCATCCATGTTAGTCATAAAAAAAAAATATGAAAAGAAGAAGCGATAGAAGCACGAGTTCATGCTTCATCGATTCAAGTCGTGTGTTTCACTTACATCTTGAAAGTTTGTTCTCCAAAAGGAAGGGATTGAAGAATTCGGGGCTAAAACAGACATACAAGAAAGGGATATAAAAGACAGAGTTTTTTAGAAAGCAAAACTAGCAAAAGAACGTGAGATTTGGAGTATTTTCAATTCTATATGGTTTACTGAAAGAATGCGCGTCTCACCTTAGGCGAAGGCCTTTAGACAAAAAAACAAATTGGAGCAAGGGAACTAGTAAAATAAAAAAGGATTTAAATATTTTGAATAATAAATGGCCCAAATTTTGTTCAATTAATGAAGAGTGTGTATTCTCTTACAAAACGACTTTGTTGAAAGGTTTTGTGAAGAAATGTGTTTTCAAGGAGTGATCCCACTTGGAAAGAAAAATAATGAAACAAAAGTATATATATATCTTCTGGGAACTCTTAAACGTACGGAAAAGACGCGTAAAACAGACATTATGACCGGCGAAAGTCAACGTCTTCTTTCCTTCTTAAAAATTACTTAAAGTCACTTGATGGGCGTTCCAAGAAAGAATACACATAGTGTACCCTCCTTGCTGGCATGAAAAGGTAGATCGGCTTACTATTCCTCGAAAGTCGCGTTTTCAGGAAAACAAACGACAAACGGCTAATGAAATGAACGAGAATTTGTACAGATTTTCACTAGTTTGGATTATTAATAAAAAAGAAGATATTGGCTTGTTTCTTTATAGCTATAGAGGAAGCAGTTAGCAAATGAGAGGGTATGCTTTTTCCCTTTTGTATCTTTCTTCGGACGAATTTTCTAAATAATTATCTCAAGATTTGTCTTTCTTTCAACAAAAAGAGAAGTCTGATAATTTGCTGATTTCGTTCATTGTCTGTCTTTTGTCCGTCAAAGACTGACCATAGAATTTACCAAACTTTTACTAGCAGACGAATTTGCAAGGATAACACTTAAGGCATCCGAAAACCAAATAAACAAGAAAGAAATTTAAAGGACTCAGCTATCCTTTGAGTCGTAAAAGTGTCTGAAACGAAGATATCTATCCTTTTGTCCAATACCTCAAAACTTGAAGCGTTTGCCGCATGATGAATTCTTACCTTGTAGGTTTCCACGCTTTGGAAAAGCGTTACTGGGTTTCTTTTCTCGTAGTTTCTGTCACAGTTTTGGTAGGTATAGTAATTCGAAAGAAGACACAAAAGACCGAAGAAGTCATTATCGTTAAGTACAAGGATGAACAACTGAAGTTTGTTTTCCGACAACCGAGACTTGCCAAAGTATCTTATTCAAGTCTTCTCCAGCGGGTTTGCAGAGCTTTTTCTGTTGCTCCTGAAAAGGTCTATTTGGAGTCTGAGGGAAAACAGCTTCAAGATGCCTCTCTTGCTCAGCAAAAAGTGGGAGACGGATCTGTATTGCATTTGAAGCCAGTTCCTCTTAGTCCTGCGTTACAGCAGATTGAAGTGTACAGAACAGACCTGGAGAAGGACATAGTTCCTCTCGTTCAACAGTATTGCTCTTCCCCTCCTTCTGATGCGCTTGCTATTGAAGACGCTCATGTTCGTCTCACAGAGACTTTGCTTGGTAGGATGATTCGTCTCGATGCTATAGATGTTCAGGACGACCCTGATGCACGTATGAAACGAAAAGAAGCAGTTCGATGGACCCAAAGTTTTCTGCAAAAATTAGATGTAGCAAAATCTGACTCTCTAAAGGAGTTGAAATAACATTCCTCAGATATCATCGCATCAAAATTGACAAGAATTTATGTTCCCCAAACAACTGCGCATTGGTTTGGTTTTCAAGACATCCATTCTATTTCCTTTTAAGATAATTGTTATTCCAACTTCTTACAAGCATCCTATTACCTTTACAAACTTTTCAATTGATCTGTTCTTAAACTCATTTGTTTACTAAAGCATTCTTTTACTACACACTAAACGGAAATTACAAACTGCTTCGACCTCTCTATATGGGAATCAAGGTGCATTCATTTACTCTTTACCACCATTGAATCCTTTCGTTTTCCCTTCTAAAACACTGGAATTTTCTCTCAATGGTAAGAACTGAAAGAAGAAAGAATACTAAGAGATTATAGACCGCCATATTCAATTTTCAGAGCTTGTTATCAGTCCTCTTGTTGACGGTTTGTACTTGTACCTACATTCACAGACAATTCCCTGCTTTATTGGATAAAAGAAAAGAAGGGTATGCTTTTTTTATGTATTCGTGGAATTTCTTGGTTCTGACTGCAAAAGTGTTACTACCGTATTTTGGAAATGCGCGAGAATTGGTGAACGTGCTAGTCCCGTATGTTTATTTACTTAGAAGAACTGTTTCTTACAATACTAGTATATCTCTCTTTTCTGCATTTTGATGGCTCTACGATTAATGTTTGGATCCAGTTGAACAACTTTGGATATTATTTACCTTCATTTTAAGAAGCACAAAAACAAAAATACAAAAACAACCGTAATCCTTATGATAGACAAATTATGACCTTCCTCCTTTCTTACAATGACCGTGGAATTTCAACTAAATACTGTGCAAATTGGATATCTTCTACGCCGTCGACGCCTGTAAATTGGTTTATGATTGCTGTATGGAAAATTAAGGATCTGAACCTTGGCACTCTCTTAATTCTTCTTTGTAATTTTCTTCATTCTGCTTCCTGTATTGTATAAATGGTCCTTGTTATTTCGGATTGCCATCAAACAAACTATATGATCGCGATTCGTTTACAAAAACTATTACTTGGTTCTCAAATTTAACTCGAAATCTCTTTTGACTTTTCTAGAAGTGAAAAGAAATGCGAGAACCCCAATGTAAAAGAAAAGATGTTCATTATTTACAAAAAGCAAATTGAAAACTTTGCAGATACTAAAAGCTTATATTTTTCATTGCTTTTAAGCCATGTAAAGGCGAGCGTTATGAATTCAAATTCACCGAATCAGATGAATTATGCTATTGTCTACGAAATATCTAGCATAAAAGGAATCGTTCATGTTTGCTGCGGCAGTCTTATAAGAATACAAGCACAATAAAGGTTATGAAGTGGAAGTTGAAAAAAAAAAAAAGGCGAAACTCTAATAATCTTGTTTAGAGCTGCAAGTTGAGGCGGAAAAATTACGATGCTTAAAAAATTGACCCTTGAAAAGGGACAAGTCCTTTTCGTTACGACCAAGTCTTTGACAATTGCTAAATGCCATAATACACATAATCTCACTATTCTCATTTCAACGCATTAGAAAACAGTTATTTCAAAATGATAATAGACGAGAGGAAAGATTTATTTTCATAAATGAAGCTCTAACCAAAATTCATCGCACGATATGTTTCTTCGGTTTGGTGAACGCTTGCCAAGTACAATTTCTCGTATTACTTATTCCCATCGTAATTAAAAGTCTTTTGATTTTGAGAATACAGCTCAATAAGCTTCATTAAAGTCCTAATGTTATCCACAAGTGTCTTCAACAGAAAAGGAAGTTGCAAGTTATAATATACATAATTCAATATATGGAGATCAAATAACTCTACTACCGCATTTGGTTCAAAAAAAAGTTTCTCAATATATTGCATTCAAATTTCTACAAAATGGTCTTTCATACTAGAAAACCATGTTAGTAAATATTGACAGTTTTGTGAGATATCTGTCAGATTCAGTTGCTACTGGATGCCGTTCATTACTTTCTTTATTAAAAACCGTCTTACTTTCATAGACCAGTTTTCTTGCCTTGATTCAGCTTTTTTCATTACTTCTCTATTGTCTAAACGAGAACAACTTCCTTCTCATACTTCTACTGTTTGTTCGCTTAATACTTGATCAAGTAACCTTTATTCCTCCAGTGGTATTCAGACGTGCAAATTATGTATGAATTCCTTTTTTGTTAACCAAAAAAGTTACTAAACGGTCCTTAAAGCCATGAACACAATCAGTGGTTTGGGTGGGGATATCTCCTTGTTCATAAATCCTTATAAATCAGATTAAAATGAAAAAATCATGCTTGGATTTCTATGTATACAAAGGTGAGTTGTAGAGCTAAATCAAAAGGAAATTAGTATGCAATGCAAAGGAAGACGAAAAAGTTACTCAGCTGAAGGTTAAAATAGTTATTTCAGTGAAGGATGAACTGAATATCTAGGAGGTTGTAATGTAAAACAAAAAAAAAAAAAGAAATTAAAAATTGCATCTATTATTATTTTTTTCGGCTTATGCAATCTTGCAAAAAGCCCAACACATTGTCATAATCGAAAGCGGCATTAAGGGTCCTTGTACATGTAATCTTCTATCAGTACTAAACAATACCGTCAGCTTTTAAGTCATATACTTAGAAGAAAGCTTAAAGGTACCGGACTTGGAATAACGATAGAGACCCAACATCATCAAATATTCAAGGAGCTATTAATATAGTGAAGGCAAAAAAGGAAAGGGAGAAACAAAAAGGAAGTTTGTACTCATATCTCTTTGAAAAAAAAAACGTGATAAATAAATAGTAATCCTATAGGCCGACGCGATTAAGCTTGTATATGACAAACCATAACTTATGGAATTATACCTGATGATAGGGCTAAACAAATCACAGAAATATGCCTGAGAATAATACATAAGGAATTCAAGATTGAAGAAAAAGCCAACCTTCTCATCATAGTATACGCTCAGACAACAAAAGGATACAAACATTATACGCTCTTTTAGAAACATTTTTGAACGTTGAGATTATCGTCTCAAATGAGCCCCTGCTCCACTATATAGTGATTTCCAAAGAAAGGCTTCAGAGAGTAAAATTTCGATATCACTGACAGTCCAGCTGTCAGTGGGGATAGATTGTAAAAACATCAATATATCTTGAAATTCCATTTGTTGCAGCCCTGTGGACCATTTGACTAAAAAGGCAGCACAAACATACAGATGGAATTCAGAAAATCCTTGTGTTCCCTCAGCCAGATATGTATCCCACATACGAATAATGTTTATTATGCTTAGTTCGCGCATTAAAAGACAATTCATCCACCGAAAACTAAATTGCATAAAGTCTACACCCTCCGCCTGGAGATGCGCAACAAGAGGCTCATCTATTCGTAGCGTGAGTTCACGAAGATTATTAATTTGTCGATGAATTCCCGGTTGAGCATGAATATAATTGTCTTGAATTCCATCTAACAATTTGGAAAGACACCAGTAAGAGTCGGCTTCTATATTATTGAGGATAGATTCATGAAGAAGAGAAACGTCATAAGTCATAGGTTCGTTATCATCAGTATATTCAGAAAGAAAGACTTGGAAAAATGGAGTCACAAGATCACTTATACCTTGGACGTAACCGCTTGCCGGGTGTCGTGAGGCCCAAACATAAAGTATGCGTTCAAGAATTCTTTGGGTCACAGGATTTTGATAAAGAGGTATAAAAGGATTTGTACGAGGAACATCAAGGACAATTTGGCGCCAAATGGTCTGGTCGAGAACAGACGGATCAGAGCTACTATGAAAATTGGCATCTTTAGCACTTAAATATTCATCTCTTTTTCTCTGTAAAGTTGAATCTCGTCGAGAAGCATTACACGGCAAATATCCTAACAAATACTTCCAGACGATAGGTCTTAACTGTGAGGGTATACCATTCCATGCTAAAGTCCTTAAAGCATTAAGATCAACCACGGGAGCATCTAGAATTCGTATAAATTTTTTTATTCGAGAAATATGGGCGTTTGCCTCCGCAACTTCCACTTCAACTGAACGTGGAGCAGATTGACGGGAGGAAACTCTGCTAAGTGAAGGCATCGTTCTCGAGAACGTAGTCTCCTGCGTTCCTTTAGGAAAAACGATTCGACTTGAAGATGTGGGAGTAGACGATCTAGAGGATTTACAGACGGACTTCGGAGAAATCACGTTAGAGAGACCCCATGCATCATCTGTTTGAGAAAGGTATTTAGCGAATTTGGATGAAACTCGTTTTCCAATACCACCGTCCACAGAAGAACTAGATCGAGCAATTGGCGCATGAAGAGGAGGGCTTGACTTAACCTCTGTATTTGATCGCGACGGGGGTGAGACATTCGGGGTAGTCAAATCACCTCTATTAGGGTCTGCATTAAATGAATCGATTTTTGTAGGTGAGCTCTTTACATGCTTATGATGCGTACTATGTTTTCGGTCAACACCTGCAATCGAATCAGTAGATGAACCAATGGTGCCATTCCAGATACCAGAAAGCGTGCGCAAAGTGGATGATTTTTTTGATTGCGATTCCATAGCGATATATATATTCGTACAGAATAAATAATATACGATGTGCTGAAAGGGAACCGAAATTAAGTGACAATAGTGGGATAAATCAATTTAAAATATGTTGCGATTAAGAAATACTTGAAGGAATATACAATGGTCGAGTGCACAGGATAGGAAAAGATTAATGATTCAAGGGTAGAGACTAAAGATACTCCATAAAGATGAAAAAGAAGTCCCTGTGAAGAAATGAAGAAATGACAAAAAGAATGAGCGATGGCCTTGTCAAATAGGACTGAAGAATTCGTGAAATTCTTTCTTTAATTATTGCAAATTAGATACCTGCGTACCTTTTTTGATGTTAAGGGAGGTTTGGTCTTGCCATGTAACAACACATGCAATCGCACCAGACGACAATTAGGAGCCGAAATATTGCCTATTAATTTTAGAAAGTACCTTTTTCTTATTAGAAATCACGAAACCTCAACGGGTTTCAACAGCTTCCTTAAAAACAAGAGATTTGGTGTATTAGGTAGTACGCACGTAGGAATGGTGTGTTTTGGTGGTAAAGTAGATATATAAACAAAGCAACTTTCTTGGACAAAAAAAAAAAAAAAAAAAAAAAAATAGTATGCAGACGTTTAATTATATTTATGGGTTTTCTTCTACTTTTGTTTTTTTATTGGGGAGGGGATTTGACTTGTCTCATATATCAGTCTTTATATCCTAGTAGTGTTTGCTGACAACTGAAGCAAAAGGAAATAGAAGTAAGAAAAATACAAAAGAAGCACCGTATGTTTTGAAGGATGAATGTCCTGCTCATAATGCAGCGTCTGCCGTTTTTCAGGTAGCGCGATTGTACTTGGTCTTTTAATAAGAAACTGTTGTAATTCATAGATAGACATAGGTAGCATCCTTGTAACAAAATAAAATTCTTTTTCAACTTATTGTTGCATCTCTTGAGTCTTTCCATTCCTTTCGTTTGAGGACACGTCCATCGACTAGTCATTATAAGTATGTATGATAGTAGTAGAAAATTGAATAAAGACAAAGGACATAGAATAAAAAAAAGTTTTTTATTCGTACATCAAAAGGGAAAGCACATAGCTTAGATTCGCCTCGTTCAATACTCACATTATCCTGTGAACAGATCTATATCGTTTTCTGGAGCTAGTCAGCACGAGAAAATCAAGAAGTACTTATAAGAAATAGTAATTTAAATATCTGCTTCACACCGCATGTCATGTCTTCACAAACGACTTTCTAAGTGCGTCAAGCTCCTACCAGTGGATATCCAAGTTGCTGGGTAGCCAGATCAAATTCATCTATTGAAAAGTTAAGAGTGTTATAGGAAAGCATCGAGATCCAGAACGAATGCACCTGCTCTATTCTGCAGGAAGAGGATGTGTATTTCGAAGCATCTTTGAATGAGTGAACAGGCTACTAAATTTTTAAAAGACGAATAACAAACAAACGAAGGGAAACTTTTAGAATTTATGATCCTAAGAGCTTTCTTTTTCAGGGAAGCATCCATTTCATAAGCCTTTCGAGGTTATCTTCCACAATACCCCATACAGATTATAAAACCGCCTTTGTTGGAAAATTTACGCATTTTGTTCAAAAGATTTAGTTATTGTAGCTAGGAAATTGAGTCTCTGATATTGTTGAGCTATTTGCACTCGTTGAGTTTTCAATTCTAAAACATTACCTGTCATCTTGCTTACGCGCTCTTAGCTAAAAGTGAGTCTTTCAATATGTCTTCGGAGAACGAGAAAGTAGTAGAATTACAGGATCAACAATCTCAAAACATGTCTTCTAAGTCTGACGCGTCTAAGGGCCATGAATCCATAGAAAAATTCATCACTCAAGGAAACATGGCATACGCGCAAAAAGACTATGAGTCAGCTGTTGAAAAGTATAGCCAGGCTTTGATGGAATCTGAAAAAATCTATGGTTCTGATAGTCTTGAAAATCGAAATATTTTATGGCTGTATGGAAAATCACTTTTCCAAGTAGCCGTTGCGAATAGCCAAGTTTTAGGAAATGCCGTAGATCCAGACGAAGGCGCAGAAGGCGAAGAAGATGAAAACAAACAACCGGAAACTATTGGCTCATTTTCATTCACTGGCCAAAAGATGGAAAATCGCTATCACGTCCCTGAGACAAGTGAACAAGCAGATACTTCAGCTCGCTCGCAAGATAGAAAAGAAGAGGGAGGCTCCCCAGAGGAACAAGAACAAGAGCAAGACGAGGATGACTTTAGTGTTGCTTGGGAAGTATTAGATTTAACTCGGGTTATGCAAACCAAAGCTATAGAGGAACACCCCGAATCGTCGGATGAAAAGCTTCGTCTTGCAGATATTTTGGATTTACTTGGTGAGTTATCGTTAGAAATAGAAAACTTTGCTCAGGCAGCTGAAGATTTGGAATCTGCGCTTCATTGGAAGGTGCAGGTTTACAAAGAGGGAAATACTTTACTTAGCGAAGCTCATTATAAACTAGCGTTGGCTCTTGAGTTCGCTGATCCAAGCGATCATTCCACAAAGGATCGCGCTCGTGAGCATGTGGAAATGGCAGCTGAGATCCTTCGAGGTATTTTGGAACAGCGAAAATCAGAAGAAAAAGATAACAAGGGAAAGGAAAGGGAAGGAGTTGAACAACCCATGGGATCAAGCATCAATGATTTGCAAGAAATGTTGAGTGAATTGGAGCAGAAAGCTGATGATTTAAAACATGGTGCACCTTCTTTAGAGGAGGCCGTAGCTACAAAGATGCATGAATCTTCCCTCCTTTCTGGGAACGATGGAAACTTAGCCTCTGCTGTGGCAGACGCATTAAAGAATGCCAATGACTTGGGAGGACTTGTGAAACGCAAACGACCCAAGCAAGAATCTCAAGCAGCCCAACAAGAGGATAAAAATAAAAAGCCAAAAACAGAATCAGAATAAAAAACTAAATTGTGAACAAAAAGAAACCCCTTGTCCTACAAACCTACTTTTGTTTAATTTTTGTGTGATAGTCAATTTCAGATGATAGAGCAGTGTCGTATGCTGATGTCGATAATGAATGATAACTCTCAATGTCTTTCTCTTGCTTTTTTCTTCCTCTGAACCTCTAAAAACTCTGTATCTCACGTAGAATTGTTGTTAATAATATTATATTACGGTTACGATTTTTCTTTAGTAAAATATTACGAGTTTCTCTGACATTCTGTCCTTGTTGACGGGATAGATCTTTTCTACTGCTTTTCCTATGACAAATACTAGTTTAGTGTTCTTTTATCTTCGCACCTTAATCTGTTTACGGAAGTTGTACGTGTCTACGTTAATTTATTACTACTGGCAAGTTCATGGATTTAACCACAGCCAACGACTTGAAGGAATTAATTTCTAATTCTCTTTGATTTTACTTTCGATAAATTATACGCCGAATCTTCTTAGGAATATAGAAAATGGCGTTTAGAAATCCCATGTACCAATTGTCCAATGTGGATGATATAGACAGCGAAGTCTTGAATTCGAGATTTTCGTCAGAAGCGAAAGATGACGGATTAGCTCGCCGGCGCACAACATTAGCTGTGTGTGCTACGAAGAAAGATCTTTACTTGTACGGCACTACCCCAGCGGGTGGGGCAGAATGGTGTTCCTGAGGTGCTTGAACGCTCAAGACCTCGGATAGCTCACAAGCGTCAGAGGCGTCGTCATGTTCCGCGTTGGATTAGTGACAGTTTTCGAACGTGTTTGCCCAGCCCATCCGGCAAATGGAAGGAACAGACGGCAAATGAAGGGGAGGGTCGTGTCAGAAATTCATGGCTTGCGGCTTGTGATGAGCGAATTGGCATCGCTGAACCAACGAATTACTGGCATGGAATCGTTCGTACAGAAGACGATAGCTCTAAAACGCTGTATCTGATACCGGAAACCTGGGAGGATGTTCACTTAAAAGAAGGGTAAGGTTGAGGAAAGAAAGAGAAGAAAAGGGGGTTATGAATAGTGACTAACAACGTGTTAGATTTGTTGCTATTATTGATTTGGCAGCTGAAAGATTACAGTGCACAAAACTAATTCTTATTGTGGATAAAAACTTGCCTACATTACGTATGTTATCCATTCATTTTCTTTTTCAGTTTCATAGTAAGCTAATATTATTCAGCTTATCTTGTCAAAAGTCTACATTGGGTAGGCTTCGAACCCATTCCTCATTTGGGCTGCGTTGATCATGCACTTTTTGGAATGGAACTTTAGTATTTTTATGACATGAATATTTTTGGCTACATGAGGACATCAACATTGCTATAAATGATCTCATGTCATGTTGAAACGATAGATTGCCTTCTTTTTCCCCTCTCATATAATTTCATTCCATGTAGTTTACAGCACCATATGTGTTTGTTTTTTTTTCTTTTTTTTTTCTCAATGAAGCCTATGCTTTCAAGGAGATTTTTTTAGGAGATCTAGGTACTGTACCTTGTCTTTTGCAATGTTTTTTATTTGCAAAGGTAAATTTCCTTATTATGTGTTATGTATACCGTTTCTACTACGTTACCGCTCTTTTATATTTTGTTTTTTTTTTCTTCGATGTTGTTTACAAATGGGTTAATTTTATTTGTTAATTACTTAGTGTCTATATTATAGTTCTTTAATTTTGAAGTACACTTCCACTTGGTTAGTCTTGTCATTTGTTCTTGCTTGTTTCTATTCAACTAAACTATTATAAGCTATTATTCCTTAACAAAAATTTTAACATAAATAAATATAAACATAAAGATCGGGATTAAGACATCATGAATGTTTACTCGTAATATAGGCGTTCCTAGCTTCTTTAATGATTTCAGCTTCTTTGTCTTTATCGGTTCTACTATTGTGTAGTATAAATGTTGATATAACAGGACGATGATCAGAACAACGAACATTAATCGACGTGTACGCTGTTCTAATGTTCTAGATACGCATTAGTCTGTTTCCTTTTTCAGAGGCGGTCACTTACATTTTTGGTTGACAGAATTCTATCGGTCCACGATGGAACCCGCTGTTTTTCCCTTAAGAAGAGTTAGTTGTTTTTTTTTTTCGTCTCTTTTATGTATATCTCGGTGAGGAACTTACGATGTGTCATAATCATCAGTGCCATTGTCAAACTTGTAGGATGGATAGAAAGTAAGCTGACTTTCAGTGAGGTTTAGAAAAACACGTTTTGCATCCATTTCTTTCCGTAGCTGATCAAACGAATATAGCTTACTCAAATCACCAACTTCAATTAGTTTTCGAACATCGTCGTTATCTGCGTCAATGCGATAATTAAAGTCACCCAGCCAAATAATATTGCTAAATTCTTGGTTAGAACCGGTTATTATTTAAATAATAAAGAAAGTACCTGTGATCGTAGATTTTCATGCCAGACGAAAATACTAGTCCATCCACTATTGATGCATATTCCATATTACGCTCCATAACATTGTTAGTCTTTGGTGCAAAATGGGAAGATATAAAACACATGTCCGTATCAAAAAAGTTTAATTCTATAGCCACCGCTCCTTTATTTGCTGTAAATCCTCCAAAACCTGTTTTTCGGGTAGCTTTCGATACTTTTGAGATGGCATTTAGCTTGTCTTCCCGAACAAATATAGTAAGAAAAACACCAGTCATTTGAGCAGAGCTAATCAGGACATATTTAATGTTTTGAATATTGGAGTTCACTGTTTGCAAGATTTTTTCTTCCCAAAGTTTCATCCTTTGAGAGCTTGTATTCACAAGATGACCAATATTTAAGTTAACCAATTCTTGAATACCTAAAACATACAAATCATATACTGGAGTATGTTCACCGTATGGAAAAAGCCACTTCTTGAAATCTTCCATAGAAGGAACTTTTCCGTTTGTATTAAAAGTCGTGGTGTACAGCGAACATTCATTGTGAGTAACATATTCATCGTGACGCTGATGTAAAACCCCTTGAACATAAGTAGACATTGAATCAGCAATTAAAACCGATCTCTGTCCTAAGAAGGCACCGAGGAGGTATAACATAGTATTCTGAGTTTCCTCATCCGGGAATCTACCGAGGTACATTCGACCAAATGACTTTGTCAAATCACTTAAGGAACCGGCGAGAGAAGAATACCCTCTTCTAGAAATACTTGAACCGATGGATCCAACTCCAGTCACCAATTTGGCAATAGCATCCCCATTGTTGGACCAAAGCTGACCATGTATTTCACGAATTTTTTCGGAAAGATCTGCCTTTATGGAGTTGAACATATCTTTTAACGTTATTTCTGAAATTTTCCATTGAGCCAGGTTTGTTCGCCCAAGGCAATCTATATCATTTGTGCGAATTACACCATTTTGAACTGAGGAGGGAAGATCTGATTCATAGTTATGAAGGTAAAATGACATGTCTTTGAGTGCATCACGCATTATTTTCTTAAAACCAGTCTCAAAATTTGATTTATTTGCATCCAATGCAATATGAAATTGCTTCGTAACAGCTGGGAAAGGAAGTAGCATTAAATGATGCTTGTAAGCTTGTTTTAATGGACCTTCCACTTTACCTTCATCTAAGAGATCCAAAACGAAAATTTCTTTGTAAATTCTTTGTAGTTTACGGAAGTGACGGTTAAAAGCACCTTGGCTTGCCTGCTCGGACGTTGTGAATGACACGTAGCCTCCATACCAAGAAGAATATTCTTGCTCCCAAAAACAAGGAACGGTTCCGCGAACCTGCAAAAAGCTAGCTAATTTTTTTTTCGCCTGGACGACAAACTCAGTTTCCACAAATAGAGAACAAAAAGCATCATCATCCAGACCAGACGGAGGATACGTTTGTTGAGAGCCATAACTACTGAGTTTTGATATAATGGCCATTGAGTAAAAGCTGTTATCATAGGACTCGACATAGCCACGAAAGCAACGTAATAATAATGAGGGCAGTTTGTCCCCAATCTGAGCCTCCTCAAAATGCGTAGCAACTTCTCGAATCATGAATCGATTCCAGCAATAAATCTCCCAGGATGAACTTGGTGTGTCTGAGTCTACTCTCGTAAAACAGGAAATGTCAGGCGATGCATAAAAAGTACCATCTGTAAGCAGTTCACTTAGACTAGCTAGTGGATGATATTCAATGACCTTTGTAGAGCTTAGAATCGTTCGATCCCCCAAAGTTGGATTAGGATGGTCTTGGATAGACGAAGAGTATAATTCATACGTTCTGTCTGAGTCACCGTTGACAATGCTATCGTCCCAAACGTCGTGATCCAAAGAAACAAAATCAACAGACTGTATCTGGAAAGTTGGCTCTTTCATTCCCATTTGGAGTACTAGCTTTGCTGATCGAACAACACATATGAAAACGCTACCATTACCGTTTCCAAACGAGTAATAAAACGTTCCTAATATGCCATGGATTGGCTTTTCTCCATACAAAGGTTCAAAGTCGCTCAATTCTTGAAACTCTTCATGTGAAATAACACTCAAAGTGATCAAAGCTTCTGAAGTACCGTTGAGCGGTTTTTGGAATATAGCTACCCAGCCATTACTTACAAAAGCTAAGGACCTTTCCTTTTTCCTTATAAAACAAAACATAGCAGGAATCGAAAAAGTAGTTTTCCTGATTCCTGCGTTAGTAAGGTGGTAGATGTAACAATTGGTAAGTCTTCAAGAGTGAATTTCCTAACTAGGCAATCATAGATTTTCAATAGTTTCTAATATTTTACATAAGAATAAAATACAGAACGTTTCTTTTATTACTGGTTTGCTTCATTTACGTTTTTCTGTAATTTCTCTTTATAAGAAAGAGGAAATAGGATCGTATGTAGAAATTTTATTTTTATATTTAACTCAGGAACAAAAAGAATAGAACTGAGAGAAAACTACCGAGATAACAAAAAAAGATTCCCATTAGTCGAAACTAGAATATTATACATTGTTCATGAAAACGAATTCATTAAAAGCGGATTGTTCACAACCACTAAGCGATTACGATTCTTCAGCATGACGACTCCTAAACCGTATTTGTAATAGCTTAGAAGATGACGGAGAATTTAAAACGAGAGAGTATAAAACAGGATAATGGTAATTAACGAACGAGGACTCTAATTGTAAAGCTTTTCTATCGAGCAACGCAGTAGTCCAAGCAGCATCAGATCCGATCAAAGTTTTGTTCGTAATGATAGCATTCAGGGGAGCAGGCTCATCTTCCGATCCATTGCAGCACAGGACTTGCCATTCAACAGAAGCATTTCGAGGTAATTCTTCCACTAGAGCAATTGAAAGAGGACATTCAATGTTATTCAGTTCTGTAAAGTCGGACCAAATTTTATTTATCAAAGAAGCATCTCTTGAGTCTTTGATGTAAGCCAAACAAGCAACATACTGGTTCGCTTTCATTACCCTTGAGACACGCTTGATGTGTTGAAGGGATAAAACTGCCTCCAAAACTGTATCTTGGGGCTGTAAATCCATAACGGAAGGTATCAATCCAATCTGTCCTGAAATGAATGTGACCCCGTGAACAGAATTGGACTGTGAGTAAGGACCTATATTTGCAGGAGCCCAATAGCTTTGACCTTGAATGTGAAGGGTTCGTTTGTCAGCAGTGTCTGTAGCAATACACGAGAGGGTAATCCGGTGATCATTGCTTAAGGAGGAAGCAATACAAGAACGACTTGGTGGATTGATGAAATTAAAATATTTTTGATAGACACCGTTCAATTCGGAAAATAGGTTCATGGATGATACTATAATGACAACAAAGCAAACATTCTTAGTAGAGTAGGAATGTTCAGCAAGAAGACCTGGTGTCGACACGTTAGTATTATAATCAATTTTTTTCAAATGCACACATACCTTCTAAGCTTTGAAAGAGAGAATCCGCCTCTTCCTCAAAAGAATTATACTCCGTACTTTCTGGTATAACATTTCCTAAAACCAGAAAAGGACCCTTCTTTTCTTTAAAGACACGCTCTCGGACTGGAATAGGAACAGGCTGTACAGGTTCCTCTTCATGATTGTCGTATGCTTCATATTCATTTAGAATCGTTTCGTAGATAGATTGAAAATTGCTTTCTAAAAGATGTTCCTTAGGAACCAATGGTGTCCCAACTGGAACAGGCTTCCAATCGGGCTTTTCCTCTACATGGGCAAGTGCTTTTAAATAGCAGACTTCCCCAGAAGAATGCTCTACAACTTGAGTATCCGTTAAAACGATTTTCTTTTGAAATAAGGGACAGTCTAAAACGAGCGTCTCGTACTCCCCACCCTCACCGCATGGGTGTAGGTCAAATTTCTTTTTTAAAGACATGAGCTTTGGCTGCATTTCCCCTAACGTTTTGTTTAAATCTCTTCTAGTTAATCCAATTGCAGCAACCTTTATCAAAACTGCTTGGAGACCAGATTGGATCATGTCATCTAACAATTTTGTCTGCTCCATTTGCCATAGATAGGAAAGGCTAACAAGGCCCAAACGCTTACATACATTCTCTACACGAGTTCTCTGGTAAGTAGACAATATGGCTCCTGTAGAAACAGCTTCCAAGTCAGGATGACATTCAAGCACATGCTTTAATAGACGATATAAATCTTCCGTTTCATCGTTAATGGTGTAACTATATTCTAAGTTTTGATCGATGCTGCTACCTCGAATTTCTTCTCTATACAAAGGCAGATTTAAACACTCAGCATACAAGGGGATAATATCGTGACCCACACATTGATACATAAAGGAGTCAATTTCATCTAAAGAATAATTAATATTCAGTTCTTTATGAGGCTCCAAAAAGGGCTATTACCTTTTCCTCCTGCAGGGTACAAATTTCCTAAAGCTATAATCTCGTGTCCTAGGGACACACAATGCATCAAATTATAGCAGCTATCTTTACCACCACTAATTAAGCCTACTACTTTCATTATTATTCATGAACTGGTATTTCCAGTAAACTCCTGTTTTTTTTTGTACTGAGCAACCTCTTATTTTCCACTTATACAAGGATGAAATAGCGTTGTTGTTAAATGTCACTAAATGATGTGTATACAAACAGGTATTTGTAAATGAAAAGAGTATGGAAAGCAAAAAAACACAGTGTTAGAAATACGAGGAATAATTAATTTTTATTTTAGAATCATAACGAACCATCTCATTAACCATAACTGAATGACTTGTTCAAAAAATGAATATAGGCTGCAAAAAAAATAAACCAACAATAGATTTCAATCGATCCAAAAAGAAAACAAACAAGGTAATAAAAATTCAGAGTATTTGTAATGTCTAAAACCCTCTGCTAATTACAAGAGAACACACTGTTTGAACTTTGTAATAGCAAACAAACGAGATAACTTTCATATCCAACAGACAACAAAAAAGTCATTACATCATATGCTATATAGCAAGTTAGGTTTTGAGTCAATTCAAGCTAAAGTTTCTTGCAGTTTTCCAAAGCAACGGATTTTTAACCTTTCTTCGGATAGGTTCTGTTTAGCCAGTCATTAAACAGTTTCACCTGTCGAGTAAGCAGTTTTGTGAATGACGGGCCTAAGAACCAACTCGATAATAACTTTCCGTAATCGTTCCGTACAGCACAGATCCATAAAACACCATCATCTTTACCGTCATCTCGATACTTCTTGGAAACAAAATCCACCGATTCATAATAGCCCGCGACTCCTTGCGGATTAGGAGTGAAAATAGGATTTGTGTTTATGTACTGTACTGGTCTTTGTAATACAATAAAAGAATCGGGATCTAACATGACAGAAATAACAAGTTGCTTGTAAATTCGATTCCTACAGAACCAAGGTGTTTTGAACCTATACATCCAGACTAAAAACAGTTAGTGAGATAAGATATTTATATTCTAACAATAAGAATTGCACGTAGTATAATTGGAAGAAGTAGAAAGCTAAAAACGAAATCCTTTCATTGCTTCATCCTTTCTATCTATGTCAAGAACATACCTTCAATCTCATCCTCGATGATAGTTTCTAACTGACTGGCAGAAAATATGAGTGGATCATAGCATTCTTCTTTTTTTATGTGCTCATATAAAAGACCTTTCTAAGCATCTGGTTAGTCTATGTTTCCAACAATGGCCTGTCAAAGTAACACTTGAGGGCAAAACATGCACAGAATATACGTATAATTTGGTTTGGAATCCATTGTATAATATACTTTATATATTCATGAATCTTGGAGTAAACTGCAAAGTGGTTTCACGCTCATGGATTGATCTCATAAAATACATACCTTGAAAGTTTTGAGTGATCTTTTATGCCTCGACACACGTCCATACCAAGTATGATCTCCGCTAGCAGGTGCCTTTTCGTATAAAGCGACACCGTCGTGGTTTCCAAGGGGCTTCCACCTAGGAATCTCCTCGACTAGTTTTAAAGCGTCCTGGATGTGTTTTTCTCGCCAACGTTCAAAATTTGGGTCGGTAGCTTTTAAAACGTAGTTGGAAGTCAGTGGCTGTATCACTTCTGACCCAAAAAAATCCTCTTGCATTCAATTGTGGTGCTTGGTAGTCGGTGACTTTCAGGGTGCCCAATTCAAGTTTAAGAGGTTTCTGAAAACATTTTCAGTCAAAAGTTTTTTATGCGAAATTTTTTATATAATTTATATTTTATCAAATATTCGATAGATGCTTAGACGGTAATAATGCTCGTAACGAGGATCACTAATATGTTGTCAATACGAGCATTCAATATTGCCAGAAAATCCTGCCTAATTTATATAATATTTGACATTTTCTCACAAGCAATTGAGATGAAACCAAAGCAAGATTTTGACCGATTTGCATTGAAATTACCCCAATAATAATTGCCTTACGTATTGACTCATATGCGAAAAAAAAAACCTACTTGTTATAACAAATTTTGATCTTCTTTTTGTTCTTTAACTTGAAAAAGGATTGACTATTCTTTAGCAATCCATCGTCCATATGAAAGCGCTTCTGTTTCTTCTCGTTCACTAGATTATGAACAAGTGAAATCAGAAAGAGAAATTGAAGCTTATTACTTGTCTATGGTAGTCTATGAAACCTAAGGGCTTTCTAAAGTGTGTGCCTCCAATTGCTAACTCTTTTAAAAGGTCGTTTCCGTGTATAAGTATTGTTTGAATTTTTCTGTATTACTCAACTGTCGCTTGTTTATATTGGTATACGTAAGATTTATAGCTTTAATTGCCTTTAGAGTAAAAATGCGAATAACAGGTGCTTATTTATAAAATAGACTCAGCAGTAATTTTATGAACGTCGAATTTGAGGAGTCTATGTCTCTCCGGCCTTTATATTCTAGTCAAAAATTTCATATCGTTGACTATTTTCAAAAAATCCTAATATCGTTTATGGATTATTATCAACTCATCCAATTAACTGTAATGGCTTTTCTCCTTTCTAGTTAGTTGGAAAGGGAATGAATCATCCATTTCCCTTAACTTCAATTCTGTTTTACCAATACTCTTCCATTCTCTTAAGCTCACTCAAGCATAACTAAAATGGTTTACTCTCTCACTTGCTGTTATGTTACCTATACAATTTGGGCTTTATCTGATCAGTTTTTTCCACGAGTAAGAGTTTCTACTATTCCCAAGAGGAATTGAGCGAAAGAAACCAAACCCAAGAGTACTCAGTTACCTTTAACGACTATTTGTGATACTCCAAAACTTCCGGATTTTTCGCTCCCTTCTTCTCCAGGAGGATAAAAATCTTTCTAAATTTCCTCTTTTACAGAGAAAGAAAACCATAATACTACGAAAGGACAAGTCAGCAATCGCTTTTGTTTATGCTTTTCTTCGGCCTCGCTTAATATGAGTCCCACAAAGTAATCTTAATACTTAATTATTAAGTTAATTTTAGCGACATTTAAAGTGGAGGTGTCGGACAGGCTTTTATACTTCTAATAGGCTCATATCCTCTGCAATCTAATTTTTTTATTAAGAACAAGATTAATTATGACTATTGATATCGAAAACACGAGTAGTTACGACTCCAAGCTTTTTCACTCCATAATGATCGGGAATATGGAGCTTCAACATCGCATCGTGCATGCTCCGGCTACCCGATTGCGGTGTCATGAAGATGGAATGGTAATGACAGATTTGGTTAAGGAATATTATACTCAGAGAAGTGCTGTACCTGGGACATTGCTTATAACAGAGTCCATTTTCTCCGGGCTTAAGTCAGGAGGATTCTCTAATATTCCTTGCTTGTACAATGAACAGCATGTCGAAGCATGGAAGCCGATTGTGAAAGGAATTCACGATAAGAAATGCTTTGTATTCATGCAATTTTGGAATCTTCCTGGAGAATTGAAGCCAGATTATCTCGAAGACCAAGAAAGGTTGGAAAATGTTACTCAGGGAGAATGTCCTATGGATCCAACAGGATTGCCGGCAGCCTTGGGAAGCGCTTACTCAATATGTGGGGAATCTCTGTATATTGATAAATATATGTCAAAATTGGATATAAATGAACATATCGCTGAGTATCGCGAGGCCGCTAAACGTGCTGTATTCGGATGCGATGCTGATGGCATAGAAGTTCATCAGGTCAACGGATTTTTACTTGACAAATTCGTTTTGAACGGATTTGGAGAAAAGTGCGATCCGAACTATAGAGGCTCATTAGAAAACCGGGTTCGATTTTGCTTGGAGCTTATTCAGTCAGTTGTGGAAGCAATTGGACAAGAACGAGTAGGCTACCGTATATCTCCATACTCCGATATCTGGAGATCCAAGGATCATGTCGAAGCCCATACATATCTAGTTCAAAGGCTTCGAGAAAACTTCCCAAAGCTTGCTTACCTGCATGTTATAGAGCCTCGGAAATACTGGACAGGTCATGAACAAATTCTTCAAGAAAAAAACTCGCTCGAGTATCAAAAGTTATGGAAACAGCCGTTGTTGAGTGCTGGAGGACATGATCGGGATTCCGCTTTGCAATTGACAACCCAAGACAATGTTTTGGTTGTCTTTGGACGATACTTTTTGGCTAATCCCGATTTACCTTTTCGTCTAAAACACAATTTGCCACTGAATAAATGGAATCGCTCCAAATTTTACGCGAAAAAGAGGCCAGAGGGCTATATTGATTATCCATTTTGCGACGAATTCATCCGTGAAACAGCAAAAGCGGAAAATATCAAGCAAGAAAATGAATCCTGAAACTATTCCTTTTGAAAAATGAACTGGATACATTCTTTTTCTTTCATATATATAGGGAATAGACCTTGCTTCGGACATCCTCTTTTGCGTCAACAAACAAATATCCAGAAAATGATACCATATAATAAGGATATACCTATCTAAAAATACATTGTACTTACTTGATATACTTCAATCATTTTTAATCTATTCTCAGCAATCATTTTTTTTTGGCTTTTTATTTTCACCATATCAAATTATCGTTTATTTTCTTGATATCGTCACTTATTGTTCCCCGAAAGCAAAATGAAAAACATCAAAGTCCACTGAAATTGAAGTCTTTAATGCATATGCAATAAGCTAGAACTAATCATAAAAAAATAAAAGAATAAAAAAATAAAAAGCTGGATAGAAAAACAATGAGTTGAGACTACTCAATTTCGATATGAAAGACAAACCATTCACTCAGAAAATCAACGTCATATAAACAAGAGGGAGAAGAACTTTTTATATTGAATTTAAAGCTTCTTCTTTATGTTTATGCAAGTATTTTAATAGTCATTTTTATAAAATCCAAATGTCAGGTTTACATGCTTTTGGACTTTGTCCAAGTAAACTCTAACTATGTAGGGGATTCCTTATAGCTAAACAAAGCCTCTTGGACCTTTGCTCTACAAACTAGGACCAATAATCAAATATAAGAGTTATCTTTTAAGTAGAATATTAAAGACAGATTTAAGGACAAAAGGTAAGAGCTTGAGCCCTTGGTGAAAGAGTGGGACAAATCAAAAGGATAAAACGTGAATTAAAGCAGAGCTACAAAACTGTAATGACAGACTCGACGAAAAAACGTGTACTAGCCATTGGAATCCCACAATTCGCTACAGCTTCCATTGAAAAATTAAGGGAAAAATATATCTTTGACTTCATCATTCCTGATCCAACTAGTCGAATGGAAACCATTCGTAAAATCCATAAGGCTGCAGAAAAAAATAAGTACGATGCTTGTTTTTGGCTATTTCGCAACGCTCCTATATCTCCATTTACCAAGGAGATGCTTGGTCCTCTAGTCCCTGGCTGTCGCCTGTTCATTACAGGGGCCTCTGGATATGACGATTTAGATGTAGAATGGATGACGGCAAATGGTGCCTATGTCTCTAATGTACCCAATGCTTCTACGGAAGGTACAGCCGTTATGAATCTTTTGCTATTTTTATCTGTTTTACGTGGATCCCGCGAAGCAGAGCAAACTATGCGTTCTGGAAAATGGCACGGAAACCTGCCTTTAATGGAAGATCCTTGTGGTAAAACGGTAGGTATAATAGGAATGGGTGCCATCGGGAAATCGTTTGCACAAAAAATTATTCCTCTTGGTTGTAAGGTAATATATAACAACAGAAATCGCCTCTCTACAGAAGAAGAGACTACTTTGGATATTAAGTATGCAACTCTTGATGAATTACTCTCTACGAGCGATGTGATTAGTATTAATTGTCCTCTCACTCCATCTACGAAAAACTTGCTCTCGAAGAAAGAGTTTCAAAAAATGAAAGATGACGTTTACATTCTTAACACTGCTCGAGGAAGTATTATTGATGAAGAAGCCTTCATCGAAGCGATCCAATCTGGAAAAGTATGTCGAGCGGGCTTGGACGTGTTTGTTAATGAGCCGAATCCCAATCCATTTTGGCTTACATCCGACAAAGTTACTGTTCAGCCTCATTGGGGAGGATTCACTACCTCCACTGTTGCCATGGTCGAAGAAGCCATTTTGAGAAACATTGATACATTCTTTGAAACGGGATGCCCCCTGAGCTATGTTAATAACCCGTTGATCCGAGGATGAAAATGCTTGCTTTCTTTGCAATGATTTTGCAAATATGCAAATCATGAATAACTTACTATGAGCATATATATTTTCTACGATCGTTACGCATATGCATATGACTATTTCTTTGCTAATACTAATGAGTTTACTTTTCAAAACTAGTGTGAACTATGGAAAACTGTTTGCGGACTTTCACAGTGAATTACTTTTTCCATAAGAGAATCTAGGATTTATGAGGGAACTTTTGTTCTTGCAAATATTCTTAATTTTTAAGCTATAATAGATTTGGATTCAAAGATACTATTCTCTTTTCATTATTTACTCAATTTGGATCTTTCACATATACAATTAAATCTCATAACACTAAAGACATTATAAGAGTCCTTTCAGCAAGGCGTTGTTACAAAGAATAATGTAAGGAATAGTGTAAGAAAGTAATAACTTCCTGAATGATTTGATTCTGTTTTTATGGCTACATTATCCTGGGAAGAATCTATCATATACAATTTCAATAAATAATTAATAAGTTTCGTCTTTCAACAACTCTATAGATGGTATGCCTCATTATAGTTGATTTCTAACAGAAAGCTAGAATACACAAGAGTTTGAGGGGTTTTTTTTATTACTGTGCTTTATCACTCTCTCATTCGCTCACATAGCATGAAGCTTACAAAGCTTATAAAAACGTTCTGATATTTAAATTTTCTTTTCAAGTTTTTATGCGACATCTTTCTTTGGAAATTCAACTCTATACTTGATATTTTCATATGCTATCCAAACCGTCTTATCGCTAATTCACTTTCATAAGTCTCGACATTACAAACTCATATCAAAATTATACTTCTTGCGTGCCATAACCATACTGCTTTTCGGCAAATGCCCATTCAGAGGAAACAGACTGGTTGGTTTGGAAATCGATGCCATCTGCTGTAATGGTAGCAACGCTAAATTTGTTCAAACTTCTTCCATCACGATAGTAAAGGACACGAATACAGTCATCTATGGTAGCGCGAGCACGCTCCTTTGATAAAGTTTTCCAGCGGTCGTCGTCCGTCACCTTACGCATCAACGGAAGAGCAAGATGGATAGCAAATCCGGTAGCAATCGCAGGTGCAGTATAGGTGTTACCACGCAAATCAGCAAAAGCCACAAATGGTTCCTTTTGACTGCCATCGACACCGGCAACAATGGCTTGGTTCCAATAAGGATCCATTTTATTACGACGAGCATAAAATACTCTAGACAAGTATTCATGGATATGAGAGGGTTGCAGGGCATAACCATCTCCATAGTTGCTTTCTTTAATCTCAAGATCCTCAAGAATTCGTTGTAGATGTTGGTAATCTGAAACGTCGCCTCCAATACCGACGATTGTATTGTTTCCGACCTTTGTGAGACGCTCTACATCAAAAAAGCGAGCCAAAGATCCATAAGATGCTAAATTATCAGCAGCAATCATAACACCATCTGCGAATTTCAATGCAATTACGGAGGCACCTGTTACAATAGGTTGTGTTGTTCGTGAAATCACTGGAGCAGCATTTTGTTGAACATCACTGGATGTAGGAAAGAAAACATTTTTAGCTGGCTTGCCCCATGGCTCTGTTAGTTCTAAAAAACTCATTTTTGTATGAATGAGGTAGTGTTGGTTCTTGGCAGGTCTCTCCAACCACCAAACCCTTACTACCTATACGGAGAATGGAATCGAAATCCGCTGATTAAACTGAATTATGAGCTCAAAATTCATTTGTTTATTTGTAACTTTTAATATTATAAATTTTGTTAATGTGGATCAGTATCTTTATTATGTGAACGGCATTTTAAATAGACATGTCAATGTTTTTAATCTCTTTAGGCGTTTCCTTTGGAACATTCGAACGATAGCAACAGCCCTCGTAAGTTACTATCAAATATTGAGATAGATTTCAACGGAGAGAAGGAAAATAATGTCCCTTCCTGAGTTTAAACCAGGTTTTTCTTCATTTTGCACGACAAACACTGCTCCTTCATGTCTTAACATTGAGAACTAAAGCTTACGATCTTTCTCTCGATGTTGAATTTGACATCTTCATGCGTTTCTTTAAACTGTAACGCTTTACAGGTTTTGAAGGTGAATCGACCCGAAATATGTCTAAAAATAGCTTGATGCAAGAAGGTTCTAATCACAAGAAGCTTGAAATTAAGCATTTGAAGAACCATTGTAAAACTAGCTACTGACTCTTTGTCCAAGAATGTATTTTTGGCATTCCTCCGTTATTTCAAAGTCAAAGTCCGGATCATCCCTTACAATTTGTTTATTTACTGCTTAATTATTTATATTTCGCTATTTGTTTTTCCAAAACGACGATATTTGGGCAAATATAGTCGGATCTGTTTGTTTGTTTACGATTCACAACTTTGTACATATATATAGGCTGTCTCAGGTTTTCTTTTTCTATTATTTCCGATTACAATTATATTTGGTGTTCATAAATCCTACACTATGAAGATCACTGAAGCTACTTCGGTTATACTCTGCTCTCTCAAGGAGCTAGTTAAATCTTGCGAAACACTATTTACTAAATACGCCATCCAACCTTTCAAATCTTTCTTCTTCAATACATCTAAACCAGAAGAAATGCCCGAATGCATGGATACACCCACAGCTATTGATGAACCCGCCGTTGCTATTGAGGACGCTGAAAGCAGTAGTCAAGTATACAAGGAAGTAGAGACCACCCATGCTGCCTTGTTAAAATCAGAAGCTGTAAATGAAATCAAAATAACTTGCAAAGGTTCTTTTAAAAATAATAATCAAATTCACGATGATAATTCCAATGATGTTGATTCAATTATCCCTTCAATCGAAAGTGAAAACGTTGTTTATTTAAGCAACAAATCCGCCGCAGACCGTTCGTCTTCTGTTGCAACTGATGCTATACCTAATATGAAATTATCAACATCTTTTTCAAGCCTTTCCTTAAACGAAATTGATCCCGTGGATCCCAGTCTCATTGAACAATCCCTTATGAAGATCTTATATAAGGACGTTAGTCCCTTTAATACCGAGGAACAAATTGCTGTTGGAGTTTCCAACAATACTACACTAGAAGTTGATCATTTGCTTAAAGATACAAGTACAAATTTTACCAAGAAAAATGTTTTAACTGAGAACACGAACATGAATGGAGAATTTAAAATTAAAGGGAAATCCAATATGGACGGTAGCCAAACATGTCAAGATAAGCATTCAGCACTGAAATTGCCTTTTGATGATATGAATTTTGAAATTGATACTCAATATGACTTACTAAACAAAAACGTCTTTCTCGCTGTAGCGGAACCTCTATATATCTCATCATCAAACAAAAATTACGAAGAACGACGAAATGAAAAGCAAGATCTATATGAGAACGACATTGGCATGTTTGAGATTATTCCTTTTTCTTCCAGTGACATGGAGGGTGATTTGACGAGTAAAAGCGATCAACTTTGGACGGTCAAGGCCGAGTCAATGTTTTTGCAAGACGAAAATCTTAATTCTGATGAATTGATTGAATCTCATTCTACTAAACTTACACAAGAGTTGCCTTACTCAGAAAAAATCTCTGAATTACTATACGATGACCTAGAGCATGGAAGTACGGAATCGGATGTTAATATACTTACTTTAGGCGATACTGTACCAAATCTTACCCAAGAACTGCCTTGCGTAGAAACACTGTCTGAATTATTGTATAATCCCATTGAGCATGAAAACACAAAGTTGGATGTTTTCATACAAAGGACAAATGATGCTGAACCGGAGCTTACAAATCTTGAAATCAATTTTAACAAAGAATCTCTCTCAACTCCTAGTCTGGATTCATATATGTCACCAACAAAAACAGCTCTTTCATATCTGATTCTGGGTCATGTTATATATTATATATACCTATCCATTCAATGGATGTTAAGTTCAACAGCAAGACCATTAATTTTTTCCGCTTTACTCTTTATGTTTGTCTTCACAAGAATCCTGAAAGCTGAAACTCTACAAAACTACTCTACTAGTCAAACCGTTAAATTCTATTTAAATCTTGTGACTTTAGGGACCCATTCTGAAAATTAATGAGTATTATTATACAAAAGCTTCACAAAGGAAGCAAATTTCGAAACTTCTTTGTCTATGAGAAGGATTGGACCGGACCGGATGAATCGAATATAGGAGATATTTCTTTCATCAAATAGTTTCTTATTAAACTCATTATAATAATTTTTAATGCTATTTTAAAGAACAAGTGAATAAATAAATAATATAAACAATAAAAAGTTTCATATAAATATCTTTTTTAGTAAGATAGTATACGGTGAACACCAGATGTCAAACGTTCTTTACTGATAAGTTACCTCAACATTAGTCAAAGATTCGTAAACTTCTTGAAGTACGTTTCGACGATTTTCGACGGCAGTGGCCTCCAAGGGGACATTAAGTGGCTTTGGACACCACATTAGGATATTGCCGCTCATATCCCCTGTGAAGCATTGCTCTTTGCCTGGGCGATGGGCTACACAATTGATACGTTTCAAAACATGCGTTGATAAGCGGTGAACAAAGGAGCCTTCTAAGAGATTAATCAAAGCCAAAGATCCATCGTCATTTGGGAACAGAACGTACGTATTAGCGTTCTTTACGGGAGTAATGATATGAGGGTGAACAGCAAAAGAGGTTGTCTGGTTGTGTATAACAGGTCCAAAGTCACGCAAGGTATTTAGTCCTGTTTCCATGTCCCAAACTCTTATACGATCGTCAGTTCCACAGCTAACAAGGAAAGAACCATCATCAGTCCAAGCCAATCCATTTACGGTACCATAATGAGATCTCCCAGCCTGTTCTGTTGGCTTCGTTTTGTTATGCACATCTAAACAAGCAAAGCTAGCAGAAGCTTTTCGGATGTCCCATAGCCGAACAGTACCATCAGCCGATCCAGAAGCCAAGACATAATCATTTTTCGGACACCAAGAAACAGATAATACATTCCCTGTATGACCTATTAAACTGTGAGTATAACTACCGCTCTGCATATCGCATAAACGGATAGAACTGGATCGATAAGCGGCTATAAGTTTATTAGAAAAGCAAAGAAAGAAAGAAAAGAGATGTGTTACAACATACCAGCAATTAAACAGTGCGACGCGATAGGTGACCAGGCGTGCGAATAAACAATATCACCTATATTAAAAGAATACGCTTCCTGTTCATTATTAGCAAAGTTTGGCAAACAGAATACAATACCTGTAAGGTGGCCGCGTCCCAAACTTTTAGAGTATGATCGAAAGAGGAACTAGTGAATATACCATTATCGAACGGAAACCAATGAAGATCAGTAATTCCAAACTTATGACTGGAGCGTCTACAAATATTAGTAACTGATTCTGGCGAACGAAGTACAAGACGTACGCTGGAATGGCGTTATATGTATCCATAACGGTATTCTTTGTTTCGTTTAGATCAAGAGATTCAAAGTTCCAAACGTTAATTGAAGAATTGGCGCCCCCAGAAATCATACTTAATACGATTTGTAAGTAAAAAAATACATCATCATCTAGTACCAACTTACAATTGATGTGTTGTATTGTCTATAGACAGTGCATTTACAGAGCCAAGGAGGCCAGCACCATGTCTCCTTTTGATTGTTTTATTTTGCGCCAAAGTCATTGTTTGTAAACGATGCTGAAGCAATTGGCGTCGGAAGGACGCATTTGATTCTGTCCGTCAATATTCAATTCAGAACTTCAAAAACAACTTTAGAATATACCCTGTCCCCATTCTCTGGCTAAAAGAAACGTATTCATTCAGAATGTTCGAATGTTTTGCAACAGTACTATAGACGGTAAAAATTCACTCAATCTCCATGGAAAACTTAGCTTTATAGAATTGACCAAATAAAAAGTATTTAGAATTTACAGCAAGAGCTTCCCTCTAGGTATCTTAAAATCTCCAAGATTTCCTTTGCTTTGCAAATTCACGTTCTCTTTATATTATGGTTTTCTATTTTAATGCTAAATTTATTGCCTTTTTTTTTTTTTTTTCCAAAAAAAGAACTGTTTATAGAACAGTTTAAAGTAGAAACTCTGAACCACTTATAGGTACAGTGAAGACGCACCCAACTCCAGAAATTTCAACCAACATGTCTGTTATCGAGATTAGGTCACATCAACACTGGATTTCAACTATTCCAAAGTCGGGATTTCTTGCTGTTGACTGTTATGCAGACTGGTGTGGTCCGTGTAAAGCGATTTCACCTGTTTTTTCACAACTGGCAAGCAAGTACTCAGGTCCTCAATTTGTATTTGCAAAAGTTAATGTAGATGATCAAACACAAATTGCCTCGAGCCTTGGAGTTCGTGCTATGTATGTTTCTCGCTCTTTTTTACGGTTATTACTAACATTATAGGCCCACCTTTATTTTCTTTGAGAATGGCAAACAAATTGACATGCTACCGGGAGCTAATGCGCAAGCACTTAAAGAAAAAGTAGCGAACATTGCAGGAAAGCTGAACGGAGGTAGTGCTGGTGGCTCTACATCTACTAACGGCTATGGTAATCTCAGAAGTTGTATTGAGAATCCTCAACTAGAATGTTTAAATCAAAGCGACGAGCATCACCTTCGTAACGCTCTTGATTTAGATTCTTCCAGTTACTTGGAGTCTGACGCTGATGAGCAACTGATGATATACATTCCTTTCTTGGAAGCTGTAAAGATACATTCGCTGTCTATTACTCCTGTTAAAGAAAACTTAAGTAAAGCACCGAAAACTATAAAGCTCTTCATTAATCTTCCTACTGTTCTCTCGTTTGAGGACGCTGATTCCTTCCCTGCTACTCAGATCATAGAAGACATTGAGTATAAATCTGATGATGAACCTATTAATATCCCTTTAAGATTTGTTAAATTCCAACGTGTGAACTCATTAGTTATCTTTGTCTCCTCTAATGTTGGGGATGAAGAAACTACCCAAATTGGTCGCTTTGAATTATTTGGTGAATCCGTTGGCGATTCAAGCAAGTAAGCTATAGAAAACTGATGCTAAAGTACTGCAATGCAAGAAGGAGGTTCATTTCAACACTATATTATAATCCAAGCAACTTTGTTCTAATGCGATACTGATATACTTTAAAATATGACTGAAATAGTTGATGCTGAACACTAAGAGGCTTATTTACCATTTGAGTTACAGTAGAAGAAGAAACGGATCGGTTTGTAAAGTAAAATGAATCAACAAAAATCCATTACGTAGAAATACCAGAAAAAGTATCGCTTTACTGAGTCTATATTTTATTTTTCTATTATCCTGGTAACCCGAAAAGAACTTTTATACACATAAAAAACTTAAAGTCAAAAAAGCAAGCTAAGGCGCCCGTTCCCATAATTGGATGAGGCTTTCTCCTAAATTAATCATGTCACTGCTGATTTCTTCAACATATAAATCCTGTATTTGGTACCATTTGTTCGATGCTGGGTTTCGTAGCTGTACCCGAAAGACATGCGTTTCTCCATCAGCTGACAAAACCGATTCATAAACGATGTTTGCAATAAGATTGTACCTTGGTGAAATTTTTGGATGTGACTTTAAGAACGAATCGTCAATAAATGGACTCATATCTAGGTTATCGAGAGGAAATGTGACAATGGTAGGATTTCGTTCAGTAAAGTAGTTATTTTTCATGAAACGTTTCATATGGAATAATAGATATGGCGGCGTGTTCATCAGGTGAAACCGCCGACGCATGCCACTTAACTCCTGAGTTGTGACGCCGTTATACTTTTCTAATAACTTTACCAGTTCAACTTGAGGAATAATGTTTCCTTCAAATTCATCTTGAAATAAAGGCCTCGGAGGCAGATTCAATGTAAGGTACAGATATGGGACAACATCCGTTTTGATGACTCGGTCTCCTTCAAATACTACGTGATCTCCATTTTGTGTATGTTGGCGAATTTTTTGAGATTCAACACGCACGTGACCTTGGAAATTGTAGTGAATGATTGAAGTTGGCTTCTCAATCGTTGACTTTTTCCCACCTAATGAAACATGCAAAGTATTCAGGAGCCATGATAAAAACTCTAGCGGATCTTTTTGTTCGTTCATTGAGTACTTTTTATGGGATAAAAGAGTTACCTCGTGAATTAACTCTTGAGGAGAAACATGTCCTTTAAATGCTTTGGGGTTCCATATTTTACGGACTGTAATTGCTAATCGCTGAATAACTTGAGAACAGCCATCAAAGTTGTTTAATAACAAATAGTTTCGTAAAGGCTTTACATGAGAAAGTAAATGAAGGATGACGTTGAAATAATCATTGCTTTTTATGTTGTTGAGTCCGACAAAGCCTACGAGTTCAGGTTAGCATGGAGTCAAAGGGAAAATCATAAGGTTTATAATGGTCTTCCTGGTTGGTAAACTTACCTGGTACATAGGGTTTATGCATCAGATCATAACTGACCTGAGGAACACGGTCCAGTTTAGCAACTTCTTCGCGAGTATATGTGGGCTTCATAACATAAGCAATATCGTGCAAAGCACTAGATTCTACTTGATATGACTCCGGTAAAATATAGAACTTCAAAGTAGAGCAGTTCACGAACACATGATGATTGTCATTCAAAGCGTGAAAGTATGCATGAGAAGAGGGACCTCGTCCCTGAAAATACCTTCCGCAAACTAAACAAGCATAGACACTGAGATTTGTAAGGCTGACGGAACATACTTTTTCGAAATCGAAGTCTAGTAATTTACGATTGATCTAAGCAACCTAGTTAGTATTCATCGGCCATTAGTTACTCAGCTTCTTACAGTATCTAAATAAAGGTCGCTTGAAATTGGCTTGTATTTCTTCACTGAAGCAGTAGTAGCAGTTTCATTGTCCTTAGAAGTAGCCTCAGAAACTTCGTCAACTTTCTCTCTTTTTCTCATGGAATCCGCATCTTCATCCTCCAAAGGGCGTTTTAAAGATTGTTTATTCTTATTAATTTCCGACGCTTGCATTCTAGCAACCTCTGTTTAATCTAACAGACGAATCGCAGAGATGGGTACTTCAGCTCCCTCAACGTGACTCTCAAGCCTAAACCAAATTCGTAATACTACAATAAACGTTCTTTTCTAGGTTTGTTTTTAATACCTTTTTTCTTTTTTTTATAATTTATTAACAGTTTAGGCAGTGGAATCTAGTTTTATAGATCCTGTGAGAGCAAAGAGCTTCTTCCCATCTTTTTGGAATTTGCGTAGGCAATTGCCTTTTATATTCCTGGCTTCATTGAACATAAACTTTTTTAATTATAACAAATTAAGCTAAGGAAGTTGAAATCAGTTAGAAAGCCACTTTTCCTGCTTTTCCGTTTGCTATGGAATGGTATGTTCAAGCCTCCGTTGTTGTCTCTAACTCAGAAATAGCATTGATAGAAACATTCGAAGGGAATCTCTTCGTAAACTAGGCTCTCTTCCAACCCATGGATGGTCTTTCTTTGAGAAAATATGTCATCAAAACTCTGAGCTCTTAAAAAGAAACGATTTCCTTTTCCACCTTGAAAGAATCGAAGATACAGTTTTATCGATATGTGCGGTAAGCCTTGAATCTAGGGACCTAGAGGAGGCTAGGATTCTTTATGGTCAACTTCAGTTTTACTTAAAAAAGTATGTATTTCTCGAAGGGAATGAAAATTTGGAAACCACGTTGTCTTCGTTGGATGATTCCTCTTTTTGCAAAATTTTCCCTGTGTCTTCAAAGTGTGTTCCGTCAATTCTAAACGGAATGCTTTCTCTAGCCAAGCAACACGAGGAAATAGCGGCTTGTGTCATTTCTCTTTTAGATTCTATTATTAAAACTTTTGAGTCCCTAATCATTGAAGGAACAACAGATTCTACGTCCTACATATTGCGAAGAATCTTTTATGCTTCTCATCTTTCTTTCATTTTAAATGAAATTGCTAAAAATTGCGAGGAAATGCAAATTGAAAGTATATGTCTATGGATTCTTGAAGTCTGTACGAATATACTTTCCTCTGATGTTCTTCCACAAACAAAACTATCAGCCAATTCTCTTTTCGTTCAGCCATCTCCTTACTACCATGGGTTCGGCTTAAAATACTTTTTATATCTTTCTTCCGTGTCTGCTTTGGTAAACGCTGCAACGTGTTTATGGTTAGGAAATTGTGCATTGTTTTGGGATATTGGTTGTTCTCGTCCTTCCTCTCCTGAAGAAAAAACCTACTCTAGTCAATTTCAATCGCTTCTACAATTATCTGAGAAATTGCTTTCGAATAGCTATACTTCTAAGTTACAAGGACAAGTTTCTGTACCTTGTGGGTTGTTCTTTGTTCTTGCCTTGAAACTAGCAATTTTGAGTTCCGCCTATGTTGGATTTGTTCCTTACGTATATTGTGAGTGGATTGACCTCTTACTCCAAAATATATCTGACGGACCCGAGACTCTTCCTCATTTGATCGATGTGATGGCTTCTTTAGCATGCGTCTTTCCCGCACAATTACAATTTAATTTAATGCGCTTGCGGTTTATTGCAATTTATGCTCCGCGTAGTGATGAAGATTCAATTGTATACGCGAAACTGGCATCTCAAAAATTGGCACATTTGTTCAATTACTCATCCAAAGATGCCGCCATCACTTCAATCTACCAATTAGTGAACTTACTGTCTCCTCTTGATACAGCAGATAGTTTTTTTTCCCTTTCCAGGGAACACATGAACATGGAGGGTTTTGCGCATCCTTCGCATAAACTTCCAACAAATACTCTGCCAATTTATATGAATATAATAGACTCCGGACGTGAGATTGCTCTGTTAATGAACGATGAAAAGATTCATGGACTAGCTATTTCCTTGTTAATTCAAAAGTTTTCGCGAAATTTTGACCCAAGGATTAGTGCTAAAATAATATGTGCTTTAGCCGATATATCAATTAAAGCAAATGAGCGCAACTTCTTCATTCTGATTCAGTTTTATTCTATTCAACACAAAATGCTGACAAAACAAATGGACGAAAAATTAGCTTTGGCAATCTTTCAATCACGCCGTCTAATTGCCAATGGGACAGAGCCGCACTCTTATAAACGACTAGACTTGCTAAAAAGCTTATTGGAAGAAATAATACAAGTGGGTATTGTTCGCGATACCCCTTCCGATCAATTAAGCGGATACTACACTGCCTTCGCCTACGCCATTAAGGCGCTAAGTTATTGTATTGACCAAATCTCGTGGGAGAATTTACCAAAAGATGAAAATTATCCAGCGCTTTTCAGGGATATGTGGTTCACTATCGTTTTAAATAGGTTTCGGTTTTCAATTGACTTAAGTGAGACTTTAAGCCCGGAACTTGAACAAATTGCCCGTAACTCTCCTCTTCTTGTTTTTGAAGATTTTGGAAATAATTTTGAAAGCAATTTGGAACTAAACACTGTTTTGAGAAGTCATATTGAGCATTCTGTAAGTATTTTATCGTTGCACGTCATTAACATCATAGGTTTTATCTCGAATCAAGTCAGAATTGACTTCTATTGCAAACGTGGATTTAAAGTCCTTAAATGTGTCCGAAATTTGCTTTCTATCCGCTGTCCTTCTACTCGAAGGACTACGCTGTAAAACTAGTCGAATATCCGCCCTTGTCGAATATTTGAGTGATCCTACGTTAGGATCAAGCCACTTGCCTCAATTCATTAGAGCCATTGCACTCCATGTAAGTTTTAAATATTTTCTAGCGGACTAACATGATAGAATTTATCAATTTTTGTGGACTCTCTCTTTCGTGTTAAGCGACTTCATCAAAGTAATGTTAAAGAAATTCAAAAGCTTCTTTGTTTATGCTGTCATAGAATTGATTCCGTTCGACGGTTGGCTTTGGAATGTACTACTTTTGTCTTGCATAACCTACCTCATCTGCTTGGCACTGCTGATATATTGTACAGTATTTTAGAATTACTTACTCTTCTTTGGAAGGCCAGAAACGAGGAATGTCATAATCAGTATATTCCTAAGCTTCAGTATTGTTCTCCGAAGTTAAAGCTTACAATTGTTTTGTCTGATATTTACGATGTTCGTGAGAGGGTACTCTCTGAATTTAAAAGCAATGCTACAGATTGGATAACAGTCAGTTCCAAATCTATTCCAAGGCCACTAAAAAATCTGTTACAGTCTTATCTCGCTGATTTTGAAGACGTCGATGATCTAGAACTTGTCGAGCTTGGAAGGTCACTTGCTGTCGAAGTTGGGATTAAAACTCCAAGCTTTGATCGTGAAAACTGCGTTCTCTCGTCTTTTGGGAATTGGATTCCAGATTTCAGTTCTGAGTTTATGGCTGATTACACAATACGCCAACGATATGCGCATGGTATGTCTTCAATATCTAGGGTTTCCTTTTCGATAATCTTGCTAATTGAACTTAGAAAATATAACCTTAAACATGGAAGGTGACATGAGTGCCGACAAGGTTGACCTTGTACTTCTTCAAAAATCTAAACTTTTTGAGCAAAACCTATCACTTTTGAACGATTTGGAAAATGACACTCAACGAAATTTAATATCGCCCCAGAAGCTTCGTAACGATATCCGCAAGGCTGCCGCTCATGCGGTGCATGAATCGACATATGTATGTTTGAATTTCGAAAATATGTTTTATTAACATTCTAGCTGTTTTCAATACTTGCAAGGAAAATCATACGGATTCCTTTTATCGAGTTCAGCCAAAAATCTATGAAACTTGGGATTACTTTATGGAATTGGATGATGAACGAAGTTCCATTTTTTAGCCCTTATATTGTGCTTAACATCATTCGTAACTGGAAAAACGAAATCTTGAAGGAAAAGAGAGGGTTTTTCTCAACAGCAAGAGCTAAATCGCCATTAGCTTTGCCAATGACATATTCTCCGACTGAGAGATCATCTTTCATATCTTATAAGAGTAAAGTGAAAGCACAGATGATCCCTCACCTACTGTTGTTAGAGCTCATGTCCGGCATTTTTGAAGGTCTTTGGTATAGTGATCGTCAAAGTGCTTTTATCATTATTCAGTTCTTGGTGTTTGTATTGAAAAAGATTCGTGCCTTGGAGTTTAGTCGCAATGCATTAGCACGGGAACTTCACTTTAAATTTATTTCTTTTGGGTTTAAAATTGCTGAAAATTTACTAAACACATCATTAGGTTCTAGGTATTATAACCTCTGCTTGGATGCTGCCTTATGCTGGTTTACAGAAACACCAGCATGGACATATGGGGCAGATAAACTTAGTGTTGCGGCGGAAATTTCGATTATGCGGAGTCTATGTGCAAAGTTGGAAAACTTCTTAAGTCGTTACCCTCTCAAAGGTAATGAATTTTTTTGTAGTACATTTTTTAACAATTGTCTAGACTCTACGATCAAGAAGCAAAATCTCCTAATAATTTTATTGAAAAATGAAATGTATAGATTGTATACTTGGATTACACCTGTTACATATGGAAGGAATTTGATAATGATTGATCCGATACCGGAAAGCTTTTGTTCAAGTTCGGCGATTACTTCAGAAATGCTACGATTAGCTTGGAGAATCTCCCCTGCTATCGTTTTGTATATTCCAAAACGCTTCATTGATGATTCATTGATAGATATGGTGGCTAGCTTTATTTTAGCTGATCCTGCTTCGTGTCTTCATTATGAAATCTCTATGGACTATTTATTTGAAAAATTCCCTGACGGTAACTTTCCTCTGGATAGGAAGTACCTTTTGTATTGGGATCCTGTTTATCCTGTTAATGGTCCGGTTTTGTTTAAGCCGAAAATCAGATGGAATCCGCAATTACTACAATACACGGTACGCTCTATGGAAAGTTATCCAGTTTCCGTCATGTTTTTTTATGTACCTCAGATTGTGCAGTCTCTTCGGTATGACAAAATAGGTTATGCTGAGAGTTTTATACTTGAAGCTTCGGGTGTATCACAATTATTTGCCCATCAAATTTTATGGAATATGAAAGCAAATATATATAAAGATGAAAGTGGTACTGTTCCTGATTCTATAAAACCAATTTTGGATCGTGTCATGAACAAAATGATAGCTTCCCTTTCTGGTGATGACAAAAGCTTTTATGAACGAGAATTCTTTTTCTTTAACGAAGTTACTTCTATCTCCGGTAAACTTAAACCATTTATCCGAAAATCAAAACCAGAGAAGAAGGTATGTCTACAGCAGTGCATTGAAATGCTTATCTAACCACAATAGGCTAAAATTGATGAAGAGATGAGGCAAATTAAACTCGATGTAGGTGTTTACTTACCTAGCAATCCTGATGGTGTAGTGATTGGAATAGATAGAAAATCTGGAAAGCCTTTGCAAAGTCATGCCAAAGCACCGTTTATGGCTACTTTTAAGATTCAAAAAGAAAAGGTCATTAATCCAGACCCAGAAGAAGAAGCCGTGAATGGAGATGAAGTAGAAAACAATCATCAAAAGCAAACTTATGAAGTTTGGCAATCAGCTATTTTCAAAGTCGGTGACGATTGTCGGCAAGATGTACTAACGTTACAATTAATTGCTATCTTTAAGAATATATTCAACTCTGTGGGTTTGGATGTGTATTTATTCCCTTATAGAGTTACTGCTACCAATCCTGGTGTACGTAAAACTTTAAGCGAAGGCTTTTTATTAACCTATTACTAGTGTGGTGTTATCGATGTGCTACCAAATTGCATATCTCGAGATATGCTTGGACGTGAGGCTGTTAATGGCTTATATGACTATTTCATTACTAAATTTGGTGGTGAGGACTCTATAGCATTTCAAAAAGCTCGCAGCAATTTTATTCAGAGTATGGCGGCTTATTCCGTTATTACATATCTTTTGCAATTCAAAGATAGACATAACGGAAATATCATGATAGACGATCAGGGACATATATTACATATAGGTAAGGACTCATGCGATGAGTAATGATAACTAACATGGTAGATTTTGGATTTATTTTTGATATTGCACCTGGTGGAATTACATTTGAAAGTGCTCCATTTAAGCTGACTCAAGAAATGATTGCTGTGATGGGAGGTAATAACAAAACACAACCATTCCAATGGTTTCAAGAGCTATGCGTTAAGGCCTTCTTAGCATCCCGTCCTTATGCTAAGTCGATTTGCCAAGCCGTCGAGATTATGTTGGACTCCAGTCTTCCTTGCTTTAAGGGACAGTTGAGTATTACGCATACTTTAGAACGGTTTGCCTTGGATATGAATGAAAGGCAGGCTGCAAATCACATGCTACATTTGATTGATCAGAGTTACAATAACAAACGAACTCTTATGTATGATCAATTCCAAAAAGCGACCAACGGTAAGTAAACGAAAACAAACATTTCAACATCAGCAATTACTAATCACATCTTTAGGAATTCCTTATTGATTTTAGTCTTTTATGTTCTTCAATGTTAAGAAAGTTAACCTAATGCCTCCTGATGGATTGGTAAATATCACAACTGAGCGAATGATTAAATACACACAAAAATCGAGTTTTAGCTTAAATTATTGTTTTATACTGCGTTGGAAAAATTATTAATTATTATCGTATAGAATTGTTGAACAACCAGTACAGGGCTATCACTGTAAACTAAGTTAAAAGCAAATCAGTATTGAGCAAAGAGGTAAATATAAAATTAAAGAAATTATCTGATTTCTTGGTATAAAGGCCTGTCATTGAGGTCCTATTTTTTCAGTTATATAAGTTCCGAACGCGCTACGCGTAACTTGGATTCTACTAATACTTGACAGCATGAAACAAAGAACTGAAACCACCACTTCCAATGAATCTAAGTATGTAGAAACGTTAAATTATATGAATTAAACTAATTCCAAAAAGTTCTGACATGATTGAGCGCGTTTTGGAAGAATTGAGCATTAAACACATGGAACGATGCATCAGAAAACGCGACCAAATTGAACAAGAGTTTACAAAGCAGATAGAATATGAAAAATCGCAACTAACGACGGAAATGAAACTTTTACAAAACAAAAAGTATGAGGAAAGCAGGCAACAGCCAGTGTTATTATTATGCAAATAATAAATATTGACAGATAAACAGTGAGGAAAATGTTCAAAGAAAAATGAGTCGTTTAAGTGAGTTAAGATCTCGTCGGCAGCTTTTGGAAACTCAAAGGGAAGCTCTAGGAAAGCAGATTCGCCAAGAACTGGGACAATACCTTGAGAAGCTGCAAACACTTGTTGAGTCAAACTAATGAAACCATGATATCAGTAAAAGCACAGTAAGGACTGTGAACAGTATGTTAAATATAAGTCGTTTTGTACAAATTATCATCATTGCATGAATCGTCGGCAAAAAAAATCCTCGTTCTGTGACAGTAAAATCGAGCTCATAGAGAAGTACTTCGGTAATATTCTTGTACAGGAATGACAGATCGGAAAAAGGCTTCTAGCTTGTCATCGAGCTTCTCCAACTTGATCCGTTTGGCCTTGTTCTCCGAAATAAGAGTTGCTTTTCGTTTGAGTAAATCTTGTTTGAGACCAGATAGCCGCTGGCGTTCTTTTAGCTCGTCTTGAAGTCTTGCTATCATGACTTCATGATCAGTTGCATTTTGTAATTCAGAATGATCTTTTAGAAATTCTTCCTTAGACATTAGTGGAAGCTGGGTATACAGGTGTCTAAATGATGAATGTCAGCGAATAGCATTCAAGAAACATACATACTCTTTGCCATGATAATCTTTAATGATTGCATTTAAATGTAATTTCTGATATTGTAACGCTTGCAAATTTACTAAAGCTTGTTCAAGAGCAGCACGATGTTCAGAAGTTGCTCCCTTTGCTCTTTGAAGTTGCTCATATGATTCACGATTAACTGCTCTCAAAAGTAAAAGTCTAGCAGAAAGCTGTTTTTTTATTTCGTGAGCTCTTTGTTGGCCGTTTACTGGATCTTCATTCTTGTTACTGTGAATCTGCAAACACAAACGCTTTGCAGATTCCAACGTTTCTAAACACTCAGCTACTGCATTTTCTGACATTTCAGGAAGCTAATAGGCGTCACAGAGTGCCAAATTTGACGAAGTTTGAGAACTTTACTTTTCGTTGGTGGAATTGAAGAATTTGTCGACGCTCTCTACTCCTTCAGTTTTCTCCTATAATCTTTTCAACGGTGAATCGCCCTTAGTGAGAAGGAATAAATAGTCTTTTTTTTTCTTTGTTTTGTAGTTAATCGTATCCAGTTTCTTAAATCGAATCGATTTTTGAAAAAAGAAAAAAAAAATATCAAGAGTTATCGAACGGGAATTGGGAAAAGGGAAAAGATTGGGGAAAAAGGTTTCATTAGACATGAGAATCAATCAAAATACGAGCATTGACTGTGGAAATTTGGTTTTGGTTCCCTATCTGGAGCGGCATGTGTTGAAATATCACAACTGGATGAAAAATCCAAAATTACAAGAATTGACATGTTCTGAGCCCTTGACATTGGAAGAAGAATTTCAAATGCAAAAATCTTGGTTGGAAGATGAAGACAGTAAGTAATGTTGGTCTTGATAAACACTGAAAAGTTTTTCATTGTGTTTCATTCTATCAAGGATCATATTTGCTTTTGCTTTTCTTTTATTTTATTAACTGAAAACATTGGTTAGAACTCACATTTATTGTGATTTACAGGCAAGGAGTAGAAAATAAGAAGCCTCAAATTCTTCATGAAATCCTATTTCATCGCAATGAGGATATGATTGGAGACGTAAACATGTTTTTAACAGAAGGATATGAGGAAGTCGAGGACGATCCAGCAGCGGCAGAGGACGAGAATCAAAATAGTAGTACTTATACCCAGGGTGAATTGGAGCTCATGATTGCGAAACCTGAATATCGAGGAAAAGGCTTGGGGACAACTATTGCTGAAGCCTTTTTGTACTACATGGAAGTGAGTGGACTTGTTGCAAGCAAGGGAATTGCAAAATACATCATCAAGGTTGGTAGCAAAAACGTGCCAAGCCTACGCCTATTCAAGAAGATAGGATTTCAGCAAACAAAGTATGTAGCTTGTTTTGATCAAGTGGAGATGGAAAAGCCCTTACATTGAGCCTTTAATTGCTCTTCCTGCAGAAAATCTTGGATGAACTTAGACATCGACTATACTTACTTACTATAGAAATCAACAGAAATTAATTGACACTGATACCAAAAGATTTACAAGCTGTATAAAAGATGGTTTATGCAACGTTAAAATACATACAATTACGATACTATAGCCATAACAAAAACCTTGTCAGAACACACAAAATGATAGTCAGCATAAAAACCAATGATCGTGATGCGATCACTTTTTATTAAGTGTTCTATTCAGCTTGAGCCTATTTATGCCTTCTTTCCAACCTCAGAAACAGTCAAGTCTACACAATATGTTAGTACGTTTGCTTATATTGGCTTCCTTTTTCTCCTTCAACAACAAGTCGTCATAAATCATCCTACACCTCAAAAGACGTTGTCGAAGGACTTGCTGAAAAATAAAAAAGCTTCGTTTACATACCAGGAGGGAGAGATTGGCGGAGCTTCTCAGCTTTCTTGGCATCAGCAACAACCAAAGTGTACAAGTACTTAGAGCAGCGAAGCTTGAACTTAACATCCTTGTTTTGGTTCTTCTTGATGCGGGCAGAAGTAGCGTCCTTTCTGCGAGCGATTTCCAAGAATTGCTTAATGTCGTTGATTTGACGAGGCTATTTCAAAGTTAGCTTTATATTCCTTCTTCCGAAAGAGTATATGCACAAGCAGCTTCATTCGATCATTTGACGAAATTTATCTTCTATTTACGCTACGCATATCTCTTCTTTTGACGCTTTCTTACCATTTTGTTAAGCTTGGTGAAAGACTGGATTTGACAGAAATTTCCGTTTTACCAAAATTTATGTGACTGTTCAAATTTGGAAGAAAGCTTCAAGGACGTAAACCAAATTTACTGAATGCTAACATAGTCTAACGAGAATATGTAGTGGATATAGAAATGATTGAAGTAAAGAGTAAATAAAAGAAAAGAAAAGAGACTTTGAAGAAAGAAGCGTATTGGAGTTATAACTAGGATGTCACAGAGTTGGATTTTCACTTTTTATCAACAACAGTTCGTTTTCTTTGGAAATGTTAACACTCAGATTGAATAAAAATAGATTTGATAGCTTTTTACACTTGAGAGAAGCAACTACATACAAAAGCACTGGAACTGTATACTGAAACTTATCAATGAATGCACATTTGTAAGATGCAGCTTGACATGAAAAGAATCAAAAACATCATGATTTCATATTTAGATCTTTATTTATATACGTTTCTTTTTCCTTGTCGACAAAACAATGACTCATGCAAACTTAGCAACAGTCATGAAACAATTCCATAGTATAAAAACATAAAACTTTATTAACAAAAAGGCTTTAAAATTGCCGCAACTTTTATCATTAGTTCATACAATATTCCGGTTTTCGTTAACCATGTCTTAAATGAGTGCTCTCATTTTCCTCAAAAAGGATTTAAGAGCTGAGCGAGTTAATTTCCCAACCGGCTGGCTGAACGGACATCTTGGGTCCCAAAATAGTACTGGAAGAGACTTTTCCATTTACCAAATATTCTTTGGCAACACGAGAGACGTCCTCTGCTGTCACAGCTAAAAGGCGTTCTCTGCGGTATTGTAACATGTCATCCGAAACACCATCTAGAAACTGCAGTATACCCTTTTGGCTTTCGCTCTGAGGGGCATCAATACCTTGAAAAACGCTTAACTTCGCCTCATCAAGGTCTGATTCAGAGAACAGATGTGTAGCTGCCCATTCTGAGGCCTCTGTGAAAATTGCTAATGATCGAGATGGATCAGCATCTCGATAAGTAAAGAAGGAAAGAATTCCATCAACTCCACCGTATGAGAGACCGGCACCATAGGCACCGCCCTTCTCACGAATTTCTCCGTGTAGGTACTTGTGAGTAAGCAATGATGATAAAATTTGTAAGGCTGCTCCATCCTCATGCGTGTATGGAACACCAATATATGACGTGGAGGCGAAATTCGTCTGGAAAGGAAGCTCATGATAAACTTGAGTGGAAGAAGGACCAAAGCTTTCTGAGCCTTCTTGCTTTTGTGTTGCTGGTTCCATGGATGGAGAAGGCAACAATTTCTTCAAGGATTCCTTCACAACTATTTGTTGCGAAGGTGCAGCATTCACTGCAACCTTTACATCATGAGACTTTTTCAGAAATTCGTGAATTTCTTTAAGGTGAGATACTAATAAATCCAAATCTTTCGCCCTGTTCAGTTGACTAAGTAGCTTCACTTGACTGAGACCATTGAGTTGCTCAGACATATGTGCTTTCTTCGTAAGGCTAGAAGCTGATGACAAGCGCGCAAATGCATGTCCTCTTTCAGCTATGCCATCGGTGATACCACTTATAGATGTCTTCAGCATAGTTGCTAATTTTTCGTGATTGTCAAAGTTTGTCTCATAGAACACTTTTTTTATCAAGTTGGTCATTTTTCCCACGTTTTCATCTAAACAATAACCAGAAACATATAAGTTGAGTCCAGCCTTAGACAAATCTTTAGGATCGGTAACCAGAGATGGTGAAACATTAATACCACCAGTATACCGGCGGATTTGTTGTTCAATCTCAGCTATGCTTTCCTCGGAAGTTCCTAAACTAAGACAAGCATCGCAGTATACACTAAGGTAAGGGAGAAGATGCTCAGGAAATCCTTTCAAAGGAAATAATAGTCGAAGATAAGTGAGACCAGGGCTCAATTTGTACCATTGGATAGGAACATTACCCAGTTCCATGAATTCAAGCTCAGTCTTTTCTGTAGCTTTATTAATATCAGAAACACTGAGCGTAGGTAAACAGCTGGTATCCTCAAGTGTTGATTGCTTTTCTAACAAATCAGCACTGACTTGTTCAATTTCTCTGATTTTGCTTTGTGGAAGAGACGAGACATGGCTCTGTAGCTTTTCGGCTTCTTTTTTCTGATAGTTTTTCGAGAAATCCGCAGAAGGATACATGCTGAAAACAAATCGTGACTTGTTCTTAAAGACGTACTTTTGAATCAATTTCTGGAATAATTTACCATCTTTGTTTTCGTTCTTAAGCCATTCAATCTGTTTATTCCAGGAAAGATAGTCTGCTGGGTCCACGCCATTAAACCAGTAAAATGGAACTGACTGAGCTAGTCCCATACCAAAGTGAGCAGATTTGTGCTTCAAAGAAATTTCCATTTGATGGAGAATGGCATCTAACTTTTCTTGCTTAAACCCGTTCTCAGCCAAGTCTTTGAAAACAGAATAGATTTTTTCCTCTAATAAGGGAAGTGCATCGTTGCCAGCGCCTTCTATTCCTACAGAAAAAATACCCCTCTTTGTAGTAGAGTCATAACCACTGTTTGGGGAAAATTCTGAACCCAATCCAGATTCGATGAGAGCTTGGTACATAGGAGAAGAAAACCCGTCTAAACATAGTCTAGAGAGTATTTTCAATGCAAATGTTTCGTAAATGTCTGCTGTATCATTTGCCAAAAACGAAATAGAAAACTTAGCCTGGTGGTCAGGAGGCATCACGGGGTCTGCGGGACCATACTCAGTGACACGTCTTTCACCTTCAAAATCAGCGAGATACATCTCTGGCTTATGAATTTCTTTAGGACTGAAATGTGAAAAGGTATCACTTAAAGCAGCCAGATTCTCCTTCAGGGGAAATGAGCCGTAAGAAAAAATTTTCGCATTCGAGGGATGATAATGAGTTTTGTGAAAGTTGACTAATTCTTCATAGCTTAAATCTGGAATGGCAAGTGGATCGCCTCCACTATTGGAGCCATACGCAGTTCCCTGAAAGAGATGTTGCTGAAAGAGCATGTAAAAGACATAGGAAGAGTCGGAAACTTGTCCTTTCATTTCGTTAAAGACAACACCATTGTAAATAATAGGAGTAGACTTGTCCTTAACGTTTGAGTGCTCAAATCTCCATCCTTCTTGCAAAAAGTCAAGCTTTCTTAACTTTGGAAAAAGAGTGGCATCCAAGTAAACATCTCGTAAATTTTTATAATCTGTAGGGTTCACGGTTGCAAAAGGATAAAAAGTGAAGTCTGAGGCAGTAAAAGCGTTCATAAAGTTTGCCAAACTGCGATTCAGCATTTTAAAGAATGGATCTCTGACTGGATATCTGTTGCTTCCGCACAATGTAGTGTGTTCTAAGATATGCGGAATTCCCTTGTCATTATCTGCAGGCGTATGAAAGCCAATGCTGAACACATTATTAGGATCGTTTCGAGAAAGATGGATCATATCAGCCTTAGTAGCATCATGCTGCAAACGAATGTATTCTAACTCTAACTCAGGTATTTTTCTTTTCTAAAAGTTTTGTTAGATTAAATCTGTGGACGATATTCTCGTAGAGAGTCTTGAAGCTTACATCTATAACGGAAAAGTCGTGTATCTTTTCACCGACATGAATCCAGCGACGAAAAGGTTTGCCAAACTCATTTTTTACAATGTTTTTACGACAGAATGAAGATATTCTGGCGTGATTCATAGTTTTTCGAAAAACTATGGAATATTGGTTTTGGACACGAACTTTAGGTATGGGGTAGCCTATACAACCAACTCATGTAGACTATTCATTACGGAAATCGTTGAAATCGGCTCCTCTTTCCATTCCTATTATCTTTCTGTACCTTTTACTGAATTATATTATATAAAAGATTTATTCCTCCAAGCTTCGTTTTGTTCTTGTACTATTTAAGGGTATGTCTGTCAGTGCGATTGTTCACGCTACGTTTGAAGCTAGAGAAGGCTATCAAATTCAAAAAATATTTCCCGAGGATTTCTATCTTGAAGGAATTGAATATGCTCTTTTTCCTAGCGGAATTCAAGAATTGGATCAGTGTATAGTAGCATTTCATTATCGAAATCAGCTATGTTTAAGTATATACAGAAAGAAATTAGGCAAGCTTTATGAAAGGAATGCGTACTTCTCTTCAGTTGGTATACTCTTACAAGACGCGGAGATAAATTTTGAGGAAGCTGCTGCGAAATACTTGAAGCTCTTGGATTTCGTATCGGTAGCCATTGTCTCCTCTAGTTCATTGAAGGAAATAAACATGGTGAACAATTCTGTTTATGCAGCTTTTCTGGATTCCTTTCAAGCTTCTCATGGTCCTAATTATTCGTTTGAAGAGTATCAGCAAGGGTTGAGAACAGCTGTCTTGAAGCAAAACTTCAGTGCCATTCTTTCCATCTTCAATGCCCAGGAAGAAACTTTATATGATCCATTTTCACCTGACCTAATCCGACACTATTATTTTCTGATACAGAGTTGGTTAGGTCCTGTTTTCCTCATGTTATATAAATATTCGATGCAAGGAAAGCGGATTCTTTTGGTTTCATCACATAACCACGAGCTTTACTCGATTATGGATATCATTACTCGTTTAAGTTCTGCTTTTGATGAAGATAATCGGATTATTCCGAATTCCCTACACAAATTTTATTCTGTAGGACTAACAGATATTGACATTCTCGAAAATTCGAACCAAGAAAAAGGGTGGATAGCTTTGACAACTGATTCCATATTGTTATCCAAGTCATCTCTTTACGATATTGCCTTCATTTGGCCAACAGGTCCATTGTCCAAATCGTGTCCTCCAAAAATTCAACTTTCAAATGGTCTTCTCTTACGAACGTCTTATGAGGATTTACTGAATTTTTATTTCATTTGTGAAAAGTTTAATCCCCAGATCGCAAGTACCTTAAAATTTACAAACCATTCATTTGGAGCAATTTTACATATCATCCTCTTCAATTCAACACGCTTTAATTTAGTCCGATCCTTAGCTACTACCAACGAAACTAATTTATTTGCAGCTTTTATGAGGTACAATCAGCTACTTATAAATCGCTTGAATCAGTATCATGACAGCATCAGCATTCCGGACATGAGAAACCTAGGGTGGAACCCTTTTAGACAACTCGATCGAGATTTTATCTTCAATGTTGCACAGCGTTGGGCTAAGAAATATGTTCATTACCGCTATCCTTCGTATGCTTATTTGATGCAACCGACTGCTTGGGGCGTCCATTCCCTTTTACTCTTTGTCAGTATATGGAGAAAGTCTATTCCCACAATGATTCTTTATTTATTATTTTTAAAGTGGTGGTACAGTTAGTATAGTAATGTTGATGATCATGTTATTAATAATTCTTGCTTGCCTATAACCCAAAATGAAAACAATTCTTACTTTAATAATAAACGAAATGGCCAAAATTCTAGTTTTACTTTTGCATTCTTTCCGTCAGAAGTCCGAGTAATTTTTCATCAGAAACGTCATCTGGAATTCCCAAAGATATTCTATATTGCCTTAGAATATCCTGAGCGGCTTCCTCGGAGGGTTCTTCTTCATCTGGCTCTATCAATTCACCATCATACTCATCCTCTTCCGCATCAGAAATGGTCTCGGCGGGAGCGTCCTCTTTGGATACATGCATATCCTTCATGAGCTTTGACAATTGAACCTCCTTTTGTTTTTCTTTTTCCTGTTTCTGTATTTCTCTCAACCTTTCTACTTCAGGAAGATAGTCATTTTCATACTCTTGAGCCTTGGAATCCACTGCCTTCAAAAAGTCATCCATTCCTTCACCGGTCACTGAGGAAACAGAAACAAAATCTAAGTGTCGATAGAATTCTTCCAGCATCAAAGACATGCTATTAACAAGCGATCCCATATATCCGGAGGTTGCTCCTTCGGCACTTGTTCCTTCATCCTGTACAATTGCCTGCTGAAATTCTTCAAAATCAGACATCCATCTCTTGGCAAACTCGGCGTCTTGAACATCACACTTGTTATAGACAATAATCAGAGGAAGTTTCGTTTTGTACAACATAGAGCAAGCATAGAGCATCGATGACATGAAAGTAGATGTCGACGTGGAACGGGGAGTGTCGATAACGTAGGCAATGCAGGTAGGCCATGAACTGGCAAGCGTATCGCTGATAATACTACCTGAGGCTGACCACTGGAATATTTCAATTTGTCCAGGAGTATCAACTAAGATATGATCAACTGTCGGTGCACGTTTTTCTAAGATGTTCAAAACTTGATCAAACTTGGTAACAAATAAATTCAAACTCGTCATAATACCACCATTGGGACCCAAATTATATCTAAATAAATCATTAGAAGTGGATTTTTCAAGGCTTTATTTGTAAAAGTTACATACTGTTTCATAACTTCTTTATAATTGATTGTGTCGCGAATATCAATATTTGCTTCATAAGGAAGGTTCTTCACAGCAGGATCTAAATTTACAATATATGGAGGCTTCTCTTTAGAATGCAAATGAGCATTCAGTTGTTGCAGGAAGGTTGTTTTTCCTATCATTTTAGGTAAGTAACTGATCGAGCAATATTGGTAAGAACTTCTATTTAAATCAATTGTATCATTATATACCTGATCCTGCCATTCCAACAACGATAATTGAGGAAGGTTTCTTTACTTTTTCACTCATTTCTGGCATACTTCAACTTCAAAGGGATTTGGTAAGTGGTATGTGTAAAATTTGAAGAACGAGAAAGATTATCTGAAGGAAGTGTCACTAGGAAGCTTACGATTTTTGAATATTCATTTTGATAGTCATTCATTTGAAGAAATTTTATTTAATTTCCTCTGTCAAACAGACATGCAATAATCATCAGGATATGGTAACTATAAAAAGGTGAAGACACGTTAACTGGTTCAGAAAAGCTAAATAAATTCATTTAGTTTTAAAGGAAATCATCTTTTCATTGGTGTTCCCCTTTAGAAAGGATTTTAGTAGATAGCTTACGAGTAGGCATGGATCGACTATGGTCAATTCCGCTTGTTTTTGGAATAGAGTTAGTTGCCTTGCGCACTTGAAAGCTAGGATTTTTGTTTAAATTATCATTCTCTAATGCTGCTCGAGCATTCATGAACTGAACAGGGGTATTTTGATCGGGTTTGCTGGAAGCATTACTTAGTGATGTATCTACAGGTTGCTGAGGCTGCAATTGGTCATCCATTTCATCCAATTCATCTATCATGCTTTGATGTCGTAGTTAGAGGCTTTTTGTTATTCCAAAAAAATCATACGTACTCCTCGAAATCGTCTACTCGAGGTGACTCAGGTATTAGTGGACGGTCATTATGCATAAGAAAGGTGTCAAGTTCTTCGTCTTGGTATAAAAAGGTTAGTTTGAAGCTACAGTACTAATTTCACGTACCTGCGTACAAATCTGTTTCGGAATGTGCTATTTCAGGAGACAATCTAGGGTTCGGTAAAGCCGAATATTCATTGCCTTTCGTTTGAAAATCCTCTTTCGTTCCATGTTTCATGTTGTTTAAACTACGCTTTGAGTTTCCTTCCGAGAGCTGTTCAGTTTTGATGGAAGCTTTCGTTTCATTTTCGACTTTTTGAGCATCTGATGGAGGTCTTAAAGATGGTGCCCTCCTACGCTGTCTATTTCTCTGTAAAAGATTTGAATAGTTGAAGTCGCTCTAGGTTTAAAAGTTAGTGGACTGAAAGCTCGCAGCAGTATGAAAGTCCATCTCAAATACATACCTTGGGTGGAGCCATCTTAGAAATTCTCTGAATGTAAGTTTTATCATAAAGACAGTTCCCCATACTACTACCAAAGTTTCTCAACGCGCGTTTTAAACCGTCAGTAGTACCCTCCTTTTTGCACTTTTCAAAAGCAAGAGCTTTAGCACGACAATTGTCAATCGATCCGTATCCAATGTCCTGAGTGTACCGTTAGTAATTTTAGAAAAAGAGATTGGTTCGCCATTCCATTACTTCGTGATAGGTTCCATCTTTGAGTGTAATGCGAACAATTACGCTTAGGCCAATACTGTATCTTTGTGTTTCTTTAGACTCATCAATCTATTTTTTTGTTAGATTGCAAGCTTATTTTTGGAATTCATGAACAGTTTCGTTGCTGCAACGAAAGCACTTCGTACATAATCGACATGAATGCTCTGAACAGAAGAAGACCACCCATTGAACCCAAATATTTCATTGGCAAGCTCAATTGCTTTCCATGCTTCTAAGTAGGTTACCGAAGCACCGCCAGGTCCACTTCGACGAGATATATATTCTGGTCCCAATTGCATCGAAAGCAATTTCGACATTTCCTCCTGCTCCAATGGATTAAATGCAGTTTTCATATTTTCATTAGAACTATAATTTTTTCCATAATGCTGCTCCATAATTTTCTTTCTCTTGAAAGGATTCCACAGAACGGTTCACGTTTTGTACTGGTGTAATAGATTCGACGCGAGGTATGTATTTTCCCATTCAACCACGTCACTTTCATGTTCGCGTTTTTATTCGTTTTCGTTAGTAATAAATTCTAATTTTTGAATAATTGAATTCTATTTTGTAAATTGACGCGTTCCTAGATAGAAATGGACATACTTTTCTTTCTTTCTAAATATCATATAACATTATATGATATTTCGAAATGTGCTAATGTTGGTGAATATTATTTGCATTTATAATGCTATGTGAGTATATAGTTTTATATGTTACTTAAAACAACAACGTAAACAAACAAATCAATGAATTTAGTAAAAAAAGAATATCAAGAAAAATATCAAGTTTAATGAGATACTACGGATTTACGAGTAAATATTTTAATAGCTAGATAGCTTTTACATACTCTTGTATGTTGCCAGACTTAATTTCCAATTAGAAAGATCTACTTAATCTAAGCAAGTGACTTTTTGCTTTAACGTCCTAAACGAAAACACACCTATTGGATTCTAACTTTTCGTTTACTTTTTTTTCCATTCGCTTTATTATAAATCCAGTCATCAGTATTAGTCCCATGACACATATATGATATAGTGATTAGACTCTTTGTTTATTTACACTTCAAGGGATTAAAATCCAATAAGTTACTACTCAATAAGAAATTAGAGATATAATGGAAGCGTTATAAGAGAACTAGACAGGAATTGAGACATGGATTGGAGTATATGAGTTTCGCACATGGCAAGACAAGGCAAGACGAAAAAGAAAAGATTAATTCAATAAAAAGACTCAAATGGTAGCTGATCATAAAATTGGATCACATAGCAAATGTTCTTGCGACTAAAAAAGAAACAAATACTCCCAGCACAAGGAATCCCAGCTTATTTTTGATAGAACAGTCACTGAACCTCAATTATTAACTAGAAATGGTCGAATCAGCTGGAGATTTACGAATAAATTGGAAACCAATTGTTTGTGCATCTTTTCCTTTTCTTGTTTTTCTTCCATGTACTCCTCTGAATATAAGAAGGTCACAATTGTTTCGACCTTGCGAATGGAAATACTTAACTAGTAAATCAACAATACTTTTTTCTTACATTAGCAATCTCGATCCAAAAAGGTATTTCACAATTTTTCATAAACCTTCAAATCAACATGAGCGTATTTCAGACCTTCATCGTTAACCAAATAAGAATAATAAAATACTGAAACAGTAAAGCTTTGACACTATGCCTGAGTGGTTAAAGGGATAGACTAGAAATCTATTGCGGTCTCCGCGCGCAGGTTCAAATCCTGCTGGTGTCGTTTTTTCTTTTTCTTCAACCAAAAAATGTTTCATAGACTCGTATTGTAATTATAGATTTGATAAAATATCACAGTTGAAATTTCATGTTTAAATCCAATCACAAAGGCGTTTTGAATCTACCCAACTGTGCGAATATTATCCAAAATAGAAGTGGCACATATTTACAGTCTGAATTCAAAACAACGGTTCATTACGAATGGAATGTGCATTAAATTTTCATATACCAGATGGTCGTAAACAAATCTCTTGATGATCATTCATAGAACAGACTAAATATCATGTGTAGAAATTTGATTCGAGATATCTTTAAAGCACGAAACCAAAAAATAAAGGGATCAAGGATGAAAGAAGAAATGGTAAAAAGCGTCACCTCTAATGGCTACGTATGCATTTTGAATTGCAAAATTTTAGGAGTTTCTTTTTGATTCCCAAAAAGCCTTACGAAGGCTGCATTATCAATTCCTTCCCGATGATTCTCATTGACAAACATGCACGCAAGAGGAACTGGAGAACTTTTATCATAGAAACCTTCAATGAATCAAACAACGATTTATTCCTCTTTACGTGCAGCTTCCAACAAGGGCTCGATCTTTTTCGTTTTTATAGCCTTCATAAGACATTGCTTGTATTCAAGAAATAAATCATCACAATCTCTATTGCGAATATCTCCTTTCAAAAACTTGTTAACATACCAATCGTTAAAGCAAGTATCATATTTTTGCTATGTAAGGTGTGTTAGAAATATGTTTCTACAATAACAAGCCATTCAGCTTTCTTACCTTGGCAGGTGTGCACTCTTCCGAAAATGAAGAAGACATTGTGTAAGTTTGGGAGTTTTGGCAATATTAAAGGGAGATACGAACGATTGTCAACAAAGCCTTTATGCACTAGAAAAGGAAAGATCCAAAAAAATAATATCTTAATTCTTTTGCATATAAGACCTACAATGAAAGATAAACAGCAACTACTTTAATCCTTTTCTTGAATTTATGCAGTATTCCACTCGGAATGAGTATTTGGTGGAAGATGATTTCGCGTTGCCTGTTTCTCTTCCACCATCTTTCTCCATATTACTACAACCCCAGTAGGAATGAAATAAGATTCGTCATTTTCCGTTCGATTTTTGGCTAATAATTCCTATTTATTTATTTATTTCGCGTTAATTGAACATTGGAACGTTCAGAAAGCTGCAACCGTGAAATTCACCAAAGTTGTCAAAGGACGAAGAGAATTGATTTTGCTTTTTGTAAACTATTCTATTTATATTCTACAAGCTTAATTGTTAGAATTGTGCCTTTTATTTTGTCACCGTCATGTCAAATTTAGCAGACGAGTTGTTAGCTGATTTGGGCGACGATTTCGAGAATCAACCTCAGAACTTGGTGGAGGAGGAGGAGGAGGAGAAAAACGATGTTCCTCAACAAAATAAGAAAAAGAGAGGATTCGAACAATTATCAGAAACTGGGAACGATCTTTCCCTCGAGTTGAATAATGATTTAGGCTCAACAGAAGATACTGAAGATCGAAATGACCAACAGCAGCCTACTACCGCTGAAGCAGATCATTTAATTTACCCATTCCTTCACTCAGATCGTTTAAACAATGTAGTTAGAGAAATTGAAAAATATCAAGGGACCGAGAAACAGGCTATTACTGGAAATATTGAAGACGACCCAGAATATCAACTTATCGTCGACTCTAACTCAATAGCTATGGAAATTGATGATGAGATTCTACGTCTACATCGTTTAGTGAAAGAATGGTATCATGGTCGTTTTCCAGAGTTGAGTGGGCTTGTCCTAAACGCGTTTGATTATTGTAAGACTGTCTTGGCTCTCTTAAACGATCTTGAAAATAGCAAAAGCAAACTTTCTTTTCTTCCATCCGCCACAGTCATGGTTATCGCTACTACATCAACCACCACAACAGGTCGCCCTTTACCGGAGGGTATGATTGAGAATGTAAAACAAGGGTGTAGTGCTATCGAACAATTAAGTGTCGCCAAGGTTAAAATTATAAATTATGTGCAGTCAAGAATTAGTGTAGTTGCTCCAAATTTATCTACCATTGTGGGCTCGACAACAGCTGCAAATCTAATTGGAATTGCCGGAGGACTTACTAGATTAGGGAAATTTCCAGCTTGTAATTTACCCGCATTAGGAAAAAAAAGGCTGACGACAATCGGAATTAACAATCCGGCTGTTAGTGGTGATTACGGATTTCTGTACATGTCTGATATTGTCCAAAAAACTCCACCCGATGCACGAAAACAGGCAATACGTATACTTGCTGCGAAGGTTGCATTGGCTGCTCGGATTGATTCCATTCATGAATTTTCTGATGGTTCCTTCGGTATACAGACTCGAACAGAGGTAGAAAGGAAAATTGAAAAATTATTAGAGCCTCCGTCTCAACGGCCCACAGTTGCATTGCCCGTTCCTGACGACAAACCGAAACGTCGTCGTGGTGGTAGAAGAATTCGCAAGATGAAAGAACAATATGCCGTTACCGAGCTTAGAAAAATGCAAAACCGTGTTACTTTCGGCAAAGAAGAAGCCGAGGTTCTTAATTATGATGAATCAGAGGGTCTTGGTATGCTCGGTCAAGAAGGAGAAGGCAAGATTCGTGCTGCTTCCATTGATACTCGTACCAAACTGAAACTTCCCAAAGCAAGAAAAGCCCAGCTTCAATCAATGGCAGCCAAGAATCCTCTTCAAGCAAGTGGTCTACAAAGTTCATTATCGTTTACTCCAGTACAGGGAATAGAACTTGTGAACCCTTTGTTACAAAGGCAAAAGCAAGTGGAAGACGCAAATAAATGGTTCCGAGATGGGGTTTTTACTCAAATTAAAAAGGAATCTAGCGATACGCAAAAAAAATTTTCATGAAGACCACAAAATAGCTTACGACTAGATATTTGTAATGAGAATAAAATACAAAAGGAAAAACGGTTATTACAAAGGAATGCAAATTGATTAGAACGAGGGTAAAAAAAAACTAGTCTTTAAATAAAAATAAAAACACCGGAAGATTGACATTACTGACCCAACTCTTTCCAGTAGTTCCATAAACCAGCCCGCGTGTATTTTTACATTCAAGAGGATATAATCAGGCAGATGAAAATACATGTAAAAAGACAGCTCGAAAAAAAAACGATATTACTAATACACGTATATAGAAACAGCAGCCTCTGCGATAAAATATATAATCAAGAATAAAGAAAGATGCAGATTTGGATCATTACAAAAAGCAGAAGAAGAGGAAATTAAAAATAAAAGAAAGCCTCCATCTCATTTTGATGGATCTTGGAAAGACCCGCGTTTTGACAATGCGATATCAGAAAAGATAGAAGTGGAAGAATTATTTTTCGACAAGCTCCAGTTAGAGAAAGCGGATCCTGGACGCTGAAGACCGGCCTGCTCTCTCTGTTGATCGTTCCATCCTAAGACTGAGGAAATGAGTTGTAGGATTTCAAAACGCTTTGTGTCGGCCCGTGGTAAAGTAAGGAACGATACGAACAAGTTTGAAATGAGTTGTTTATCGATTTTTTCCGAGCTATCGCCATCCTTTAACATACAAAGCGCTTTGGTAAGATGCTCATTTAAAATAACGGCCTCGTGCTGTAGTTTTCCGATTAAAAGCGATTTCTCCCGAGCCTCTCGCTCCAAATCCGAAACTTTCGAAATACGAAGGTTGGCTTCATGTAGCTGTTCTTCTATCGAAGCAAAAGCAGATTCCTTGGCTACAAATTTCTCTGACAACTCATCCAAGCTGCTTTGATAGGTAGCCTGTAACTCACTCTTATCCTCCAAGTGTTGCGCTTTGAGAGCATCCATCTCTATTTCAAGTCTATGGTGTCTTGTAAGGTGCTCTTGAATTTCTTTCTGGTATTGTTCTTGACGTTCGGTTTCTCCCATCAACTGTTCCTCGTAATCGGCAAGACGAGCTGCTAAAGACTCTTGCATTTCATGTTCATCTTTTGCTCTTCTTTCCCATTGCCTCACCTGTATGCTTAAATTTTGGCTCTCCTTGGTCAGTATATCGTTCTGTGTCTGCAAATGCTCCACTTTTTGTTGAAGGCTTTTTGTTTGCTGCGTCAAGTTTTCGGACTCTTCATTGTTCAGCTTTAGTGCATCCTCAGCGTTCTCTAGCAATTTCTCCAACTTTTGAATCTGCGCCCGGCTTTGCGCAAGGGCCTGCGAATCTTTTTTCAAGCGTTCGCCCAGGGTTATCTTAATTCCTGAAACTTTTGACAGAAGATTCGTATGTTGTTGCTTTAAAGATCCATAAGAAGCCTGCAATTGCTGTAAATTCCTCTCCTTTTTCTCAAGTTCGATCTTCAAATCCTCTGCGTTCATTTCTTGAGCAATTTTCACGGGACTTTCAGGGTTTTCACTAACCGGACTCTCTATGTTATGCTCCTCTATTCGTAGATTGCCCAATTCCTCAGAAAGACGCACATTCTCTGTCGAATCTGGCTGTTTTCCTGCATCTTCTGCCATTCCTCTGTTTGGTTTGAATAACGAACTCTAATGTGCTTTTTCTGCTTCCTACCACTATCCTTTTTGGTGGTGAGTTGAGCTTGAACAACCAAGTTACAACCGAATATCGATGTAGGGTACAACAATGCGAAATCTGCCAATAACAAAACACATTGAAGAATTGTTTGCGGGTAAAAGCTTTGGGAAATTGGATTTTTTTGGATTGAAACAAGTGGTTTTTGTGTTGGTTGTACTATAGGGGTTTTTTGCCGCCCGAAAACGCTGGATTTTGAGAGAGAATTGTTTGAAACATCGATTCAGTCTCCTCGTCGTCTAGAATAAAGAGGATTCGGTTATTAATATTATCGCTAGGCATTCGATTGCTTTTGATACGAATTTACGAAGATTTGGAGTGAATTGAAAAGCAATATACTTCTACCTAACGCCTGCATTTCTTGACGGATAAGTGTTCGTTAGAATTCATTCTCTGTACTTTGTATCGCAAAATTTCTGTTTAGAATTCGTATGAGTGCTTTGTAAACGTTCTCTACTGCTCATATTGTATCCATACATTGCTCAGGTTGCCAATACTTGACAAATAAAAAGAGGGAAACCAGTTTGCATCGTAGCATCATTTGTTGCATTTCTCTTTTCTATATTCACACTAGACTCCATGGCAAAAAGACATAGAGCTGCAGATAGTGGTTCGGACGTGAATGATTCCTCGTCTTATTATCATCGGAAAAGAAAGCACTACCATCATTTTCGAGAACACGATGGACCCATAAAGAATGTTTGCATTCTTGAGCGAAAAACTCAAAAGCTAACTGCATGTATTAAACATTTGTTGGAAGAAACAAAACGGTCTACCAAAGACGATATTACTGCCGTCCTTCCTGGCTATGTTTATGGCAGGTTAGAAGGAATTTATGAAACGTTAGCAAACCGTAATGAAGAATTTCAATCACAAAGTTCCCAACTCCCTAACTCACCTACTATTAATGTGGATCAGGCCCTTCCTGTTTCTGAAAATAATACCGCCAACCAAGAAAAAGAAGACGGAGAATACCCTCCACAGTTGCCCGATTTACGATCTGACAAACTTCGAAGACAAGTCTTCACCCATATTTCCCGAGCTTACGAACTTTACCCAAACCAGTCGAATCCGAGTGAACTTCTTGATATTCATAACGAAAGGTTAGAATTCCTTGGCGACAGCTTTTTCAACATGTTCACCACAAGACTTATTTTTAAATCGTTTCCTCAAATGGATGAAGGTAATTTGTCCAAACTTCGAGCTAAGTTTGTGGGAAACGAATGTGCCGATCAGTTTGCTCGGCTGTATGGCTTTGATAAAAGGCTTGTACTAAGCTATTCTGCTGAAAAGGATCAACTTAGAAAATCTCAAAAGGTTATTGCCGATACTTTCGAAGCTTACGTCGGCGCTTTGATTTTGGACGATCAAGAAGAAGCTGCATTCAATTGGGTCGGAAATCTGCTAAAACCAAAGATAAAGAATACTATCGTTCAAGGTCCTATTGATAAGCTTGCCAAGTCAAAGCTATTCCATAAATACAGCACCCAAGGCCATATAGAATACCGATGGGTCGATGGAGCAGGTGGTTCTTCAGAAGGATACATAATAGCGTGTATATTTAACGGTAAAGAAGTTGCCCGAGCTTGGGGTGCAAACCAAAAGGACGCCGGTTCTCGAGCCGCAATGGAAGCTTTGAAAGTTCTTGCGAAAGAAAAACCATAATCTTTGTCTCCTTCTCGGCTTCTAGTTGATATCCCTCTTTTTTACTGTAAATAGCAATGCGAACTCGTCATTGTCATAAGTGTTTTATTTACTTTTGGAATACTAGGTTTTTTGTTAACATAATATACTTTTGTATTTTACATTTTTAAACTTTATTACAAAAGCAACTATATAGTCATTGGTATTTTACCATCTAATTTCGTCGTAGCCTATTTGATTTCACAAATGCTAAATAATTTCATTATGAAAGAACCAAAGACAAATTTTTAAGAACAGATTATTGACTCTAATATTCCTTTGCGTTTTCATAAGAGTATCTATAAGGATAATCATAGAAAACGAAAATCCACAAGTAAATAAAAAGAGATGTTCAAAACCGGTTATCATTGAGTGTTGTGGAATTACAGCCTGATTAATTAATTATCACAAGATTAAAGACTCAGAAGATGCTATATAGTATAAAGTATCTTAATCAAGATGAGCAATGTGAGAAGCCTGGTAGCGACCAGAGGGATCAGCAGGGCAACCCCATTCGGCCTTGGGAATCCAGCGCATAACTGTGTCAGCGCATTGCAAGGGGAAGATTTCATCAAACAATTTACGGTACCAGTAAGCTTCCTTAGTATCTGGGATATCATCGGCCCATTCCTTCCTGGGAACAGCAAATTCTTCATCTGAAACAGCCAATTCAGCAGTATCCTTCAGAGCATCAATCCAGGAGTAACCAACACCATCCGAGAATTGCTCCTTTTGTCTCCAAAGAATGTCATCAGGGAGGTATGGTTTGACATCAGGCTTATCAGAGGTATCAAAAGCCTTACGGATGATGTACTTCTCTTTACGGCCGTTAATGTACATCTTTTCTTTAGGATCAACGTTAAGAGTAACTTCCAAAAAGTCCTTATCCAAGAAGGGAACACGAGCTTCGAGACCCCAAGCCATAGTGGATTTGTTGGCACGCAAGCAATCAGACAAGTGCAAGTTCTTAACACGTCGAACGCATTCGGAATGGAAATCAGCAGGACTAGGGGCATTGCCAAAGTAAAGATAACCACCAAAAATTTCATCAGAACCTTCGCCGGATAAGACCATTTTGACACCCTGAGCCTTGATTTTTCGAGAAAGCAAGTACATAGGTGTACTAGCACGGATAGTAGTAACATCATAAGTTTCAAGATGGAAAATAACATCACGAAGAGCGTCAAGGCCTTCGTCAATAGTGAAGGTATGCTCATGGTGGATGGTGCCCAAAAACTCGGCGACCTTACGAGCGGCAAGCAAGTCAGGAGAGCCTGGCAAACCGATTGCAAAGGAGTGAACCTTGGGCCAAGCATTGATGGTACGGGCCTCTTCACTCTCGGTTTCTTTGCTACTAGTAATCTTTTCGGTTTCGCGAACAGCAATAGAGGCAATCAAACTGGAGTCCAAACCACCGGAAAGAAGAACACCATAGGGAACTTCGGCCATAAGACGCTTGCGGACAGCAGTCTCCAAAGATTCACGAAGGATCTTATAGTCAACTGGATTTGTGGCAATGCGATCTTCATCCCACCAGGAAGGTTCGAAATAACGAACAGTTTGCTTGGTTTCAGAGTCATAGTAGTGACCAGGAGGGAAAGCAATGATCTTGTCACAGACTGGATGCAAAGCCTTCAACTCAGACGCAAAGTGCACAGTGTCGGGGCTTTGAGAGTTAAAACCTTGGTATAAAGTGGTGATACCGATGGGATCACGAGCAGCAACCACTTTGTCCTTATCTTGGTCATACAAGACAAAAGAAAACATACCATCGAGGAATTTAGCGCAAGCGGGGCCGTATTCTTGGTATAAGTAAAGAATGACTTCACAATCAGAATGAGTCTTGAAGTTGTAAGAGCCCTTCAAAGACTGGCGCAACTGAAGGTGGTTGTAAATTTCACCATTGACGGAAAGAACCAGCTTGCCGTCCTCAGAAGTAAGAGGTTGAGCACCACTGTCGACACCGACAATGGCTAAGCGCTCGTGACAAAGAATGGTTTTGTTGCGAATAGCCTTACCAGACCAATCGGGACCACGATGGCGCAGTTGCTTTGACAAGTAAAGAGCTTTAGGTTTAAAAGCTTCGATGTCCTCAGCGACACGATGAACGGCGAGAATACCACACATATCTGTATATATTTATATAACGATGATCAATTGAAGTCAATTGAATAATTCAAAACTCGTTTTTGTTTTTATCACGTAAAACCAAGCCCTGCTTAAATTCGCAGACTTTTATACAGGTTAAATTTATCCTCCAAAAAATTATAGATTCAATTAAACCTCTAATTCTAACAAAAAGAACGGTATTACTGGCCTAATTGCGAAATGCCTGAATTGCCAATGTAGTGGGAAAAGACAACTTCCGTTTCCCTCGTACTGTTGGATATAAGAATATCAGGAAGGACAGATTAGATCTAAAGATAAATGTAGATAGCTTTAAGCATTGGTAAATTGCCGTGCCGTAAATATGTATACAGCGGTTCAAGGAAATTGCGTATATAAGGATTACCAAGTGCGGTAAATTTGTATATCTAAACATTGGATATTATAATGAACAACTCAGAAAATAAATATAAGGAAGTATAGCGCACCATACCAAATTGTAAAGTTGTTTAACAGAAAGTCACTTAATCACATGATTGCGCCACAGAGAGTAAACTCGTTAAATCAACCTATTCTATACGAATCCATGGTACCATGATTTAACTTTAGCTACTACTCCCGAATTTGCATTGTGCACAAATAGAACGAAAAATAGTGCCATTGACGAAGGAATTTTGAAATTTTGTAGATTTATTATTCTATACGCATTGAGTTATCGTAGATTCGTTTTTTTTTCGAACGAAATCGCCTGGTTATTCACAGAGTTTGGTCGCTGAAGGGTTTGGTAAACATTCATCATCATCCTCAAACGGCCGAAAGTATCTATTGTTTCTCGGTTCCACAACTGGCTTACAGTTCACTATCGGTTTGGAATCCTCTCTCATTGTAGAATTTTGGGTTGAACCCTTTTAGTTGGGTAAAATCATTCACTTTCTCTTGCGATTTGGCTAGCTGGTAGCCTCTTTTTCTGAGCCCCGTTATATATCTATTGCTTACACTCGCTTTCCAGCTTTTGTGCCGAACTACCATTACCAAAAGCTACCTATTTTTGCTTCTGTTCTCGTTTTCGCTTACATTTGATTTACCATGGGCAGCAGTAGTCGCAGAAGATCCTCTTCCTTGGTCACCAAGGTACCTAATCCAACCATTGATGATCGATTGGACCAAGGGTCTGCCACCAATTATAACTCGAATTGGGTGAACTATAAAGGTATGCTTACATGACTGACTGGGCTTTGTTCCTTCTTCCTTTTTTTTATTTAGATAAACAACGATTGCATTCGTGTTTTCTTTCCATAAAAATGAAGTCTAACCATAATTCTAGGTGCTTGGATCATTCACATCGTTCTTATTGCTGCGTTACGTCTTGTATTTCATGCAGTTCCGTCAGTCTCTCGTGAACTTGCCTGGACGTTGACCAACTTGACATATATGGCCGGATCTTTCACTATGTTCCACTGGGTAACTGGAACCCCTTTTGAATTTAATGGCGGTGCTTACGATCGACTCACAATGTGGGAACAACTTGATGAGGGTAACCAGTATACTCCTGCACGGAAATATTTGCTTGTCTTACCCATTATCTTGTTTCTTTTGAGCACTCACTACACTCATTATAATGGTTGGATGTTTTTAGTAAATATTTGGGCCCTCTTCATGGTTTTGATTCCAAAGCTTCCTGCTGTTCACAGAAAAAGAATTTTTGGAATACAAAAGTTTGCTCTTCATGACGACGAAAGCGAAACTGTATCTCGTTAAGCCCGGAAACCCTACTTTCCGTGTTTTACTTTTATTCCCATGTCCGTGCATTTGTCGTATTGAGGTATCCGCTGTTTGATTCATTGTTTTCTTTCTTTTTCGCCGATTTTCCTTCCGTAAAGGCTTCACCAATATCGCTTTTATGACATCTTTAAAACAACCTAAAAAATAGATTTTCTTTGATGACTTACTGTTTTATGTTGATTGTTTAACCTGTCTTATTCTTTTTTTTTCTCTATTTCACTATAACTTTAGAAAATCGTTTTTATTATCCGCTGGTATTGTAAAAGGGCCGTCTCCTAACACTCGGTAAGCCCTTGTTCGTTGGTTGTTTTCTCATTACTCCCTTGATTTTTGTAAGTCTTAAAGTATTCATTCAAGCAACATCTTGTAACGAAGATTGAGGTTAAAGAAATTGAAGTTGAAATATAAATTTGCCTTTGTTTTGGAAGATGCAAAGCGTAACTTTCTTTGTACTCGTTCAAGTGTATATATTTCCGTAGTTGAAAGGATTAACGCTTTCAGGCCACATGTATACTGAGTCAAAGATAACAATGTGTTTTTCTGTACCTTCATCATTTCTGTTTTTCCTGTTTGCTTTTCTTCAGTTGACATCACAAAATTGAACATGCTTTCTGACAAAACTATGTGCTGTATATACCTACTAGTCGTATACTATTATATAAAAAATACAAATTTTGTACTTTTATGAACATAAATTATTCTGTAACTGAATGTATTTAAATCCTTGCTTGTCGCTACAAGGAAAATGTAGAATAAGCATGCGAAAGAGTATGTAATATAGAAAGTCATAGATGATAATGCAACTTTAGGGAATGAAAATGCTATGCAATGAGCGTAAATAGACTAAAATGCCATACTTCATGGACTAGACGAGACACAGTATCAAGGGCTTTTAAAATGCAAAAAGAAAGGTGCGAAGAAGTAAGCCGAAAATAAACCAATATGCAAACCCGACATATACTAGATAAACAAAGAAACCTATTTATTTCCTTGGGGGATAATTGGCCTGTTGTTGGACAGCCATCATCTCATTCAAATAAGCTTGGCTTCCATTTTTGCCAACATGAGGTTGTTGATAGGTGCCATTTATATGATTGGTAAAAGGGTTTCCATATACAATGTTTTGAGCGGGTTGAGGAATTGAAACTGTTGGATGAGGTTGCAAAGGAGCACGACGACGAACTTTATGACGGAATTTCAAAACTTCGTCCAAGATTTCGCGTTTCAAATCCTTTATGTCTTCAAGAGATTCAAAGCTAAAATCGAAAATAGAATCGCATACAGGTTCATCTGTTGGATCATGCCAAACAGCCAAATAAGGATGTTCCAAGGCCTCCTCGACGGAAATACGCCTTTGAGGATCAAACTCTAATAATTTCGAAAGCAAATCGAGAGCAAGAGGGTTTGCTTTTGGAAAATTAACGTGAAAAGGAATTGGCTTTTGTTTAGGGAGACTCTTAACATAATCACGAGCACGGGAGCTGCTGATATGTGAAAGCGTTTCATTATCAGGAGTTCCGAGTTGGTGCAAAATTAAATTTAGTTGATGAACATAATCTTTTCCTTTAAATAACGGTGTACCGCCCAAAAGTTCAGCTAAAATACAACCGACACTCCAAACGTCTACACCCTTATGATAACTGCTGAAGGATAGCATAATCTCTGGAGCTCTGTACCATCTGGTAGCCACATATTCAGTCATAAAGCCAATATTTTCATCGGCATTTTCGGTGCATCCACGAGCTAAACCAAAGTCGCAGATTTTGAGTTCGCAATCTGCGTTAACCAACAGATTACCGGGCTTCAAATCGCGGTGAATCACATTAGCCGAGTGGATATATTTCAAACCACAAAGAATTTGGTAGATAAAAGATTGAAAGTGAGCGTCCGTTAAAGGTTGGCCGGATTTGATGATAGCATTTAAGTCAGCCTCCATCTACCCCAATGTTAGCAAACAGAGCTTAAAAGCAATAATTTTGGACGAGTTTACCCCATCATGATATGAACATACCAATTCCTCGTAGATGTAAACTTCATTAAAATTATATGGATTTATGATGTCCAGATCATATATGCAAGTAATCTATACGGTTAATTTCATGTCATAAGCACATTGACGGTAATACGCTCCATTTTTTTTGGATACTTCACCCAAGGAGGAATTTTAAATGTCATACGTTTCGATGATTCCGCATATGAATTAACAGTTTAATTTCTCGAAGAGCACGCTTTGTTAAAATAGGTTTAGAGAAGACATTCGTAATCTTCTTAATTGCAACTGCCTCTTGGTCTTTACTTGCTATATTTCGAGCTGCACAGACAATTCCATATGCACCTTGACCCAACTCTTTAACAACCTCAAATATGCGTTAACTTCAACTTTTCTATCACTCATATTTCAAGAAGAAACTTTTCCAACTCCGTAAATGAGTTCATTAGGGTAATTCTTCTGCAGTTCAACCGTTTTCATACCTTAAAATTGGGTTCAACATACATCTCTTGATTAAACACTCGATATACTCGGTGTCGGCGATCCATATTGACCAAAAATATAGAAAAGAACGACAAGTTAGTTTGGGAAAGGTTTCGTTCCTCAGCACCGGTCATAGAAAGTTTAAGGCTCAGTTAAACTCAGTAACCGATTTAACGAGATGCAGCATCAAACATTTTGAAAGAAAAAAAATAAGAAAGAGGACATGTTGAGAAGGTAATTCTTTGATTTTTCTTATAAAAATTAAATTCCGTTTAAGTCCATAATTCTACATTTCCCGCTGCGTCGACAAGCAGTGTAAGAGCATAAGGCCGGTAAAGGAAAGCAATGTCAATAATGGGATATATACGGTTCTCATTTGGAAGATATTTTAGCTGTTGAAGGAATAAGAGTGGTCGAGAAACACCGGAGGATTTCGGTCGAACCTGGGATGATTCCACCGTTCGTAGATGTACCGGAGGTGCATTCTGTAGAGTTGAAATCTTGGCTGTTTCAGTAATGTTGGTAATTGACGAGCTTTTGGATGGGTTGCTCGTGTCCCACGTGTATGCATGAGGGCTCCCAGGAGAGACGACGACAAACAGGAGCTTTCGTTCCGTTGGTGCTATCGTTGAATCTTTTTGGTAGTAAACCGGGACTGACAAGCATGGCCACCCAGAATGATAGATTTGGGATTCTTCTTGGGATGAGTCATTCAAGGTGGAAAAAGGGTCACGAGGCCAGGACTCTTGACGCAATTTAAGGTCATTTGCATCATCTACTTCCTGTCGTATTGGAATTGGGGGCGGGATGCCAAGTTCCCAGTTTTCTAAAAACATTTCTTCACATTTCCCTCGCTCAACGTCGAAAATTAAAACTCCCGATGATAAATGATTCAAGCCTTCAAGCGAATTGTCTTCAAACCCTATATGCCCCCTTTTTTCTTTCCTGTTACCTATCATCCGACTGAAGCTTATCGATACAGTTGTACAACCAAGGACGGTAGAAATAGCTTTTGCATCTTGATTGACTGCTCCCATTATCGGTGTCGTTGGCTTTATGCTTTTAGAACTATCACTTGAGCTTCCCCCGAGTCCCATCGAGGATTGAGATTCTAAGTTTTGATTGTTATTCCCTTCACCAAATAGAGAAAATGCTGGGTCCTTTTTGAATCTACCAGTCAAAAAAACAATTTTGTCTACTTTCGCTGATATCCTCCATGCTGTTGAAAGAACATTGAAGCGCAAATCCCACAACAAGAGCCAGCCCTTAGAGGTCCCTATAAGCACCCATAAGCACCCATCAGAAACAGCAACTGAAGTTGCAGATCCTCGGTCAACTGGCAATTGTACAGAAGCTAGTATTTGCAAATTTCCGGCTTCCAAATAGTAAAGTTTTGACCAAGCGGTTACTATTACTATACGAACGCTTCCATCGTAAAAGTTTGCTGACTCCACTGATGTAATTGAATCGCTAATATCCATATTAGGAAGCCTACTACTTGTAAGCAATTTATGCTTCTGATTGTTAACATCTAGTCGATGCACTTCGATAGATCCATCTTGTGTAACAGATGCAAATGAATACGTGTTTCCCATAAAGCACCCGTTAACTACAGGAAACCGGCTTCTTTCTCCATTTCGACGAGTATGGCCGTATACTAACCGACATTCACATTTGCAAACCGGAATCTGGTGATCATTCTCAACTAGTTGCCATGCGCGAATTAGCCCATCTAGTCCCAAAGTAACAAAAAATAAAGAATCAGGGCTTGCAATAATCCGCTTTATACCTCCTTCTTTGACATTTCCCAAATTCACCTGAGTAACACGAACTCCTTCTGGTTGCCATTCATTCCCTTGTATGCCTTTATTTGGTTGTTTGCTCAAATTAGTGATCTTTCCTCTTTTGCGCAGGGAAATAGACGATGCCCAGCTAGGTGCAACAGCAGGTCCGAAATCTACCGCAGTTACTGCAGCCTCGGCATAAATTTTGTTAAGGTAATTAGTTACATATGGATTATTTCCTGTATAAGACGATTTCTTGGCACCTTCTTTCAAACTGAGTTCGTTGGTGACAAGGCCGCGCAACGTATTTGAGGCTGCTGACATTGTAGGACTTGGTGCCTCTAGATTGGAAACCTTTGAGTCAATTATTAAACTATAATCACCCAATTTTTTGTTTTTTCCAATCAATTCCCTTTCGACAGAATGATCCCTACTCCTTTGCTCATCGTAACTATGCTCCTTTTGATTTTCTAATAACTGAGTTGAAGATTCATTATCAGACGAAAGCAGAGAACTGGCATTAGAATCAATTCTTCTTCGCTGATCTATTGGTTTACTGCGCTGTAAGATTGCTTCAGACAAAGTATTAGCTTCGGAAGATTTAGGTTTTTGGTAATGTGTTTTATCATTCACTCTTTCTTTCAAAGATTTTGTAGTTGACCCGAAGGCATTGGTCATGTCGGTTCCAACATAAGCTGCAGATTCCGGTGAAACCAAGTCTTCGGTTTGCGAATGCTTAGTATAAATAGAGTCTGCATATTTATTCGCATTTGATTCCATATTTTCTGTTAATAAATATGGTGAATAAGGAGCTTCAGGATTCCAAAATATCATTTCTGGCAAGATATGTAAAGGCGATTTTGGGGTATCCTTTGTCTGATTAAAAGCAAGTTCGCTTTCCCGTTTTCTTATCAAGATTCCAGAATTAGTTATTGTTCTGAATACATATTCACGAAGATTTCCCAAGATAAACAAATGCTCTTCTTTTATGCCCAAATTTTTTATAATATCAATCCACTTGCGATCGTCATCGTTCAATTCAAGTACTTCTGACGAAGTTAAAACAGTATGTCCTAAAATGAAGAGCTTCTTCCTAGGTCGTAAATTCGAAAATGAATACATTCCATCATTCGTTTTCTCTGAACTCAACTGTAAGTCACCTATATCATCATCATTGTTAGACTGATTAGGTGAGCGAACAACTCTCCAAAATTCAGAGCTGTTATCTGATTCAGTAAACCAATGTGTTAGCGTTGACCAGACGGACGCTGGAACCATCGGGACAATAAAGAGATCAAGTTCCTCCAGACTATTAATATTGTGGACGGGAGAAAGTAAATACGGTAAAAGTACAGGCATTAAAATACACTGTCGATCAACCTCTTCTAAACACAGGTAAGTGGAGTAAACGACAGAAAGAGTAGCCTTCCTAGTATAAATATTGGGTATGATGGAAAAAGGTAAAATAAGATGAAGGACTTTAAGGATAACTAGTTTGTCGAATAATTGAAGCTCGATAAGTGCAGCAAACGATTCTAGTACGCTTTCCAGCACCGCGGGTTCAGGATCGACCAAAGCTTGTAACATCAAAGGTAGAATGTACTCATCAACACTACGAGAACCGATGAATATGGCAAGGCCAGTGATACTTTCAAAAAAGGCACATCGAAGCATCCAATCAGTATCATTTAAATAAGTGATTAGATGACTTAAGATCAGATCATTCGACTTGGCTTTGCCGAAGAAGACGCAAAGAGGTGGAAGAGCACTTAGTAGGGATCTTCGTACAATAGATGAGCCGTCGGCCAACAACATCGAAACGTGTCTTTCTACCGTGACGACTAAATCATGACGTCCTGTTTCAAATAGCAATTCTGCTTTGCCATGATTAACATTTTCATATTCAGATTCTGGGAAAGATAAAATTCCTGCGTTTCTAAGAGACTGAGCAAGGTTCACAAACTTTGAAGCCTGTCTCGCTAATTCTGGAAGACAGGATGCATAAGTAGCACGACAACGACAATTAGGATCAGATAAATATCTTTGTAAATCTGGAAACAAGTATTCTTGAAATAGAAATGCATTAATAGGGGCGATGGCCGTAATGTTCCTAACAAGACGAGTAATGGTTATCAGAGCCCGAATCCGCACATCTGTAAATTCATCGGCAACAAGAGTCATCACAAAGGGTAATACAGTATCTAATTTTGCCTCATCAGGAATACTAGTTGATAATATTTCTATAGTCCTTAAGGCATTCAGCTTTGATTCTCTGGTGCTGACATGGCGCAAGGCAGATAAAACAATTGGCAAAAGGATACTGGCAGCATATATGGAAGCTTCCGAAAATTCGTTATCATAACTTTCATTATTTCTTGTATGTTCCCTAATATTTTCAGAATGCATACTTCCATCCAAGGAGAATTTCTTTCTCAAATTCTCCAAAAATAGCTGATACCATTTGCCAGAAGCGAATGTCATTTCAAACTCATCAGGCAAGGACGTATAAAGAGGCATAAAAGAACTTTCAAAATCATTATTCATTTTCTTAGATAATAGCGTGTCATTAGAAACGGTAGAAAAAAAATCATCAAACGGAGATAAATCATTAAATATAGAATCCACTCTTGAAGAATAAATATTCGGCTGATTTCGAACGGGCTGTATATGTGAAAGGGTTTGAGGGTCTAATAATTTACAACAGTAATTATACAAGGGGACATAAAAGCATTCAGGAAATACAGTTCCTCGATAACGCTTCAGATAATAGTCGGCTGTATCACGTTGTGTAGGGTCACATTGAAGCATTTGTAATATCATATTTTGAGTATCTTGGTCTTTAATTTGACGAAGCACTGCAGCGATGTCGTAAGAGCCATTGGCCTTGTAGTTGAAAAGCTGCGAAAGAGTAAAGAGGGGAGACCCTTCCAAAAGGAGTTCGGCAAAGACACAGCCCAAGCTAAAAATATCCATCTCTGGTGTCAGAGGAGCTACGTGTATTTGTGAGTTTGGAACAAAGCGTTCAGGAGCAATATTACAGACACGACGAGAAGAAGTATCGAAAAAGTAGCTATAGTCGGCCGGGTTATCTTCCGGAAGGTACGTCGGCTTAAACGAGCTGAAGTCCGATATGTATACCCAGTTCCATGTAGTTACCAACACGTTTTCAGTTTTAATGTCACCATGACAAATCCCTCGTTTATGGCAATCAGAGATGCCTTTTAGTAATTGGAACATGATCCACTTTTTTTCAGCAGAATCTAAAAATGGGCGAGTAGATATTCTGTCGTATAAGTTATGGGCAACATAAGGACGCATTAAATAAGCAGCACGCAAGGTAACCAGAGTCTTCGTGTATGGAAGAACGTTGGGTGATTTTTCAAGAATTCTTTCTTGTTCTTCTATAATCTCGGGTTAATATCTGTACTTTTTCGAACTGCAATAATGGCATGAATGGAGGGGACGCACTAACCTTGCAGGGAATTCACAATGCCGGTCAGTGATATTTCCGGCAATTTATTCACGAAAACCTTGATTAATTCTTCATTCCCTTTACGTTTTAGCATGCGAAAAGTTCGCAAAAACTGCGAATCTCCTAGACTGTATTATTTGTTAGAAGGAACGTCAAAACAATCAATTGGTGTCAAACCTTCGTTCATTATAGTACTCAGGAAGTTCTTCAGAAAATAACTCATGAAATTGGGGTGTCTGTATGGTTGATAATTGAATCCCCATATGGAAAAATTATAGCACTATATTTTACATACTTATACCATGCAAGAGCCATGCGTAGCTATTCTATCCTTCTGAGGTGACGAAGTAACAGTAAATATTGGGATGGGAAGAAACTGAGAGGAACAGAATTCTTGAAGTATTCATTGAAAGATTTATGGTAAAGATATTGTATGAAAGCATTTTAATATATCATTTTTGTCAAACTTAAATTGAGCTTTTTCTTTGTAGTCGTTTACTATCCGGTAAAGTATGAAAGTAGTAAGTGGCCTGGCAAATAGAGATAGTTTGAAAGACATCAAGACCATTTTCCAGGGATTTATTGGCAAGTAAGATTTGTTTCTTGACTCAGTCGCAAGAAAGCCGTAGTAAGTCGTGGATAAATGCTTCGCATGATGGAAGTAATCACAGGAGTCTTTTAAAGTTTAGCATTTGATTTCCAGGATAGTGCATAAGATCCGATAGCACGAGCCATGTCCTCTGCGGTGGAATTACGACCGAACACTTCCACGAATTGTCCATTCGGGTCCATCAAGTAGAAAAAGACAGAATGGTCCACAAGATAGTCATCTTTCTGTGGGTCAACGTCTTTCGGTGTTGAGAAATAGACCCGGAATTTTTTGCAGATATCTTTGATTTCGTCATGGGTTCCCGTTAAGCCAACAATTTTGGGGTGGAAGTCTTCTAAGTATTGAGCAATTTCTGATGGAGGATCTCTAGCAGGATCACAAGTGATAAACAAGGGATTCAAAAAGTCTCCAACAACGTTGTTGACGATTTCAATGGCAGCGCTTAGTTTGTCCAATTCATCAGGACAAATGTCGGGACATCGAGTGAAGCCAAAATAGATTATAGAGAACTTTCCTTTGAAGTCTTCATCAGTTACTCTTTCGCCACGGTGATTTAGTAATGAAAAGGGGCCACCGAGTTTTGGCCTACCAACGGTAGACAATGCTTTTTCTTTCTTACTCTCCAGAGCTTTCTGTTTTTCACTTTGGAGGTAAAAATACAAGCCTACGCTGGTGACAGCTGCTACTGCAGCGGCCCGTACAGAAAGCATGCTTCTCCAGGCATGTTGGGTTGCCGTACGCTTTCCAGCAATCATCCTACGACCGTCAAAACAGGTTCGAAAAGGAGAAGCTGTTGAGCGAACATTGGCTTTCAAAAGACTAGCAATTTGACTTGCTGGGCCAATTGCTCTTCTACGAAACATTATACAAAAGATTACAAAGAGTTTTCCAGCCTTGAAAAAAATGTAAGCCCTGGGAACCGTAGGAATCGAATTTTCCTTCCTTAATTAATATTTAATGGATTTACTGCAAAAATTGACTTGGAAGAATCCGTTCTTGCTCAAAATGGCTGAGTGACTTGAATGACTGGAAGAGAAGAAGTCATTTGGTAAGTAAAGGAGTTCCAAACATACCTGATCAAATATCCCTTTTGTATTAGTACTCAAAAATTTGGAATTTGAAATGAAAACTGCATTGATTATGTGATTTCAACTGCTGCAGTTGCCTTGTAGGATCCATCAAGACTTTTGACGTTTGTCGTCCTGCACAAAGCGCTTTTGGACCAGGAACTTTTTTCAACAGAATTCAAAAAAAGTTAGATTTGAAAGATTGAGTCTTGTTGCTACAAGCTCAATGATTCAATGAGTCTCTGGAAGGAGAGGATTTTGTTTTGCTTTTCGTTCTCCGCTTTGCACCACGCATGGTATTGGCAAAAAGATAAGTAATTTTTTTCGTTTTTTATTCATATTTTGATCTTTACTTTAAAACGAAAGCTCGACTAGATAGCTTTCTTTTGTTAGGAAATTTCTGTTTGTATCGTACTGGAATGTTTATACGATATAAACAAACAAGTTCGCTTGTTGGAGTCCAAAGTGCAAGAATTTCTTGTTTGTAGTCAAAATTGCAAAAGAAAAGCGAAAGAATTGGGTCCATTTAATATTGTTATAAAGGATGTCTACAAAATTCCTGGCAGATCCCAATTAATATCTTTCGATTGTTGCTCTTCGCTATGCAAATAAATAGACGATCGCAGAAATGGATGATGATTTTGAATATTGGGTTCCCGTATAGTTGGACATCTGATACAATTAATGGAGGTTTCTTTCGCTATTTCCTGTAAACGAAAAAGTTGCAAGTCTACTGTAGGAATTGTCCTTAGAAGGTTGTCTGAACGAAGTCCTACAACTAACATTCATGTAGTCCACGATGCCATATTTGCAAGGACGTAGGTATTCTTTTAGTATGTGTCGTAATTGTTTTTAACGTTTTTCTCTCAAGGGAATCAGCAGAGAATAGGTTTTGTTAAAATTCAATTGTATCGAAAAGTTTACTTATAAACGATACTTTATTGCTGCTCTTGTCAAGAAAAACGCTTTCGTTTTTTCTTACACCTTACTGATGCCATGAGTCTTGATCGTCTCCTTTATGTTTTACTGTTTGTTTACGATTAATATCTACAAGTGTACTCTCTAGCACTATTTGTACATAGATGTATTTAAATAAAAAGATGATATATAGTTGAAAAGATAGACGCGGGAAGGGAATGAATAACAAAAGAAAAGAATGACCTATACAAAAAAGAAATGAACAGGGAAAGATTCGTGAGGAAAACAATTGTTCCTTTGGTAAGGTAGGAAGAAGAGAAAACGGAACTTTGTTTTTAAAACGAAAAGAAAGTGAGCGAGTCAGTGAATGAGAAACGGAAAAAGGATCTTTCGTCGAAACCATGAAATAAATTCCATTTCAACTTGAAAGCATTATAATAACAACATTATAGAAACCAATGATAAGATTAATTTAAAAAGACGACAAAACAATTAAAAAACAAACGAAAGACAAGATCCTATACAGAAATTGAATTTTCTGCTTTGTTTGTTTACAAGTCAACGTAATTCATTATTTACGCGACGCGTGATATCCTGGGCCGTATCCAGGGTAGGAATATGAAACAGATCTAGTACGGTGGTTTCATTCATGATTTCCGATACTGCTAGAGCTCGTTTTACAGAATTAACAGAGGACGCCTTGGATACTGTTGAAATGTTCTCTTTATTTTCACTTGCCGGAGGAGTAGGATAGCGTGTTAGAGTACGACGGTAAGCGCGTTTAGAGTGCTTCATTGGATAGCTACGTACAAGTAGCAACCCATTTGTACCACGAGTAACATTCAAAGACATGCTTTTGGAGGGTCGTCGATGGGGAAAGCAAGTCGTGCGTTGAGATTGGGAAGTCGAGTTATTGGAAGGGCTCATTTTGTAACAAGAATAGAGTGAGTTATAGCGGAAAAAAGTAAGCAAGGAATTGATTTAGAATAGGTAGGAATTGGTCCCCTACTTATAGAAAACCAGCTTGGCTCTTTCATTCACCAAAGTCAAACAAACAACTCCATAATATGTAAACAATATAATACATAAAGTTAGCTTTTAATAATGTAAAAAGAAAAGTAAGTGTTTAAACATGGTCAAATATTCTAAAATGGTTTCACAGTTTTCGTATTTGCCCAAAAATAGTTTTACATGTTCAAAATCATTCTATTTTCTTATATTTATGTTTTAAAACCTTTTACATCCTTTGGAATTTCAAATGGTTTGCTTTGGGCTGCCTATGGACGCGTCTACGAGCGACGCAACTTGTGTTGACAAACACGACGCGTCTCTCGAGTTGACCCATGACAGTTTTCTCAGACTTGAAAACAAGGTAATCTATTATTATTTCATTTAAGTATGATTGAATATCCACATAGCATATGCTTGTCAACTCAAAGTTTAATACAACCTTTCAGAGGTCACATTTACATGCGAGTAACAAATATCATATTAAGGAACGATGTAAACGAATAAAACAACATTGAAAAGAAAAGAAATCCACATGCAAATGTACACGTCTTTTGATCGAAATACGAGCTCTTAATCTTAATTTCTTCAGCTTATAGTACTTTTACTCGGCCTGCTGTGGGAAGGACTGTTTTCGTTATTTACAAACGAATAAAACAAGGGGTCCAAGTGAAGCTTTACTTTTGTAGCATTCTCAACGTTAAAGGAATTTGCCTGTTCAGAGCCATTTGTTACCGTGAACAGCAAAGTTCATACACTGGAGCTTTCTTTATGTCAATACCCCTGGATAATCACAATATAAAAGACACCAATAAATGTCGTCCGTTAAGTTTTTCTTAGTCTTGTTCTTTAAGGATATTCTTGACATTTATAAACTCACTTCTACGTAGTTTCCTTTTGCTGGTTTTCTTTTCACAAAAGCCTACAAGGAGCAAAAATAAATGACCACTAAGTGACTTGAACACTTGACTTCAAGATTTGGAATCTCACACTCTACCAACTGAGTTAAGCGGCCGTCTTGAAAGCTTTGACATTTAATAAATATATAAAGCCTAAACTCCATTGCAGAAAAAAACTTCAGAATTCAACATACACGACTGCTTATATAATAGTTTTTGTTTTCGCTACATTTCTATTTTCATTTTTTATTTACCAAATAGTACCAAAGATTTCACATCGCGAAAGAGGCTTGTTTATTCTTAAATTTACAACTAATCTCTAGATTGCATATTTTCTAGTCCATTCACGGGCACTGAGTTCATAACGTTGTCTGTCGGTTTTGTAGACATGGGCAATTTCAGGAACAAGAGGGTCATCAGGATTAGGATCAGTAAGCAAAGAGCAGATTGACAAAAGGACCTTCGAGATTGTCAGTGCTGGTGACCATTGATCACGAAGAATGTCCAAACAGATGCTTCCGTTGGAGTTGATGTTGGGATGGTAGATTCTGGTAGTAAAGTTCACCTGAAGCACGGTTAGTCAGCCATTCATACTAAGATTTCGCTGAATCAAAAAAGAACCGAATTGAAAACCATTAAAAAGAACACTATTCAATCAATATTCGGCCATTATTAAACCAATCCTTTATTAGGTCTTGAACAATGACTCCATAATTTGCCGTTCATTAAGTGTTGTCAAATTTCAATTCGCCTCCGGACTGGCAATTTTTTTTCTTCCTTGAAGTCGGCACGTAGTTCACTTTTTTTGGTCCAAGGCGATATCTTTTTGCTTTTCATTGCTTTTAGCTTTAATTACTTACCTTGGGAGGCTTGAAAGGGTAGTCAGTGGGAAAGTGAATTGAGAGAAAGAAAACACCTCCGGCATAAGGACTATCAGCCTAAAACATAGTTAGCAAACGGATCCAATTTTTATAAATACTAAGGAAACGCCAACTAGAAAGCTTCCGGACATTCGCCCCAAGATTGATCACTTACAGGTCCCATGATAGTTGCTTGCCAGTGGAACAAATCATCACCAACAGGGCCAGCTGAGCAAGAGGAGGGTGGATCCTTTCCAAGATCAGCAAGCTCACGGTTAATTCTCTTCAATGCCATCCTAACTGTCTAATGTGGTATTCTTGTTACAGTTGTGGTGGTTTGTTCTTGGAAGATTATGGAGAGTAATAGAATGAAACATATAAGAACAAAATTTATTTCGTGCCTGGGTTCGAATCTCGCTGAGCGATTTTATTTTAGCGCTGCTTTACATACTATACGTTAAGGTAACATGTTAACGAAAGTGACTCGAGCACTAGTAAACAAATCGTTCGGGGAAGAAAAAACATTGATACGATCACTCTATTTCATGTACGTTTTACGTTAATTCTTGTATTTACAAATAAACTTACAAAATGAATTGTCATTGCTTTCATTCAACGTGTAATAAATCTTCTCTATAAAGACGAAACAACGATTTCCAACTTTTCGAAATTTTTTTAAAAATCGCCCAAATCAGGCTCATCGTCATCTAAATCAGCCTCAGCCATTTCTTTATCCATTCGTCGACGAGCTTCTTCTACATCCTCCAACTCACTTTTGTGAGCATCCATCGGATAGCGCATACTCTTCACGCTGTCATTATGAAGTGCCAAACAAAATTGAATGCGTTCATGAAATGCTTGCTGAGGTTGCTCGGTAGAATAAATGTCGAATGCTTCGTTACTGGCCATAAACGCATTGTTGTGATCAATGCTTGCATCAATTACACCGTCTCGAATGCCCTTAGCAACAATATACTCGGCGCTTTCTTCACTGTCCAAGCCCAATTTTATACACACGTCTCGCAAAGAAACTCGGGAATATGACAAAGAAATCATTCTCAGGCCTGTCTTAATCACCGTATGGCGTAATCTACATATCAGTGTATGCAATCCGTCATAACGAAATTCAGTTTCATATTTCGACAATGCATCTGTGAAGGCATTCAAGTCACCAATTCGCACAGCTTGACTAATGCGCAAGTAAGGAATCAATGTTTTTTCCAAAGATTTTTGACGGAAGATTCTTCTCTCGGGAATCTCTCCCATGAGCAACTGAACAACAACATGCAACTTGTAAACGGCTTGTAAAAATTGAACGGCATAAATGGTATTCGGAGCCTTTCGAATGGCACTCACCAAGTGTTCATGAGCAGTTGTATAATCCAACTGAATCGCGCGAATTCGTCCAAGGTAATATTGATAACGAATTGCCAAATTGTTGCTTGCGTTGGAAGGAAATACTGTTTTTGAGACCAATCGATCTGCTTGATCATAAAGATTGAAATGAATGTAGTTGCGCAAAAGCAAAGTCAAAACCATCGCCTGTAATTCTGTATCATGACGAAGAGTTGCCGTCCGGTGTACTGCCAAAAGAGTATTTCTGCATTCCACAGAACGATTGCATTTCTCAAGGAATAGGGTATAGTAAAAGTAAAGTTTTGCTGCAATCTGATCCAATGTACGACGATCAAATGACTGTAAGCGATGCACAACCTTTACCATGTAACAAGCACCATCATCATATTTTTCATTATAAAATAACGTTACGCCAACCAACAATTGCAAATACATGCTAACTTCTGGAAGAACAGCCCCCTTGCTTTCACTTTCGTCCTTGGTTTCATCCATCTGAATACCATCCACGCCAATCACGCTGAGAAGTTCTTTTTTCGTTTCAGGTTCAGAAGCATAGTATTTCTTGATAAGATGGCCCAAACTTTCGACAGAAAGGCGACGGCTGATGTTGGAAGTTGTTCTTAGAGCCCGATATACAAGTCTTGGATCTCTTTGTTTTGTAGCTTGATTTAAAGCAACAATATTGGCTTCGACATCTGTCAAGCATTAGCATTCATCTTTATGCAATCTATTTCCTATTTTCATACCCTGTAAAGCTGTTCTGGGTACTTCAGCTTTCTTCTCTTTTTGATCTGCTGGCTTCGTCGTTTCCGGTTGCTTCACGGAATCTACCTCCATTTCTACTCTGATTAGCATATGCAAGTAGACTAACAATATAATTCATACCTTTATATTGATCTGCCATACTAATTTTGTATTTGGTAGTGGTCAAGTCAAGGATTGTGGGTGTATGTAAGAGTATCCTAGGCTTAAGTTCGATTGTTACCTTATATGTCAGTGAGATATCTTGAAGTTCACAGTCATCAAAATTTACCGTCAAATTAAAAAACTTGTTTATTTATTAAAGAAAATCTATGAATTTAGTAAAAGAGAGAATTTATCTAGGTATGCTTCAAAAGAGCGGCAATATAATATACTGGAGGCTTCCTTAGAGAATAAACCAAAACAGCGTGTATAGATTGAGTTATTAAATAACAAAGTACATTTTCTGTTCCATTTCCTTTTATAAATTCACATTTTGGAACTTTATGATAAAACATTTTCATATCATACTTTGAATAACAAGGCTTGGTCATTATCACTTGGAGAATAGGCTTGCAGGAAAAACAATTAATAAATAAAGTCAATCTGTATCAATCTGTTTATAGCTCATCCATATCCTTCTCCATATTCTGTGGTTGATCTTGAACAGAAGGTGAAGAGGTAAGATGCGAAGACTCTTCTTCGGCAGTCCTCAACAACGTAGCAATCTCATTATCATATGTAGTCCATTCTCTCACTTGGCGACGAGCACGATCAAGCTTCTTTTCTTTCGTCAATGGATTTTGGCACAAATCAATCGTCTTGGCTTTTTTCAGACTTTGATCACTGCACCAAGTTTCACACCAAAGCCATTCTTGAGGAAGTGAGTAGATGGGGATTAGATGTTGAAGATTGTTCGGTAAGTCTTGGTCTAAATTTGACAAAGAGTTAGGGTCAGCCGATAACAATTGATATTGTCTACGAAGTAAATCTCCTGCGCTCATTTTACGAAAACGATCAAGATCAACAACGTAAAGAGCACTTATATGATATTTAAGGCCACGCAAAAACTTCTTCCAATAACCCTGCTTCCAAAAACGAAAACCTTCCATCTCCTCACGAGAATCACACATAGGAGTATAACCATACGGAGCCCCATGCAAATCCAAGTCCATTAATTCTTGTAGATCCGTACGGACAATCTGATCGGCATCCACAAAAATAACCTTATGAAGGTTGAGTGGAAACAAAACATCCAAAAACAGAATTTTGTATCCCCATATTTCTCTTTGTTTCTCATCCTGCTTTCTCAGCCATTCAGGCCAATTATAAGTTACGTACTCATATTCAAACCCATAATGCCTAGACAAGACTGGGATTGAATGTTTGAAAGAAGGGGAGAGGAAATTTTCAATAAACCAAAATTTCACTTTTTTGTTGGTATGTTGCATAACACTCTTGGTCATAATGTACATAAAACGTTCATATAGGTGTCCACTGGCAACCGAAAAAATGTTGATGGTCGGTTCTTTCTTTCCAATTTTAAAAATATTTAACTTTTGCTTCATCTTGTCAAAGAATCTCTGCGGACTCATGTCTTCATCCAATATGTCTGAGGATTCGAAACCTGGATTTCTTCGCATCACGGGGTATAAAGTCACGCCTTCAAAGCTATCAACTACCACTTGTTTCTCTTCACTAGGATCTAGCTTATCCAAGGCTTTAATATTATAAAATTGAGAGGAGCGACCAGACAACGGTTTCAGGTTCCAAATACCGGGATTAGCTTTCAACTGAAAGTAACCTAGATTCGCAAGAACAATCGTGTCAGCAAAATGCTCCTGTTTTGGTGTTTCTAATGCCAATTGCATTCCCCGTGGTGGAGTTTTTAAACCCTCTTCTTGAGAATAACCTTGTATAAGAATGTTCTTGATTTCATAAACAGCCGAAACAGGTTCTACATTTTCTTCAGGCGATGTATGGTCCAACTTAATATTGTAAAGATCTATGTCGACTTCATTCTGCATGACTACCCACGTATCACGAGACTCAATGTCCATAGTAAGAAGAGTATCTGCCGGAAGTGTATCAAATCGTATAAGTGAATCCTTAAATTGTCCACCATTATCGAAAACGGGTTCGTACTCAATTGAGTACCTATAAAATCTAGAAAGGGGGAAATCAGAAAGGCTTTTAGAAGGATTTAAATAGATACGAACACCGACACCATCCAAATGAGAAATTGACTCAAGTATAGATGACCATTTCTGTGAAATCTTAGAGAGAGGATCTAAGATAGCAACGAATTGATACATACAAGAGCTAAAATTTTCGGTTTCTATGGTTAAACGACTCACTGGCAACTGGTTATAGAAATTGTCTCTAGGAAACATAGCCTTTTCACGTCCAGGAACGGAACCACGTACGTAATCAAATTCCAACTTTTTAAGGTAGGAACTAAGCAAAGGTAAAATCCCTTGGTTTTGAAGTTGGCTAGCGTTATCAAGCATATTATCAAGTTTATCTATATAATTGCCTTTTTCTTGAGAGAGTAGCATTTCAAGATCTTCTAATCCAAGTTTTTCAATAGAAAACGAATTAATCAATCTTCCGTTTAGTATCAGCATCGACTGACTAGGTTCATCAATGTTGCCAACAATAGCTTTGGATACTTCCGTATATTTAGCAAGTTTCGACTTTATTTTACTTGTCAACTTAGCAGGCTTTTTCTTTTCATTATTCTTTAATAATTTCCGTAAATCTTCATTCGTGGGATTAGTATAGGAACTTAAGTCAGAGATCAAGGTCGGTAATTCATTATCAAAGTCGGATTGAACTAAAATAAGATTGCTGCTTTCGAACTTTGAAAGTACTTCAGCTAGCATAGAGGTAAGTCCAAGTCCTTCTTGAGAAGCAAAATCTGTAACCAACAAAAGTGAAAACTTTGCATTTTTATTCCCAACGGTCAAGAGATCAGAATAAGTGAAGCCAATGTTATCTAGAAGACTTAACAAATCTATTTGCTTCACTTTTGATTTTGAAGATGGATGAATTAAAGGATTACGGATATGTGCCGCATCCTTTAAAAGATAGTCCAATAAATTTTCCTCTTCAAGTACCATTTGTTGAGCCACAGCTAGTTGAATTTCTGGAATATCTTCGATAAATATACCATACATGTTACTGTCGTAATGCTTATCGTGGGCTATAATTCGTCCGTTAACGATAACATCTTGGCTTTCTGGATCTAATCCTAAGCGCGAACTCCATTGAAGACTCTTTAATAGTATCGTATCATAAATATTGGAATTTAGAGATTTCTTTATCTCAGGGAACGTTTCTTCATCATAATCTTCAACAGGCATATGCTCTTCGACAAGAGCCCAAGCACCGGCAGATGGATCGCTTGCAAGACACTTAAACAAAAATTTGAGGGCATTTGGTTTTGAGCTAGTTTTCGCAACATAGTGGAATGCACGACATATCGTCTTACCAAATTCATCATCTTCCGTTGCTACACAAACAAGTCCAGTTTGAACAGGAGAAGGTCGACGAGAAAACTGAATAAGCTCAGAGAGTAGTGAAAAGGAAGAATCACTGGAAGGGAAAATAGGATATATAACTGTGTGCAACTGTTTCCTTATGAGATGAAGCTGACCGGGATAAATCGGTGTTAACAATTGCATATTGCTTCTAGGCCATTTACTATACCTAGTATCAGTTTCAACTTCGTTCATCCAAAAAATTGCTTTATTGTCTTCTAAATCATCTTGACAATGAAATCGAGCAAACTTAAATTCAGCTTCTGAGATATCGAATTGCTCGTTGGATAGAACCTTTGAGGCTTTTGAAGGTTCTATTCCCAATTTCTGAAATCCTGATAATATTTGACGCTCTTTCCGCAACCAAGACAGAATGGTAAAAGCATCAGCTTCTTGAAGGTCAATAGGGATTCCGTTCAGCCATACGGCATTTTGACCTTCAGGTATCGAATAACTTTGAAGATTATTGACATCTTCGATAAGATCCTCAGAAAGTCGGACTTTTGACACTAGATGCTGAGCATACATTGGAAAATCTTGAACAAGGAGCTTTAAGGTCTTCAAGGGGGTTTTGCTCGTCACAATAGCTTCCGCTGCAAGCATATCCAAAGTCGCAATCTGGTCTTGAGTGACGGTTTCAAGTTGATCGGAGGCTAGATCGAAGAGAACCTCGTTTTTCTCATCAGATGAGCCAACTTTTTTAATTTTTCTTTGTTAAAAGATATTGGAATTTCTCGATCATCCATTACCAGATAATCGGTACGCTTTAAAGAGGCATGAGCTCCGAAACTACTGACATAGAGCTTCTCCATAGTAGCATTTGGAGCAGGAGCATATCGTATAACGTAATTACATTCTTTATTTTTTGCCAAAGATGAGTAAAGTTCATGGAATCTGTCAAAATCTGTTCCAAAATCGGTAACGATGACGGCGACCGGAAGCGCTTCTGAGAAGTAAGCAACACTATAGTCAAGAGGTGTAGGTTGATAGTTTCCTGTATAAAGGAAGGAACCTTGAGGTAGATCGGAAAAACAAAGATTCGTTTGATCGTTAAAAATTAGAAAAGTGTTACAACCCTCAGGATGAGAAGAAACAACACTGCTAAAAGCAGCCAGCTTTGGTACTCCACTTAATAACGCAACAGAATAAGTAAATGTTGTAAGCTCTTCTTGGGATAAAACATTATCGGCCTTTAAATACTGAACGGTGCGATTGTACAAATGCTCATCCGTCGACAAGCCGTCCGTTCGAATCAACGGTAAATTGTCTAAAAACCAAAGAAAGCTGTTTCTATTTTCTTCATATAGAGATTCAGCTAATAGAGCTACGAATGACGGCTTGTTGAATGTTGTAGAGACCCTAACGTCTATAGGCTTGGCAGCAAAACAAAGTGAAATAAAGGGAAAAAATCCCAGCCATATGCTCCATTTCATTTTGATAAAAGATCATTAACAGTATTCAAATCTGATAAATGAACTTGAGGTAATGGCTAAGTATCAGTACAATTTGGATCAATGTGGTACTGAATGGGGTACCTCAGAATACAGGACTTGTTTGAGATCATCATGAGTAAGTGGAATATGTAAACAAACATTAAGAAATAGATATAAATTTTAGGTTTGTTTGTTCTTTTTATTCTGGTTAAGAAAGGTTCACTTCCAATTGGTTTTCTATGCTATAAAATGCTGATGTGTTTGGCAAACTTGTATTCCTAGTCTACAGAAATGAAATAAGTGGATCCAGACATAGATTTTTATAATTAAAAATTCATTCGAATGAATCTGTAATTGTTAATTTGGGTAAAGATTCTAAACTTATAAGGGGTGGAACTCATACATCTTGCTTTCAGACTCTTTACCCATAAACTAGGCTTTGTTGCTAAGAATGTTGATTGTAGAAAATGTACTTTGACAAAAATAAAAAATACCTAATTCATAGGAGACTTCTGATCATTGAATTATTGCCAGTTACGTTTCCTGTAGTTTATGGTATGATTTCCATCCATCAATGCGAGTATATAGTTCCATCTAAGATTTGTATCTAAATCTTTACTAAAAGTAACATCAGCTTATGCATATCAAGCCTAACAGCCATGCGTATCAGTCGTAAAAGTCACTTCGAAGATTTTCCAAGCAGCCTATATTTGCAGTTTCCTTCATCCAGTAAACAGACAGACTAAGCATTTTTAAGCATTATCTGCTTTCTGGAGAAGGAAGTGCGTAGGGATGTACTGCTTTCAAGACAATATAAGATAACAAAGAAAGAACGCAGGCAGTTCCATATAGGACACCCTTTTCAATGGGTCGTAAGATAGCTAGAATAGGATATGCATAAAACTTGTTAACCTCATAGCATTTCTCAACCCACCACATATAGCTGAAAGCCACTGTAAGGTACATCACAATAGACAGCTTGAACGACAATTGGAAGGGAGTAGAAAAACAGAAATAATCAATTAAGCAGTAAATAGTAGGCATCAAATGAACACTTAAATCAAAGTTCAGGGGCAATTGGACAGGCCTAGTTTTGGGAATGAGCAGACTACGGTCGTACATAACAATAGACCAGTATAGAACTGTAACGATTGACTCTAGAGGACAAACCACATATAGAAATGCAGGCTTAATTTTGTAAAATACCTTCAAGTTTGTGATGTCTGCTAGTAGGCTTACCACCATAGTAAGTAATGTTCCAGCCAGGGACAACATCGTTCTGCACTTTCGTTAGATTCTGAAATATTTGGATTTAGGAATAATAAAACTATATTCTTAGCTTACAAATGCTGAAAGTAGGATCCATAGGAATTTCGGATATCAAGATCACCGTTTTTTTCGACCCAATTGAATGACCATAAAATACTAGCAGTAGCTATACTGTGCAGCAGGAATGATTTAAAACGAGTACTTGAATCTCTTTGATGCATTTTACCTAATGTAGTATTAATTTTCCTCTGAATGATAGAAAACTAAAACTTAGGAGGATGAATCGAAATGATTGGGGTTATCGAGGTTGTGTTCAAAAACGGAAGTTAATATTCATTTATACAAGCCCTGATTATAAATCATAATTATTACTTCTGTTAGTTGAAAATACAAATGTTATACTCTACTTTTACTATACTTTTCATTAAAGTTACATGGTATCATAAATCTTAATAAGCATCTATGCATTGAATTCGAAGTTAGCAAACAAAATATTAATTAATTTTTCGTAAATAAGAAATGTGAAATGAAAGTAAGGATTCATCCTGCGCATTCCGTCAATCGTGTATACTATGTACAGGCTTAGGCACACAGCGTTTTTAGATACATGTATATATATATATGTATACGTCGTAAACAACGGCCACATCAATAAACAGGAGACCATTCAAAGGAAATGAAAGTATTTGTTCATATATTTTCAACGTAAGTGCTAACTTAAACCAAAAAGCGTCGTCCGGTGCCACGTTGTCCAATAGCTCCAAGATCACAAACCAAGCAAACTCCATTTGCAGATGCCTTATGATATTTAGCGGCACAGACAGGGCACAAATCATAATCCTCTCCAGGATAGACGGGTGTCAATGTCTTTGCGCAAATACTGAATTCGACATGTGGATCATATTCAACTTCAAAAGCATCATGAGGATTTCTATCCCCTAAGGTGATAGCACGGCTCGCCTAATAATATTAGTATACAATAATTTCTAGGTAAAATACACTTACAGCTTCAGCAGCAGGTCCAGATTCTGCCAACTCGAGTAATTTTTGACCCAAGAAAGAGGCCGATTTGTAATTCTTTTGCTTATGAGAAGCATTAATTGCTAAACGATGGGCGATGATAGAATGAACAGGTTGCAACTTGGTAGATGCAAAGTAATAGGACAATTCGAGTGCACGCTTAACTTCACCCTCAGGTAACTTGCGTCGTTCCAATTCACAAGACAAACCAACAATATATTCTCGACATTCGTCCACTAGGTTAGACATCTGTTTCATGTTAGTGATCATCTTCCCAAATATTAAATTGTATGCATACCTCTTCAGCTTCGTCTTGATTACCAGCTACAGAAGTAATCAGCAGATAAATAATGTTTAAGCAAGCCTCTTTGGCCTCCGAAATCTTGTTCGCTTTTACTAATCGATAAGCTTCGTTAAGCTCATTATTCTTGATTGATTCCATATTACGAGAAATAAAAGGTAGGGCTTGATTACGCTCAGCAGCTTCTCCATTACGTCGAATGTAAACTGTTAGAGGATCAAGACCATCAACAGCGGGTAAGTAAGCTCTTGATGCCGCATAAATTTCTAAAAAGCGAGATTTAAGAGGAGCAAAGTTTACAGCTCCAACTTGTCTACCCAAAAGTTTCATGGCACTTTCAAAATCACCTGCAGCGATATGATCAGCAGCTAAAGGTGAGTTCTTCAACCACAAGTGGGTCTCGTCTGTACCATCAAAAACGCCAACTTCGTTTTCAACATTCGGAATTACTTCTTCAGCAGCCAGATCTTCAACTTCCCAACCATCATCTTCCTCAGCACTCTCAGCAGATAGTTCGCTAACATCTTCATCAACGTCTAAGAGATCTTGCTCAGCTTCTTGAAATTCATTAACAGAAGCTGTTTCATCTTCAGGGTTTTCTAAAGCCATTTGCTCTATCCGGTCTCTTAATAACTTTTCGAATGAGGAATCGGAAGTATCCTTTAGAGGCCAGTTTTCGGTATGGGTAGGACGAAGAGGGGAAGGCAAAGTAAAAGAAGGACCAATGCTGGGTAACCTTATTTGATCTTCATTAACACCACTAACGATCATCACTTCACGAGCCTTGTCTTCTAAACCGTTAGACTTCGCAGTCAAATATGCTAGCGGATACATCTTGGCTTCAACCAACATGTCAATACGAGCTTCTATATCATTCATGTATAAAGAATTCTGAAAAAGACTTAAGGCATCATTACGTTTCTGAGCAATCATAGCCATCTTGCTAAGTTTCTCGGTGTTTCCGGTAATCAAATATAAAAATGATAGCTTTTCGAAATAACGAAGCTTCTGGTAGGTAACTTCAGCAATCTTATGGTTTCCAGAATTAAGGGCTTCAGAAGATAAGCGAGACCAAACCTCAGGTCTATCAATCGTACGAGCAATTTCCAAAGCGGTTTCTAAGTTATTACATTGTAAAGCTAACTCGAACCGGGTAGATAAATCTTCCACAAATTGCAAAGCAATCTCGGGGTAACCTTTCTTCTGTAGATAAGCAATAATAGCTTGCCCAACCAGGTCACTGTTTTGAATTAAATGTAAAACCTGCTCATAGTCTTTCTTGATCAATGCTAACTTAAAAAGATAATCAGTAGGATCAATCTTGATTGTTATGGGTTGTGCGGCACGATTCAAGGCAAATACCAAATCTCCTTTAGCACGCACAAGGTAAATAGTAGAATCCAGAGTTTTGACAATACCACAATCTCCAGACATCAAAAGATATTTCAAATGATCAAGAGTTGAATAAAGCAAGACATTGTTTTCAACCCAAACTGCGCTTTTAATTCGGATAGTTTCATGGATGGAAGTAATTAATTCCATGGATTTTTTAACAATGTAAACAAAGTGTTTTCCTATTAATGCTGCATGAGAAGAGTCATTAGACCAAATAACATATTTAACTTTGTTGGCATTCACAGAAGCAATAACCTTCTTTTGTTGCAAATCAAACATGTGCACTTGGGTTGAGGTAGAAAGAAGGATATGTCCCATTCCAGCATAAAAAATCTCGTTTACCTTTTCGGGCAATTCGATTGTCTTCGTTACCTTGTTTGTCAGGTCTTTAATGTCAATTAGTTGTTTGCTACGATTGAAGACAGCGAAGCGATTACGTGCAACGAAAAGTGCGGTATCGCCGGAGCCCTTGATGCCTTCATTTGACTTAGAAGAACGTGACGACAAATTAACGAGCTCGTAAGTGCCATTATCTATAGAGGAGGTTACTAGTGCAACCTTCTCGGCAGGATTGTAAGATAAAGAACGAGGATGCACCCATGGGCTTCCATGATGCTTAACTGAAGCCAAAACATTGCTTTGACTTCTGACTAGATCATGAGAAACGATAGACTTATCTTTGTTGACATAAAGGAGAGTGTTGATGTTCAGAGCATGAGCAGGACGTTCGCGCTCTAATTTGAAAACCATGACACCACTGTCGTGAGCAGCAGCAAATAAATTAAGTTTTGGATGAACGGTGACAAACCAAAAACGATCATTATCACGACGGAAAGTTTGAACTGCAGTCCTTCTATTGAGATCCCAAACACGAATTGTTTTGTCTTCACTAGCGGATAAAATTAACTCTTGGTGGGGATGAAAGAGACAGCAAGAAACGTTGTTAAAATGACCACGGCAAGTGTCAACTTCCCAAGCCTTAGAAGCAGTCATTCTCCAAAGTTTTATCAATCGATCATCACCAGCGGAAAGAATGAGAGGAAGCGTAGGATGGAAAGCACACCAGTTAGCGCCACGGTCATGACCTTCTAAAACAAATTTCACAACTGCGTCGGTACTGCCAAACAAATCATTCGTTATGGCATTCTGAGCTTGAGCAAGCTGCTCTTCAATTGACATACTGACCGGGGCAGCATTTTTCATGCGAAGACCGCTGATATCCCAGACACGCACTGTTTGATCCAAACTTGCACTAACAATTAAATCTTCCGTTGGATGAAAAGCGGCGCACATAACATAATGAGAATGGCCAGTCAAAATAGCTATACAATTTCTTGATTGCCAGTTCCAAATACGGATCGTTTGATCATCGGAACAAGAAAGAATCCAAGGGTATTCATGGTGAAAAGCGCAAACACGAACATAATCCATGTGTCCACAAAGAGAAAATAATAACTTCTTTGCTTTATAATTCCATACATTAACCTTGTAATCATCACCACCAGAAACGAAAAGCGGCTGCGTGGGGTGGAATGCAATTCCACGCACAGGACCATCATGTCCATCAAATCGATCTATAAGAGTTCCCATTCGATAGTCCCACAATTGAATTCTACCATTATGCAACGAAGTAAGGATCCAAGGCAGAGTCGGATGAAACGCGACCCCTTTGGCCCTAGAAGATTTAGATTCGAATTTAATTAGCATCTCCATTTTTTATAATTTCTTTGGAGAGTTCGAAAGAAGATGCTAATCTCCCAGTTGTTTGTTGTTGTCAAGTTACTTCCAGCCGTCAGTATGTGGTTGTGTCTTTACCGCGGTGATAGCGTGGTTAACCCTCGGCTAGTCGATTTTTCTAAAGATCTATGAGTACGGCTATTTGCATCAATTAAAATACAATACCAAATAATTTAAATATATTTTCAATTTATTTGATAACAGTTACGGACGTTTTATTCATTTGCTTGTTTATTGCGATTTCTAGTTTGGTTAAGAAATATTGACTGATACTTCAGTGCTGGAATAGAATAATGAATTTACAAGGGATGATTATCTTTATAGGATTTAGCAAAGGAGAAAGCGGTTTCATAATTCCTTTCTTGATTAGTAGAAGTACTGCATTGATAGTCAAACGTTTCCATAAATCATATGGAGCTACTACTGGTCTGTAATTACGCTTTTAATTAAAGAAGTATTATTTCAAAACAAACACTCTTACTTTCTTCCCAAATATATAGCCTCAGTAAAGCAAATACTTATTCTTGCAAATTAAACTGGAGTAAATAAGTAATTATCAGCGAAAAAGAAATTAGTTAGGAATACGCTTGTAGAGCTTTCTTCGCGATGTAATAGCTGACGAACCAAAAAAAAGGTGTTTATGCCAGTTTGGCATAAAATTGAGCGAAAGATAAATCATTAGGAGGTTTCAAATATGGAGCTTAAGTAATGACACTAAAAAAAGTTAGCATGCAGTACTTTGTAAAAGCCTCATTTTGTGATGCGAAAATGCAAGTTTCATACCACATTGCAGGAGGTTTGGGTTGATACCAATAAGCTCCACTGGTAGTAACAGTAGGCTTAGAAGGAGGATTATTCATCAAAGAGGAAGAGCTATAAATGCTGGTATTGTTCATAGCGTCCATATTGCAGTTGAATGAAAAAGTTCGTCCTGGCCAAAAAAACAAAAGTAAGTTGTTCGTAAAACCAGATCAAGTTTTGGATGAAAGATTCCGCTTAGAAAGGATCCTATTTATACCCTGTATGGAAGGATTGTTTTTATTTAGCCCCGACTCTCTTTGTTTTTATTCCCATTCTTCTTAAACAAAGCGTCCATTGTCGAAAGGAAATCAATTATGTTTGTAGTCCTATATCAAAGCGAGGTTACAACAAAAGTCAAGCTTTGAAAAGAATTAATAGAATTTCTTTCAAAAGGATAATGGCTTTGTATAGAGGTTGCATACAATTTTAAGAAGATAAATATGGGTATCCAAATCGGGAAGAACAAATTCAAAATGGAGAAAAAGAAAATCTAATTTAAAGCTTCGTTTTTAGTGACTATCATCACAAGATTTTTTATCCACGAATCGATGTTTTCTTTCATGGAGCATTTTCATGTCTAGCTCATTAGGCATCGTCGAAGGCAAGTCTAGATGAATTGTCAAGCTTTTTTTTGCTGCAAATTTCACAAATTCAAGTATAACAAGATGAATAGAACAAAGCGATAGATACGATAGGCTTCTGCTGATTTTTTAAAAAACAGAATTATATTCAAAATCTCTTTCGTATTATAAATGAGTATTCTTATAAAAAATTCATAACAGCGCGCAAGGCCAAAGCTGAGATTAAAGATCGGCTGCCGTTTTTATTTCTTTTTTTTTTTTTTTTTTTTAATTTTCAACTTTGCAGGATAAAGAAGATCGTAAACAAACAACATTAATAGTTTCGAGCAACGACTTTTTCTGCCACAGCATGTAAAGCCTGTCGGGCAGGTGAATCCGGTATACACTGAATTACTTCGTGGGCTTTTTTTATGTAATCTTTTGCCCATTTAACAGTTGATTGTATGCCGTCTGTACTTTCAACAAGCTCACGTGCTTTTTTCACGTCAGAAGGACAATTAAAGCGATTAATCACCATTGCTCCCAGTTCCGGATATTGCTTCCAGGCAAATAATACAGGAGCAGTTGCGAGCCCTAGGTTTAAATCTGCATTAGCAGCTTTTCCCAAAGTTTCGTCCTTGGAAGTATAATCTAAAACATCGTCCATTAATTGGAACGCAGTACCAACATATCGACCAAAGTCAGAAGCAGCTTGTATAACAGTAGGAGAGCATTGACCTAAGATAGCAGCAGATTGACAGCTTTTCGAGATAAGGCTTGCTGTTTTCAGATACGTTTTTTCGATGTAATAATCAAAATGAAAAGCCTGTGCCTCCAAGGTATTTGTATTGACTGTATTTTTCAGCTGAAGAAACTCACCACGAACTAAGTCAGCAACGACTGTTGCGAATAACTCAGTTACTCTTGGGTTTCGTAATCTAGCCATCGCCGTTGACGCTCTTCCAAGAATGAAATTTCCTGTCAAAACAGATCTTCGGTTTCCAAAAGCTACGTTACTGGAAGGATGTCCTCGACGGACACTGGCATGGTCAATTACATCGTCGTGCAACAGACTGGCAGTATGTATCATTTCCGTGATCTGAGCTAGTCGAAGCTGAGAAGGTAGAACTTGTCCAGTTGAAATATATTCCGGAGCGTCATCTTCCAAAAAGCTTGACCCAACAAGAGATTGGTCAATTCCACTACATAAACTCGTTGCTTTAGACATCAGCAGGACTAATGAAGGTCTCATCTGCTTTCCTTGTGCTACGGTATAGTATCTAGAGCATTTTGAAAGTTCTTCAAATCTTGAGGAAAGTAATTTTCGGATTCCTGGGGATACTTGCTGGAGTTCATTTTCAATGAGTCCGGTAAAATTGGCAGTCTTACTCATCGACCTGGAGAATACTACCAAACCTGGATTTCTCCAAGTCGACTTGAATGATAATTTCAATATACCATTGTGAAGCATTTCATCTCTTTTAAAGAGTGAGTGTGTTTTCAAGGAGGAAAACTCACAGTTTCTTCAAAACTGGTGTGAGCTCCGATACTTCGTTTAGATAATCTTAAATGCACTTGAGTATATTTTAGCGAGTCTGCTACACCTGCTTGTTCGTTCGCTATAGGTATGTAGCAGTTGGACATTTAGGTAGCAATGCTACCACTGGTTTAGAACGAAAACACTGGAGGACCTAAATCTCCACTTAGCAACTACTCTGGAGTCACGAAGAAGCTGGGAGTATGGAAGCGAGTTCTGATCTGGATAGAATATTACCTATAGCTTCTAGAGCATTATTCTGTGAAGGAAACAAAGATTGGACCTTGGCGTATGTTAATTACTGTAAAGTGATAGAGGAGATGAGAAAATCATCAGAAATGCGTAGTCGCCAAGGGCTGGCGCCGTTGAAAGGAGCAGAAGAATGTTCCTGGAATGGTCTTTACGATAATTGTGTTAGTAAGGCCGGAAGGCTTCGCAAACTAATTTTGGAAACTGAAATGGAAAGGCAAAATTTCCAACTAGCACCAAAATTAGCACAGAAGAAATCATCGATTGACTATCAATTCCCTGGCCCAAGTCGCCCGCATACTCCCTTGCAGCATAATATGACTGGTCGAATGATATATAAGCAGCCAAGAGGAGTACAATCAGAGACAAATGTTTCAGCAACTCCTCGTTCGTATATATCACCACATTCTCCGCCTCCTTCATCTGCGGCTTTAACCGCGAGTTCTGCTGTTGGGGATTCTTCTCACTCCAGTCCAGCTTTAAAAAGTATTCGGTCGCCTGGGGCTGCTAAAATGGAAGATCCTTTTGCTTCTTTCAATGCATCAGCTATGAAGTTATCTGATTCTGCTCGAGCAGGTGCTACAAGCACTTCGTTCCCTCTCTCAGGCTCCCCTGAATTTACGAGCGGATCAAATCCATTTATTTCAGGAAAATCTCATCCGTTGCCTAGGCCTCCTCCCACGCAACATACCGTTTCTTCTATCTCTATACCACTAACTAAAGGTAATTCGTCTGCTCAGACCTTCTCCACCACCCAGCCTTCAGCTTCGCCACCAGCTCTCCCAAAGCTTACACCCTATACCCCAACATCATATCCTCTGTCTCCTTTTGATCGACAGGCATTTTTGAAAGGCTCAAAGTCACTTTCGTCCGATACTAATCCGTATATCGTCAGCGGGTCTTCTAATGATGCTCATGACTTTACTCCACCTTCTTCAAGTGATATGAGGTCTTCTACAACATCACCAATTGATCCAAATGATACTCCCTTTGTAAAGCAAACGACCCAAAAGTCGGCTTCGCCTCCAAGTTCCACTTCTCGATTTAATAATCCTCAAAACGATAATCCCTTGAGTGATTTTGAATCTGCTATAATGAGCGAAATTATTTCAAATCACGAGCCTGTTTATTGGTCAGATATTGCTGGATTAGAAGAAGCTAAAAATTCTTTAAAGGAGGCTGTAATCTATCCATTTTTGCGGCCCGAGTTGTTTCAGGGACTGCGTGAACCGGTTCAAGGTATGTTGCTATTCGGACCACCTGGAACTGGTAAGACTATGCTTGCACGCGCTGTTGCTACGGAAGCCAAAGCGACTTTCTTTTCAATCTCTGCTTCTTCTTTGACGTCAAAATATGTATGTAGTTAGTTTAGCGTTCATTTTTTCCTTTTTTTTATTTTTTGTTCTAACCTATATTTAGCTTGGTGAATCTGAAAAGCTTGTCCGTGCTCTTTTTGAAGTTGCAAAGCGCCAGACTTGTAGTGTCATTTTTGTGGATGAAATTGATTCGATTCTTTCCGCACGAAACGATAGTGGAAATGAGCACGAGAGTTCACGAAGGTTGAAGACTGAATTCTTAATTCAGTGGTCTTCTCTCTCCAACGCTGCTCCTGATAAAGCTACAGGAAGCTCTCCTCGTGTTTTGGTACTCGCAGCAACTAACCTTCCATGGTGTATTGATGAGGCAGCACGTCGTCGTTTTGTGAAACGAACCTATATCCCTCTACCTGAACCAGAAACGCGTCATAAGCATCTTTCTCATTTGCTACATAATCAAGTGCACTGTCTTGGGCCTGATGATTTAAATGAACTTGTTAAACTTACAGAAGGTAAATAGTAAAATTAAAATGTTTCATTATTGCTAACGGAAAATTAGGCTATTCAGGATCCGACATAACCGCTTTGGCTAAAGATGCTGCAATGGGTCCTCTACGAAATTTGGGTGAGGCTTTATTAACGACTAGTGCTGAACAGATTCCGCCTATAGATCTGAATCATTTTAAAGCTAGCTTGAAGACAATACGACCTAGTGTTTCCTCAGAAGGTATTTATCGTTATGAAGAATGGAATCAGCAATTTGGTTCTCAACGTTAAAGTCTATTTTTACCACCATTCCAGGCAGAACTTTCACTTAAAGATAAAAATCAAGCATTCCCTATTCCTTTTCTCCTTTGATATTTTGGGTTTGTCCTTTTGATACAAGCTATTTATTTATCTTCCATCATTGAAACTAAGTTTCCTTCTTTTCCTTGCCGATCTTAAAGACATAAAGAACTCTATTTATCCATATACCCTCGTTCTCTGTCGAGTTTCTTCTGCATTCTATCATGTAATATCATACATTTTAAGGGCATTTGATGTTTTCAGTCAGCACCTTTACTTATTTAACTTTTTTTCTTTGAAATCCTTAATTCCTGATATGAAGAAGATTTTTTTCGAAAATAAGAGCGCCCTCCTTGTTGCAAGGTGTCTTTATAAAATAACTTTCATTTATCATCTCTTTATCCTGCATTCTTTTCATGTCAGACTTTTGCCTATAAAATTACTTAATTCACTATGATTTTGGAAATTGAATTAACTGTGCATACGCATTTTAATTATATATCTTATTTTGATCTTCTAGTTTCATAATATATACACTATTTTAGTATAAACATGCTGGTCACGAGTATAGAAGCTGAAACACACTTGCATCGTAACAAAGTTCGATGGTTGTTCAAAGCTCAATCAAGTATGTACACTTTTAAGGCTTTAAAAGGATGTATTCATTATAATTGGAACCTACTTCATCTAATTGAATAATTTTGGTCCTTTTGTTTCTTTATGTACTCGAAGGAAGTTCAGTAATATGTTGTTACCGGTTGTTACCTACCGCAGGTCCACAGGCTCATTGAATGATTCCTTCTACATGGCAGGTAAAAATCAGCTTAGTAGCAGAATTCAAGGAGAGAGGTTGTTTTTGTTTATTTTTTCTTATTGTAGGTGCTCCTTTTTTTATTTAAACGCTGGATTGTGATGGTTCCCAAGATCTTTCAATCTAGCCGCCAGAAGGCATTTAAGAAGAGTGAAACGAGTGAATTACAGAAAGGATTGGTTTCTCAATATGCGAATGAGCGAATTGACGCCGTCAAGAGGACAATAGCTGCTATGACGGTCGGTAAAGACGTCTCCAGCTTGTTTCCTGACGTATTGAAGAATTTAGCAACCCGAGACGTAACATTAAAGAAATTAGTGTATTTATACTTGATTAATTACGCAAAGACTCACCCTGATTTATGTATTCTTGCGGTGAATACATTTGTGAAAGATTCAGAAGAGTATAATCCTACTGTCCGGGCTTTGGCGATTCGAACTATGGGCTGTATACGTGTTACCAAAATCATTGATTATTTAGCATACCCACTACGGAAGGCTTTAAAAGATGATCATCCATATGTTCGCAAAACAGCTGCCGTATGCGTTGTGAAAATGTTTGAATTAGACCCTCAGTATTGTTCTTCCAATGGTTTCATATCCCAGCTTCAGGCGCTGGTTACGGACCCCAATCCAGTTGTCGTTGCTAATGCAGTTCGCTCACTTGCTGAAATCCATGATTTTGAGCCGGAAAAGGGTTACTTTAATCTGGTATATACTATGACCGATCGTTTGATGGTAGCGTTAAGTGAATGCAATGAATGGGGAAGAATAGCAATCCTTTCCGCTCTTTCTCGATTCCGTACTAGCGATGTGAAGGAGGCAGAGTTTATCTGTGAACGTGTCATCCCTCAATTCCAACATGCCAACAGCGGTGTCGTACTGGCTGCTGTGAAAGTAATTATGACTCATATTTCATTATTTTCCGAAGATTTTAAAAACTTCTTATATAAAAAGATGGCTCCTCCTCTCCTTACACTTTTGTCTGCGGATCCAGAAATTCAATACGTTGCATTGCGGAATATTAATTTGATTCTTCAAAAGCAACCGAACATTTTTGAGAAAGGCACTCGCGTATTTTTCTGCAAATATAATGATCCTCTTTATATAAAGCTTGAGAAATTGAAAATTATCACAATGCTCGCATGTGAGGAAAATATAAACGAGACACTTTCTGAACTTCGTACTTATGTTTCAGAAGTAGACTTGGAGTTTGTAAAGCAGACAATTAAGTCTTTGGGTGATGTTGCACTTAAGGTTCCTAGCATAATTAATGACTGCATTGCTGTGTTTTTAGAAATTTTTGAGGTTAATATCAGCTATATGGTGCAAGAAGTTACTGTTGTTATGGAAACGCTTTTACGACAATACCCTAAAAAGATTCGCCTTTTGCTTCCTTATCTTGAAAAGGTGCTAGAGGAACTTGGAGACCCGCGAGCTCGTGCTAGTATGGCTTGGATATTGGGTGAATTTTGTGATTCTGTCCGTGACTCTACTAAGCTTCTTTCTGAAATGGTGTCTACTATCGGTCAGGAAGATTTACAAGTACAGCTTGCTCTGTTAACTGCCACTGTCAAGTTGAATCTTACATTGCGTAATGGCGAACCTGAAGCACTTCTGAGAAAAGTATTTTCTTATTCCACAAATGTATCCAGCAATCAAGATTTGCGGGATCGAGCTTTCATGTACCAGCGATTAATGACTTCTGAAAATATAGATAAAGCTGCTTCCATTGTTTGTTCACAAAAGCCAACTGTCGAGCATAATACCAATTTACCCAAGTTACTATTGGATGGTTTGCTTTCAGAAATGACTACCTTAGCATCTGTCTATCACAGACTGCCAGAGTCATTTATCGGCCAAGGAAAATTTGGAGCAGATGCTATTCAACAACGTGCTGTTGAAGAGTTGAATGTTGAAGAGGAAAACGCTCAGACTTCGATCGAAAAGGGTGCAAATGTCGAGAATTTACTAGACCTTGATTTTGGAGGCCAAGGTACTCCTACTTCCTCTGAAGCTGCACCGTCACCTTCTCTTTCCAATAATGTATTAGATTTATTTATGTCCGTTGATTCTCCTGCACCGAGTAATCAGCTTTCAGCGGCAGGTCATACACGGTCTGCAACGGAAGATCTTCTTGGATTGTAAGAGAGCGTATTTATTTGAAGAGTTGATTGAACACAAATTTTTATTCCGCATATCGCTGTATCTTATATCAATGAGGTAATATCTCCCGACCCATAAAATATGAATTTCGTCTGGTTCTAGGATCATAGTATAGAAAGTATGGTAATTTAATGAATACCTTAACTCATGAAAGGACGCATTATGCCATGATTATCGTTGATAATCTTTTCCTAAGTTTCTTTTAGATTTCTTTTTGGTCTATTTCTACTGTTTTCCAAAATACAAGAGGTTTACACATCTTTTAACAAACGTGAAACATTTCGTGATTTATTTATTACCGTAGTGTAGTGAGTGTCTCTTCACTTACCGCATAAATTAATTTCAGTGAACTGGATAACCTAATTCGCTGCTTTTCATTATTTTGCTACTTTGGGACCAAGAAAAAATACAACAAACTTCTTTCTTTTCAAGGGAGGTGAAGATTTGTCAGTAAACGAACAAATAACTATTTTCATTGTAGAAAGTACCTTAAAGATCGCATAAGTTTTTTGGTGAGTACTTTAAAGCTGCCTAAAACGAAGGCCTGTTTAGTTACGAGAAAACTGTAAATCTTGGATAAACGACAAAAGGATTTTAAATACATTTCGTACATATTTTGTGAAAATCTATCATATTGAAAGTCTCTGGTGTCTCTGTTGAAAAAGAGGAGTAAACACTTCACTATTATATTTGGATCTTTAGTTGTAATAAGTTTTTCAAAATGAGCACTAAATCGTCGAAAGAAGTATTGCAAAAGAAGCTCCATGAGAAGATTGAGAACTTTAGGTCTCAAAGGAAGATTCCCAAAGACACTGACCGAAAAGCATTGATTCAAGCACGTAAGGAAAAAGCCGAAGCAAGGGCACAAGCAAAAAAGAAGGCAAAGGAAGCTGCTAGGCAATCAGAACAAAGGAAAAAAAGTGAACTGCAGGCAGCCTCAGAAGATAAAAACCTAGAAAGCTCCGAACACGCATCTAATTCAGCGAAAGAAACACCGGACATCACTTTTGGAACTCTTCTTCTTGGTGAAGACAAGTTTACCAATGGTCAATTGAAGAAATCTAGCAAACGAAAGGGTCCAACTGATGTTTACGGGGCCATGAAGCATTTAGAAGCGAAAAGGGCACGGATAGAAAAGTATGATGAAGAGAAAAAGAAACAAATTGAAGAAAGTGATACCTGGCATCGTGTTTTGCTCCAAGCAGAGGGCAAAAAATTGCAGGATAACGAGAAGCTTTTGAAGAAAACCATGAAACGGAAAGAAAAGGAAAAGAAAAAGTCTTCGATTGCCTGGAAAGAAAGACATAAGAGTGTACAACAGGGATTGGCCCTTCGACAGAAGAAGCGCCAAGAAAATCTTCAGAAACGTCGAGATAGTAAAAAATCTACTAAGAAATCTGGTAAAAAGTCTGATAAGAAGTCAAAGAAGCCAAAGCCTTCAAAAAAAAAATAAAGTCAATAGATAATATATGGGTATCTGGGTGATTATAGGATTGGATTATGGTTTTTTAATGAGATGCATTTCTACAAAGCTATTGAATAGTATACGCAAAACCATTTTCATGAGCGGGATTATACAGTATTCATTAAATTTGCTCGTAGACTAATTTGCTTGAAAAAAAGTGCAAACCGCATTCGTAATCAAGCGGAAAAAAATATAATAAATCGAATGTACAAATCGATACACAAAAATTGAACGTCAACTTCATTCAAATACTTGCTGCATGGATGTGACGACCTATTAGATAGTGGACGGAGTTTCTGCGACAGCTTGTTCTGTTGCTGGGGGGTTTTCAACAGAATTATCGTTTTGGTTAGTATCTGAAATTGCTTCGGTGTCAGTCATGGTAACTGTGGGTGCTTGATGCGCATGGGAATTCGGGGAGATAGCTGGGGTATTGTTAGAAGGGGACCCTTTCGCTTCCTCTTTTTCTGATTTCTTCGTCGATTTCGAACCCGTAGACGTTCTTCTAGACACCTTTTCCTTTGATTTTGATTTCGGTTCTTTTGTTAGAGGTTTTTGCTCTTTCAATGACTTTTGGGTCTCTTTTTTGGTCTCTTTGTTCGTGACGCTTTTGTTTGATGAAGCGTCTTTCTTAGATCCTGAGATGAAGGATTGTCTAGAAGCTCGCTCATGCATGGATATGGTCTGCAGAGGCTGTTCATCATCATTAGAATCTTCTTCTGTTTTATCTGCAGGTTTTCCATTTGTAACTGGCTGATCATTCATAGAAGGCTGAGGAGTAGCAGGAGTTGGATTAGCGGCATTGGAAGGAGTGCTGGATAACTTCTTTTTCCTTTTTGTTTTCCTAGATCGCTCAACTTTCACCTTGTCGCCCTCGGCCACCAATGGTCCACTGAAAACAAAAAAACCGTCTTTACTGGCAGCGGCCATTTCTTCAATGTATAACTCTGTGTCATCAATGAATGGGTCATGTCGATCATAGTACTCATCTGCGTATCTTCTCTTTCTTCGCTTTTTGGGTGGAGCTGCTGCACCCTCTGCGATCGCACCTTGTTGTTTCTCATTTTCTCCCTCCGACTCCGCTGAATCCGAAAGTTCATTTTTTTTTTACATTACTATTAATGGAAGGCCCATAGATTTTCTCAACTTCCTCAGCGAAATTAATGTGGACGTTTTCTTTTCCTTGTAAAGGAATTTCTAAACACAACACGCGTTGGTCATCGAACGGAAGCATGTTCTTTCGTTTGAAAAAAAATAAAAATAGTTAATAATATTACCAATCTGACTATTAGAAGGAAACTGAATAGAGAAAACTCTGAGAAAGAAAAGTTTCTAGTTGAGTTAAAGGTATTAGCAAAAAAGCCAAGTAGATAGCCAATAAATTTTGTTTCAGTGGACACAAATGAAATCTCAAAGAAACCACCTTTGTTGAGCAATGTTGTTTTCACGTATGAAATCACACGTCTACCTCTGGAGTTGCACAACTTTTAAGTACCAGAAAACTATCCAATATTATAGCTTTTTCTGGACTGAACGCATCAAGCTTATTACAGGTTTGTGAATTCAAAACTTCATAGAGGTGGTTAGCTGTGCAACTTTGAAATTTTCGTATCCGTTTGGAGGTGACAATTGTAGCTTATAGAAACGATAGCAGTCCTCGCAATAATTCGTATTTCCAAATTGCGAATCCTATAAACATTTACTAAAAGTAAAATAAGGTGATTTAGCACGCTACAATAATAAACAGAATGGTTGTTTTCCTAAAGTAGAGATATGATGCTTAAAGGATGAATAGAAAATTAAAGTCGTTGACAGTCTAGAGAAATTATATGCTTTGCTAAAGATAAACGATGGACATAGAATTATAGATTTTACTGGAAGCTTAGAATAGCAGAGTGTGTATTAAGGCACACATGAATTAAAAAACAGCAAAGTGCTTTTTTTTTTACATAGAAAGGTAGCAGTTATGGAAAATTAGCTGATTGACATGTTCATGAACTTTGTATTCAAATGAAGCTGAATAAAAAACCAAAAAGTTGCTTCTGGTGAGGCTCGAACTCACGACCTTCCCCTTTCAACATATGAGAGGGACGCTACCACCAACTGAGCTACAGAAGCTTTGTTGGTTTCCTTCGATTTCAGGAAATAGAGATAGTTTTTGATCTTGTCTTAGCATAAAATATTTTTTTGTTCTTACAAGTATCATAGAAAAAGAAACTTTACCTACGATCGACGAAAAACTCTGGAAGATTGCTTTGCCTTATTGTATCTTATAAGCGATTTGATAGGTTTGAATATATTCTGTAGAAAGTAGATGAGTATCACGAGAATAATACGGAACTGTATGAATACAAGCTTAAAACAAGGAATTTGAATTGGAATGGCTGCCAGGTGTGATTTTTCATTGAATTTTGGTTTACTACACACCGCGTTGACGCAAATGGTTTAGCTCGACCAGCAAGATCTTACAAGTTGGAGGTTTCGTTTGGAGACAGTCAGTCTATCTATAGTTTTTGTTAACCAAGTTTCCTTTTATGAAATGAACGTACATAAATTCGCTGATATTGAGGTAAGACTACAAAATAATATATTCTATAGCATTATAGTTTGCTCTTAATATTCGATGATATAAAACCTTTCTCGGACAACAGTAAACAAATATCGTATACAGACTATACGATGATAGAAAACAATATGAAAAAAAAGACTAGTTTTGTTTCCGGTTGCACTCTTGTATTACTTTTATGGATTGAACTACATGTGGATTTGAACTATAGATTTGCAAGCCAGCCAACTGGTTTGATCAGTCAACCTAGAAACTTGATTTCTTTGCTCCTATACGACAATTAGTAAGGTGAAACAGAAATGATTAAGAAGAAATAGAGTCCCGTGTTTAAAGGAACGGTTTAGCAATGAATTTCATCCTTCCTTCGTCAAGTGCATTATAGCAAAAGAGGGAGGTCAACGATTTTTTTCATGGGTTTTCAAAATGGAAAGGACCGCTTTGAGTGTATTTGTTCCAAATGCTGTCTACTCATCCCAGCAGATTTTCATCGTTGAATGTACCGCGAAAAGTATCCAACCCTCAAAACGAATTGGTACTTCAAACAATCGATATTACAACGTTTACTAGACACAAGATACTTGATGACCAATATATACTCAATTTAGTATATTTGATAATTAATATGCTTTTAAATAGTAACAATAGTAATAACAAGCATAATAATATAATTTTTACATATTCTGCATGGTATTTTATGTAAGCATATATACAAGCATATGCTGTTATTAAGCCTAAGCTGCTTATCGAGAATAAGCTCATGTGAATTTACCTAGTGCCAAACACGGTTTGGTGAATTGAAGGTCATAGACATAAAGATTGTCAATAAGAAGAATTAAAATAAGTTATTCACACATTCAATGATACATGGATAGACGAAGGTGGAGGCCTTCGGCGCCGGTAGTTATCTTACTATTGCTTTTCATTTTTTTTGCTCCGGTACGTCGTATTCCTTCTCGAAATGGGGATTCAACAGAGAAAAGTCTTCAAGCCGAAAGGAATTGGTATTCGAAGATTCAGAACTCAACGTTTCTTGACGCTCCTGAAATAGTGCGACAATCTACAACATTTCCCAAAGAGGTGCTGTCGAAAAGAAACGCAATATACAAGTCTTCCGCTGGTCCTGGTGATAGCCATTCAAACCATACATCTGTCGTGATAGGAAATTGGAAAAAAGTCTCTTTTGATTCTTTTGGCAAGGTTTCTCCCAATGTAACATGGCATCGAACATTACAAAATATCGTAAACTCCGAAAAAGGAGGGTTCTCAGCTAATGTATACGAATATCCCGCACAGAACTCAAATGACTTCACGTTTGTTATGAATATGGAGAATTCCAATGGCACTTCACTATATCAGTTAGTATTTTATGGCGATCGTATTGATAAGGCTCATGCATTGTTGGGAGCTACCGAGGTTTCGCCGGAATTTCCAGGTGTAGATGGTATTCCATGGCTTTTCCATGAGCCAGCCGATAAGTCTGATTTGCCGTTTGATGGCCAAGAGTATTTTGAAGTTTTAAAAAACAAGTCCCTTGGAAGAATTGACGATAGGATTGATCAAATCTCACGGGGAGGTTGGTCTCCTTTGTTATACGGGGAGGAAAGTGTTTCCTGTCGGGCTTACTTTTACGGATTCAATAAGAACACTGGACTGAGCAGAAAAACTCTTGCCGCTATAGAAGATGAATATTACCATCCACAAGGAGTATCTATAAAAAAGATGCCCGACGTGCTATTGTCTGGCTTAATCTATTCCCCAGACTGCAACGTCGCCTTTACTTTTTCTAATTACAAGGGCCCCCGCAATTTTGTCTTTGATGCTGGTTTAGTTCGATTTGCTTCTTTCTATATCATCATAATCTTTTATCAGATCTTTTTGTTGTTGCGACAGATGCGCTTAAATTCACCTTCTTATGTTCAACGCCTTTCATTCATTACCATTGCTATTCAGGCTTGTCTCGACGCTTTCATAGCAATTTTTTTTCTAAGCATAAATGTTGTTATCGAAAGGGGCTATTTACCTTTTGTTTCCGTCGCTTTTCTTTCACTAATTCCATCGGTAATGTTTACCATGCGGTATTTGGCTTTGATTTTGCGTGTTCAAAATTCTAATTCTCCTCCACCGCCGCCGCTTCCCCCTACTCCGAACAACAATGAATCCACGATTGAAGGTGAAGGTGAACATGGTAATGCCAACACAACCAACGTGGAGAATGTGCAACCAGAAGCAGGTATGACTCAGCATGAACGTGATCAGCGAGATTGGTCAGCTGTTTGTCTTCGATTTTATTTTGTAATACTTGTTGTCTGTATTGTGTCCTTGTATTCCGCTTTTTGGCCTGTCACTTATCGATTCTATTTCATTTCTATTCTTTTGTTTACCTGTTATTCTTTTTGGGTTCCCCAAATTATTCAGAATGTCAAGCAAGGTACATCGCGAAGTTTTTCTTGGATATATATTATCGGGCTAAGCATATCCCGTATGTATATGCCTACGTTTATATTCATTTATTCTGAAACCACTTTGAAATTTCCTCCCAAATATACGTTTGCCGTTGCTTTAGGTTTGTGGATGTGTCTCCAGGTTTTTATTTTATTTGCGCAGGATACTTTGGGACCCAGGTTTTTTCTACCAAAGAGGGTAAGATTTCATTTTTTTATACTTTTTCACTAACTTATGCTTTTAGTTGTTTCCTTCTAGTTCGACTTACGATTATCACCCGATTATTCAAGCAGGAGATTTAGAAGCTTTAATGCATGATGCCAACGTATGCCCTATTTGTATGCAAACAATAGAACTTGTTTCTAGTGGCTCCACTTTAAACCCAGCTTCAAGGATTGTTAGAAGGAACTACATGCTTACACCATGTCATCATCTGTATCATAGGCAGTGCTTGTTACAATGGATGGAAACCAGAAGTATATGCCCTGTTTGTCGATGCCATCTTCCTCCTGTATAAATTATTCTTGTCATGAACTTCTTACTAAAAAAAATTTATCACCAAATACTCCCGTTAATTTCATGAGAGAAAAAAAATAAAGAAAAGAAAAGAAAAGAAAAGACCTGCATTTCTGACTATGGTAATTATTAATGAATGATATTCATGATGCAATTCAAATCGATGTTCCTTATATCATGTAAATATATACTTATGTATGTCAAAACGGAAGTATGACAACTAACTGCTTTCAGAAGAAAGCCATGTTGATAGAATACGTCCTCCATCAACTCCTAAATATTGAAGCTTTTCATTGGTGAAACCAAGATTTTTCAAAAGTCGCATATTCAACCCTCCGGATAAATGGGAAGCAGACCGTCCCTTAGAAGACAGAAGCAGGTTAAATGCATTCAAGCGTAAACGATCAAACCTTGCCATCGCACGAATATAAGGGGCAACTTCTGTAATAAGTATGTCATTCGTACGATCTATACTATTAGGAGGAAAGAAAATGGATGAGTGAGATTCGGAAAGGGAAAAGAAAGAAAGAGCATTGTAGACCTCATCAGGATCCGTTCTAACAAAGTTAGTAAATTTTTTCATCTTAATGTAACCATACTTATAAGATACTTTTGAGGCTAAGACAGCTAAATAAAGGGGAACTCTTTTTAATGGAGTCGGTAATATTGTAATAATAGGTGAATCTTTTTTTTCATACAGACCAAGCACAAAATTAAACAGTGGGTATTTCAATTGAACCTCATGCGGTTCTGGTGATGCGTTGGATTTAAAAGGATCGGTGATAATAGGGAATCCCATTAGGTGGTCAGAGCAACTCAATTTCACCTTGTCTCGGGCATCTTGGTCAATGTCATTAAATGAAACACTGTCATACAATAAATCATATGTTTCATAGATAGAGCTTTGATTAGAAAAGCAAGCATCTATATGCGATAAAGAATCGGTGTATTCATATGACTGGTTCAGTTGGTCCAGGAAAGACTCGTGGTTATTTGAAGAGCGTGGAGGCTTCCTCCAATTGACGGTGTTAGGAAGAAATAGGATTCCTAAATCTCCATTTTGCTCATCACTGTAAGTTTGAAGAAGGCTTTCTTCAGATTGTATCCTGTCGTTAAAGATGTTTATACCATCATTAAATGCAGACACGGAGGCTTCCACGGTTGGTATATCTTGGGGTTTGACATCATTACCACTTCCTAAAGGATTCATTGTTTCTGTAAGGCACCAAAAATTAAGTTGCATTAACATAGTCCGTAAATCCGGTCCCATTTTCTGAATTAGTGATTCAACAACGCTTCTTGAGACAATGGCTCTTTCGGAAAATAATATGGAAGAAAGATAATCCGTCAGTGCAGCCAAAGGCAACTGTTGAAACTCAACTATATGATCTTCTTGTAAAAATGACGACGGAAGGAAATCAGTTTGATTGCAAGTCATAGCAACTGGTCTTTTGGATTTTTCAATGAGTGCAGTAACAGCTTGCCAAAAACCACGATCCTCTTGAAATATTATATCAACTTCTTCTAATAGGATAAGTGTATTGGTTGATTCTTTCTCTTTAGATCCTCCTACTACATGACTTTGAGTGAGCTCTCCAATCCGTTCTAAAAGTTCCCGACCAGAGCGTCGCATCCCGGGATGAATTTCTACTATTCTGAAGTTTAATTCATGACAAATGGCATATATAGAAGCAGTTTTGCCAATTCCATTAGGACCAACAACTACCATCCAATTAGGACATTGTGAAACAGTTCTTTTTGACTTTTTGCGAGAATTCGCGATATAATTATCTTCATCATCGGTAATTATATCAGGCTCATATTCACTTTCGGATAAGGAATCATTTGAAGATTTTTCTGACGTACGAGATTGACTGGTAGAAGAACGAGAAATAACAGAAGACTTTTCGGGGGTATGGGAAGGGGCAGCTGGTTTGGAGAGTTTGCATGAGCGCAACCAATCCTCAATTTTTGAAATACAATCTGAGGATGCACAAGAATCCAGTGACTTTTTAGGTGAGTATTTCATAGTCCATAACGTGTTACTCAAATTATAGTCATTATTAACTAATTCTTTGGAGTTGATGTGTGAAAGCACGTTTTCCACAAAAGGAAGAGGAGTGAACCCCAAAGATTCCGAAGCAAAACAGTGTAGTTTCTCCATAGTGGTCTGGATTATTTCAGGCTTTGGTGGTTCAATAATGGTAGAGTCTATGTCTTTCAAAGCACTGGAAAAGATATCTGAGTAAGAAGGCAATGTCAGCAAAGCAGAACCGTTTGAATCTGATCTCTTCGAAAAAGGTAATTTTGTATCACTGACGTGCACAGGGGGATAAAATTCGGTTTGATTATCAGGACCAGGCCAAAGAGGGTCTTTTAATTTAGTTACTTTCCCAGATTCAAGGTAGCTTTTCAGAAACTTAGCTTCATCTTCTACATCATCCGTATGCTTTCGTTTCGCAGAAGACGTAAAAAAGGGATGATAAGTGACATTTTGTGAAGAATTTGATGCTGAACTGTTTGTCGAAAATGAAAAGGGGTGCACGGGTTGCAGTTTGGTTGAAGATGGTCTGCCCAATGCCAAGTCACCATTCTTAGTACTATTCATTAAAGAATCTTCATCGATGATAGATCCTTCGCTATCAGCAAGCACCGAGGTCTCCACATTTGAGTTAGACTGTAGTATTTCTTGGATTTTATGCCCTAGTGTAGCTGAAACTTTTAGTTTTACAAGAAAACAAGGATCATTGTGTGTGGAGAAAATAGATTCCTCTTCATCAGCCAAAGGAGAATCTTTATCCAAGAAGCGTCTCATGTAGTTTTGTTCTTTGTGCAACGACTTCGTCCGGCGAGGTCTACGAGCACCAAGAGAATGAGAGCGAGTTAGTTCTTTTTCATTTGGGGATGTAGATGTCTGTGGCATTGTTTTATGGCGCACAACAGCGTGCGCTTCCTCAGACGAGGACACATGCTGAGAATCTGAATTGGTAGCTTTTTGCGAATTTGCAGACAAATAGCCTACAATTTGCATAAGGATATAAATATTACCGCATAAGTACTACTAAAACTGTTTTGAAAATATCCTAAGAGATGGAACAACCTGAGTTTGAGAGGAATCTCCAAGATTGGAAGAAGGTATATGTTCCAAGACATTCACAGCATAGGGAATATCGACGATAGAAAATGTGCGTAGTAACTAAAGCTTATTTGAATATTTCTTTTAAATTTTATTCAAAAGAAATATTTCGAGAAGTGAGAGTATCTCATGTCAAACAATGTTTCCATCCAATACGATAAAATATCAGTTTGATTAGAATAGTTTTCACGATTACTTTATTATTTGAAAATATAAAAGCTACCAAGTCGTGAATGATTCCGTAGGTGTGCATGTTTACCATCCTTGATTCAGAAAGAATCATTAGCTAAAAAGTCCTTTAGAAGCCTCCGTAGGTTGATCATGTTATATAACAATTCTTTTTTTCTCATCTTTTACTATGTACTTTTTGTATTACCAACTATGCTCAATTATGCCTACCAAACGCTTGTTTACATGAGTTGATTGTTTACAGAATTGGTTGTCAAGGGTCCCTTGGGAGTTTAAGCATTACAACTTCTCTAAATATACGCAGAAAAAGTAATTGATATGCGTTTTATGGCCATAGTTAGCAATTTTAAAACACAAATCTGATTATTTCTAGGATATCATATTATAGAGTAAATAGCAGAGTCGTAAATTCAGCCAGAAAACCATCATGTATTTTAGAGCTTGTATTCCTTGCTTTAAAAAGCTGAAAAAAATCAAGGAATGATTGCGTCGAAAGAAGCAGCTAGTCGACGAATAAAGGCATGTTTACGGACACATACCTTTGAGGGATAGAGTCACCATCAAATATCATATAGTTATAGTTCTATAAAAAGGTGAAATTGAGCCTTCCACCTCTTGATAAAGCTCATACTGTGAACTTTACCAAAACATAAAACGCCCATCCGCCGACGTGTCCATTCGCAATGAACGGTGTCACACAAACACTCGGTAGAGAGTATGAAGAAAGGATTCAGCTTCGTAAATATTATGGATTCAAAGCTTGGTCATCCACTTTCGTCTACCTGTTTCTATGAATGAACGAAACTCCTGGAACCATAAACAATAAAAACCTTGCTCATGGATGATTCAATTAAAGACCCTCTTTGTCAATTTTCTTTCGATATTACTCTCCTCCCTTTTATTTTATCTTCTTACGAAACGCTCAAATGATCGATTTCATCGTGTTTTTGCTTTTGTTTACTAAATAGTGACTCTGCTAAAGCTCACTATAAGTATGGGGTAGAAGTGCGAAATGTAAACTAACCATGAGCAGAACCCGTAAAAGTGTAAATAAATAGGAATGGAAGAATTTATTCCGTTTGACGAAATTGTGCAACAGTATGATCCAAATAATGCAGGAAAAGTAAGATCAGCCTGACTCAAATCTAGGTTCTTACATGTGTAGGTTTTGATTCGTAGTTTCTTAGAAATCGTCGATGATATTGAGGCCCTACGCCAACCTTCCTCCTATCCTTTATTAGATGCTGAGCAAAGGCAGTCTGCAGAGGATTTCATTAAGGACAATGAAGGAATTGTGGTTTCGACAATCGAGATTAAAAACCTGTTTTATGAATTAACAGGCCAAGAGCCAGATCGAATTCCTATAAGCAAAACGATTCTTAGAAATAGGGCAAGGAGCCGGTCTCATGTGGGTTCCAATCCGTATACCAAGTACTCAGAGAGAAAGCGATTCAAGGAGAATGATTTTAGCTTCCAGACACCGCAAAAGGCAGCCCCATTGGGTCAGTCGACTCCTTTTACAGAAATCACAAACGCAAAGGATGTTAAAAATAATATCTTCGGGGCGAGACGAAGAAACGGGAATCAAGAGGAGACACTAGCTCAACTATATGAACGAGTCCAATTCCAATCAGATCAATTACGGGCTAAGGAAATTGAAAATCAGGATTTAAAAGAACAAAACGAAAAGTTTTCTGAAGAGTTGACAGCTTCAGAGGAAGCCTGTAAATCGTGCTACACGCAAGCGAAAACTTGGGAAAAAAAGTTTCGTGAGACCCTCCGAGAGTCAAAAGAGTTTTCTAAACAATTAGAGAGCATACATCAGGAATATGAGGTGCAAACAGCCCACATCGCTAGGCTCGAGCAAATCATTGAGGCAGTCGAGAATGAACGAATGACAGTATGTTTATAATTAAACCACAACTTATTTCATTTCTAACCTACTAGGAATCCGATCATCTGCAAAAGACGTTGGACTCAAAAGCGAACCTTGCTTTATTAGAAAGGAATCAACAACTTGAATACCAAATAAAGATATTAAGAGAAGAAATAAGTCAAATTCGGTCTCGAAAAGCTTCCTCTAATCTTTCTTTGTCGCCGCTTTCTATGAGCCCGGTCTGTTTTCCTTTTCGTTTACCATCTTTACCCGTGTCTCAAAAAACACAAGCGGATCCTCAACTCACGGCGAGTCTTTCCCTTTTGGCTTCCGAACTTGAGAGCCAAAAATTATTGCTACAAAAGTTTAATAGAATTAAGGAAAAGCCTTTACAGGTTTCTGAAGTGTGGAGTAATGTGCGAAAACGATTGCCAAACAAAATTATCCGTCATCGCTTTTTACGGCTTACCCTCATTTCTTTGTTGATGATAGTGTTCTTTCATGCTGTATATTTTTTCTTCTTTCGAGTTGGTACTATTCAACAATGGCCTTTTGTCTATTGGCTTTCTTCGTTTGCTCCTGACAATCGTTGGTCTCCCACATAAAAACCGTTCTTTCTGTATATTTATGATTTTCTTTTTCCCCCTTGATTCCGCTAAACTTTTTTGTTAAGCGCAGTTGAAGTCTCTTCGGAATCAAGTTCATATATGGATTTTGCTTTGTGTATAATAGTCACATTTTATTTAATTCTTAATATGTTGTTTTAAGAAAATTTTGGTACTCTTATGTCTTTCTATGAATCTGAACTGCTAAATGCAAGGTGTAATCTAGACTTATTTAGACTACTACGAATTCTAGAATTGATCCTTGATGAAAAGGCATTCCCTCCTCATGATGAACATCTTTTTTATTTTATGTCGAAGTGTCTAAAAGTAACTGACATATCAAAAGTTAAACATGAAACAGAAGGTCATGAAATTTGTTTACTTATGCAGTTAGCTAGAGTTCACAATTTGGGCGTATACCGCAATGCACCCCAATATCTTAAATATTCAACCTATTCAACATGCACGTAAACAGAACCAAATTTATGTAGTTTTCGACGCGTAAAACAAAAACGCTTTGTTGTTGTTGAATTTATTATTTAATTAAGTCGCTATAACATAATTTTAGGTCGTTTTAGCTTAAAATATTTTGGACAAGGTTGAACAGATTTATCGCAAGTTAAAAATCATGACTGAGAGAGGCGGATTGTTTTCGAACGTTATAGGAGATGTCGTAGAACGACCAAAAACTTCAGGGCCTAATGAATTAAAGTCGAAACAGCGTCATCCTGGTGGTTTTCCTAGTATTCCAAAAGTGTTGCCTAAACGCCATACGAATTCTATGAGCACTTTTAAAGAGAGACAGACGCGAAATAAAAAAGCAAGTCCAAAAGAAGAAGAAAGAGGGTACTCTGACGCTCAAGGGATTGATGATGAAAACCGTGTTCGATTGGATCGAATGGACGAAATGGAAATTTTAGAAGCACAGAGTGAAGTACGATCTACGATCCGAGAAGATTTATTAGACATGTTATTAAATAGGTATAAAAAGAAGGTGGAGAAGGAAGCTTCTTTACAATCTAGCTCCTCTAACCTAACGGGTCAAAGTACGGATACTTATGTACCTTCTCGTTTTCGATCAACAAACTTGGATCACTCAAATTCCAATTTAGAAAGTGTACTTTCATCGGATGTTGTTGAAAGCTCTTCTTCAAGCAATGCTTCTCCGTCAAATGGTGAGAAAGTTGGAAAGTTAAAGACAGGAAAGAATGTTACCTTTGGAAATGCTCCAATTAAGCGTGAACGTAACAAATCTGCATCGCTTTTAGAAAAACAGATTCAGTCTAACTTAGAAAAAAAGACTAATGAAACAAATATGAAATCAGGCGAGGAGGTTGGCTCCAGCAATGCTCCTTTAGAACCAGGGCTAAACGTTCATCTTCCAGAGAAGCGAGTCGAACTGGATCCTAATGACTCTGATTTTTATGAGCAGTTACACGAAAAATATTTCCCCAACCTGCCTGTAGATGAAAAACAAATGCAATGGTTAAAAGACCCGAGTGAGGAAGAAAATACATACAATCCCGAGGCAGAGGGTGTCCATGCACATCAAATCCGCTTTGGTTTTCGCGGAGAAATTATTCCTCCTGGTAAAAGTCACAAAGTCCCCGTTACAGAAGGCCTTCATCATCATGGAGATGCTCCTTCAAGTGCTGGATATACGTTGGTAGAATTAGCCCATTTGTTGCGATCACAGTTCCCGACACAGCGCTGCATCGCTATTCAAACTGTAGGCCGTATCTTGTATCGACTGAATTCAGGAGAGTTTGGCGATATTGTTTCACCTGAATTACACACTTTGGTTGAGGACACAAATATACTTGATCTTTTAATAGCAGCATCTGGTGAGAATGTACGCCATATGACGGTTCGCTCGTTAGCCATTGAGGCTTTATGGTTAACCTCGCAGAGTCAGCATGGGTCAACAAGACAAGCCCTGTAATTCTGGATAATTTTGGTCAACGGAGAGGAATATGCGAGATTCTGGATGTTTTGCTTTTCTTACTGCTTATGTTTTTGAGTAATGATTTTTAAAGGGACGGAATTTTTAAAAGATTGTAATATTTAATTGATTCAATTTTTGTTGTTTTATCTAAGGACGAAGTATTAATCTAATCTGGTTCAAAACATGTCCTATTGTTCAGACAAATCATTTTATGCGAGTAAATGAATCGTGCGGCCTTGAAAACAAAGGCTTAAATTTTTTTATTTTGAATCCTAAAACATTAGAGAAAAAGGGTGAGGCAGAAGGGCTTTCAAAACTTCATAAAACCGTTGCGTTGAACTCAATTGCTCTGAAACAATCGCTTAAACCAAGGAATTTTTACCTCTTTACGACGGACCTGTTTGAGGTTTTCATAGTAGTTGGGGTTGAATTGAGGCTTCAATACATTCTGTTCGGGCGTAAACTACAATTCCGCGTTAGTTACTTCTTGTCCGTCAAATCCCTTCAAACAAAGCTTGTCTATGATGTACCTCATTCCAATATGTGTTTTCCAATAACTTCTCCGCAGCGTTCAATTGGGTTTTCCTTTCTTCTGGAGAAAGTTTTTCAAGCTTGGTGCGAAATGGGGTATCCAAAGTTTTAGGAAAAGAAAGCCATGGGCGCAACTCGTCCTTTGGCCAAAGAGAGACAATCCGCGTTAAACGACTACTCATTCTTACAAACTGATTTCTTTACGGAAACTGCTTTTTAATCCAACTTACTTTGCTCGCACATGTGGAACCTGTCTGTTGGACCAATAGTTCTTTTTTGATTTAAGCATTCTTACGATAGATCACCTTAACCTCTTTAGCGACCGTTAACACGTCCGTCAAACTTCACTAAAAACGATGAATGTAAATAGAGAAAAAATAATAGGGATTCTCGAATCACTCAATTTTTGTTCACGCTTTTATATGCAACTTGAATAGATGTTCTTGTCTATATGATTCCGATAATTCATTTTACGCCAGGAATTGTGCTACTAAAGAGCGAGACTGCTTGTGTCATATCAAAGCCAATTGGTTTGCATAGAAAACATAAACGCAAGAAATCTATTTACCAGTGCATAATTTCCTTACTACCTGTTATATATTTATTGAATTCAGATAGTTTCAACAAGCGGCGATGCCCGAGTGGTCTAAGGGGGCAGATTTAAGAGGCTTTGCGCCTTGAACCCTGCTGTTGTAAAACGCGTGAGTTCGAACCTCACTCGCCGCAAAATTTCTTTTATCATTTTTATAGCACTAACTCGGTAAATTACACTATACCAAGGTAAGGTAGGAAGTATATAATAGGTTGAGTCTCCTTTCTTTAACTACTCGGTAAAGCTACTGTCTATTAGTCTCATTAAGAAATTGTCATAATTGGGTCCCTCGTTAGCATTCATAATATAACAATTCGTTATAAGAATGGAATATTAGCTAATATCAGTTAATATTCATAAGCTTAAAGAATTGTGCTTGATAATAAGTAAACAAAAATTTGAAAATGCAAATTTCTCTTTGATTGCAGAAACTCCGATTAAAATTTACAATTCGTGATTATTGCTATTAATTAGAGAAGCCAGTCACGATGGCAAATATACAGAATAATATATATATGTGTGTCGACAGTCGAAATCTTTAGATCGGAAGATTTGACTGATCAGGCTAAATAAGATTGACACTTAGTCGTTTTCATTTAGTTAATCAGATCCCTGGACATATTACTATTACTCTACGTAGTACTAACACGTCCAATTCCAATAGACAATTTTGTAATTGTACTTATTACTTCCACTCGATTTACATTCTCATAACGTGTGAGATTTCTCCCGTGACAAATTATCTTCCGATCTCGTAGAGTGGAAATTATTGCAATAAACTTGCAAAAGATAT